CGTGGACTGACTCGCCAATTATTTTTCCCTTTTTTTTTACCGAATTCCATGATCCATACCCCCGTAGGAAGGCCTGGTGGAGGCTAATTTCTTCACCTTACCGCTATAGTACAGTGGCCCGTAGTGAGAGGGCACTGTCGGTGGGGTAAGGGTAGAACTGCGCAACACCACTACTGTAGTGTCAAATCGGATTTTCTCAATGAGTAACGCTCAGTAACAGACCGGTGGTGTAATGTAGCGTGTCTTCTGCGCTTCTTTCATTCGCTGTTTGCAAATCCGAATCGCTTGATTGGAATGAATGTGTTTTGATAACGTTACATGTACATGTAGTTCACATCCCCGTGAAACGTAATATAACCCGGACCAAATCGGACCACTCTCCCGCTATACTAGTATGTAATGTGTCTCGCTGTTGTTTTTATTTGTCTTTCGTAACTTCAACTCTAACAACATTACGTTCACAGCTTACTCTATCATATCATGTTTCATCGACGCCCATATATGGATATTTTATCACGGAAATTCTACCTGGCGAGTCATGTGAGAATGTTTGACATGTGCATGTTGTACATGTCCCATGTTTGTATGTCAAGGCTGCGACATGATATTCCAACATGGCGGCGAATTTCACTTTTTAAGTTTTCTCTTTTTTACCCCTTCAATTGTCGGAACAACGCTGGCGGATACCTGGTCCCGCCCTCGCCCTGACCTGTATTCATCCGTCGCCATGGTAACGGGCGCAGCCCTTTGTTACGAACCACCGGAAAGTGCGATGCTTACGTCAATAACAGAAACCTGATCGTCGCCTCTTGGATTAAACCCTAACTACCTGAGACGGTCGAAACGAAGTTACGATTACTCACTAATTAAACAATTTCCCACGACAGGGAAGTAGAATGGCTCCTTAACGACTAGATCTCTGTAGATTCCTAAGAAAGACGTCTGTAGATTAAGCGACGGGGTTTATAAAAGGCATCGGTAAGAACCAACCCACAGGTGAGCAGTGAAAAACGCCTATTGTCGTGTTCTTTTGGCGTACTGAAATAGAAACAGTTGCATTGTCCGGACGGTTGTTGTGAGTAATCTGACCCGGGCACTTTGTGCCGCGCTCCGTGCGGAGAGCTGTGGTGGCCATTCAGAGGAATTTGAGTTTGAAGAGCAAGTGTCAGTCAGGTTCAAGGTCCCGGTTTCCCGCCAAGTTTGTCACGGGGTACCCCGGGTGGGGGCGTTTTGTTGGCTGAGAAAGTCGTCAGAAATACTCTCCAAGCAGAAGTTGGTGGGGAGGATTGTGATGGACTTTTCTAATATGCCGCGTTTTCTTTCTGTCGCTACCCACAATTGGTGGGGGTAGCGACAGAAAAAATAAAAACACACCAATATTGTGGGTAGTGACAGCAACAAATGCAAGCGCCGTGACAAAAGTTGTCAGAAAGAAACTGAGAAGGACTTGACTCATTGCTTCTAAATGGCTGAAAACTATTTAAAAAATGCAGAAAATTTGAGTCAAATTTGGGCAGATTTTACAATGATGTACCAGTGACAAACGCCAAGGAGGTTATAGCCTCCTTACACACATTTATCATATAACATTAAATTTGAGCGCCAAAAGTTAGATATAGACAATAAATTTAAATCACACCTTTTAAACAAATTGTCAAATAAAATCTAAGCTTTATAACGTAGTAACGAAAGCTTGTAAAATGTAGATATACAAACGACTTCCAACTAAGGTCATTCAGAGTTCGCATAGCGACGAAAGTGTCTGTCAGGAAAAACAAAAACTTTCTCTTTTTCGTAATCCGTGATAATCATGGGTCTAGTTGTGCCACGCCCCGCAAGGTGACCTGGGACAGAGGGAAGCCATTTTGATTTATATTACCCAGAATCCCGCAAAAACTGTGCCCATATTAACACAAAAACCCTGGTCATAACTAAGCATAAAATGCTTGTATCAGTTGATATAATGGCACGTACTGCACTGTAACGTCTTATTAGAGTCACGAGTGTAGCTTGTGGTGCATTTTGACGACAGGTTTTGACACAGACATGTTAATTTTACCGTCAGATCGAACGCGTTCTCCCCCGGGACGGTTTGACACATGTATGACAAGCGGCGGAGAGGATTAGCACATGAGTGTGATCTCTGGGTGCGCTATGGGTGGCGAGTTGGCTTCAGTGATAGAGAAAAAGCAAGTGGGAGTCATGGTCATATATAGTATACATGCAATATTTTTTTTTTTTAATTTCTGTGTTTGCATATAGAAAACACATATCGTAGAAAAGAACATAAAACATGGAATATGCAGGAAAATACTCAGACCAATAAACTTATTAGTAGTCTATACGGGGCCTTATAATGGATTTTCTTTGAGAATAATTAAAACAATTAAATAATATGTAAAAGCAACAAGTAAATTATATCTAAAAGAATAAGAAATACATAGAGATCAATCAGTTCATAACTTGAAAGAGAAAAGTAATGAGAGAACTTTTAACAATATGCAATCACTCGGCTTTTAAGACACGCTAATGACAATTTGTTTTTCTCTTAAATCTATTTGTTATTTCATCATGTTCATCACTAGTACATATTCCTTCTCTTTGCGGCAAATTTGTTTTAGTGCTATAAAATCTAACCTGCCTTTTCTCTCGTAGTTCTTTTCCACTTTCTTTGAAATCTATTTCGTGTAGGCCAAATACTAAAAGTAGCAGGACTAGGTCAACAGGTGGTCTCTATTGCGACTGTAAACGTTGGCTTGAGGCTATACCGGTATTGCGAGCCCCGAAAACGCCTTATTTGCCAGACTAGAATCAAGACATAATACAGTAAAACGTTAAGTGACTACTTAAGTTTCAGGTTGAACGACACCACAGAATATGTCGTAAGAAGTCACTGAGCTCGAGTGTAATCACCGGGACAAAGTTTTCTGCTTGGCTTGCACTTTTCTCACACTTTCTGCGCCGCTAGTTACTAGTAGTGCAGCCAGGGCGAATTTTCCCATCAAGTTCCCGTAAAGCGTATAAGCATCGAGCCATTTGAAAGTCATCCAAGCCCGGTTTCTGGCCGTTGCTTATCCAATCGCTTAATTGGAGAGTTCTGAACGAGGCACTTGTGACATTGTGCGCAGCGGTGGACAATGGCGGGTCCCCCGGCTCCCTTTGTCCGGACTCAAAGCCTCTTGGTCCGACATTTTCGCTTCGCACTCCACGAGCCAGTGTTTTGGTAACAGCCGACTTGGTTTCCAAAACATCCATTCTGCGGCACAAGAAGTCGATCTCCCGGCCTCCTTTCGCCCCGCAGAGCCAATTGTGCACAGCACTGAACTTTGATCCCCATTCGGTAACCGATTCGGCTCACAAAGTCCCCACAGTTTTTTAACGACATTCCGTTGGATTATCAACGTTCAACTTGACGATTTCCCCCCTTCCGAGAACAATCACACATTTTTCTTCCGCAATTGCAGGCGTGAACAATCAGAACTGTGTGAAAAACACGACTGCAGAAAAAAAAATGGGCAAAATGTGTACATTTTCAAGCAATTTTCCTGATGACGTCAGAAGGTCATCGACCGCAACTGGGACGACCTTGTCATTCAGGTGTGAATCACACAGGAAGTGATGACGTCATCAACAGCGGGGCCATGCAGGTGTGTTAATCCCAGGTAGATTTTAAGGTGGAAGACGGTAACGTTTTCTGACAGCCCGACTTGTCTGACTGCCCGGTACAGCCATTCAGAGAAGCCGAGCTGTCAGAAGTTGTTACGATCGTTCATCTAACGTCTACTTGGAGATTACAGGCATCCAATGCCATTTCAGGACGGCAAAACTTTTCAAAGTCAATTTTCTGGTCATTCTCTTAATGTAGTAAGTTGAATCAACCCTATCCAACAGCATATTGATATCTTTGAGGCAAAAATACAATGTCGCTGATGGAAAACGGTTGCTTGTTTTGTATAGCTAGGGCTGTATCATAAAATGACTCACGTAGCATATTTGGTCGGGACATTTGCGGCAACTGCTTCATAACAAACAGGTGAACGATTTTGCGGTACACCAATAGTGGTTACCCATTGGGAAAAAATACGCTGGTTCCGAGCCAAAACATAAATGCAATGCTTTTACAGTGAATTGTTTCACTGTTCCTATAAGCCATGATTCCAACAATAGCCAACGAGTTAGTTCTTAAAAAGGATGTAGACACAGTGCTGCAATGTAAGCATGTGCTTGCAAGCTCGATGGATACCGGTAATATACAAGTTTCGTTAACGTTAAGTTTGTTCTTGGCTCGAGCGGGGCTATCATATATTTCGCAACAAATCAAAGGAGAGCAAACCTTCTGTAAATCAAGAGAAACGTTGGAAAGTGACTGTAAATTTCGTACAAACTCGTAAATTTGGTGGCCGGAGTTAATTATCGCTTGTCATTAATTAGTGCAGGACGCATGGAAGGAAGAGTTTCCATGGTTAGTGCACGGACCTATAAATCTTAGAAAGTTGAATTACAACAGTAAAGTTGTTGTGGTGTAGTTCGTGAGAATATATGCTAATACGTGTAGTAACACCATTCTGTTCCAAACTTCTCAAGTTTTCTGGCTACCAATGTGCTGACGGGCAATGTACTAGTATCAATGACGCCACCCAGCGGTTGTGACAGCGAGTGCAGTCTCTTACAAAGGTTCTGTGAACTACAATGTACAAACCATCAATAGCCAGGTGGTCACTAGAACAGGTTTGACTGTATATCAATGACCAGTTGGTCCTTATGTAGAGGTGGTCACTAGCACAGGTTTGACTATATCAGTGACCAGTTGGTCCTTATGTAGAGGTGGTCACTAGTACAGGTTTGACTGTATCATGGAGTTAAAATCATCTTGTATTTAACCTCCTTGACTGTATATAAGGTGGTCTTTACGAAAAGGTGGTCACTTGTACAGGTTTGACTGCATCTCTTTAATTCAATTGAACACTGACATAAAGGGAACAGACTCAACAACATCAGTAGGGTTCTGTTTGTGATATTTTAATCCACTCTCTTTGAGCTGTAGTTACAAAAAAACCTTACTGCTTGGGTGTGCAAACATACTGATTTTCTGTCAAGATTGTAGCAAAAATAGCTTTCAACCACCCTTTCCAAATCCTCTCCCACAACTTCACTTGTAGATATCTGGCTACTCTTACACTGTAATCTACATGTTTAAGTTGTTCCCCTACGTTTTGCCATCTAGTTCCGAGTTGTGGGGAAAGGTTTGGTCAGTGCACCATTTTATACTTCCTCCATGTAACTTGTTGTGAATCAACACATAATTATAATGACACGCATTTGCAGAGACAACACTTTGAAGCATCACAGACAAAACGAAAACTGCTTGCTAGCACTACCGATGTCTGTTTTGGCAGAGTCGTCGAAATGAAAGGCATTTTTTCGTTGGAAAATACTGTTCGTGTCGTAACAGCAGTTTTTGACTAGCCTGCAAAACAACATCCAAAACTTCCGCTGAAACAGCAACAATTTTCACTGGAGTTGCAAATAAATTATACAATGTTGTCAAAACGAATACAAATCAAAAGCTGTCAACTATACATTTCATAAAGCGTAACACACGGAAACACACAATATAATGTCGCACCAAAAAAAACACAAAACTACAAAAGTTCTTCTACATGTTGCTAAAAAGGCTATTTCCTAGCAAACAAAGGAAAAACAGATATTCCTAGAAATTTTTTTAGTCACAAAAACATGAATGGTTTTGCATATCGCCACATTGAAGGCCCCTCTGTGGTTGTGCATTACACATTGAATTATTCAATATACAGACCAAAAAACATGAATATTAAAAACACTTGTTTACAAATAGTAAGGGAAAAATAATTTCCCTCGTCACAAGTAAATCTGTGCACTGTATACAAATACTTACATTCAGTCCTACAACAATACAATCTAAGTACTAACAACCACCTAAAGAAATGAAAAAAAAAAACAACAACTCTACTTCACTAATCTTTACACACAATTCAATTTCAACCAGATTTACAGGTATTCATTCTGAAATAAATAAATCACTCATAAAAATTGTTGGCCTTCAGAAATTGTTGGCCAGATTAGATTTGTTCCCATTTACTGTGGTTGCTGTAGTTTTTATTTTATTTATAGAATACATTTTATAAACAGTAGAAAAGTTGTGCTTTTGTCCACACTGCTTGTAACAGCTTTGTCCTTAAGTGATATGATAGACACAAAATTCTTTACACTGCCAAAATGGTTTTTAAACACAAGCAACACACAGTAATGTATTTGAACTTTGAATACCACACACAAATTCATATTAGTGTTGTTCCCTATGTCAGCAATGTACAATTGGATATTAAAAATTCTCCCAAATCATGACGCCAACTAGAAAATGTTCCCCCAAAAACCTAAGCCAAATACATCCGATGTTTTCCATAGTAGTATTACCAATAGTAGAAACAAAAGGAAGAATCCAACAATGTTTAAGTTGTGACTTTTTGTGTCACAAGAATGCTGTACAAGTAGTATAGACAGGGAGCAGCAAAGAGTCGGATTTAAAAACAATTACATACAGTATCATTACATTTGCATTTAGTTTGAATGAAGATGAACGAATTACTATCATATGACCTTAGTGCTACAAGCGGAATACTGTAATTCACTTTTCGTGGTTGCAAACGTTCACGGTCTGAGAAAAATGAATATGTTTGTGGAACTATATATTCAGTGGTGGCAGGTGCAGAAAAAAGAAAGTCCATGAATTGTTAACGGTAATGATAAGTTTGTGGTACTGAAGTGAAAGCCGCGAACATAAACATATCGAGAAAAAGTCGTGAATTACGGTAGATAGCGACTGAAAAAAAGCACCAAAATACTTGCAGCATGCTCTGGGGGGAAGTAAAGAAGGGGCATGGTCCGCACAACTTGTTATCAAAACCGGCGGGGACAGCACCACTACAGTAGCTAAAGTGTCCTGTCTCTACGCTGGGCCGTCTGGGGGTGTAGCTAGTTCAGCTTCTGGATCTTGATGCTGGGCTCGTCGGTGCCGTTGGGCGCGGGAACGGAGTCGGAGGACGTGCCCGGCTGGGGAACCTCTTCGATCTCATCACCTTCCTTCATCTCCAGGAGTTTACTCTCTAGAACAGAACAACAACCACAGAATAGTCTTCAGTACAGCAGACTTGCAATCAAAACCACTGGAATACTATATGTTATAAAGTCAGTCCATCAAATATCTTATACACATCTATGTGTAGGCAGGCTGGGGCCACATTGCTTTGTTGGTTATCAGATTTTAAAAAATAATCCTGAACTCTGGCACACAAAGTTTCTTGCTTTAAAATTTTTAAGTTTTCCTCCCAACACTTTGTTTTCATCGTTTTTACTTTACACTGTCCGAGAGCCAAGAAAAATGAGTTAATGCGGCGCTGTGATAGAACATTAGGCAATCTTTTGAATGGCTCTCTCTGTATGTATGAATTTAAGATTTTTTTAGCACCATGTGTATTTGTGACCACAGGATATTTTGTATCTTCCTTATTTGTTTGTTATGCAAAGCAGAATGACATGTTTGTGCAGTGATGTGGTAGTGCGGTGACACAATGAGTTGTGCATGCTGTGCTACTGATGTGCATGAAACATGCTGCAATTGTGCTGCTACAGGCAGGGGAATCAAGGAAAGGCACTGCACAACATCCATTCTTTATGCACATCTTAAAGCATGCATAAAGGTTCCGTTTGTTACCTTTACGCATGTTTTAAGACGTGCTTAAAGGTGCGATTTTGTGCAGTGAGGGAGCCAACATGCTGACGAAACACACTTTTCTTCGAATACTTCCCAACACGTGTTTCGTGTTTACAACTTTAGTGGACAGGTTTGGGGTACATTCACAATCGAATGCCATGCAAACAAAAAACATTACTCTTTCCCCATGTTATTTTTGTTAATATTCTGAACTAAAGTAGCCATCTAATAAAAAGAGGGGTGAATGAATAAAAAATACTGATGTAAAATGGAAAATTTGTTGCCGGAGCCAGCCTTACAGGTATACATGGAGCAAATGTGGGGATGAGCAGACATACCTTGCAAGAGCTTTCTTTTTTTTCTTTTTGCAAAAACAGAAATCAGCCGTGCAATCAGATCAAGAAAAAGGATTTTTTACACCTCCGTTCATACTAAATATTCTTACAGATCTGTAAATAGACGGTCAAGGGACACAGGTTGGACAGTGCTGATTGGTTGATCAGTGATTGGAGACGTGTCCTGATTGGATAGCAAGCCAACGGACGGGAGCGAACCTTGCTCACTCATGCCCTCGTCCCAATCCAACTCTGAACCCATGTGTAGATACTGGAAGAAGAAAAAGGCAATTGTCAGTAAAACGGTTGACAAAGCAAGCATTAAATTGCTTACGTATTCCTTATCTATTCTTAAGCTTGACTCACATCTGTATATTAGGATATGTTGATTTGATTATATGGATGACATCCGTTTCAAAAATAGAGTTTTCAACCATACTTGTAAATTGTACAAAGCAGCTGCAAAATGAGCAAATACATGCCATAAATTGCAAAAAAATTGCATCAAGCATCAGGTTTCGGATTCCCAGAGGATGTCATCCATATAATGAAATCAACATGGCCTTAGCACACAGTTTAGCACACAGCAAGTCATGCCAAGACCAAGACCCGAAATGGCAGCAACAAAACAAGTACAATAAGATACAAAAAAACACTCTTCTTTGCATTGATTTGATTTGCCAAGTCACCACAACTCAGAGATCCACTGAAGAACCTGGTGTTTGTAGAGAGTTCACAAGCACCAGTGACTTCTCCAGTACATGAGCATGCAGGGAAATAGCTGAACATTAGCTTCAACACAATAAACTATACATGAAGTCCATATAACCATAGTACCCTTGTAACCCTGTAACGGTTTTCCTTGTTGTACCCACCTCACCCATGACTGCGATCGGTGTCTCTCCCGTGGCGGCCGCGACTCTGTGCTCGATGAGGTAGAACATGTACTCGTCGTACAACAGGCGAATCAGGTGGAAGGATCCGAAGCTGGCCGCGCTACGCAGGGTCAGGTCACGGATCACCATAGAGCTATGGGGAACGGGGGGGGTTAACGACAGGCCAGGGAGAAACATGGTTATTACACAAAGGAGAAGGGACAAAACAAAATTAAACACTTTCGAGTGAAATTATTCTCAAAATTTCATAAGGTCAGGAATAGAAGGGGTGAAACAAAGTCTTACTTCAAAAGTTACAGTAATAATCTCAAATCGTCAGGACTATTTAAGTGATTAAGCAATGTTACTGGTAAGCATGCATCATTAGCATCAACATTGCAGTTAAAGACAGAATTCCCCAGCTTAAGCCTACAGGGCACCTCTTGTTGTCATTTTTCACTGTAAAATACTTGTCACACTTTGTACATTGAAGTCCATATTATGTCATGTACATCTAGTTTGGGGAGTGTCTGTCTGCATACTGTAAGTCCATTTTTGATTACGAAATCTTTAAGTTCACGGTTTTCACGAAGACGCTCTTCTCGTGAACTCACCTCCTCGCGAACCCATTCCGTACGTACCACCCCCCTCCCCCAGACATCGTGCGTCTCAACTCTATACTAACAACTTCTACATTACGTAGTACTAGTAAATGACAAGACTCAACGAATAACAGCAGACTTCTTTTCAGAATCAAATAAACTTTATTCAATGAGCATATGGTTCACGGAGTCATTATTTTGTTACTAGTAATACAAGTGTTTCTTGCGAAGAATGGTAAAAGTTTACAAAGCCGACTAGACAACATCAGTTTTAACAAGAACGCTAGTTCGGCGATAACGTAGCGGTGAACAGCTGTAAACATGTGCAACATCGTACATACGGAATTTTAAAACATACATCGGTAAAAAGTTGTTGTCGTGTACAAGCCACGTAAAGCAGAATTATTTACGGTACGGAAAATCGGAAAAAAATAGAACCAAGCGGGATAGCGTGGGTCTTTGTCTATACCTCGAGAGATCAAACTACACGAGTTCAACGTTACTCACCAAAGCTACACGCAAAAAAAATCATTTCACAAGATTTCCATACATCCCAAGAAAACTTACGCTACATATACAACATTAACAGGTATTTATAGGGAAGAATTGCACGAAAATCTACCGCCGAGTAACTGCCGGGCCGATCGACAAATCACAAGAAATCCAACATGGCGGCCTTTGTTTACATAGCGCGTTGTCTAATGGTCTAAGTTTGCTTTATTTTTTTATTTTTTTTTCTACTTGTTGAATCAACATGGTTTTAAACGTTCCCAAACAGCAAATTTATAGAACAGTGCGCTAAAATTTCACAACTAAAGATGATTTATGCGAGGACTACTGTGCAGAAGTTGGCAACATTTGCGAGTCGAAAGTTAAAAAATGGCGGCGGCTTTTGTTTTTACTCACGCGCCCGTCGGCTCAAAGCGGCTCAGATCCCTGTGCGGTCCCATCCCCTGGCGATGTCCATGTTGTTGGCGATACTGTCCAGTGCACCCAGGACCCAGTTCGCATGGATGGGCTTCAGTTTGGACAGTGTCATGTCCACGGAACCATGTTCTAACCGCGCGTACCTCGCACGTACCTCACGCGTAAAAAAATTATTGACTGTCGGTAAATTTGCAGATATGTAACGCCTTGTTAAAAATTACCGACTCGCGAAGTCATAGACCTCGTGAACTCCCAAATTGCTCCATCTCGTGAAATAAAGCATTCGTGAACATAACTGGACTTACAGTACCTGAAGGAATGTAATATTTTCAATACTGTTCATACTTTTATTGTTGGTATATCTGTGCTCCTTCTCAATGAAATTGTAATACTTTGGTATATATGTTTTTGTTTTTGAGAAGAAGACTTTTATAAGCACCCTGCTTTTTGCCCAATCCTCAGTCGTCACGTGTGAATAAAACAAAGCATACCTGTAGAAGGACCACTTGAGCAGGAACTGGCGGGCTGCCTTGGGGAAGGTGTCGCTGCCCTCGTACGGCTTGAGGACCTGGTTGACCACGCTGTCCAGCCACACCGCCCAGGCCTCCAGCGAGTTCTGCTGCTGCAGGGTCATCTTGAAGTCCTGCTCTAACCTGTGCACCACGGCGTCATCACACTGGCACACCCACGACGCTTGCTCCTGGGGAACAACAGGGTAGGGACCGGTCACTTGTTTTGTAACTAACACATGTGCAGCTGCTATTAATCCAATGTAAATTGGGCTCAGCAGTATACAAGAAGAAGGGACAGGTCAGGACAGGCGGCATGCTTCTTTGATACTGTATTACTGTAATTCGCTTTATGTTTAACGTAGAAAAAGTTTGAGGTTTGAGAAAAATGTGGAGGTGTTCATGGAGCTGTATGTGGCGGCAGGTGCAGAAAAAATGTATCACGCCACAGTCATCCCTCAGTAAGGCATCTGGAGCAGCATAGTTCCCATTTAGAACTTTTATTCAGTCTGTCAAGATGGGTTTTGCCCTGTGGGTTTCTTCAAGTGTACCAAGGCTGAATGACACAAGTTCACAAAGTTTTCAATTTTATACCTTTCCATTGTATGTTGCCTTCTCTCGAGCATTGGTTACATCATATTGATAATACTCGAGACTCACAACATCCTAAAATACAACTGAAGGCTAGTTGTGTGCTTCTCTCACCTGTACGTGTGCGAAGTCCACCCTGTTCAAGTCGCTAAGCATCTGGTTGATCTGTGAGGTGTTCTGCAGGACGGCGCGCGCGGCTTGGGCCAGGTGGTTCAGCGACGTGTACCTCCGTAATGTCTGAGAGAACGCGTTCACTGCTGAAAGCTGCGGGGGACAACAGAGGGTTAGCTTTCTACGTTTCTTTCATTTGTTATTTTTCAGCTCACTACAGTTCCATTCCTTTATTCTCTCCATATTTTAGAAGAGAAGAAAGGATTTAGTAAGTTACAGATGAAAATAGAGGGACATAACTTGAAAGAAAACTTGAAAATCTGGCTGCATCCATCCCTGAAACAGTGTTTACTAAGATAACAACTTTTCCTTCAGACTTCAGAAGTTGATATTCCATTTCAGCATTACTAGTTTTGAAAATAGCCAACAAACAAAATAAATTGAAGTGGTTTTATTCACATGTTTGATGTTGAATCTTGCAACAGACTGACACAACCATCTCACATTGATGTTGTCCTATAATTATTGCTGATACACCTCTTTTATGTTTGTCAGAGTGTGTCTTACCTTGGTCTTCACCATCTTCTTTGGAATGTTGGTCATGGCTGCTGACAGCCAGCCTTCCAGGGACTTGGCAAAGTTCCGGATGGCCTGAGTAAGGGCACCTGGGGACAACACAAGAACATCAGCACACAACAGCAAATTTCACTAACAGATCTGAACAGTGGTAGCCACAAAAAACAGGACTGATACGGGGTTTCTATATATTCATTTCTTATTAATTATAAGCACCAAGTATTTCAAGCTCATCTCAACCAGACTCACTTGGAATGGGCCTGAGAACATCAGGAATGAGGACCTCCACTAGTGACTGGTAGAACACGTGGTCGCACGAGCGCATGAACGCGCACACCGGCTCGTAGTCGCACAAGATGAACAGCTTGTCTTTGGTCAGTCTCTTCTCCATGTCCGCGTCGTTCTGACCCTCCCCGCTCTCCGTCGGGTTCCTCCAGAACGTTCTCCAGACCTGCTCGATCAGCGCAAACTGTAGGTTCACCACCACGTCCAGGATCGCCTAAAACATAAACAGCATGTCAAAAAGGTGTCTATCAGTCATGCAGGGAAATATCCTTGTAGAAATAAATAAATAAAGAAAACCAAACAACCAAAGCTGTGTCTGGGTTCGAAATACCCACTGTCATACTTTATCATGTTTTCTGTGCAAGACTCATTGGAGCTGCTGGGTTGCTTGGCATGCATTTATTATTGCATACAAAGCACCTGAAACCTTGGCCATGAGCATGTGAGCTTATGGCTTGCCTTCTAAAATAAACAGCCAGTGTTGATGGCAACCTGAAAGATTGGTGGGCAACCTGGCTTTGCCTAAAATACATGGCAATCTAGCTTTTAGGCTTTTCGAACCCCGAATGTGTTCTGGACTGACCTCGCAGTGTTCCTTGTACAGAGTCTGGAAAGTCTTGACGTCGTCGGCCGTGACTCCGCTGGGGACGGGCTCCGACGCCGTGCTGATGTCCGGGAAGGTGGGGAGGGCGCTGGAGGCGTCGCCCAGGAACTGCTGGTGCTGCTGCTGCTGTGATTGGCTGGAGTCGCCGGCCCCGCTGGCCGCCTGGTCTGCCCCACCGTCCCCGAGACCCTCGGGCCGCGGGACTGTCGGTTTGAACCTGGAGAAAAACACCCATCGACAGACGTCAAAAACAGAACTTTCCATCTACAGCAGTTTCAAAACTGCTTCTAAACTCCTCTGTGTTGATAGAATCCATAGTTACAAATTTGAAGCCTTAGTTACATCACACTTCCAATTTCTGGAGTCAGAGAGTAGATCTGGTGAAACGTGTTTGACTGAAAATTCATGGTGTGTCTCTCTTTTTATGTTGGAACTAAGGCTTAAACTTTGTACCTATGGATGAAACTTGCACACACTCCACCTACCAGCTTCTATTGTACCAGAAAATGTCCAACAGCTTAAACAGTGCACAGGGAGATGATTTAAATAAAAAGCTCCATGAACAACTGTCTACGTGTTTGAAGGAAAAGTGCACCAGGTGTGGTTATGAATCCAGCCCCACTGAAATGTGTTAGTAAAAAACAAGAGCAACAACAACCGCACACACAGCGCACACAGGAGACACACTCAGGGACCTGATAACACCCGAATCACCCGACCCCACCCCGCGGGAGCCCACCTTGGTTGGTTCGTGATTGGTGGCGGTGAGAACGAGCGGTAAGCCACAAGCTGTGCTTACAGAACTGGGGAGTGGTGTGGCGTACTACTTACATGTACCGCTTGCCCTGGTTAATGGGCTGTTGTCGCATGGCCATGTGACCCTGGTCTTCCTGTAGTCTGTTTAGCGGCGAGGTGGCTTTGATCCGGATGCCATAGTAATGATACTTGGAGTTCCCCCTAGGTAGCATCAAAATAAAGGGAAAAGTTAGTACCTGAGGCTGGTGGCGGGCGGCGACTGATCCAGTATGGGCAGCTGGTTCAAAGGCGAGGACGGCTTGATGCGGATACCGTAGTAGTGGTACTTGGAGCTGCCCCTGGGTCGGTACAAACAGAATAGAGGGTCAGTACGTCCCGAGGGCGGCACGCGGTCACGTGGCCATCTTCTAAACACATCTGCACATGCTCAAACTGGAGTGAGAGAACACAGCTGTAGAAACACACTCCTCAACAGTACATCACTACTATAGGATGGAAATTTCTATTGGACTTTCTAGCTATCAATATTGTGTTGAACAACAAAACTAGAATTTATCTTGTAAAGACTGCCCTTAGATATTAGAAAACTTGTAAGTTGTAAATATCAACAATTATATTAACTGCTATGAGCTACAATTGCTAACAATAGGGTTAACATTCATTACAATGTCCCAAAGACCATGCAGTTTCTTCATAAGCTGCTAGGTGTCATGCCAAGAGCTTTAACTGTCTCTTGCATACGACTCTTATTGCTGCTAAAACTAAAATTAAGGATTCAGCAACTGATATAGAGAACAAGTCTCGAGGCATTTAAATTCTGGCACAATTTTTGACTGTCTGTGACAATGTAGTTGCTCTTTGTGTTACGTCTTTGTGTTAATATTTCTGTCAATTTAAATTGGAGAATACACAAATACATGAAAAATAATCACAAACTCAGAGCTGTTATTTAATTGTATTTGATAGGAGGAGTATGTTGGCTTCCAAAACACAAGAATTTACTTACATTCTATAAATAGTATAATAAGTTAATTTGTCCCTGTAAAGAGTTATTCAATGAAAATTTCTAAACCACTACAATACACAATGGTAACTAAAAGTGCCCTAAGACAACCTTTTCCAAAACAAAGGTGTAATGCTAAAAAAACCTATATGCTGAGCTGTAAAAAAATAACAAAACAATTCAAATGAACAAACAAGAAAATAAACCGTTCCAAAGACCTGGCCTCCCACCTTTTCTTTTTCTTGAACTCCTTGCTAGGGTTGCGATATTGGATCTCCATTTTCACCCAAAAGAAACCGTACTACAAACCCAAGTTGGAGGAGTTTTTAGCCCAACATCCAGTGGTGAGGGGCATACGGTAACTGACAGAGGAGTGTGTAGTCAGGAGATGTAAGTATGGCGCTGCCCAAGCGTAATTAGCTAACACAGTATCACCTCTGCCATCAGCAAACCATAGCAGCATCACTGTGGTACCCCATGTTTACCCAGGCACCCAGAAATGAGAGTTCACCCGAAGCCATAGCAACCAAACCAATTTCAAAAGAGGGTTTGTATAACTGTAAACCATCATCATTAGGACTTACCGATGGATTTTCTGACTGGAACTTATGTCAACTCAGTTTCACCTGGGTTTCCTTGAAATGTGTATCATAATAAAAAAGGGGGGAATACTAAATTTGTCATCATAAATCAATAAACTATCAACATTTGATAGTTCCGGCTTTACTGGAAATGACTAGGTTGCCGAGAACTTGAATTTTGTTGAAAGTATTTGTAGCTAGACTTTTCCTGAAAACTGTGGTAGTTTCACAAATTCCACAACTCCGTCTGAAGACTCCAGTTGAAAGGTGGTTAAGGTGGTCTTGTAGTCAGGGTTGATGACTCAGAATCTGAAGGTTGTGGGTTTGAATCCCAATCAGGCCCCAGTTACTGTATCCTTGGGAAAGGTACGTAACACCTACTTGACTCAAGGTGAAAATGGGTACCTAGCTTCAGTTAGGAATGTCCTCTTGGACAGGACATACAAGGTCCTTCCCGGTGTGAATGGTTCAAACATCACTGTCTGGTCTCAGGTTTGACATCTTCAAGAGGTGATAGTCACCTGTTACGTCAACCCTTCCACAAATGTGGTAAATGATGGTAGAAGTACAAACCTTGTTCCTAGTCTTCGCGTTCTCAACCCCAGAAAGACAGAGCGAATGAGCTTGCCGAAGGACGCTGCGTTGACGGGGTCGAGTTTGTGTTCCTGACAGTGCCGCAGATAGTGGTTGTACAGCGTGCTGCGGGGCAGGCTCACGCCTTCTGCCGTTTCATAGTTCTCTAACAACCATTGTATCTATGGACAGGAACAGCGTACAAGTTACCATACATCATACTGAGTAACCGAATGTCTTTCAGTGCACTACAACACTTTGCTCTCTTCAACGCAAACAAAAACTACCACAAGCACAACTACCATGCACGACTAGCTTTTTTCTTCTTCTTTTTTTGTCAAATCATACAGTAGATTACTATTCTTTCACCCAAACAAACTGCAACAATATCTCCTACTTGGATGCATTTTCCATCCAGAAAAAAAAAGGAAAAAAAAAATAAGAAGGGGGAATGAAAAAATGAAACAACCACAGACAAAAAACATACGTATATCTGACTTCATACCCACCAGCGGTCTTTGTTGTACGGAGTCCCACAAATCCCGCTGGTCTCACCGAGAAGGAAAAGAGAGATTGCGTGAATGAACGAAGAGTTTCATACAGGAGACACGGCAAAGTACCAGGGGAAAAACAGAAAGGCACTTTTTCTTGACAAGTCAAAAACAAACCAGGTTATGCAAAAAAAAAACTGGGAAAGGGCATTGCTTTCGTTCCAATCAAACTAAAAAGAGAACTGTTTCCATCTTTTTTTCTAAAAAGTTGAAAGCTCTTAGACGGGTTCTTGATACTTCAAATGATCCTGTTTCAGAAAAAAAAAGCTGAAGGAATAGCTACGTGCAGAGGCTGATTGAAGAAAAGATGTGTAGCCGGTTAACAATATCAGAGCAGAAGCATAAACAAGACAAAGCTTACAGCAGCCAGCAGCATGGACATTGCAGAGAAGAAAACATGTGAGCAACAATGCCAACAGGTGTGGTTAAATGTGTACTACCAAGCCAAAAAGAACATTGTGTATATGTATAAAAGTACAAGAGTGATATTATGACCAACAGAAAGAGTAACCACCCAAAATGGTGCACTGGTAGAGAGGAATAAGCGATTGAATGGATACAAAGCGGTATAAAAGAACTGCATGCCTTATTGTGAAAGAATGACTGCGTGTGATGTGCGTATACTCTCCCACATAGCACACTTCTCCTATGTGGTAAGTTACTCCGTGAACAGACAATATATAGCAGTGTGTCGCTTTTCTCTGACGTTCCTTCAATTTTGCTTTTTCTACACTTGACAATTCTTTTTGTTGTTGTTTTTTTGTTGTTGTTTTTTTGTTGGTGAGATCAGCAGAGTTTGTAGTCTTGTACCAAAGCCCACTGGTGAAGTTATCCAGTCCGCAGCAGTATCTTAGTTACGCATTACCTTAAGTTTCAGACAACATTGTACCACATAACTCCACCTCTTCAATGCCATGTTTTAGTAGATAAAATTTGGAGATGGGATACGACGTTGGGTGCTCAGAAATGTGGTACAAGGAGTGGTTAGTGTCCGCGGCGGAGAGTATCTTACCGTGATAGGAGAAGCCCGTGTGGGGTATGTGACAGGATGGCCCTGTGAAAAGATAACAACTTAGGGATGGTCCAAAAAAACGATCGCTCACTGCTAGCAAAATCTATTCATTATCCCTCTTACCTTGATGTTCAGAGTAAGCAGAGGAACATTGTGTACAAAAGAATAACTCTGTTCAGATTAAAAAGGAGAAAACAAGAGTGCTAGTAAAATTTTGTACAATAGATTGGGGTGATTTTTAATCCAAAAGCTACCGAACAATAAGTTTTTGCCTTGAATAAAATTCAAAAACTAACTTGCACTTGTATCTAATATAGCAGAAAAAATGCATGTACAAAGGATTTTAGGAAAAAAAATTGCAACTAACTTTGAGGAAGGATCAGAATGTTACATTCCTTATACCTCTGCCAAGTGAATTTTGCTTTTGACCCTAACTTTTTTCTCCACCTAAAAGAATTGTGGTTTCCCACCCTTGAGAGCAGGGGCAGAGTTTGCAGGACTTACCGATGCGCCGGGATGTGCGCGGGCTAAGTGACTGTGATCCATGCCCTGTATGATGTACGTCCCTCCCGTGGCCAGGAGCGCGGGGTTGACTGTCGCCTGCGCGGGCTGAACCCCCATGGCTCCTGACGTCAAGGTGGTGACCACACCTGAAGTACGTGAGATTCAAAGCTCACCCTCAACTACTTGTACTGCATTCTCAGCAACATCTTCCAGTTACTGCAAGTCTTGGATGGCTTTTTAAAGATCTTGAGACCTTTTTCTTTTCAAACTACATCCTGATATATATAACTTCAATATACTATGAGTCTTACAGGCTTTTGTATAATAGTCTTTCAAGATCATGGGACCTTTTTCTTTTCAAAAATACAGAAACAAACTCAACATAATATCTTTACCAATGGCCTGAAGCAAAATCAACACTTGTGCAGCATGCTCTATTAATTTACTTTACAAGAAGGTGGCTACTATTTTCATCTTATATAAATCCTTAGGCAATGTTGATTTGATTATATAGCTGACATTACGATATTTCAGTACAGAATCTGTATACAAGAAGTAGCATTTGTCCTATAATACCAGAGAAAAGAAAAGGAAGAAAATGGCACACACCTAGCTGCTGCCTACCTGCTGTGGTAGTCTGGCCGGCGTCGAAGTACGCAGTCTGCCCCGCCTGTGTGTAAATCTGCGCGTCGCTGTAGGTATAGGTGGTTGGGCTATTATGGGTGATGAACGGCAGAAACAAAGGTTGGAGAAAAAAACGAAGGGTTTCGTACAGGGCCAGACCAATCGGGCGGTGCGACACAGCAAGCCTTGCGGGAAGCAGCGTTTGCTTTCTATTGCCTTCCTTTTGCCTTTTATTGTGCAGAGTTTATCTTTAAAAAATATTTCGGGGCTCGAAATCCATTTTTAGGAATAGGCGCACTGGTGCATCCGCCTAAAAAAATTGGGTGCATAAAAAATTTGTGGTGCACCATACAAATAATCTTAAACAACAACGATTTTCTTCTTCTTCTGACACTTAGATGTCAAGAATATGCCGTATGTTAGTATACATGATTTAATATCTTTACATACGTGAACCTATGAAAATATTTGGGTGCACTGGTGCACTCACAGAAAAAAATTGGGTGCACAGCTCCAATTTTGGGTGCACCAAGGTGCACATGCACCCAGTATTTCAAGCCCTGCATTTGTAGTAAGGACTATTTCCCTACATGGCGAATATTTGGTGCAGCTTGATACTAGATGCAAATGAGGTACACTACAAAAAGGTAGACATTTCTGGCGTTCTTTGGACGGGCCCTGTACTATCATTAAAAAAAGGCACCACAGCACTAAACACCAAAACAGTGGGGGAGTTAGAGGATCAGTGGGGATTTATTAGGATAATCTAAAAAAAAGCTTTGCATAAAAGAGAAAAGGAGCTGGAAGCAAGAGCAGATTTCTTTGCAGATATGATATTTAGGCTAAAAAACTTGTTTTAGGACTTAAAGTTAAACTTAAAGGCACCCAATGCGAATTCAGGGCAGTTAAACTGGGTTTACTTGGTCAATTTTTCTGGTCATTTTACCAAGTGTAGAATATTGAATCAACCCTATACCATAGCATACTGATATTTGTCAGAAAAAATGCAATGTTGCTGATGGAAAACGGTTGCATGTTTGGTATAGTAAGGAGACTCCCTAAGTAGCTTGGGGCTATTTCAAACATGTCATGTATGAAATGACGACAGAAATGTGCTAAGAAATGGCAGTAAATGTCAATCTCATTAAGAAAATTTTTTGTCTTGCCGCCCTGAAATTGCATTGGATGCCTTTAAAGTTTAATAGTGCAAGAGTCCACACAGCACAGAAAACAGTGCAATGGAACAGAGAGATACAGACTTGAACAACTAAATTGCCCACAATCACAAGATTACTGAATCACACAGCCAAAAACTGAGGAGGATAACAGAACTCTAATTCATGTACCAAACTGTAAACCTGTTGGCATTTTGCTAACTGCAAAATTTCAGAGCTACTGAGAATTTTACTTGAAACAATCGCCACTGTCAGACATGAAAGAGTGGTAAGTTTGGTACAGAATTAAAGCTGCATTCAACCTCCCCACTTCCTAATGCAGTGTTCTAGCCAGTGTCTGTCTTTCCGTCATTTGACGGAATTTCACTGCTAAAAATTGCTGTGTAAAGACATGGAAAGAATTGTCATTAAACATTGCCGTGTAAAGACATTGTCAGATGCAGGAAATGGGATTTGAGAGGGTAAAGATTTTAACCCCCTTGGATTGTGTTGTGCCGCCGCTCCACATTATGTTACAGAAAAATTTCTGGCTGGCTAGAACACTATTCTAATGATTAGCACCATTGCCCAAATCACACCCTTACATAGTTCCATTGGCATAGATATTGGCTGTGCTTGGATCGCTGGCTTCCACGTACTGCACATGTCCGGCGTAGACCGCCTGGGGCTGGGACGACGCCTGCATGACCGTGTCACCTCCGCCGCCGCTCCCGCTGCCCTCCTGCAGCTGTCCATCCTGGTACTTATCACCTGCAACAATCACGTGTCCCGCTGCTGGTCAGCACCCAAAAATACAGGATGGGGAGAAAACAGGATAAGGTAAAATAAAACAGTTTGATCAACATTTAAAGGCATTGAATGCAATTTCAGGGTGGCAAAACTGAATTTCCAAAGTTAATTTTCTGGTCATTCTTTTAATGTAGTATGAGTTGAATCAGTCTTAAGTCAGAGCGTACTGATATCTTTAAGGCAAAAATGCGATGTTGCTGACAGAAAACGGTTGCATGTTTTGTATCGAAGCCTTGTTCTAGCTATTTATGTGTGGCAAGCAAAATATAAATGCCTCAAGTATCTTGTTTTGGGGCTATTTCAAATGCTTCAAGTATGAAATGATGATAAAATTGTCCTAAGAAATGGCAGTAAATGTCCATATCAGATTTCCTCATCCTGAATTTTTTTTTTGTCTCACCGCCCTGAAATTGCATTTGATGCCTTTAAAACTCATGCAAGACTTGAATACAGTCTGCTTTACAGCCAGAGATGGCTGTATTGTATAAATGTTTTTCAAAGTCATTTTTTAATGTCTCATCAGTAGTACAGTACTTACTTGAGACTTGTACAAACTGCTGCTGCTGTAGGCTCTGTTGAGACTGGGGGGTGGCCTGGATGATACTGGTGCTCGCTTCCTGACCCCCCTGGGGGGCTGACGGGGCCGGGGCCGCTGTCGCTTGGATTGCCGCCATGTCTGTCACGAAGGGCTGTGTTGCCATCACACAGCCTCGGTGAAACCTGCCGTCACACATCATACAATAAACCAGTTATATAGTACTATAGCTTCCTTTTATACCTCTTATACACCGTGTCATAGAGGCTAATGCATACCTACATGTGCGACATAACGCGTTATGGTATGCAAATCGCCTGGTCGGGAATTTCCAAACGTGCTGGCCCCAGTTTTAGGGACTTACAGATGAGGCCGCTGTGCCGTCAATGATCACTTGACGTCTTTCCTACAATATTAATCCTGGGGTAAAAGCGCGGCTGTGCTGCTCTAAAGTCTAAGGGCAGGCACTTCCTGTGGGATAAACAACCACCTGCTTCCCTTGTTCTTCCACCTACATGTTAACCTGGGAACTCCTGCTGTCCCTTAAGTACCAACAGTCCAACACAAAACTATGGAATAAACTGATTGCTGCACAAAGACAATGCAGTACAGTAATAAAATTCAACAGTATACTCCCCAAGCAGAGCTTTGGGTTTTGGCATACTTTTGTCATGTTTTAGGCCTTTTTACCGGATTTTCTTTTTTGCACTGTTTTTTTTTTTACGCCAACTCAATATATAGCTTTTTTTTTACACCAACCCAAAATATAGTTAAATTATAGTTTTGGTAACAATGCCGTCAAACCTGGTATCAGGCATATATGTAACTGCTAATGTATCATTAAGTGCTTGTTGTAGTAAGTTTATTTTGGTGGCTTTAGTCTAGATGACTTGAATGTATCCTTGCCACTATAGATACATTAGCTGGTGTATATAAGTATATAAGGTATATATAACATTGTTTCATTACAACAAATCCTGGCCACTTTTGTGTTTCAAAATTGCAGACAATTTGTCCTACCAAACTTACAGTTTCAGAAGAAATCCAAAATGATCACTTTCCAGCATTAAATGATAATGTTTCTACTCATTGCTTACTTGAAAATAATCCTCCCTTAAAACAGTAAGATATGAATCATTAAATGTGGGTGGAAAACTAGATCATGATGGACAGAAAGCAGTTTTTTCCTAGAAAAAGATTTTGTGAGCATTTGTAAAAGAGCCCTGAGTCTTAGAAATATAATGTGAAAATGGGGCACTTTAAGGTCCTGAAGCAGTGAAGGTCGACATACTTTCAGCGTCATCAGAAACTATAGCAAGCTGATAGCAAACATTAGACATACGTATCACTAGTAACCATACTGTCCACAACTCACAACACCAAATCTGTTACTGTTTGTTTTACATATAACCAGAAACCCTGAGTAAATGTTGACCAGAAAACAGCTGTTCTTTTAGTCCTTGGCCTTTTTGAAAACATCTGATCCCAACAGACATGGTTCTATTTGATAGTGGTAGGGAGAGGGAGGGGGGTGTTAGGGACTGGTAATATTTTACAGTATCACTATTACAAGTATTAGACAATAACCCAATATATGAGTGTACGAAAAGGTTTCAAAATCATTTTCATTTCCATCCGATACAAATCTCCTTAAGGCTTAAGATAACCTGAAGCGATTTCAGGGCAGTGAAACTGGATTTTCAAAGTCAATTTTCTGGTCATTTTTAATATTATAGTAAGTTGAATCAACCCTATACCATACTATAGCATACTGTATCTGTAAGCATTTAAACTAGCGGAAAAACTAGCTACTTGAGGAGTCAAAAAAAAAAATCCGCTATGTCAAACGCTTCTAGTAGGAAATGATGCCGGAAATGTGCCTGAAGAATTTTGGCAGTAAATCAGATTTCCTCGAGCAGAGTATCTTTTTGTTTTCCCGCCCTAAAATTGTATCAAAACATCGCCATAGCAACAGCAAGCCCTTCCACAAACACATTTTACATACCTGGGTCCTAAGAGAGAATAGTTCGCCATGTGTAGCGCTTCTTGTTCCATCATCCTCACAACTACTGATCTTTTGCTCCTTCTAGTTCTACCTCTCTCACAAGGACCACTCTATTCCCTCGAGCATTCTTGACATTATCAATTTATGAATATTCATTCCTTTGTTGTATTGTTGGCCGAGAGAGAGGAATGTGCGTGCAAGCGGCAAGAAATTTTTAATGATGGGAAGAAATGTCCTTCCTAGTAATTTGTTGTACGGTACTGACAAAGAATACAGATGTCATGATACCTACCTGGCTGAAAGGATCTACCATCTACTATCATGTAGTATGAGGTTATAGTAAAGTACATTTGTCTTTTATGTTGACTGTACATACTCAATGTAAAAAGTGATTATCTCACAGCCACAGGTCTACAGTGAAGCATAGCGTTTTCCCCCCAAAACTACTCTGATGAATTTACTAAATTCACATACTGTAGTGTGAAATTTCTAGATTATCAAGTTTATTCTGTATACTGTGTTTCATTTTAAGTTATTTTGTTATTCTACAGGTAGACTATGTATTGTTACTATGTGTTCTTTGTACATGTTGAATATCTACCCAAAACTGTTGTGACTTACTTTATTTATTATCTTCACAAGTATTATGGGCTAAGTTTCTATAATGATAAACGACCAGAGTGACCTCACCAGTGCAATATATCACCATCAACTCTTTTATGATGAAAGTTTTATCCGTTTGGTTTTTCAATTAAAAATTTCTTCCCACTATCGCTGGTCAACTGACTTTTACAATTACTCCTGTGCAAATAGATAATATAGTTTTCATACACTTCGAAGCATATACATTGAGGCAGTGAATTTTTCCAGTAAAAAGCTCTCCTTGTGGGTACCAAAAAGAGGAAAACTATCTTTTTCAGAAGTATTTTATATGCTTTTCATACACTTTGAACAATATAAATTGACGCAGCAAATATTCCCAGTAAAAAAGCTTTCATTGTGGGCGCCAAAATCAAGAAAATTATCTTTTTGGATCTTTCCCATACAGGAGCACACACACAGGTGTGTTTGTTGCCAGGTGCCAGTCCTTTGTTGCTATGGTTTCTGTATACCTGCATCCATCCCTTTAATGGCTTTACATTATACAATCTGGCTGGTAACTGAGCTCGCCAGCTTGTATCCTGGCAACCTGGAAAAACTTGAAAAACAACTCCATGGCACCGGCAGGTCGCCTAGCAACGGGATCAAGTTATGGCTGACATTTGGGCAAAATGTTTTAGCCCGGGGGCTTTCTGAGTACAAAGTCGCAGTGAACCGGGGAGAACATGATATGCCTGACGGGTCCTTAACGTGTGGCGTAGGAACACTTATGTCGTAATAAAGGCTTGCTAAATCACCCAAGCAGATACACCCAGGAAAGGGCGTGATATAGGCAACTTACAACTTACAGTCTGTACAAATATAAAGGCATTCAATGCAATTTCAGGGTGGCAAAACAAAACAAAATTCTGGATGAGGAAATCTGATATGGACATCTACTACCATTTTAAAACCACATTTCCCTCATCATCTCATACTCTACAGCCTTTGAGTTTGAAATAGCCCCAAAACAAGCTATGTGAGAAGTCTCTTTTTTGTTGGGTACCACTAATTGAGTTAGAACCAGCATACATTTTTGCCTCCAGATATCAGTATATTATGGAGTAGGTCATATAATAATAGGATTGATGCAACCTTGTTGCTGCCCTGAAATTGCATTGGATGCCTTTGATGTTTTAAAAATGAAAAATACAAACGACCACAAAAAATACAAGGATGGATTCTGCGTTTAGATCCTGTTTTGCCAAACATTGCTGGTGGCCATGTTGTGGCTTCATTTGCAATAAAATATTTATTCTTGCAGACTTGCACCCAAACAACATGGGTACACCCCACCCCAACCCCATTCTTTGCATGTAATTTGTAAATAATAAATAGCTGGCATTACCAATATCTTGTTCTTGCAGGCAATTTTTTTACCTTCTAGAGTCCATTCCGCGTCACCGTGTGGGTTTTTTCTCCATGTTTCTAATATGTTTGAATTATTTAGAAGAAAAGAATACCCCAGAAACAAAAGTTTTAAATTTTTCAAAAATTTGAAAATGAAAATTTGAATATATTTGAATTCATTTATATATTTCTGAAACATTTTGAAAGTGACTGTACAAAGATCTCTTTATTTAGAATAAATTTGAATTACCCATGTGTTTCTTTCACTATTCGAAATATTTAGAAATATTTCAAACAAATAACCAAATGGTAGATGTGGGTAATTGCCCCCATAAAAGTAGGTGCTAATCCTACTCTTCTGTATTCTTCTGTATATTTTTAGATTTTACTGCTGGACACTGGTGGTTCTTTTGTTGTAAGGCATCAATGCCTGACGCCCAGGCAGTCTACCCTGTACTTCACAGGGATGTGTGAATTACTTCCTTCCCATCCCACTGACCTATTTACAAAATGTTAGAAATAATTCGAAATAATGGTAAAAAATGGTAGAGTGCTGTTAGAAATATTTAGAAACTATTGGAAATGTCATAATCCACATCAGGAATATTTCAAACGTTTTAGAAAACCAGGGAATTATTTAGAATATTGACAAGATGTTCAAAATATTTCCAAATTATGAAATTTCTTAGACAAACAATTAGAAAGAATTCAAAACATTTCTAAAGAATGACAATAACAACCCACTCGGTGACGCGGAATTGACTCTAACTAAGAAGAAATTCTAACAACCCACGGTCTTCAGGTCACATACAAAACTGTGATGCTCCAAGGTCAATCACTTTTGTCTGTGTATCTACCTTAACTGGGACCAGATGTCTTTTTGATTATGAACAGTTTCCAAAACTTTGGAAAGACTATAACCAATAAACAGCATTCCACTTTAACATCCTACATGATCACTAGCCTTTTGAAAATTTTTATGGACACACCTTGAAATTACATTCAAATTCTAAAGCAGCCAGTTGCATTGTCAATTGTATCTGAGGACAACAGTAAGGAGTAGAGCCATGAAAAATTCATGAGCAATCATACACTTGCAGCAAATCAATAGCACATAAATTTATGGCATCTTTTCATTCCTTATACAACCTTACGTGTATGTGATGATAATATTTTGTGTGGGAGGGTGCTTAAAATACCACAGCCCATGTTTTTACTTTCACAAAAGAGCATTGGTGTACAAAGTATTATTGATGAAAATTGAATATACTGTATTTTCTTACCGTATCTTCCCAATGGTAAGCATCTGAATCCAGGACTTGAAATACCCACCAGCAAGCTACAATTTGCTGAATATTTTTTCTACTAGATTGCAGACAAAATTGCAGACAACTTGCAATTTTGTAGGGTAGAAAGTTTAAGACTACTTTGGAATTATGAATCACAATGAAGCTAATTAACCATGTACTAAAGCCTGTGTTGTAGAACTAGAAGGGTAGGATAGTGGCTTGGATATCTGCAGAAATTTTTTTCAAAGTACATGTACTACAGTACTAGTATTGACGTATTACTGGTCAAAGTTAAAAACATCACTACAGTTTGTATGTGCATTTGCTACGTTGTGTTCTGTGCTACTCAAATTTCATTATGGTTTAAACTTAGTCACACATTATTCTGAACTTATACAGATAATGTCCTTGGCCTGACAGTTTTGCTAGGGTCGGTCGGGAAACCAGTATTTTTTTCCTAGGCCTGTTCCAAGAAAATAGGTTCTTCCCTCCAGCAAATGCCAGAAGCACAATCTCCGGATCAAACTATCTCATACCCGGTCCCATCTTAAATATGTATTTTTCCCAACTCATGTATTTTCCCCAACTCCAAGTTACAAATGGATATTGTTCACTAGAAGACAGACTACTTTTGTTCAGATGTCAACAAACACAGTTGCTTTTAGTTCTAGACAACTATCGGTTTTGTCTCTTGCAAAGACAAGGGAGTACTTTGAAACCAAATGAGAAATGAATTCATTGTTTAGCCCATACTAGACTACTGTACTTGTATTTGCTTGAAGGACCCTGAGCAGTAAGTGTGACTTTCACCTAACTTCTGGTTTGAGACAATTATACTCCTTTGGGAATAGATGTCAGGTAGTAAAATACACATATTCACTTTGCAACTTCATGAGGATGAATTTGTATCAATTACAGTAACAAATGTTGAGAAATGCAACAAACGGTGCAAAGCTATAAGACAGAAGTTATTAATTTTTTCTTGTCTGCCATGTGCCAACTTGGAATTAAAAGCAAAACTGTCCTACGACTCCTAGCAAATCTAGATCAGTTTGTGCCACAAATTGTGGCCATTGCAGAAAATTTCAGCAAGCAGTACCATTTCTAACCTACTTGAAAAGACATATTATAATGTTAAGTTGTAGTCATCCATGTCACAAATCTGTACAATTGGACTAGACTGTTGCTCTCACAGTAGATTTTGGTTGAAAATTCGAACATTTTCTCAGGCTGCTTTTTATACAAATTTAGTTTTTTGGACAGTTGAGTAGCAATAGGGTACTGTCAGAAAAGCTGGCTCTTCACAAATTGTTACAACTTTCTACCCCAACATCTGCTTGGAGATTTATTGAACTTGGTCAACCAGTACAGCATATACTGTAGTAGTAATATCGTAATATACTATTGCACTCCGTTAACACGAACATCAAATATGCAAAATTAAACAGTCTTTATTACCCAAATCAGCATCTGGTCAGCTATGGTCCGGATATTTTCATTTTTGAACTTTCTGATGAGAAGTGTACATCATTTATGACCAAAATTATTTTCCCTGCTTACTGAAGGTTGAAAGCAAAAATTAAGTCCTAGAAACATTTACTGTCACAAATAAAGAAAGAAAAAAGCATACTTCACTTTTACCATTTCTATTAAGAAAAAAAATTAAATTGATTAACTGCACAAGAAAAATTTTATCGCCAGCCCCAAACCCAACATGTGAAAATAAGACTATTTACAGTGTATAACGGCTACGACTAAACAAACACCTATTCAGGTAGACCAAGAAAACCGGTAAAATTTGAAGTAGTAAATTTAATTTTCTTCCACCTAATTTGCAGCGAAGGTTACTGTCTTGTCTGAAAAGAAAAATGATGGGTGCGTGCGACTTGAAGCACAACGCCCACCTTGTCATGACTAATTAATTACTCTCTACCAAAACACTCGCCTTTCACCAAGTACCAAAAAGACGCAAATTACCACCAAGAAAAATCGTTACACAACATTTAAAATCGCACAAGTAACGTACATGATATTCACAACAATAAATACGATTTAAGTTGTGGAAAGAGGTTAGAAGGATTACAAATGGTTGCTACTGTAGCGCCGCCGACCGAGCATGGGACCGCAGACGAGATCGCGAGAAGAAACTCAGGCGGCCCGCCCGCCAAAAATTGCCGCCTCGCTCCCTCCCTTCCAGCCTAACCCGCTAAAAACAACAGCGCCATTTTGTGGAGAACACCTTCGAAAAAATTTGAACCATCACGAGGGAAAATCTGGCCAGGATCGCCGCGTGCGGCGCCCGTACAACGCTGCCCCATGCTCGGTAGTGCCGCGGTGCGCTAGTGGGAGTAGAGGATGGAGGAAAATCACCTTGTGGTTGGTGTTGTTGGCGGGAAACAGTCGCCGTGACTACGGTGGCTATGGCGCACACAACCAAGGCAACTGTTGCCACACGGCGACACACGCACACACAACACAGATCACTCCGCTTACCCGCCACTCAAACACCGCCTTCTTCCCTGCAAACCTCCTCTCAACGCACATAAATGTCCACCAGTAAATTTTCCTATATAATTTCTCTCACAAAAATGCCGGAATGGTACAAAATTTTGGAGCTTCGGATGAAAAGAATAGATTAAGACGCTGGAAAAATAGTGCGAAGCGGCGGATGGATTCCAGCGGTGCGGCGGTTTGAAAACGACTGCCTATCATGGCGGACAGGAGACAGAATATCACTATGGCGACCAGGAAAAGAGGACGGGAATGCGTGACGTCAGCAAGGATCGGAGAGTCTTCTACTCCTACTTTCGGGATAAACTTTGGATCTAATGTGGAATATTTTATGTAAGAAAGTATTACCGTTATGTGACGTGAAGTGTGGAGGAGGGTAGCGGAAATTGGTTTTGATGAAGTGCGTAGTAACCGTGTGGGGCGCTCCCATGAAACAGCGTTGTTTACCTAGTGATAGCGATCATGGTGTAGTGGTGTGTGTGTTCGCCTGCCATGCGGGGGCCGCCGGTTCGAATCCCCCCTAACGATTTCATTATGAACATTTTCTGGTTGTACATTCGTGGATTTTATCGTTATACTATAAACTAGATAACTATTTGTTATGTTGCAAATTATGTAATAACGTTGATAAGCCATGATCATCTATGATGTGTTTTTTCATCCCATTTCATTTTGTCTAGTCAATTTCTGTGAGTCAGTGGTCATTCTTTGAAATTATCATTGTCGATTTGCCCCTTTTCCACATTTTCTGAATATGTAATATCTTATGTTGCAAATTATGTAACAACGTTTATTTTATTACCACATAACGTTATAGCCATAATGTGCTTGTTTCATCCCATGTTTTGTCTGGTCATTCTGTGAAATGATCAAATAATATTATGTTGTTTTGAGGTCATCTCACTCCTTTATCACTCATATCTTCAAGTAATGTTATGTACTGTATGATATTTAAGATTTAACACACAAAATTAACTATAGATTATGTCCGTGCTTCAAGCAGATGTTGGGATGCAAGATAATTTTTTTCATGGCTTTGGTGTGTTTCAAATGACCAAGGAGCTTCTATCACCTGTAGAATGTCCTTGAAATGACATATTAAGTTTATATTTTTATATATGACAACATCAAAGCAATTGTGTTCACGTCCAGTTTAATAAAATGTGACACTACCTTGTTACATGTGGTTTCCATGCTTTGTCTTCAAAATATAGACGAGAAAAATTCAAACCATTCTGGGACTTAAAACATCAAACTTTGCATATGCTTGTATTTGATGAAATAATTCTTGATACATGTAATACAAAAATTGCATTGATCCCATTGTTGTTGTACCATTTCATGGTCAACATATCAAACAAGCTTACATGTCTAACTACATGTACATGCAAAATTTTGTATTGAATAATAATCATATTTAATATATAATCCTCAATATTTGGCAAGCACATCATATATTCAATATAAATCATAACTTGTAACACAAAATTCAACTGTCCTACTGCACATTAAAAGGATTTCTCCTAATTTTTGATGTACCTAATAAAACAACAATATCCTACCGCATACCATACATTTTTTGTAACTATAGCATCCAGATATCAATGTACTACTAGTATATACAATATTAGAAAATATAGATTTTTACACATAGGTTTGTAATTTGTATATAGTTTTGGTCATGTGCTATTTCAGAAATGGCATTGCCAAATTTGTATTTTTGACATGTTTGCTCTTTGTGCTCTTTTACGTACAGTTTATCTAAAAACACAGTACAAGAATACCAAAATATTTTACTTTTTTTGCTGTAGATTTTAGATCTGATGTTTGTAGGAATTTTTAGGGAATTTGCTAATGTCCAAAGAACTAAAATTCTTAATTTTGATAACAATTGACATTAGTAAACTAGTCTAGTGTTCTGAGAGAGTGAGACAGACATTGCTACAAACATAAGCAAACTTTTAAGGTAAACAAACATCTGTCTTTACACTCTCTTAATGTAACCCAAAACATGTGAGTGGTTCACATGAGCCTTTTTTTGGGGGGTAAAATTGAACTTAATAAAAACAACAACAAACTTTGCACTGTGTGTCAACAGGGAAGACCTGTATGTACATGTAGAAATAGCATTTCTCTCAAGTCTATAATACACGTAATCAAATTATGCTAAAATAATTTGTGCAATCTCAAGTTATTCCCTGAAAAAGAAAGCTAACAACTAATTATCTACATACAAAATAGATCACTCTTACTATCTTATTTTATTTTACATTTGTTACAAACTAAACTGAAATATAGCTTTATGTACAATGCACATAGTTCCTACATTTGTAAATGTCAAGTTACAATACAATACATGTATATCAACTCTACCTTATCAATGTCGGTTTTGCTAATATGGACAAGTGTCATGTAAATTGCCCTGAGAGAAAATTTGCGTGTAAAGTATTATCATCTAGAAGTCTAACGAAATTCATCACCATATAATATATTTGAATTATTGACAGGGAACCATCCAGCAAGTGTAACACTTAGTTTATCAAATCTAAGAATCCAGTAAAAAAAAAAGGATTCCTTCCCCCAAAAAAATAGACAGGTCCACCCAAAGTGGAGTCATGGCTGGGGTGCCTGGAGTGGGTGCCCAGGTCGGACTGGTCGCTGAGCTATTGCACCGTTACCGTTGTTCCAGGTAGTGTATTTGGGTGCCTCATTCCCTGGGTATGTCCTGCAGATTAGGTAGAAGAAGAAATAATGTTAACCAGTGGTTGCATGTTTAGTCCAGTGCTTAGAGACCCTGCCTCTAGATCAAGAGGTTGGGAGTTCGAATCCTAGCTGTTGTTGCTCACCTAACATGCATGCTACTGGAAAGCGCGCCTACATTTTTGTGACCCAAGGTAGTGCTCCTATGTCAAAAGGTTAGTCTGGAGCCCTGAGTATAGTCTGCTGTATATTCTACTGATTTAGTAGCCAATGTCAACCAACAGAATAGAGGCAAATGGCGGGCTGCCATCAAGCCTCAGCAAAGGTGTGCAAGCACATCTAACCCTCAGAAGACAGGGAACAACAGATGCTAAACCTGATAGTGAGTAAGTGAGTGACTAAGTGAGTACAGGTTGCACACGTTCCCTACCTTGTTTTGACTGGCTCAGGTGCCACGGCGTTCTTGGTCTCGGCAGCGAACTGGTACACGATGAGGAGGCACTGTCTGCACAGCTGGACGATCCGCCGACAGCAGCTCATCTCCAGCGGAGAGATCACGTCCGTGCTCTTACTGAAGATCGTCTCCCACGAGCATCTGTGGAGAAAAATCAATACACAGTGGAGTCAGACATGTGTTCTTGACAGTGTCCAAACTTGTACTGGATGCAGAAGAAGACAGCAAAAAGAGAGTTAAGGCTCTAAAGTGCAGCCATCAACAATTGCATTCCCGTTATATCCTGCATTGTTATACCCTCACTCAACTCACGTGAAGATGAGTACCTAACTTTGGTTATAGACATTCTCATGGAAAGCCGGCGGTCGCACGTTTGCAGAGAGCCAAACTTCAAATACATTAAAGATCCCACCACACTTATCAAAAAGAGTAGTAGTCTTTCCTGGTGCAAGTGGTGCTCACCTTAAGGTGGCTTACCGGTTATGCAAAACAAAAACAAAAAAAAAATAGCACCCTTGGTATGCTGAAGGTTAAAAAAGATGACTCACTGTGATGTGGAGAAACAGTTCCACAGGCCCTGCCCGTGGCTCCACAGGAGACGGTTGAACACGCGGCAGAAGATACGATACAGCGCCAGGTTATCCACATCATTCAGGTGCCACACGCGCTGCAGGAGGGCCCGGATGTTCATCCGGACGATGTCAATGACCTTCCTCCTCTTGATGGAGTCCAGTTTGACCAGCCAATAGGAGGCTATTCTGGGCTTGTGGTACTTCCAGTTACTCTCAATCTGGAGAACAAATGGGAGAAATAAGCTTGGGATTCACTTACATGTACTTTTGCAATGACATTTGAATTAGACTGTAACTGTTGTAGTTTGTGATCATAGCTAGTGACTAGTTCTTTACGGGTGTTTTTCATTACATGACCTCCTTGACAGCTGGTGTTGTTTCCCTTGCACAATGAAGAAAGACTTGTAGACACCATGGTGAATGAGAAGAGGACACAGTCACCATCACACAAGATCTAACTATTTCATGGAGGTCTGAGATCTCCGAATTCTGTTGCTGGGCCCCAATAGCTGCTAGGAGCAAATAAAGTCAATTTCAAAGTTGAAGCTGGATGATTGACTTACTGCGTCCAGCACCGTGTCGGCCTCCTCATCTGTCTTCCCAGGAAACTTGATCCTCATGTCGGTGAGCGCGGTCAGGGTGCGCTTAGTCAGCTGCTCCTCACGCTCACTCTTCACGTTAGTCGTCTCCTGCAGCACAGACAACCATGTGAAACAGTTATCACTCTGCCTATGTACACAGGAAAAACCTATTGCTTCCCTTAATTAACTTGCCTTGTACCTAAGTGCAATGGCCAAGTGGGTAGCGTGCTCGCTCGCCTTGCATTCAGTATGTTGTGAGTTCGATCCCTGGCCGAGTCATACCATATGAACACAAATATTGCTTGCTTCTCAATGATAGGTACCCAGTAACGTTATTTGACAACAATAGGCCAAGTATAGAAAAGACCATACTTAGTAGAATGTACATTTTGCCTCACCTTGTTGTGGTTGGCGATGATCCTTTTTGTAGCCGACAGAGGACGCGTGAGTGACCGAGTTCGCTGTACCACGGGCTGAGACCCCGTAGACTGCTTCCCCAGTTGATTGGAAGACAGCGGCCGGCTTGTTGACCTGTGCTCCCGAGTTTCTGACGATAATCTGTGTGCGAAGGACGAGGTAGGACGACTCCTACAAGATGAAAAAATCACAAGGTCAATACTTTCTCACACTAAAATCATAGCCAATCTGCTGAAGTGCTATGCACAATATCAGTAGATATCAGTCAGGTTTCGCTCAGACATACTACATTCTTCTGCATTTTCTGCTGCCATCTTTCTTGTCCAATTCTCAAAGCAGGTGTAACTTCCAATGATTCCATCTCTACACCCCATAATTACAACTTAACTGGTTCATCTCATGATCAAGCATGAAGACATAGCCAGGCTGCTATCCATCACTATTTACCTCTGTGGACCCAGTATTGTTGCACAGACCTAAATGGGGTTGGATACCAGGCTAATGATACTGAAGACTAATCGCCAAGCAGATCTTTTGGTGGGGGTAAGACAGTATCAAATTGGCCAGCCTGTACATTTCCCCAAATGGATACAGGCTGGCCAATTTGATATAGTCTCTTACCCCCACCAAAAGATCTGCTTAGCGATTAACTGAAGACAGCACAAATGCTTACCTCTGAGGAGGCCCGTTAGATAGCTGTCTCCTCCTGAAGCTGGGGGATGTTGGAGGGGAGTTTTTCTCCCACATGGCCTCATCACCCGTGTCCTCTGTGTCCTCTCCGGAGGGCTGGGGAACGTCGGCGGTCGGCATCGACGACAAGCGCTTCACGAGAAACAACATACATCCATAAATAATTTCAATTTGGTTGGTGAGTGATTGAATATCAAAGGTCTTTGATTACAGCCACAGCAACAAGAGCAGATGCTTTTTTAAAATTATTTTCATTTATTTATTTTGCACAAAAGAACAAGATACAAGGTGAAGTAAATTAAATCAAAAACACTGTGCAGGAGAAGATGAACCCTTAAAGGCCTGTACAAGCCCTTCTCCTTAAACATAACAAAACAATCACAATTAAACTGATTAACTGAAATACTTAAAAAGTTAAATGAAAATCAAGGCAACTGGATAGAAAATGTCAACAAATCGTACTTAAGTAACCATTATGCAGTTAAAAACAAAATTATAGCAAAATAAAGTTTTGATAGCCATCTGTCATCTTCATCAGGGCAATTATGCCTAGTTCACTGTGCACTGAGGTTAGGTGTTACTGAAACAATGCAGCCCAAAAAGTAAAGACATTTATCAACATAAATGTTCTTATAAACAGGATGTTTGTTAATAAAAAACTCAACACAACACAACATACACTGAGTCACACATTCAAACTGATAGTGTAACTGTTGTACATTAATCTTCAAGAAACCAAATTGGACAGAAATACAAATACGGTTAAAATGTTATAGAAGACAGGGGACGGATTGGGACAGTCATAGAAAGTTCACATCCAAAAAAGCCAAAAGATTAAAGACCTGTTTCACAAGTTCTTCAAGATAGGGGCGTTTTCCAAACTGCTGTGGTATAAAAAAAATTGTGAATCATCTCGTGCATACTAGCAGACGACATGCCAAACTACACAAACACACCAATGCAGGAATGGGGTCGTGGGTTACAGCTGGAAATGTACGTACACAACATGACAACTGACCTCCTTCACAGAGTAACAATACATACACCTCATGACAATAGGTTTCCTATATTCCAAAATAGAGGAGTGCTGTATGTACCTTGGGTCCTCTGGGGACTAGAGGTGCCATCAGGGAGACACTGTCTTCTTCACACTGCTCTATCATGTCCAGAATCTCTGCTTCCTGAGGGTATACACAACAGTACCATTACAACAGGTATTGTCCTATCATATGTAGATTATGTAGAACACGATAATAACTGTCCATCACAATTATTGATTTAACCAATAATAACATGGCAATTAGCAGTTTGACCCATGAGAGTGTGGCAAAAAAATGCTGCTAAACCACAGGAATACAAAGCTGGAATTTACGGTAGTACACAGTGACTTTTATGACAAGTCGGTGCATGCTGGCCTTTTGCGGCATTTATGAGTTGGCACTACTGTAGTGAGTTCTTGAGTTCTTTGGAGCTTCGTCAGCCTGGATGCCATCCTTCGTACTTACTGCCGGCACACTATTGTCAATAGCTACAATGGACTACGGAGGATGGCACTCAGGCCAGAGCCTTAGAGGAGGTGATTATGTTTGAGAACAGGCAAAAATCAATGTGCATGCAGATGTCACCCATTAAATTAAATCATTGTGGCCTAAAAAAAAAGAAACATCAGTCCCTACCTTGTACTGACTGTACGCCCGAGTCATGTCCTTCTGTAGCGCAGGCGCCCGCCCTGACAGGAACAGCTGAAAGGCATCGTCCAGCAGCTGTGTCCACTGTGCCTGCTGGCTCTTGTTCTCCGTGGGGAAGATCCTCCTGAAGCCTCCCATGTGTCTGTTCTCGTACTCCTCTCGCTTGCGATCCAGGCGAATCATGTTCAGGTACTGTTTCTGTTGTGGTCAGACCAATGTGAAATAAGTTTAACTGCTAGTGGGAAAAATGATATTTCTAAAGATATTTCTCACCCCATTTTTTTTAGAAGAGACATACTTGATTAAAGTACTTTCAAATTAAAGTCCATCTCAACAATATTTTTTCTCAGGTTACCCACTGGAAAACCTAAGCCAAAAGCTGGGTTGCCCATCAATAATTCTAGTAGCTGTCAACAACAGCCGTTTATCAAAACCCTGCTATAAGTGATTGGCTCTCCTCTGTATTGTAATTAATTCAGATGTTTAGAAAGCAATACATCTTGACAGACATAAGACAGTAGAGTAGACAAATTATAGTTATACACACCAGTTCTTCTTTTCTCTTGTCGATAGCGATTTTCCTGTGCCTGTCCCCACGATCCTCCTTACTGCTGTGGTGTTCTGGTCTCTTGGTCGGCCCCAGGAGTCTCCTCTCAGCCTCCGCCCTCTCAGCACTGATGCTCTTCCTCTTGTCTGACACCCTGAAGATTGGGATTTAAAAAGACATAGATGAGTCTCATCCAGCATTCTGGCAAGCATCTGACGTAATTTTACTTCTCATCACAGACACAAAATCATCTTTGACAGACAGAATTTTCAATTTCCAGGAGACTACTTAAACTTAGTTAAAGAAGGGGTGTGTCAGAAGATATTTTTTAAAAGAAAAGAAAAGGAAAGCCATAGAACAGTGCTGATAGTAACTCACCTGATATTCATTAGTTTTATGGCATCTCCAAGGAGACCGCTTTTGATGTCGTAGTCAATCTTTTCATCAGTGCCAAAACTGGGGGAACGGTTTACCTGCAACAGTATCAGAACATTTGTTATTTCATTATTCAGTACTAAAAGTTACTGCAACAACACCTCAAACAGTACAATGTTTTCATTCTACATACTACTAACAACATGCCCTCAATATTTAGCATGACAGAAAATTCATTTCTACAATCTAGAATTCTAAATTGATAGACAGTGCAAAATTGATAAATTCACCTTCACTTATATATTTTGCTTTCATGTTGGGATAAGAAAATAAACTTACCTCGAAAACCCAGGGTTTGAGTTTCTTGTCCAGAAAGATATCGAAGCCAAGCACCTCGAAGCAGACGCTCTCGTTTCCTGCGTGGCTTCCCGCCCGGCACATCCGGTACGCGTGCAGCACGTGGGGCTCTGCCACGATCAGCGTCTTCATGATGAGGTTCTGGATGTTGAACCTGTAACGGTTATGACTTGTTTAATTATGATAATCTGTAAGAGTCCATATGGAGAGATATGTTGTGGAGAGATATGCATATATTAGCGCGTTAAGTAGGCCCTGATTGGTTATTAGTGAGAGTAACCAATCAGGTGAAGGACCATTGTTAGCATAGTTGAGCTTGGAGGTGACAATTGCTCTGTTAGTAAGTTCGAGACCGAGGACTCAACTATACATGTGTATATGTGTAGTTGTAGCTCTGTAGATTTGTAGATTGTACTGTACCTCATCTGTATAATCCTATACCATTGGTCAGCAGTCGGCTAGTAGTACTGGTCTTCACACTGCACCTCCAGGCAGCCCTATCCAGTGGGTCAACACTGGCAAGGCCGCGCTCTCTAATGTCATAGTAAGATATAAATAGACGCTGAAATATTACAAACCAGAGGTTGGGCACGTCGTAGCCGTTCTTGCTGAGGAAGTTGTTGAGGTAGCGGATGGAGCGCTTGCTGCCTTTGCTCACGTCCTCGTCCTTCTGGAAGTTCTCGTTGCGCTTGTTGACGGAGTAGTTGGTCAGGTGCATGCACAGCTCATCCTGCATGAAAACATTAGTCAAAAGGAGTTTGTGCTTGTTTTGTACTAGTACTGTTAAGGTCTCCGTTGCTGTAAATTTCACACTGTTTTTCCTGGAGTCCAAGTGATAGTGCTTGGACCATCATACATACTGCACTGGGGCATGCCCCACTCGCATGTTTGTTTGACTGAATGTAACAATGTAGTGTCTTACTGAATAGCATCGAGTCAGAAGTTATAAGAAAGGTGTCTGATAGACACCAAAACGTCAGCACTTTTGTTGATTATCATAATAAGTAAATAAATAGATAAAGTACGTACAATATTGCCATCGGTCGGCGCGTGGTACTTTTCCGTTCCCATCCTGACGAGGCCGTCCTGGTACAGGAACACGCGCAGAGGGTCGCAGGACGTCACCAGGACGTACACACGCAGGTCAAACTTGTAGCCGTCCAACAGGAAGGGCTTATCCATGTACTCTTGCACGATGATGTGTTCGTTCTGTGGTATCTTTTCTCCATTGCGATACAGGGATATCCTGCCAACATGGGAAAATGGAACCGATGTGTTAAGCCAACAAGTAATGCAAAGTCAGACTTTTTACCTCCATGAAAAATGGAGGTATTGTTTTTGGTATGTCCGTGTGTGTGTCTGTGTTTCTGCACGGGCCTTGGGTAAGGTTGTAATGGATAAGGCTGGGTTCAGTCTGTCCCAGAGGGAGAAAGTCATTAATAGCATCTGCATCTGGTAGCACAGAAATTTAGCCTTTAGCATCTAGGTTCCAAAGTCGCTAGATTAAACTTGGTAAGATAACTCAGCAGTATAATGCTAAGGGTTAAACTCAACGTACATACATTCCAACTGCTACATACCCATTTCCCATTGCACCGTTGGCAGGCTTGACAATGAAAGTCTTCTGTTTCTTCCTTTTCCTGAGCTCTTTGGTGTAAGTCTGGAAGGTGGAGTACTCTGCTGGGAAGATCCATGTCCGAGGGGTGAAGTTGTACTCCTCTGGGCGCTTCCGATTCATCCTGGAATATAAAAAAAACTTGAACTTAACCCATTCAATGAATCTGTTCAGTCATAAAGTTGCCCTAGGCCCTCTAGTGAAGTTACACAAAACTGCAGCTTTTACAGGGCAAAAAAAAATATATCCAGTTACTAGTAATATGAGAGACTTCAGTACCAGGGACAACACCAAATGGAAAAATAGGTATAGGAGATTTCAGTACCAAGGACAGCAATTCTACAAACTAAACGAGTGCTACCATACATCTAGGTTGAAATATTGATCTCCGGAAAATGAAAACAGACATAATACAACAAAGGAAACAGTGTCTTTTCCCTTTGAAGGGAAACATAATAAAAATCTTTTTATCGTTTTCTAAATGTCATTTACTGTCTGTAAATTTCTTGTCTGGGATAACAACTAGGAGACTGAGGTGTTTGGGCATTCCTTCTGTCTTGTATGGCCAAATAAATTGAGATAAACAAACTTACTTTGAGATGTTCCTTGCTAGACAGTCCTTGCGACAAATCTCCCCCATCCCAGGGAAGTGGTTGAGTCTCTGGTAAGACTTGAGTTCTGCTATTCTCTCATTCTGTACAAAACTGTCACTCCAGATCAGGTAACTACAGAAACAGAAAAAAATTGATTTATGACTTTTACACAGACATCTACTATTTTAGACAATTTCACAGAGATACACTATTGAATTTAATAGAACATGCCAATATTGCTATAACTGTCACAATAAGCATTTAGTAATCATCAATACAAAAATGTTTGTAGTCAAGAAGAAACTGTAGTGCACTGTCATCTCACCATTTGGGGTCATCTTCTTTGGAAACCTGCATACCAGCTTGTTCCACAACTGCATGTACTGATGACAAAGATGAAAAAATTAATTTCCAGTCCACTACAATCACATGATATGGTCAATAAAACCTTCTCCCTAGTGCTAAACCCTGTACTAGTACCCAACACATGTTAAATGCTACCTTTAGCACTGAGAAAGTAATTAAAAAATTACAGTCTTAGTACAATGGATTTTAATTATGTTCCTAAGTAATAAAATATCATAACATGAACAAACATGTGCAGACACTATCTGAGTATGGATGATGGTCTTTCTTGTACACACGTGCAACCATGCACTAGTTGTTTTACCTGACAACATTACGTTGCTTTCAGCACAATTTTTCGTTTCACTACTTACCGACTTCATATCTTGTTGCATACAAGTTGGCTGTAGCCCGGGACTTCCGTTTGTGCGATTTTTTACTGAGCTGACTCTTTTGAAGGACACTGTCATCAAAGTGGGCGTGGCCAGCCTGAGATGCATCAACTGTAAGTAAGATGAAGGATAAAAAATGGAGTTGGCTTATGAAAGACAAGATGACATATTAAACATTTTCATCATCATTTCATACTTAAAGTGTTTGAAATAGCCCCAAAACAAGCTGCATGACACACCTCTTTATTTTTTGGGTACCATCCATAAATAGCTAGAACCAGCCTATGATACATGCAAAACAAGTAACTGTTTCCGACTTACAGATATCAGTATGCTACGGGATAGGGCTGATTCAACTTACATGTACTACAATAAACAAATGACTAGCTATATACAGAGAATTAAGTTGTTTGTAAATCTAGTTTTGTCACCCTGAAATTGCTTTAAATTGGCTTGTAACATCAGTATCATACTCACCAACACCATGGTGTAGTGGGCTGGCTGCAAATAGATATGGGACCAACTGAGCTTTAATTTTCATTCTTAAGACATATTCCTCATATTGAATCACTACTTAAATGCCATCTCTAAACAATTCATATATTTATTTATACTCACTTCCAAAAGAAGGCCCATCATATTTGATGACATATGTGAAGGTACTAATATGGCCTAGGCTAGTGGTAGAGTTCTTGACATAGAATATGAAGGTTCTGGGTTCGAACCTAGTCTCCACTAGATTCCTTTGCAGGCTGTATGAAGGCAAACTGGACTCTATGGCCGGCCAACTCCCCTGGTCAGCTACATTCCTTTTAGTCCAATTTCACCTTACTACTTATTCAGCCTGCAAAGGAGTCTGGTGGAGACTAGTTCAAATCCATAATCTCCAAGCAGATCATACAAGTTGGCAAGGCAGTATCTATTGGCTAATGGACACATCTCTGGCCAATAGATACTGCCTTGCCACCGTATGATCTGCTTGGAGATTATGCATCCCAGCGAGGGCTTGTGGTATACCTGTCTGAATGGACGCCATGCTGTGTAGTGAGGCTGTAGTCTGTGGAACGGGAGTGGAACGGATGATGTCTGACGTTGTAGCCGCGGGCATGCTGACTGGTAGCAATTCTCAGCTGTGGTAACTCTCACATGGTAGTCCTGTCTGACAAGGATAAGCACATGTCATAGTTGCATCATCGAAGGAGATCAGGGAATCATCTTCTACAGTCAAACTCAACCAAGCAACCACTCTATAAGCTGGCCATCTGACTAACGACTCCTTTGTTTTTGTCTAGACTTTTTCCCATAGACGTAAGCCAATGTCTTAGCTAACGTTATAATTTGCAAAGTTTGTGTTTGATTCCTGAGTTAAAAAGAAAAACAGGAATTTTCTTGCAATGTAACCAAGTCTGTTGAACTCTTCAAAATAAGAAACTTCACATTTAGTACACCTGGTAAACGTTTGGAGCTGAAAACTAAAGAAACCATCAGTTAAGTTTTGACTTCTTTCTGCTGTGTTTAAAGAACTGTATTTTCATATTTCTTTATGACATATTTTCAATTTTTTGTCATGCATATTTCCTTATGATAGCGCAGAGTGGCCTTCCTTACAACTAAAGGGGAGGGGGGATCTTCGGTCTTAGGCATAAACAACGACACAACAAAAGGATCGCTGTAATTAATTATCGAGGGTGGGAGGGGGGCGCTATAACAACATACCTTTGGCAAGGTCGTCCAGCTTCAAACTTCCAGTGACAGCGTCTCTCAAGGAAAGGAACTGCGTCTCGTGCGTCGATTTTCTACAGACGTAACCGTCACCTTCCTCTACCTTATCTATCCCTAGCTACTGCGGGCGATCTACCTTTTGTTTTGAGTCCTAAATTCCCTCGGTGAAGTCACCAGGATCAGGAGAAAGATAAACTCAGTCCCAGTCGCACAACTAGTCGGCGTAAAGCATTGCCGTTTCTTGGGGCTGGCTTTAAGACAAGGACGTTTTCCTGGGCTGGTCAGGACACTCAAGACGACTGTAAGACTATACGTTTTGTCTTGAAGTAACGTTATACTTCAGGTTGACACTTAATGAAGGTTGCCTGAAGCTTTCTGTGGGAAACTTTAGGCTGACTAACCGGTCCGGTCACGTGATCGGCGCGCCATGACGACCAGGTAACAACCAAGCGCGCAGGCTCTAATCTCCAAGCAGATGTAGGATGGGGCAATCTTACACCTGGGTGTTTCGCGGAGTACTGCGTTTTTTTTTATCACAACATTTAATGACAAGACATCGTGACGGCATACTCGTGTTTTAAACTTTTTAATGCCCCCACCAACGCAGAAGACAATACATAAAACATAGAACAATCAAAGCTCGAACTATGTTACATTTAATAAGCCCATGTTGATTATGTGGATTGCATCCTCTGGGAACCCCAAAAAAAAACGATGCGAGCTTACGAATAAAGTTTTTAAAAAGTTTGGCAAAAAAGACTGCATTTGTTATGAAATCTACGCGGTCATGAAGATTGATGGGCCTCCTGGTGGCTGACCCTGGTACTGCAGCAGAACTTCTTTTTGCAAGGCAGGGAAAACAGATGTGCGGTTATGCAACAAAACACCAGTACACGTGTGGAGGCAGCGGGGGATGATTAAGGAGGTTCTCCATATGGGCCATATCTATTACAGCCTGACCTATTTACAGGTTTAGTTTCTGGTAAAAACTTTCAAAGCCAATAAGTCCGGATAGGAACAACGTATTTTCATCATTTTTGGTGTTTAGGTAGCTAAGAGAGAGTTGTACATAATTGAATGCAAATTATGCAAATGAGGACTTAATTTGCATAATTAATGAGGAGATTCTATAATTATAGTGTTTATATAATGGTACTTTTATACATGTAATGATGATGATGATGAATCTATTTAATCTGTGGCAGGCGGAACATTAACAGATACCAATTATGCAAATGATGACTTAATTTATGTGAAAACTCTGTGACTCCTTATTGGTGAATGATGGGAATTTAATACCTTGTGACATGTGTAAGTTAATAAAGGTTTACACCACTATGCATATATTATGTTAATGTAGAGGTCATTTGCATAATTAACGAGGACATGTTGAAATGAAGTATGATAAAGGAGAGGAATTTTACACAAAAAATATTGTCATTTGAATTTAGAGAACCATAAATTAAACTAGATTATGCTAATTACGACCTTATTTCCGTAGTCAATGAGACAAATAAAAAACATTTACAAAAACTCATATATTGCATGGAGGTATGAAATCTAAGAATTCTGGTTATTTTTGTTACTAAATTCTACTATCTTTACAACTTCACCCCCTTATGAAGGCCCAGTGGAGGCTACAAAGTCGTTTACGATTTTTTTTATTCACATATATTTATTGAGTATTAGGCAAGAAGCACATTTGCTTATGACACCTTCTACTCAAAAACACAAAACGAGAGTAAACTAGAAAGGTAATATTTGCAAAGCAAATGCATCATGTTTACCTTCGGATATGATATGGTATGCTCTGTTAATTCCTCTTCAAACACATTCACATACATGTACATGTATATGCCTAAATGCCTACTATGAAATTGCAACTTTGTATGTAACCCAACACCAGTTACTATGGTGACAGACGTCAACAAATCAGGCCATTGGCCAGGTCAGAGGTTAGTGTTTGGAAAAACAATAACAAGAGCAAAAACAATATGTTTTCCTTCGGTAAACATAAATATAATGACAAGATACATACATAAACTTGATAAAGTACAAAATGGAGAAAAGAAAAATGAGTAACGTTATAAACAAGACAAGTTGGTGATCTATCAATTACGAGAATCTATCTGTCCAGTAAATAAAAGTTTGGACTCCATCGAAGACGTTACAGTTTTGTCAATGTGAAATTGACATGGACCCTCGGAGCAGCAAAGGACGTAAAGCTACTGAGATGCTGTAGCTACTATGTTGGAAAGGGATGAGTACTTTTTTTGACTGGTCGTTAGCGTTAGGATGCGGCAGTTTGTCAAGAAACAGACCTTATGGCAACTAGGAAAACATAACAACTTCGCCTTTTGCCTACATCTGCTTGGAGATTCCGTAGGGGGCACAGGGGACAAGAGTTTGAAAACTTTAGATCAGGTGACTTGGCGCAGGTTATATGCGTAAAGGGGCGTTACGGATTTAATAACAGTATTGGAAATGTTTTGCTCCAAACACGTTGAAATGTATGATCCATATATTTTAAATACACTACAGTTAATTTATTTGGCAACCATTTATTCATAATATTTATTGACAGATGAGATATAGTGAAACTAAAATAATCGTTTCACCCCTACGATGAAGTTGCATCGTCCAAAGCTTGTATGCAAATATCCCCTCGCAAAAAAGTCCCCAGCGAGAGCCAAAACCCGGAAGTGAGAAGTCACAAATTCTTCGCACTTTCTTTCCACGTCAAATTTTAGGGCTTGGAAGTAAACTTAAGAGTAAGATATGCGGATGGACTGATTTTTGGGTGCCTTACCTGCTTTTCTGCAAACGTCGATCGCCAATTTTGTGACAACTTGAGCTCGAAAAGTGGAGTGGACACCGAGATCTCCTGATCAGGAAATCATTTCCTTGCTGTGTAAAACTTGTTTTTGTCGTGGCCAAAAATAGTCACCACAAACTTCAGCATGGAGGTATGGAGTTGTTTGCTCTTGTTTCTTGATTTCCATATGAATAGGGGGGAACTACCATAAAGAAGAAGTTATATATTACAATCGGGGCAATTTGAGGAGTAAACTTCCGCAATCTCTCTGAAAAGACTGTTGCTGGCTTGAACCACTTACCCCGGTAGTGTTATTTTAGGGGGACTTATCAGTATAGGGGGAGGAGCCATTGGTTTTGTATTTCACAGCGATTTGCGGCTGCTTTATCTACTTTTAAGATCCTTTTCCTTGATCAGGGTACGAAAGGAATCATCTCTACTGCCAGTACAGGGTTTGGAATTTAGTTTCAGTTTTGTAAATTTTTGTCCCATGTACTTCCGTGTTACATTGATGATTGAGTACATCATAGGCGGTGACATGTTAATATATTTCAAACATGGTTTGAGTTTGCATACGAAGAGGAAATAAGTGAAATCTGAAGGAGTTGATTTATACAAGGTGGCAACATATTTGGGCCTGCTGTTATTTCCTTGTATAATTTGATATGAGGCTGATGAGTACTGTTATAGTAACCAGCAATTATGATTTCCTGCTTTTCCAGAAATGTACTCACTTCATCCACAACTTTCAATGTAAAAAAGAAAAATGAAGCTGCACATTGTTTTCAAACATTTTTATTTTTTCATCTATTCATTCAAAATAAAAATAAAATGTTTGAAAACATTCAACAACCGCCTGTCTTTAAGTTTTCAGAGTAATTCTAACTGTTTACCAATGTGTATTTCAGTATGTAACGTTATTCTGAAAACAACACTAGTATGTCACTATTATGTAATATTGAGAAAGAAAATCCCTCATTCCTGCTTTGCAAGAAATTTGTTCCTCGGACACTTTCAATTTTACACTGTCAAGATGTCAATTAGATTCAAACTCTGAAGGATATCATCAATAATGACGTACACATAAACTTTGTAAATGTGATGTATTCCATGCTTTCTTGCATTGCAAATTTTCCAACGATTTTTTGCATGCTTTGAAGAGGCTCTTGACTTGTACTTTGACCTTTGGTAGCATCGACAGGTGGTTCAAAAGTTCAAAGTTCAAGTGTAGTGCTTATAAAGTCAGATTATTGTTTTTCCTCATTACCGGTAACCTGCAGGGAAGGACCTATCCTTCTGTGAAATGGTTACTATTTTCTGACATGATTGTGTGTTCATAGCTATATTTGATGGATTTCTGTGATTTTTGGCATATGATTAGCTATTGAGGTCCTGATGCAACCTGCTTTTTTCATTGTATTTGTATTTTCATGTGTTGATATAAAGTAAGTGTTTGCATGCAAATAATAATATAAGTGATAATGAATAAGTAAGTGATACGGTAATAAGTGATAAGTAATAAAATAAGTGATTGCATTCATAAAAAATTATTTCTCTTCTCTTCACAACAAAGTACAGTATTAAAAAATTCCATCTTGACTTCTGTCTTGTATAGGATACGGGCGATGATATCTACGATGATCCCAAAAGTCTCCAAAGTAACCAGACGTCTGTGAGGGCAATCGCGCAGATGTTTGCAAATCAGCCTAAACCTGCGCCTGCGCCCCACCCTATTGTACCCAAGAAAACCTGGAAACCTCCAGTCAACAGCGGCGGCACAGCCACTCCCATCATCATGATGAAACCGCCGACGGCAAAGAAGCCCGCCGTCGCCTCTAAGCCCGAGCCGCACCCCAACAAGCCCGCTGTTCCTAAGAGATCGCCCGTAAGTCCCGGTTTGAAAGCCGGCGTGGGCATCTCGATGGACGAACTGAAAGCAACGATACAGAAGAAGTCGACTGGATCTCACTCAGATCTCACGGGATCGAAGCCGCAGGTGCCGAGAAGATCGCCCCAGACTGCTGTCAGTCCGACAATCCCGCACGTCCCTCTCAAGCACGTGAACAACAGTCCAAAAGCGCCACACGACAACGAGAGAATACCAGCACCCAATCGTGCAAGTCCGACAGAAAACGACGGCGGAAAAGCCATCCCGCAGCCCCTCCCACCGTTGGAGGTTCTCGGTGAACCACCCAAGAAGCCGGGGCGGCCGCCGGAGGTGCAGCTCCCGGAAGTCCAGACAGAGGGACAGAAGAGATCACTGCCACATCCACCTCCTGAGCCAGATGAAGGTACTGAGATGGCTTCTTACAACACTGTATGGTCTCCTGGCCAGGTTCAAAATATCTACCTGCAAAAGAAGATTAAGATTACAGAAAAAGATAAGATTGACTCCCGATTCCAAAAGGTTGAAACGAAATTAGGCTCGGTAATATAAATGACAATTTCTATATCATGCAGCCACGGTGTAGTCATTTCATGGGATTTTCCTGATAATGAACAAAAACAATGGCCTTTTCACTGTCTTGACAGACAGAGTTTGTATATTATTATATGATTTCTTGTCTTAAAAATATTGAAATTAATTTGTTCGTGAGGAAGGAAATTAACATGCGTTTGCTAAGAGAAAGAAAAAAAAGCTATGTAGAACTGGGGAAAAACTCTGTCCTCTGTCCTGAACACCATTTTCTTTCTTCATTTTGATGACTAGTGTTCGAGGAGGATGAGGATGGAGGCATGTATGAAGATGTGGAGACCGCCAGAGCTCGTCTGCAAAAGGAGAGACAAGAGGCTTCAGGCTCAGACATGTAGGTTCACACTAAGTCTCTGTTATGTGGTCACATTTGTCACCTGTTTAAAACATATCTTGCATCAAAGTTGCACTTTTTAGCTAGACTAAGACTAAGTCTATAATTCTTCTGACCAATAGAAGGCCAATGGAAGAGGAAGATGAGGAGGATGTATATGAGGATACAGAGAACCGCCCTCCCCCACTACCCAGCCCAAGAACTCCTGGTATGTTTTGTTTTTGGTATGTCTGTGTGTTTTTCTGAATATATAATAAATAATGGACAGCGTCCGTGAGACAGCTGCTAAGCTGAGCCTTGGCATTGCATTAAAAAAAAAAAAACAATTTGTGCAAACAAGATACATTAGCTTCATACAAGAACGATATATGTAGGTTTACAACATATAAAATGATAAGATCCTCACGACTGCTTACACTTAAATCTACGTTTATTTTATGTTTGTTTGTCAGGTTTTCCACTGCCGTCGCCTGTCCCCTCTTCCCTGCATGGTATGGCCCTCCCTGCCACGCCCAAACACAATGAACCTGAACCTGAGGAAGATGATGAGACATACGACGACATCCGCCCCAACGTGAGTTTTCACTTAAGATTAGCTCCTTATGCTTATAGATTTTACAAACATGTCATTAATATATCATACATGTACACAGTATTACATAGTACTATACATATATTTTGGTAGTATTACATACAAATAGGGAGATGGAGAATTTTGCCCAAAATTCCCTTTGCCCAGATTCATGAGTTACATGTAGCCTTTGGCATCAACTTTCTGCACATAAAAGAACCCAACACACTTATAGAGGAGAGTAGGGGTGATCTGGTGTGTTTGGCTAAAATTTAGCCATAGCAAAGCCACTTTGCAGTTGCACTATCAGTATCAGCTGTTGAAAAAAAACATTACACTTGAAACTTAGAGTTGGAACTGCTGTAAGTTACTGTTATAAGCATTTAGCATCAGTGTGCAGGCACATCTAACCCTTGGAAGACAGGGAACAACAGATAGTGAGTGAGTGTGAATTATACATGCTTTACTCACTTGTCATGCTTATGAAGAGACAAGTGTGAAGTTAACCCTGCATGTTGTTTGTTTCAGCAGCAGGGTAGGAATGATAGTGAGGAGGAAGGAGAGGATGAGGACCTGTATGAGGGACTGGATGAAGTTCAGGAGCAGGTCTCACAGCTGGACAGAAGGTCAGCACTCGTCAGGAAAAACAAATTGCTAGTATTTACATGTACATTTTATTAAATTGACGGAAAATTTGAAGGCCTTATTCATATATTATGTGTCTTTAATATAGTGTGTGCTGCAGAATTTCCATGTTGACATAATGTTACATGAATCATATACTTTAAATCACGATTTTTTTCAGTTTTCACAGTCACTTCTGTACTGCAAACTTATCATTACTGTTATTTTATAGCATTAAGTCTGTGCATCAATATATTCAGAAGACAATCAGAATGTACATGACTTGTATGAATCTTCAAATTTCATTCTCACCTCGCCTTTTACTTCATTTCAGTCGATGATTTGCTCTTCTTTTTCTCCAATCACACTTTCTTGAGTAATGATGTTTCCTCTAGGATGGGGACTTTCTCTCACCTTCCTTTTCGCCTTTGGGGTTCAAATGGTAGTACTCCTGTCAATGGGTAGGTGGTGTCTCTATCTGATGACCCCTTCACCTAACCTATTAAACCAGTCTCTTCTGTGCTTATACAATGGATGATTCTAACTGCATGTCAGAAAGGCCTTAAGCCAGCATGACAGAGTCAACAGACTTGGCCAAGTATACAGGCTATATGGGTAATGTTACAACAGAATGATAAAATGGAAGAGATAGATTTTCTAACACAAAGCTATATGCATTGCAACTTAAAAGAATGATTTGACATATGCACTGAAATACGTCTACCTGTAGAACTTCTGTCAGTATCCAATCATTGACACAAGCAAAAAAAAACACAAAAGGACAGGACTGGGTACATGTGTAATACTAAGCCTCATTGCTTTGTTTTTGAAATTTCCAGTAAAAGTGAGTCGTCAGAGGACCTCCTGGATAAGGACAAAAAGGCTCGCAAGAAGGATGAGAAACTTCGGAAGGAGCAGGAGAGAAAGGAGCAGAAGGAGAGGGAGGAGCGAGAGAAAAGGGAGAAGAAGGAGGCGAAGAAGAGAGAGAAGGAGGAAAAGGAGGTGAAGAAAAAATTCAAGGTCAGTATGCATTCTATATACTTGTATAACTCTAGAACTACATTATACATTATGTAGTTCTGTTCTATGAACATTTTAGATCTATGATTCCAATGAATGTTTCTTGATAAGAAACACTTGTTTTGCCAAGAGGAGAGTTTTCCTAATTTTTTACTTTTTTTTTAGCTCCGCCCTGATGACAAACTGGAGACACTGAGCCGAGGCCGGGTATTACACGTTCCTGACAAGACCACGAAACACGACAAGCTGGACCTTCTGGTGAAGCAAGGCGAGCTTCTGACCGTGGTGAAAATGGAGGACTGTCCTGAGGGGAAGTGGCTGGCCAGGAATACAGATGGCAGATGTATGTATATTTTGTCAACATTACAGTGGTCAAAATATTAAATGCATATTCCCAGGTTATATTATAGATATCTAAGACAAAAAAAAACAAGACAGGTAAAAAGACAATGTCAGTTTTTCCTCATAGTAAATAATGTATTAAACATACTGTTCAATGAGATTCAGTTTGTACTAACTTTAACATCTTGAATCTTTGTTACAGATGGTTATATTGTAGCAAACAGTCTTGAGATGGATACACAGTCAGTAAAGAGTGTAAGTCAGCAATCTTGTTTTGTCAGAAAAAATGTATCAATATTACTCACATAAGTACACTATATTGCAATCATTGTTAAGTGTGTCCTTTTGATGTTTTGTCTCATGTTTTTGCACAACCTAAACATTTTTCCCATCAATCTAAGGACTAATTAATGACTTTTCCCTGTCCTACAGTCTAGCAGCAGCTTCATGGGAGCAGAAGATGAGTAAGTTTGTTAGTTTTCAGCATGGAGGGTGTGTGTGTGTGTGTGTGTGTGTGTGACAAAGTCATGAAAAAAAAAACAGTAATGGAAAGAGAAAGGCTTATAATAATTAATAATTATTATAATAAACAATAGGAGCACTTAAAAAAGACTAAAATGCAAAAACTAATGTCACCAGGATTTTTCCTATAGGATGATGTATTTTTGACACCTAGAACATTCAACAGAAGATTTATATTTTTTGCAAGCTGCATATTGTGGGAAACCTATGCTTTTGGAAAATCTTGGTAGGTGCTATATTTTTCTATGATGATAAAAATGAGGAAATAGTAATTGAGCAATGCCCTTTTATTTGTTAATACAGTGACTCTAGAACTAACATATAGTGAACACGAAACAGTTATTCAGCTTCTCAGTAAATTTGTTCAAATTTCAGTGATGGGACTTATGATGATTGCAGACAACGGGAAGAAGGTATGTTCAAGCACTAAGATTTCAAAACTAATAATTTACGCAATGCTCGTAGATTGACTATAGAAATAGTGTTACAGTTACATTTACTTCAAAATTAATGCTACATATATCTCCAAGTCCTTAATGCTTATTTTGTATCGTAGGCTTGTTCTAGCTATTCATTGGTGGTACCAAAAAATAACACAATGTGATGTCACTTGCTTTTGGGCTATTTCAAATACTTCAATTATGAAATGATGACATAAATGGCAGTAAATAAGAAATGGCAGTAAATGTCAATATCAGATTTCCTCATCCAGAATATTTTGCTTTGCCACTCTGAAACTACATTTGGATGCCTTTAAAGGATAAGAATTTTCCAACATTTTTGTGATATTTTCCAGTTGAAGAAGAGGATGTGTATGAGGAGTTCTAACAAGGAACAACTTACCAACCTGGTGACGTGTCAAGATGAAGCAGCTCAATATTTTAGCCATATCAAAATTATGATAGAACTAGTGTAGCCAAGAGGGAAACTCTTTGAGTTCTGATCAACAGTGAAGGGTGCACGGTATTTGAATTGTATAATCATATTTAGCTAAAAAAAAAATAATAATTTAAAAGTATTTAGCTTGAGTTTAATGCCCATGCTTTGGAAAGAGATTTTAACACTGCAATTTTGTTGTTTGACGGTGTGCACTATAGAGGTTTTAAACAACATACTGACAATCTTTTAGGTAAAGAAACATCTATACGTACACAATACAACAGTATTTTCTAGGTAAGTGCCTTAAAGTAAGCTGAAATCATTTGATATTCGAGGCCCCTTTATGAAATGTTTTAATGTATTTACAAAATTTGGAACAGTTTTTTTGATGATCACTGAAATCTGCCATCTAATAACCAAGAAAACAAATATGTTATGCTACGTTTTAGCTATGCATTTCAATCATTTATTGTTGGTATTAAATTATATTCAATTTGTTAAAATGCATTATCTAGTAGATCTATGTAATTACTATAGGCAATATGGTGTATGCAGACTTTCCTATGATCAATTCATGAATACATTTCATTAAAAAATAAAGTTGACTTTATTGTAAAATAGTGACTAAAGATGTATTCTTAAGCTACTATTAATAAGCAATGTAATTGCATAGTATAGCATTAAAAACTTATATATAATCATCGCAAATAATATAACTGAGTGTATTTGCATACATTTTCTCCATATAGTTCATGTAATACTATAACATGCTGACATTGTATTCTGCTTTCAATGCAACACTTAACTTGTGAAGTTAAGATTTAAAATAATAATGGAATAGTTAAGGATATCAAACTGAATAGATAGTTAAGGTTAGAAATACAGCTTCTTCACTTAACTGACATTGCAGTTGTCGACTGAAATTATCTCAAGTCATTAGGTATTGTTGAAAAATTGGCAATCAAAAGCACAGTTACAATATGTCTAGCTGTAGTCCAACTGTATTCATTGGTGTGATGATGGTTCAACGTATTATAAGTCTTACATGCTCAGTAAATTAGACATCTGTTATGTCTAACCCTTAGAAGATGGGGAACAACAGATGCTAAACCAGATAGTGATATTTTGTGTACCAATTTATATATCACATATTCATATATCAATTTATATTATATATCTACAATGACTCCTACATTGTAATTGTTTAAATGTCAAAATGTTGCGCTCAATTTAAAGCAATGGATGTGGAAGAAAGAGTTAGTATTACTATAAATAGTATGATTGAGATTTGTTGACCGAACTAATAACCAAAAAGGTGGCTGATGCTGTTTATGGTGGATATTTTGAATTCCCAAATTGGATTGTGATAGACTATATGTAGCATATTTACCATAACTTGTAATGTTGTGTGGTTTTGAGGGGTCTTCATTGTAAACAAACTTCAACAATTTATGATTGGGATTCTTTTACCTATATTGTTAAACTTTCATCAGGCAGTTAATACCACCTTGTATCTTAGAATATCAATTTAATTTTCATTCTATGGTCTCTATATAAGATCACTCAATAAACAGGAATTTCTGAACTTGGGAAATCTTGTCTGTGATTTAATGTGAAGAACCAGTTTTCTTAAGGTATGTCCTCTTAAATGTCTTCAGGCCTACGAAAATTAATTTTCATGTTTCCTGTTACAGTCCTGCAAAAATAGGATTGGTAGGTAGGGATTCCACTGTTCTGCACAATAACATTTTGTTAAGGACAGAAGTGTTGTTGGAGTGTCCCTGCCTGGTATCAAGTCTACCACCTCTCCATGGCAGACAGAAGAGACAATTTTGGGCTCAGTTTAGACTCTGGCTGCAAGTAGCTCTTTAACAAGTCTCCTTCCTCATCTGACCAGCTGTTAAACTTGTCTTCATCCTTTTCTCGTACTACAACTGTCATGTTATTGTCCCCCTTCAACGACTTGTTTCCGTCTTGTTTTGATAGTTGTCTACCTTGCGTGCATTTTTGTTTGGTCGTAGTTTTCTCAAAGATTACATAATCACTGCTGTCATAACGCTTGGTTGTTTGTGCTATGTTGAAAGAAAGTGTTCCTTGTGTTGCTGGTACAGATGTGTACTTTTCTTGGCTGTTGTTGGTAACTTTTCTGTACAGGTGAAGATGACCCTGAAGTCTTCTTTTCTGGTTCTTAAGATGTTTTTGTTTGGGTGGTAAGGTTTTTCGATCTGCAGAATAAGAGAGAGAGAGAGAGAGAGATTATAGAGTATGATCTCTCTGTCTCTTTGTCTACCTGTATCTAAATGTATATTTTTTGTCATCTTTTATCATTTATGATAAGATAATATCCAGCCTGCACAGAAAGTACAGCTACCATCTAGTAGTAGTACACAAATCTTAATGGAGTTGGGATAAAGTATATGAAAAAAATAAAACGGCCTTCAATATAGATACACAACTGTTACAGTAAATGTGTAGTATTAAAACGACAGACTTACAGAACTTGCGTAGGGACAGTGATCGTCGATCTGACTTATTTTCATCATCAGCCGTTGTTGGAACACAGGAATTCTGTGTTTTTGCAGGTTGAAACCAGTCTTCCACTACCTTGAAACACACAATAGCAAAAACAGCAAAATCAGCAGGCATAAAAATGTGTTATAATTGTGTACATCATATTGTGTACATTATACAGTGAGAAATAGATTCCCTTTTATCACAATAGCTTAGAGTTTTAAGAGGTTCCATAGCTTTTCATCCGAATGAGCTATACTGTGTAAATACAGTAATGTTACAATGTATGTATTTGTCATTCCTAACGGCAACTAACACCAGCCAAATTTTCCCAGTGCAGAAATAGCTTTACTATATACTATAGTTAAATAGTTGGTCACCTTCTGTGCCCATCCTATATTGCTGATTGCGTTGTCGTCACTGAATTCTGGCAGTGTCTCTGTCCACTCTGCCCAGCCCTGGTCACACAGCTTCTTTATCCCTGATTTCTAAAGAAAAGAAGAAGACATCCAACTTCATGTATGTGTGATGAAAAGAAACAACATGTACCCGGTAAGTACGACATGCAGCAATGATGATGAAAAGAGAGTAACAAACCTTAAGACTTACAGGACATAATGATTACTCACTGTCAGACTAGTCTGGGAAAGATTGACAGCTCGTAGTCTCTTGAATGGCACAGGCAGCCCACAACCTTGTCACTCAAATCTGCATTATCTGTAGAGAGATGGAAGAACGACTTGATTCTGCCACATTTCTGCCAATACTAATGACCATCAAGCAGTTTATCAGGCTAAATAGAAATGTAACATTTGCGAAGCAAATGCATCATGTTTACCTTCGGATATAGTCTGCTCTGTTAATTCTTCCTCATTCACATACATACGTGCGTGTACATGGTGACATGAGTCTAAATGCCTTCTATAAATCGCAACATTATGTAACCCAACACCAGTTACTATGGTGACAGACATCAACAAAAGAGGCCATTGGCCAGGTCAGAGGTTAGTGTTTGGAACAGAAGAAGAAGAAGAGGAAGAAGAAATGGAGCAAAAACAATATGTTTTCCTGCAGTAAACATAACTAAATGTAAAACAAAGTCATGAATGACCCTAACTGCCACACGAAAAAACGTGCATCCACACACATGCGCACATGCCCGTGCACACATACATACACGCACACGTGTGCACACGCTACTCACCTGCCAGATTGAAGACCTCCATGCCAGCCGGTCCTCTCCCAAACATCTTGTACGGCAGGGTGACTCTCTGCACACCTCGTTGGGACAGGCAGTTCCCCTGCAGGCTTAGCTGGGTCAAACTTGGCAGCGGGGTAGGATTTTATAAAAAGTAAGAACACAGGAAAACATTTCAGCACCTTGGAGAAACACTATGGCAAAGCTACTGTTGGCTCCAATTGACAAGTAAGCATATCTCTGGTGTTTTAGCTTAAAACTTGATCATATATAATTGTAATTCACTTTATCTTCATGGTTGCAAAATTTTACAGTCTGAGGAAAATGTTCACGGACCTTTATCGATATCTTTATGGTACTTGGAGTGGGAAGAAAGACAAATGATTAAAAAAATTGGGAATGATAAGTTAACAAAACAAAATGGACAGTGAAAACCATGACCATAAAAGTACCATGAAAAAAATTAAGAATCACTGACAGTAATTTATTGATTAAATACATACCTAGACATCTGACTTATTTCTCCCAGAATGCCATGCTCATCTCCCAGTCCACATTTACTCAGGTCAAGCTGCTGTAGAGCTGCAGGAGGGACAATGTGACTTAAACAACAGACATGAAAGAAGCTTTCTCCTGAGAGATGGAGTATGGAGGAGAAAGGGTGATTTCCTTCCGTAGTAGTACATTGTACTTAGCAAAACTTTTAATGTTTAATTTTAAAGATTACGATTAATATCCTACCTGTCATGTACTGAATCCCAGGTTGTAGATAGTCATTCAGCGGTAGAACCTGTCCCCTGATGGTTAGAGAACTCAGTACCAAGGCCCCATAGGCCTCACAGAACAGGCCGAGTGTCCTGGCAGCATCATCTGGCACTTGGAATCTTCCAGCATCCTGGACTGCCTGAAAACAGGACACAACAAGATTCTTTAGAGATTTCAACCTCCGGGAAGTATGTAATGCATGATGATCACAATTCATAATAACTGTTGGAAGTGAAACTTTCAGATATCACATTAACAGCAATGTTAAGAGTGGTGCTACAAGAAAAAAGATGGGAGATGGGTGATGTCACAATCATAATTCAGAATACAGTAACGTTATACCATTGTACCTAAGGGTAGTCCTTTGTGAGTGTAACAGCTGTTGTGTAACAGTATATTTAGCGAATCATATACCGAGTCCCAAATGACAAGTTTCCTTGTGATATTACCTTAAACAGCTGGTGCCCCACCACTTCTGGGAAGTCAACAAGGGAGTCCACCAAGTGGATGTTCTCAGCCACAAAGTCCAGGCAGAGGCTGAACAACTTTCTTGGTGCACCGTTTACTCCAGAAGCATGTGAGCTACGTTGGTCAAGTTCTGCCAAAATGAAGGAAAAAATTAAGGTTGACATTGACAAAAATCAGTACAGGTACTGTATTTGTGCATTAATCTCCCCCTACCCTTCTGACAAGACCACGCTACAAAAAACATGTTTACATCGTCATATTTCCTCACTCTAAATATTTAACACCAAAACAAACACACCATAACAAATTGCCACACTCCTTCCTGTCACATACCTCTCCCTAGTCATCATGAGAAAAACATGGCGGCCCCCATGCAGCAAACCAAAAACAGAACAGGTTTTGCTATACGCAAACATGTACATGTAATTGCCATCGCATACCAGTAAATGGTGCACACCCCAGTTTGCGTATAGCAAAACCTGTTCTGTTTTTGGTTTGCTGCATGGGGGCCGCCATGTTTTTCTCATGATGACTAGGGAGAGGTATGTGACAGGAAGGAGTGTGGCAATTTGTTATGGTGTGTTTGTTTTGGTGTTAAATATTTAGAGTGAGGAAATATGACGATGTAAACATGTTTTTGCGCGACCGGGGTCCGTGATAGTCCGTTGTAAAAAAGTGACAAAGGGGTTTTGAGGGCCCAAGTTTGATGTGACATTTCTCATAAACTGCCACGAAGTATCATTAAACATTAACATGGCTGAAGAGTGTAAGAAATGGTGATTTTGGGGTGAAAATTTCTTTTGGCTCCGAACCTTACTTCCGGGTATCCTTGCGCGCCAAGTGTAATCCGCCCGTTTGACCTAGATTTCGCTCTGCGCCTTCGTATGGGTGGATTTGCAACCCCTCGCGCCGTGGACTGTTTAGAAAATTACAGTACTAGAATTTTCTTTATAATTTACTCGGGTATAGTCAAGGCTTGGGTCTTTCTGCCAGCATCAGTCATTTCTGCCGGAAAATTTTTTTCTATGGGATTATCCTAGGCGAAAATTCGCAATTTTGGGCATTAATTTTGGAGTGAAAATAATGTTTTTTTCCGTTGATTTTACCAAACTTAAAAAGGTTGGAGAAACCAAACTCAGCTGGTCTTGTAGCTGAAGAGATATCCTTTCGTCCCATATACAGTTATTCTCCTTCCGAATTATTCCACGCCAGACACGGTCGCTAGATTTGAGGGTGTGCAGCTTCGAATAGAGGCCCCAAATAAACTGGGGTGTGCCCCCTAAATACCATAATTGCCTACCTTAGGCTTTACTAAAATGTACATGGGAAGTGAGGAAAGTTGTGTAATGTGGCTTTCCCAAGGGCACAAGGCTGGTGACTTGACAGGATGCGAACCCGGAACCTCTTGGTTCTGAGCCGAATACTCTGCCGTTACGCCACACCCCACAGCTATCAGACGACCATACCTGCACCAGGCGACTTCAACCGGGGCCGTTTCTCGGGCGGGCCCATCCCGTGTGCCGGCCGGCCCCGGGACCGCATCGTCCCGTCTCTGTGCCGCACGTAGAACGGTCCCGTCTCCGATAGCTGGTCAACGGCTTCCCGGGGAAACGTGTCGAAATACATGCTGGCACTGCTGAAGTGTCGTTCAAGTCAAAACACATTAAAGAACTGTAACGTTAGATATATTAGCGTATATCTATCCTGCAAAAGATCTTGGAAATTTCTAAAACTGCCGCCATTCTAGGAAGATTCTATTCATTGTAGGGGGTAACCTTAATATCTTGTTTTACTAGTAAATTGCACATCGACAGGTATTATCTGTGACGTTAACAAATAAAAAGTAAAAATATACTATATTTTTATACCTTAGATATAATTTGAATCTTTTTATCTTTATCTATTTCCATTTTAGTACCGAACATTTCCAACAATGATCCCCCGACTTTTGAAGTCGAACAGTCTAAAGGTTAAAGGTTGAATTCCTTGTCTGTAAAAAGGAGAAGGAAAGAATATCGGGTTGTGTGTATAATTGTACCGCATTAAAAGCACATTTTACGATGCTTGACGTCGCTCTGGCCAGCGCCGGTGCCCAAGTCGTCCTGGCGACCTCCAGCGATGAGAATTTCCCTCCAGAAAACATCATTGACGGGTGAGAAGTGACGTTTTTTGCGTGGTTGCTATGACGTTCTCGGTGGGGAGGGGGGCGTCACCCAAACTGGTAAAAACTTGGTACCAAAAATTGTGGATAAAGCGATACTCTCTCATTAGCTTGATTTTTAATAAACATAAAAAATATAAATCATGGTTTCGAAATTGCAAAAAGAATGACAAAAGACGTCATACTGTAGCTGTAGTTATTGAACTTCTGTCTTTTATTTAGTTTAAGGATTCAAAAGCAAAATTTACTGATTGAAAAGTATTTGATTATTCCCACCAGGAGCGGTTCCACGTTCTGGTTGACTACAGGACTGTTTCCACAGGAGTTCATCATCAGTTTTACAAGTCTCATGAACATCAACAACATCAGGCTTCTCACTACCAATGGTCAGGATTCAATAATCCCTTTAATTAAGTTACTCCCTTTTATCCATGCTAATATACTAAAGTACTACTATTGTGTGAGAAAAGTTAAGTATTCCAGATAAGACACCCCACGAGATGTATTCTAGTATTTGTTGTGTACAAAATTATCTAAATAGATAACGTTATCATTAAATAAAAAATTGCTTGTTATATTGACCTACTAGTTGAAGGACTATCCATAGAGAGGAGTGTACAAAATGAGCCAGTCAACTTTGAGCCACTGACAGAAAAAGGTGAGCATTGTACAGATTCCTTTAATATAATTAGCCATTTTATATTTTTGCTGCTAAAAAAGTACTGTTTTTCAAATTGTAACATTCACATATACTTTTTATTCTTTGCTGCACTGTCTGTAATTTGTTGCAGATACAATTGTAACATGTAAATACTGTTTTCAAACCATCTATTTCCAGTGCTGGAATTTGTGGAGGGAGAGTTGCAGAGTGAAGACATTCAGGTAAGTTCAGTCAGCCATTGTCTGTAATGTCTTTGTATGGTGAAGTGATTTTTAACTGAAGTAGGTGGGACATTTTGTCCAACATCCTCTCTGCAAACAGGACTCAAAAGCTTAAATAGGTTGGATAACCAGGCTACTCCTGTTAGCCCTGTACTGTATTAGTCTTGTCTAACACTTCTTTCATATTTTCTCTATGGCTGCAGGTTGATGCCACCACAGCTCACCATCTCCGCTTTGTCGTTAAGTCTGGCTTCGACCACTTCATCTCCATCCACAGAGTCAACGTCAATGGCTCAGCAGTGCATTAGATTAATAATAATTAAGAAAAAAAGATATGTATACGACAGATTGATAACAAGTTCTGTAAGGATGATAGGACTGGGGTGTGCATGATGATGATGATGATTAATGATAACAAGTTACCTACATGTAGTGAAGTTCTGTAAGAATCTGTATATTTTCTGAGCTGTTATAATGTAAGTTAAAGGGTCTGATATATCGTACTTGTAAAATATATCTTGAAAATAGATAAATGGACAATAATGCGTTGGTTTTGGATTTTTAAACATGCGGTAAAGACTTTATCTTTTGTCAACAATTATTAGTCTTGTGTCACAAAATCTTTAACTTCAAAACATGATTTAACACATGATTACATGTTTTTTTGCACCTTGTAAGCCAATAAATAATCCATAAAACAGTAGTACATTTGCTCATACATTTAGCCATCATAAGGCAGTGAACAATGGACGGAACACAGGACAGTTTGTGAGAATATTTCTAGTCAAAATAGTCCTCTATGTCAATGTTAGGGTCGAGTAAGTCCTCTCCGAAGGGACTGAGGTCCATCCCGTTAATGATGAGGTTCTCAAAGGTTTCCTCCAGGTCTGTGTCCCCGATCAGTACTGCCCCCTGCATCCTCCCACCCTGCAGTACCACCTTCACATACTCCAGTCCTGCAAGAGGAGAAGAAAGAAAGGTCTCCCGTGCCCTTATGCAGAGTGTAGGGTGGTGCCCATATCCATTTCTGTAGCCCTTGGGCGACACACAGTTGTGCAAAGCACTACAGCAGGGGGCTGGTAGTGCTGTGTTACACCACTGACTGCAATTACAACTGCATTACAACAGTACAATTCTTTAGATACAGGGTTTTCTTATTAACAGCAGTGTTTCTCTCATCTTGCTATTCTGCTGAGAAACAGGCACTACAGAAAACCCCATCAACAATTCAACAAAATTGTTTCCTAGATAGGATTACAGATGAACAGATACAAACCTTTTGTACACCTGAGTAGCAGCTCGTGATCTTTCCCCAGTCCCTGTGCATTATATCTTCCTAACAAGACCACCTGTAACAAACATTTAGAAAATAATCAAGATAAAATAAAACAACACAACAGAAATATGCACAGAGATATGCTTTACTTCTCAAGTACTAAGTACATGTACAAACAACTCCGGACCTTGCCATAGTGCTTCTCCAAGGTGCTGAAATGTTTTCCTACATTTTTACTTTTTTTTTCTCTTCCAGCTTCACATCATTTACTAACTTTTATTTCGCAACCTTTCTACAACCTTTATATCAAAATCCCAAAGCAGGAAAAACAAGACATGCCAGTTTAGCTGTTAAATTTTTCACTCTGATCGGAAGCAACAACTACACGTAGTCTGGATATCAACTTTCTTCTGGATATCAACTTTCTTTTGCGAAATCCTCTGTCTTTACTTAGCTAGCTAGCAAGAAAATGCAAACAGCAGATTTAACATAAGCAAGACTTCTTGTCAGGCTTTGCCTTTCATACCTACAATCCATGGCCATACCTTGTAGTTGAAGAATTTAGTAACATGTGCGAAGAGTTCAAAGCAGAAGTCCATGTCTATCTCCTCCCTGTCTCTGTCTGCCACCATACACTTGGCAGCATAGGAGCCCATCTGTCTAGCCTGGGACCACAGCCTCATCTAAAGAAAATTTGTAAGAAAATACATTGATTCATTGCAGTATTTGCAAAGGGTGATACATTACACAGTCACGGGGACCAAGGATAAGAGGTCTTCTTAGACAAGTGGTCACACCATCATCATCATCATCAGTCGGCTGCAACGCAGGCGATCACAAGTCCATCACAGGTCACACCAGGAGATTCAAATTATGGTTGTTATGACACTAATGAAAACTCTGTCTTGATGGTTACTTTTACCTGAAACCACTGTGGTGCAGGTTCCCATGATGCCGTGCAGACGTCACCAGCTGCGAAGACATCAGGGACTGAGGTGTGCATGTGATCATCCACTCTCAACCCCCCGTCTGGTGACACAGAAAACTGCACAAAAAACACAGCGTTTCAGAAATAAGGAAATTTGAATTAAAAAAAGCTGCATGCAGAGGAGCGAATCATGACTGCTGATGCTCTCATTAAAGTTTATCTGTGTTGATAACAGTCATTATGGAACAAGGTGGTCATTACGGAATTTCTGAAATATCTAATTTTGCAACTCAAGATTTTTTATTACATACATTGTATTTCTTGAAAAACTGTAAGTTTCTTTACCTGTGCATTGTGGAGGAAGGGGCCAGTAGAAGGAACCACACCAGTAGCACTGACTACAAAGTCACAGCCATACAGTCTCTTATTGGTCAACAGTACATAGACTGGCCAATCATCTGCAAGGGAGCAAAATTTCAATCAGAATCTCATTGTGCAACAGCATACAGACTCTGGCCAATCGCAAGTACATAGAACACATAAAAATAAAGGCATTGTTTTGGGGTTATTTCAAATGCTTCAAGCATGGAATGATGACAAAAATGTGATAAGAAACAGCAGTGAATGTGAACATGAGACAGATTTCCTTATCCAGAATATTTTTGCATTGCTGCCTTGAAATTGCTTTCTCAGTGTCTAGTCACTGTTTTTCATGGAGGACATCTAAGTTGAAAAGCAGTGACACTGAGAAAGCTAAATTGGCTAAAGAAAACACTTAGTGCCAAAAAAGCAGTTACTCAAGCAACTGGATATAATTTTGAAAACACTGGATATGATTTTGAAAACACTTAGTAAATCAATAAACCATGATGCTACTGAGAAAAGATATTTGGCTCCCTGACCGTTGTGTTCCTCTGTTCTTGAACTCCCAGGGAAGTTTTCAGCGGCTTGACCTGTTCTGGTGAACTCTTCTCTAGTGAGGACCTCTTGCACCTCACACTGGTACTCCACATGGACTTGGTGGGCAGACTGTGAAATACATGCATTGTACAAGGCTGGAAATATTTTCTCCTTACACCAGTGCAGGTGACATGTTTGAAATTACCTGCAACAGACAAATTTTACCTTGCACATGTTTGTCAGAAAAGTAGAAGTTATATATCGTCTGAAACAAATGTAGAAGCAAAAGAAATGGTTTCTAATACAAAATTCCCGGGGAACTGTGTATTAGAAACCATTTCTTTTCTTTATCCAGATCAATTAAAGCAAAGTACAGCTGACCTGGTCCTGTTTCCCTTTCATTCTCCATCCTTCCTTCCAGTCTGGTCCAAGAGCACCTCCCATTGCTGCATCTTCTCTCTTTGGACTGGCAACAGACGGCTCTAAAAATGAAATGGCAATAATATATAACACAGAAACAGGAGTACAAATGTATATGTACAAATATCTAATGACTTTTCCTGTTCAACTGGGACCATCAGGTATGTCAGAATTCTCCTTGCTACATGCACTGGTGCAATGGCCAAGTGGGTGGAGTGTTTGTCTTACATTCTGTAGGTTGTGAGTTTGATCCCCGGCCGAGTCATACCAAAGACTTTCTCTGCTTAGCACTCAGCATTTGGTTAAGAATACAGGAATTAAACACACACCACTACCAGTGGACCAGCCCCTGCTGTTGTGACTGTGTGGCTCAAGGGCTACAGAAACAGAGGTGGGTGCTGCCCTATGCACCATATATAGGTGCAAGAAATGAACTTTTAACAAGCTAACCTGTGTGGGTGTATTTTAGCCTCTTGAGTGGCTTTTTTTCTTCACATTTGGCTGCTGTCAGGTGAGGCAGGAAGAACTCGGCCGCTCCTCTGTCGAAGAAAGTGTTTCCGATGGAGTCATCTTTGATCGCCCAGATGACTTCACACCCCTCAATCTCATAGCTGTGGGATCCAGAAATAGTTTACTTAACATGTTCAATTCCTTCTCATATGGTTGTTTGCTTTGTACAATACTTAAAAGGTACATAAATTCTTCTCCTTTTTTATTTAAAAAAATCACTCTTATACACTCTCATCACTGCTACATGTAGTACCTTTACCTTTCTTACAGACATTCAAAGATGAAGGAACAACTTACACCAGCTCAAGTGCAATGCCACCATTTCCCACGATAACAACTCTTCTGGCATTGGACAACTTCTGCTGAAAGTGCTGTAAACAAGATCATTATATAACACTGAATGCATATAGAATTCATGACTTTTGCTGAACTTCTAATATGCAAAAAGGTCACAGTCATAACAAGCGTTGGCGTTGAGACACAGTCGCATTCTTTTGTACAATTTTTTTCCCTTAAGTTTTTTGGCAAGGCTATAACAAGCTAGGATCTACAATAACCTTTTCCATTACAAGACAGCAGAAGTTTGTGAGACACTTCCAGTTGCAATTGTATGACAGTTTACAACAGGGTTTACATCATGTGGCAGTTTACTGGTTATACAATTCAAATTCAAACCGCTTGTTTACCTGTACAGTCTCTGTGTCCCTGATCCCTATGACATGAAGATTGTCCTTAGTGATGAGTTTTGGCTGGCCTCCTGTACAGATACACAATTTGGTGTAAGGAAATGTCTGCCCATCTTCTGTGTACACCTCCTGTAGGGAACACACAAAACTCATAAAAGTCAGCTTTAGGTCTAGAAGATCCCTATAGCCTAGGAAAAAAATGTTTTTTTTGTTTTCCCGAAAGGAACCTAGCAAAAACCCGCCTACACCCGCTGACGTTAGCCTATTTTATTTTGATCTGAATTTCAAACCCTAGGTAAGTCTGAACACTACTTTTCAAAAAGTGGCAAAAAAAGATGGTACTGACAACATTGGAGGACCTTTTCAATTGTAGGTAAGCTTCTCAGCATGAAACAGTAATGCATTTGCAAATCATACGTTTGTTTTTCTTCACTGGAAATTTTGACAATTACAAACATTCTTAAAGAAAATCAAAAGTTCTCAGATGAGATATAAAGATCTGTACTGGTAGTGACTTGTTGTAACTAACATGTTTGTCTGTGTCCAGTGACTTGACCAGTGTGTGCACTACTCTGACATTAGGACAGGCTTTCTGAAGAGCATCGGTCGTTGTCTCTTCAACATCAAACTCCTCCATGGCCCGACCAACCTGGCAAAGAAAGTCACAGTCTTAGAAGTTAGACACATACTGGTAGTGGATCATCTTTAACAACTAATTATATCTTAATCAAGGCAGCTTGCAGAGGAGATTCATTGAGAATGTGTTTTCACTATACACATGTTGCATTGGTAGGTAAACAGGTTGATAAAAAAAATCCTCAAAACTGATATCTAATGCCTTGATAAAATCTAGGCCCCCTGGCAGCTTTGTTGTATAGTGCAGATTACATGTCGGTATGATGCATAGACATGCAGTCTTTTGTGTGCCACTGATATATAATGTACTACTGTCATTTTAAGCAGATATTGGGGATCGAGGAAGAATGTAACGCTTTCTGTCTACCATGCCTCTCTGATGGTTACCCCAGAGAGGCTCGGCAGTCAGAAAATGTTACTGTCCTCTGAGTCCAACCCCACATCTGCTTGAAGATGAGGGTACTCACCTGTCTGAAGTTGGTGACAGACTTGATGAGAGGAGAGGCTGACAGCAGCGTGATGGGGTCATCTGGGGACAACGCTGACAACTGTGGGGAGAAGCAGGCTTTAGAAGGCTTTCTAAGACAAGTATTTTTCAAGCTTACTCTAAGACTTTCTAAGGCTTTTTCGGGATTCCCACGCGACCACAGACTCTAGCCATGTTACATTAAAGATTTCAGATCTATACAATTAGCCACCAGAGCATGGCAAGCCTCTAGAACTTCAGTCATTATATATCTGGGTACTTATTTCTTTAAAACTTAAGAAATCACCTGTTCAGCACAAGTAACGCCCGCAATTCCGCCTCCAACAATCACAAACCCCGCCGCCCGAGCTTGTTCCGGCTCCAAGTCGGGTGGGAGGGGGGCGATTTCATCAGCTTTCTCACCGACTTCTCCACTAGCAGCCATTTTAGAAAATCACGATTAGCTTGTGTGTGACGTATTAACGTTTATGGAGCAGTCTTTGACTTTAGAATATTGATACAAGCCTTATTGATGACAAAACAGACACATCAAAGGCAGCCGAAATGTGCAGACGACGCAACATGCCACCATGTTGTGGTGTAATCAGCTGCTCTGCTCTGCAGTACTAATACAAATCAGTAGTCGGCGCTTCGGTACAGTCGCATTGGCCGGTCGGTGCAGTGGGCATAAATACATGCATTGTCAATGCACTTCAAAAGCTTTTTGTCAGACATGGCCAGTTTTCCACTAGGGAGATTCTCATTTTTCTGATGCTGGCCAAGCCTTTTGTTGTCTTTCAGCTGAAGTTATGTACAGTTATTACAGTACAACGTCCTATTCTAGTTCTAAATTTTCTTCTCGTGATCTGCCCACTCCTACACACAGAAGTACATCTCTTTGCTACAAATTAAATGAATTATTCAATTTGCCAGGAAATGGTTTCAATAGTTTTCTACCATAATTTATACAATCACGAGAGGCCCGGCATCTTACAAAACCAATTGTTCCATACACCAGGACAAGTAACACATGGGATAGACGTTGCACAATGTTGCATCTTTTATTGACAAAAGAAACAAGTTTTTAAACTCTCAATGTGTTCAAAGTATGGAAATTACATACTGGTATAAATGTTGCTTTTAGGTAGTATGTACATAGTTATATGACACAACACTACATGTATTAGAGATAGTTTTAACCAATGTTCAGTGATTCCACAAAACCTTCAATGGCCATGGTTTTATGTGCATGCCAGAAAAGCCCATATATTCATAAAAAATAACCAGTGCTTAATACATTCATTCATACACTGTCCTCATCTGAGTCATACTCCACCAGACCCAGGCTTGTACTCCTTGTTGCGTTATCACTTCTGTCTGTACTCCCATCTAACAGTTCTTTGGCACTTCCTGTCTGACAATCATTATCTGTCCCCTCTTCAATGTTCCCTGTTCTATGTGGAGCTTTCTTTTCAATGCCTGATGGCAAACTACTGGAACAATGTGAACCGTTCTGCTTATTGGTTTGGTTAACAGAGTCTTTTTCTTTGGCCGATGTGTCGTTGTTGTCCGACACTCTCTTAACTAGTTGTTTTATCTCGCTTCTGACACCAAGTGCAGGTTGTTCCAGGTCAAATGCAGAGGGTGCCTTTTTCGGCAGACTGAGTCCCAACTTCTTTTTGGCATCCAGTAGCTTGTTGTCCTTGCCTGGGGAGACTGCTGTGGAGGTCGAGGGTTGGGTGGAAAAAATGGACCGACTTGCAATCGCCTCTCTCTTCTGTTTCTGCTTCTTCTCGTAAGCTGGTGTGGATGAAAGCAAATACGACTGTTACAAAATGTCAACTTAATTTATTTGCACTCAAAGTGAACACAATGTTTGAAGCAGACAAGTTTTCAAGAGGCATCAAAAATGGCCTTTTCTGAGTTGAAGGAAATACAGGTACTGTACAACTATACAACTATTTTTAGTACATTCCTACATATGTATGTTGAAAGGAGAAAAAAGGACTCACAATCCAGGCTGTGATATTTGAGTAGCGAGGCGAGTTTCTTGTCGTCCTCGTGTTCTCGGACGAGCGGGATCGCCAGGGACGACTTCTCCAGCAGGGCAGCGTCTTCTGCTGCCTCCTCCTTCAGCATGGTCTTCTCTCCCTGAAGACAATAACACAACAAACTTACAACTTCTTAACACACAAGAACAGAGTTTCAGAGGACAACACAAGAAACCTATAACTTCTCAATAACTTCTCAACACTTTCTTCTCTTCCTAAGACAAGAACACAACAAACTATGTCTTACAAGTTCTTAAGCTGAAACTGTACACAAAGAAAACTTTCTTTTAGAAAGGAATATGCTTTTTGGCAATGACTTTGTCTTCATGGCTGAACTTTGTATGAAGTTTTTTCAAACTTCTGATGCCATTTCCATGAACTTGGACTTCCCTTACCCTGAACTTCCTGCGAGCCCTCTGGTTGAGTGAGAAGTCGTCTTGCCACTGGGACTTCCACTGCTCGATCTCGGCCAGGCGTGGCACGGCAGCTTTCCTCTTGTCCTGGTCCTTCACGCCGTGTTCCAGGCGGAACATCGGGTCGGACGCCATCTTCTTTTTATCCTCATGGTCTGAAATGCACACATTCAATATGAAGTCAGGTAGCTTTTCATGGTAGAAAATGTATTAAATAACAGGATACAATTATCATAACTATAGTGATGGCATTCAAGTTAATGCAGATGCAATACAACCTTATTTGTTTTTTATTTGTACCTAAACGTTAAGTCTCTATTAGACTCCATTATTTCTTTTATACTTCTATATATTGGTGGCATTCCATTTAATGGGACTGGTGCAGGTAGACCAGATCAGAAATACCTGCACAGCTCCAATTTTACCAGCACTAAAGTGCATGTGTAGGTGGTATTTTGACCCCTGAAAGGGGTGGCGGTGAAAACTTTCTTCTTAATGATCCTACCTTCACAGACAACCTGCTCGTTCTCCGCGGCGTCCCAGCGTTCCTCCTTCCTCCGCGCGCCGCTGACGATGACGTAGTCGCAGTTCTTGGGGTCCGTCTGGATCTCGAAGCGGTTGTCGCACAGGTGGCACTTCATGCGGAACTTGTAGATGGGTGTGGTGTAGTACATCCCCACCTTCGTCTTCTCCGCATTGTAACGCACACCTAAAAAAACGGCGGGGGATATCAATGTACAGTAGTTGGTTGATTTTCAAGCTGAAAATTTAACGTTTAAACATCGAACTTCATCTTAAAATCTGTCAGGCAATGGACATTGAAAGTTTCTTTTCTTTTTTTACTTTCAGACAATGTTTTCAAGACTTACCCATGCCCACATGGTTCCCACATCCTCCACACCAGATGTTGTATGGCAACTCAAACCTATGGGGAAATATCAAATGGTCAATGACAGCTCAAAAATACATGTACTCCTTCATAGCATGAAAACTAGGAATCATTCTGTTCTTGCTGGCAAATAATGACTAGTATTACATTAACAGTAGTGGGGTTCTGATCAGTTGGCACTTTGTCTGTCCAGACCTTTTAGCCTTTGGGTTTGTGAGCTGGCCCATGGGCACAAGATTAGTGACATAGTAGGATTTGAACCCAGGACTTCTTAGATCTGAGCCAGACACTTTAACGTTTTGCCACACAACTACACTTCTATACTACTCTACGTATACATGTACATGGTGTATCTGATACAGAAGAAGTTGTTTCACTTACCTGATGATGAGGATACCCTGGGAGAGTTTGCGAGCGCGGTCTCTCAGGGGATGGGAGTTACGGTACTTGTTGATGGACTTGTGCTACAAGGGACAGACACAGGGTAGAGATATTACTGACGATACACTTATTAAGAACCTGTAACGTTATATCAATACAATGTGGTTTTGACTTATTTTGATCTTTTTCGTGCATCACATTTTATAGTACTATAGCACATTATCAATGTACTAGGTTAACAGGCATAAGGCAATGGCTGGTTATAACACACAACACTTGGTATTTATCATAAAATTTATATCACAATTTATCATAAACGACAGACATCCATAATTTCTATGATTATAAATATTTATACACAATATTATTTTTTTATAGATTATACACGTACCTTCTGTGGGTCAAAGTCCGGAGGGTAGTACCTGTTCACTGCTTTACGGTCAGACTAGAGGGAATAAAACAATGTGACGTTGAGAACAGCGCATATTCATAATCATAATTTCAATAGGAGCTAGCTAGTATGATAAACAGTCTGCGTGCGTAAGTCTCAGATTCGAGTTCTGTTACAAAACAGCGCAATTTTAGCAAGATAGAGAAACTTCTGGGATCTGTAAAGCTTCACAACGTACCATGGCTGGGTTACAGGCTGGATAGACTCTCCGTAGTCGTCAAAAACTCGCTAAAACGTCAAAAGATCGTCGTTTTGTTCTTATTTTCTTCCCTCGGCGGCCATCTTGAATTGTGTGACGTCATTAGGGGTTACTTGAGGTCAACTTTTGTCAAGGACAGCTGTTCCTCATTTCATGGTCAAAATTATCATTTCTGCGCACGAACTAATTTTCCGGTTATCATAAATGGGAATGTGGGACACTTGTGTACGTGTCAGTACCAGCGTGAGCTTGTATGTCTCAAAAAAATGAAAAGTTTGGAGAGCCTCTTCGTTCTTGGCTTCTACTCTAATTTCTTTTCCGGCGCTGTGATTGGTGGAAAGTAACCCGGAAGTGGTCTCCGCTGTTCTGGTTGACCGCGGATTTCGGGGGAGGGGAACTGGCAAGTCTTGTTGGAGCGTCGGAGAGGAAAATTATCGCCGAGAAACGGGTTTTAAAACGTTTCCTCGGGCCGACATTTCGTCTGGTGATCGTGCAGGCCTTCAGGTAGGTGGGGGAGTAGGTTTGGTGCCGTTTGAGGGAAGTTCCCCGCTGATATCGTCATGAGTTTCCAAGGGTGCCACAAGGACATGTCCATGTTCCGTGCATACGTGTAGTACGTGCAGGTGGTACATGTCATGTTACACGCTAGTATAATTACCGGAAAAAAGTTGTAGCGACCTTCACAGACTAGTGTACACCCCCTGGAGGCATTGTTAGTTCTATTTGAGAAAGCCAGGGCAGGGCGACTTTTTCGAGAGTCTTCTTCAAACGTCGTACATAATGTTTTCTTAACGAAGTAATCGACATCTGACAAATAGCTAGAAGCAAATCCGTGACTCGCTAAACCGATTATCATAATCAGTGCTGTATGTTGTGCACTCAATCACTCTGCTACCTGTATCGATTTTCTAAGGATGAGTGTTTTTTTTTTTTAATAATGCCAGTGAGACAAGTCAGGCAGATAGACTAGGCTTAATTAGTATTCAAAGCAGGTTGTATATTGGAAGGGGGTTTGGCGTAGAGAGAGATAGGCTGGCTCATTCAACAAATGTCTGTTATCAGGGGGTCATAAATAGCGAGGCTGCTGCATTAATTCCGGCATGGTAATTGTGGCTACGTGTGTCTGGCTGCTCCAGGCCGCGTCACGTTAGATGAAGGGCCCCCGCGGGATTCATACGGGATGAGGGGCGTGCGCTCGCTCGGCGAGGCATGATGAAAAATCGAACGGCTTCTCCCGGGCTATCACTCGGAGGCCTGCCGCCCTCCGTGAGGGAGGCAAATTACAAGCGTAGCAGGATGGAGGTCGGGGAGCGTCGGGAGCAGAGGTGCTCGTGGCTGCGGCGGATCGGGAAGAGTGTGCAGTACGCGCTCCTGTGCGTGCTCCTGTCCCTCCGCTCGGCTCTCGTCTCCCTCAGGAACTGTTGTGCGTTCGTGTTCTTCGGAGACACTCCGGAGGGTACGTTGTCGTCGTTTTACGCTCTCTTCCCAGCTGGAGAAAACAGCTGATGTCTGATTCATTAGAAACCGCCCTGCAGATAGGTCACGACTTTGTGTATTGAAGTCTTTTGATTCGTTGATGGATTGATTGGTCGATGTCGCCTTTTGATCTTGACCTTAGCTGTCATTTGAAGCGTCTCTATTAAGAGACAAGACAGATATAGTTATCTGTTGCCGGGTAGGATGTACATTGTACATGGACAAGAGTGGTATCATGATCAGCCTGGATGTGCTTTTTGAGTTGCTTATGGTACTCTCCAACTCCAAGCAGCGGTTTGGGCTTCAGCTTATTTTTCGTGTGTTTTTACGCATTTTTATCAACTTTCTTTGGTGGAATTTTTTCTAGATGTAAAAGAAAGTTCCAGCGCAAAAAATAAAGCCTGATAAAAATGCCTACAAGCACACTAAAAAAAGCTGAAGCCTATATAGCTAACCTCTGTCCTTGGATAGTTTGTGGTGCCACTAGCCTAGCCTTGGGGGCATGTGGCACACATAGTTATCTACTTCACAAGGACATAAGGTCACCATGAATTTATGATTGTTAAAGTACTTCAGGGCTATTCATAACCCGATAACAGGAATATTACCATCTTAATATTCTTTTATTGCTATTTATAAGTCTGAAAATCTACATGCTAGTCAGAGGATCTTGTAGGGTTTCAGAGGACAACCTAATTATAGTAAAACTTAAGAATTTTTGTATTAAAGAGTAGCTCAAAAGAGCCTTAGTTTTTTTTAAATCTCAGGAACAACACATTTATTATTGGATAATTGACCACAACTAAGTGGTAGAGCGAGGCTATGGTATTCCCCTAGTGGCAGTTTGTTGATCCCTCTGGCTGCATCAGACTAAGTCTTTGATCCATGGATGAACCAAAAGTGCATCATTATGGCACAACGCAAATCAAATCACCGCTGGGTCCATTTTGTCCTCCCACATTAGGTATCCTTATGACTTTATGCACTTGTATCTAGCTTAGTTTAAAAGCAGTTGTGTTATCTTAGGGCATATTTTTCAGCTTGATAGTGTCAACGGGCTTTGAACTCTGTAAAGTAGAGGGTTCTTACCAGACTGTTTATCAGGCCCACTATGCTGTGATTTGTACCCCTATGTTGAGATATAGTCATTTAGCCCATACACTGTCTTTTAACCAGCTTAGGGGTGTTTAGTCATAAAAAGCTAAAACCAGCCTAGGATACAAAACAAGCAACCGTTTTGCATTAGTGACATTGCATTTTTGCCTCACAGATATCAGTATGCTATGGGATAGGATTGATTCAACTTACTATATTTAAAGAATAACCAAAAATTGACTTTAAAAATCCAGTTTTGCAGACCACAAAATTGTATTGGATGCCCTAAATTCTCAGGTATTCAAAATAGTGGGGAAATTTTCTGTTGAATAAGTTATTAATATATACCACACGCTGAGAGTAGTCTGAACTGTAATATAAACTCTACTTTGGTGGGCTGTTAACTACACCATAAGGAGTGATAGATAGGTATAAGACTGATAGGTCAGGGAAGGCTGATCCTGTGTATGTCTTCAGAATGATTTTAAACAGGCTGCACATTTTTGGGTCTTATGAATGGTATCTTGTTAAGGTGATGTAACCAAATTTTCCTCCTTCCTATTCAACAATCCACTTTTGTTGCCCTAGATGTTTCTAGTGTAGATGATTTTCTCCTGCTGTTTTCCAGGCTTGTGTAAATGTTCTTCCAACACTAAAGACTCTTCTTTCTACGACGACTTCAACAACCGCCCGTCCGAGATCAAAGTCATGGCAGAGGGAGGACCAACGACTAACGCCACGGCTGCGGGGCAGACGGGGGCAGCTGCACCTGCCGCTCCGAACTCGCCCCTGCGACAGGTGCAGCAGGTGCGCGTGCTGCAGCTGAACGATGGAGAGCACCTGAATACCACTCTGTTCCGGTTGCAGAAAGGTGAGCTTCCTCTGACTGTAACCATATACATGTGCATGTAATGTTGGCATTCTGTCATACATGGGATGCAATTTAGCATAATCATGGGGTCGTGTGCCGTAACAGCAGAGCGTTCTGCTCGGAACCAAGAGGTCCCGGGTTTGAACCCTGCCATGTCACCGATCTTGTACCCTTGGGAAAGGCACTTTACATGACTTTCCTGGATGGAGGCCTGGCGAACCCCATCTCATATTAGCCACAAGAAAAGCAGAATCTTCAGCTAGTTGAAGGTGGCTGCCTCAAATTCAAAATGAAAGAAGAAAAGAAGCATGCGATACAAGTGTTCTGTCCTATGTGATAACTAGCCATACAGGGTTCTAACGGTTATCACACAGGCTTCCGAAATGTATGAACCCAGTACATTTACTTGTGCAGGTTTAATAGGTTCAGGTAGATAATATATACATCAGAAATACATGCACAGCTCCAATCTACTGCCACTAACAGGTACAGGTAAGGTGCAGGTAGACATCAGAAATACCAGCTCCAATTCTGTACCTACACATGTGTTCCCAGTATTTCGAGCCCTGCAACTGGCATTCAATATTACACTTGAGTAATGCTCATATAATTTCTCCTTGAATGTGCTTTTTGACACACATACATGTATATTATCCCTGGTCCCATTATGAAGATGTTAAATTGTAGCAGACGGCTCGTTTCACAAGCAGTTGAAGTCAATAAGCAAGTGGCATGTCACGTGTGGCCGTCCGCAATCATGGGCATTCAGCCAGCCCAATGTCAGGAACACGTATGTTGAATAGTTGAAAGGACATTCGTGTTTTGAAGTGTTTTATCCCTGGAGATATAATAAATTCAACGTGTCCAATGTAATTTCAGGGTGGCAAAACAAAAAATATTCTGGATGAGGAAATCTGTGTGATATTGATATTTAATATTTATCATATTTTCATCATCTTTTCTAAGTTAAAGGCATTTGAATTTGAATTAACCCCAAAACAAGAAGCCATAGGCGACAATTCTCCGTGAAGTATTATATATTGCAACAAAAAGAAGTAGCCATTGGCGACAATTCTCTGTGAAGTGTGATAAATCGAACAAAGAAAAATTGTTTAAACGCGCGTCGGCTCAGTCATCTTAAGACGCAACAACCAATCAGAGATGCGAGATGCCTACACGTGACGCGGGAAGGGCGCGCGATGCCCGAAATATTTTTGCGTCAATATTCAGCGCCGTGATTCAAGAGATTAATACCCGGAAACAATTTTTTTCTTGTTTTGAACGCATTAACATGCATTTACGCTAATCTAGTATGATTCAGGGTTACTTTTTTTTAACCTGCCATGGCCAGATTATCTAAAGATGTGTGTATTGTGTGTACAATCTATAGAAAGAGAAATGTACATCAGGTCCGATCATCCGATTTTCACGTTTCGGTTTTTTGGACTCGGTTCATGAACGTATTTTGGTTTGGCTCCTGGAATGTGCGAAAAAAATGACTCCCGGGACTGTCTACAGGGAACACTCGCACATTCGCGGTGTATCAGGACAGCGCGACTGGTCGTCATTAGCGCAGTAACAGTTGCATAAACGGACGAAACCATTTCAAAGAAATGGGGATGTTTCGAAAATAAGCATTTACTCCAATATCAAAACAGCTACGGTAAAAATAAAAAGACGTGCATCATCCCGGACATAATGCAACACCACATGCGAAATTACACAGAAATGCGACGTACGGAAGAATGCGTTTTGGCTGCGAACATCTTCCAAAAAACTTGGCATCTCTTAACCATGGGCAAAAACATCTGGAACCACTTATAAAAACCACCCCGTATCTGCATGAACTTTTTTGAACCCCACTGCTATTCCAAACAACGCGTTTTTCTGGACCATTCCAATTCGCCTCGTAATTGTAGGGGTGCGTCTGCGATATTACATTGACCGCGAAAGCAGCAACGGCAAAAATACACATTCGTGCATCAACACGGGCATACCCGCAGACGGCGTATAAAATTGCGTGCCGATTACACAAAGAGAACCCAGTGTTTTGACTGCGAACATGAAAAATCAGCCGATTACAACACTCCGTCCGGAGGTCCTGACCTCCTTCACGGAGTAACAAGCTATGTGAAGCGTCCCTTTATTTTTTGGTACCACCAATAAATAGCTAAAACAAGCCTACAATACGAAACGAGGAACTTTTTTTGTTAGTGACATCGCATTTTTGCCTCACGGTTATCAATATGCTATGGGATAGGGTTGATTCAACTTACTGTACTACATGTATATTAAGTGAAATAACTGGAAAATTGACCTTGAAAATCTAGTTTTACTGCCGTGAAATATCTCTTTGGGTACCTTTAAGGTAACTGTTTTGGCATTTGACACAATTCATGATACAGTGTACATTATTCTATTGTGGGCAAGTTTGCCCATATCTTGTGATTTATGAATATGACTTGCATTAGAAGTCTGAATTGTTCCAGATGACATAATAAATAGACAGAACATACTTTATCAGATTAGCCAGGAAAAAAATAAATGATAATCCGAATTTCATATGCCATAACTCTTGATGCTTATTGTACATTCTGCTCAGTTGGTTGAATCTGTGCAGCACGTTGTTAAAAATAATTGGCTACTGTGACTTGTTCAGGGGTCAGCTGGTAACGTTAGCTATGGGTTTAGGCCTAGGAAAATTTATGTTATGTTTCTCGTTTCAATCCCAGAGGAAAACTATGACTAGTAGGTAGGGATTTTCTGCTTTTCCATTTTTTACATGCCGTGGCCAAAAATTGATCCAACTTTACGTTTAACAATTCATAGTGGGACTGTCTTAAGGGCCTGTCCACCTGTTTTGCTAATGTGAATATTTCAGCCACTTTACTGAAGAAAAAATCCCTGTTGAGAATGCTTTAAATGACGTTTCAGAATTTAGAGAATGTGAAATTCAGATGCATGTTAGAGCAAAAATTTTGAAGCCTTACCAGCGGTGGCTAAAAAAAAAAAAATAGGGTGAGCAGTTTTTTGCTAGGATTAGTTGGGAAACAGAAAACACAACATTTTTTTCCTAGGCCTCAGCATGCTACTGAGCCATTACGTCTGACATTTGCTGGATATAAAATCAGACCAGTTTTATTTTATGCACGATATCCTCCAGAGACCGCAGGCAGGCAGACTGATTCACCTCGCTTTCCGAGAGGATGTTTTACAACAGATGCTCATTTTGGGGGCAATTTTACGAGGATTATTATATATTCCCTCATTTTGTTGCGATTCTTATAAAGGCTTTGACATGACATCTTGATTTGCGGCAATTTTCTGAGCTTGCCTCTTTTCTGTCAAAGAAAAAATGGTCGTTTTTGTGGAAAACTGGTAATGACATAGTACACATAGATGTCATTCATAAAAAAGTATGAAGGCTTGAAGCAATAATTACTCAGTGCTAAGTCAGTTTTGGTTATACGCTTTATAGACTAAGTGTTTCTGCATACCTGCAAAACTCAGCGTTTAGGAACTGTGTGTATTATATTAAAAACTGTAGAAGCAGCCAATACAGCAATCCAAAATCCACCTACGCCTAGTACTGTATAATATGTAAATTCAGTTCATGGACCAGTGCAGATTAGGTGCAGGTAGACTTGAAATACCTGCACAGCTCCAATTTTACCCACACTACCCTGCATATGCAGGTGGCATTTCAAGCCCTGTATATAGGAAATTGATAAGGTCACCAAATTTGTGGTAAAACAACTTCATCACTTCAGTTTTATGGAAACAATCCTCATAGAGAGAGTCTAGATGTATATTACCAAAGCAGTAAAATTAACGAGAGCACTAATAAAATCAGCTTATTGAATTTTGTAGTTAAAATGCTTTCTGACAGTGACACATGAATTGATTTTGTTGGTTCTTGGTCCTTTAAAAGAAAAGAGGACAACACGGTATCACAGGGGGCTCGAATGAAAACTTAAAGCTGCATTTTCTAACATTAGGACAGTACAAAAAGTAAATTTTCTGGTCATGTCTTTGCAAAGGAAGTTGAATCACATGTACTCCATAAGATAAGTGCCATTCAGGAAGTTGATGTGTCAAAATATGACCTTACATGTTTGTTTACATTCTGGTAGTTTGTGGTGGTGCCACTAATTATAACTGAGTGTGCCTCGTGTGGGTTGTTTTAGCACCAACCATAATCAAATGTCAGAAATGTGAGATAAATTCAATTAATTGCACAAATATGTTGAAAATTAGAAGATGCAGAAGATTTTTTTGTCTCTATGCAAAGATCCTAAATTAAAGTATTCTTAAAGCTGCAAACAAATAAGTCGAATTGGCGTGATCTTAGATTTGTCTGTGCTGTATATTTCCTTTGAAAGGTCTGATGAAATGCCAAATCAACAGCATTGATTCCATTGATTGCCCCTCGTTGAAAACCAATACACTCCTTACCAAACTGTACTGGTTTATCGCTTGTTGATGCAACTAAGGGGCAATTAGTCCACGGTGCATAAGGTAATGGTACCCTTCCAAGAGTCCTGCAATTTGAAGGTTAAGTGTAATTTTGCACATGTTGCACAGGTGGTGTTGTGATTAGCGTTGGTTGCTTCAGAATCTGAAGGTCCTGGGTTCAAATCCCTGGCAGGCCCCACTGTTGTGTCCTTCTGAAAGGCATTAAACACCTATTTGCTCACTTGGCTCAGGTAAAAATTAGTACCTATCTTCTGTTAGGGATGTCTCAGGGATGTAAATCCAGAGGTCCTGTGTTTAAGGACAGTCACACCTTGAGCATGTTAAAGATCCCATCGCACTTATCGAAAAGAGTAGGGGTCCTTTCCAGTGTGCGTGGTTCAAACCTTACAGTCTGGTCTTACTGAGCTTGTAATTTGACTCAGATATGACTCAAAACTGACTTGTTTTGTATAGAAAGATAAGCGTGGCCTAAATCTGGTCAGACTGCTCCCAAACTTCAGCCAACCTCGGTTGGTTGGTGTTCGGGGTGACAAGCCTAGGGTCTTCAATTCCTTTATGCAATGCGAGAAGGTTGATCAAACTTACTACATGTAAAGAGATGGCCAAAAATTGATTCTATAAACATTGTGCTAATCTTACATTGAGCTACCATTACCAAGTCAATATACCATAGCCGGTAAACAAAAGTGGGGCAGTAGAATTTACTGCAGGCCATTACATGAACCCATTATTGTAGCATGAGCAATTTTCTTATTGCCCTCAGGACAGACAAGACGTGAGTGTGGCTAATAAGTTTCAAAAGGCTCCTGCATTTAAATCACCACTTGTGTATTTGGGTTGAAAAGTTTAATGTCAGTGTTATTCAAGGTAACGTTAATTTTAATGTGGGTTTTTCAAGGTTTAAAGGCAATTCCAATGAAATTTTTAGAGAAAAAGGCAAAAATATTCTGGATGAGGAAAAACATTTTTGTCATTATTTGATACATCAAGCACTTGAAATAGTCTCAAATGAAACTACACGAGTAGTCCCTAAATTTTTTTGATACCACCAAGTATTGCTACTCAAGTCCTCTATCCTCCTTTCCTGACCTGGATCTATCAGTCTTCTACTTATCTATCACTCCTTCAGGTGTAGTAAACAAGACATCCCTTCCATGGGGTACTTATTTAGGGCCCACTGAGGTTGGGTTAATACCGATATCACAGTTCAGGCTACTCTCAGTATGTGGTATATATTCCTCACTTTTTTAAAAAGAAAATTGCCCCACTAGTTGGAATACCAGAATTAAAGGCATCCAATGCAATTTCAGGGCAGCAAAATAGGATTTTCAAAGTCAATTTTCTGGTCAAAATAAAGAGACGCCTCATGTAGCTTGTTTTCTGTGCAATGTCAAACAGTTCAAGTATGAAATGATTACGAAAATGTGCCGAAATGTTGGGTCCTGACACTTGCTTAAACAAAGTCTGTAAATCACTAATTAGCGGTACTTATTTCATATTTGCCATTGGTCATTTCTATATGGTAACTGCAAATTTATCATCACCGCAAACAAGTAATTCAAAGACTTTCTTTCTTCTTCACCTGCTGCCACCATGAACATATAGTTCTGCGAGCATGTCCATTTTTCTCAGACCGTGAAATTTTGCTACCGTGAATATAACAGCACCACTTCCTGGGAAACCAACCATCCCAGAAGAGCTGACTTAGGGGCACTTTAGACTGACGACGGTTCGATAGTCGTACGAATGTTTATCGTCAAGATGTTGCCGGCGACGGTATTTTACAACCGTCTAAAGACGATCAAAATAGTCGCACGACGGTAATCCTCGAATCGTCGTCACTACCACCTCGGACCCTATCGTGCGATCCTTCAGCGGGGGTCCGAGGAGGATTTCCCACCGTCTAAAGTGAACCGTCGCCGGCGAAGGAAGTGGGAGGTCATTTGCCTTATGCAAATAAGCCTGCCGTGAGCGTTTTTTCATGTCCAAGAACATCGCCCGTATCATTATATGTCCTCAAACCAAAGAGTTTATATCGTCATACGTGTCTAGTACAATCCCCTGCCACCAATCGCTACTTCTCCAGTACGAACCGATCCGCCGATCCACATTTCCGGCCAATATAGCCAGGCCGACGGCAGCACCGAACGCCGGGTTCAAACCTGGAGTATTGCCCCGTTCGGTGCATGTGCCTCAAGGCCCCTTCATTGCTGGGCACAAACTTGGCGTCTCATCCACAGGACAACGAGTTAAAAGCAGAATAAAAACAATCTGCTGCAGCATGCCGAAAAAAAGGGGTTCTCTCGCCATTTTGAATTGGCGCGCGGCGTGCCATCCTGCGCTGCGGGTGTCCGCCACACTTTCTGGTCATGTGTCTAAAGCCAGCCGTCGCCCACAACGATTGTTGTGCGATCGTATACCGTCGTCAGTCTAAAGTCGGCCTTAGGTTCAACTTTCCTTTGCCCATTAATCTTATCTACAGCTGTGCCCTTTGTGGTAATTATGAAGAGAATATTTGGGAAGCTGGGGCCGTGAAAGGTTTCCAACCAGGTGTTACAGACAGTTGAGTAATGAAGTGTTTCACTTCAAGACAGGATGAAGAATTGTTGTGTTATAGTAAGTCTGCCCTGCCGGTATATTTCACTGTCAGGGTCAAGTACACAGCTGTATATTTCACTGTCAGGGTCAAGTACACGGCTGTCAGGGCTCAAAACGCTGCGTGTATTTCTGATGTCTACCTGCACCTAACCTGCACTGGTCCTTGTACTCAGGGTATATGCAGGTTAGTGCAGGTAAAATTGGTGCTGTGCAGGTATTTCTGATGTCTACCTGCGCCTAACCTGCACTGGTCCATGTACTCAGGGTATATGCAGGTTAGTGCAGGTAAAATTGGTGCTGTGCGGGTATTTCTGATGTCTACCTGCACCTAACCTGCACTGGTCCATGTATTGGGTATATGCAGGTTAGTACAGGTAAAATTGGAGCTTTGCGGGTATTTCTGATGTCTACCTGCACCTAACCTGCACTGGTCCTTGTACTGGGTATATGCAGGTTAGTGCAGGTAATATTGGAGCTGTGCAGGTATTTCTGCTGATGTCTACCTGCACTAGTCCATGTACTGGGTATATGCAGGTTAGTGCAGGTAAGATTGGAGCTTTGCGGGTATTTCTGATGTCTACCTGCACCTAACCTGCACTGGTCCATGTACTGGGTATATACAGGTTAGTGCAGGCAAGATTGGAGCTTTGCAGGTATTTCTGATGTCTACCTGCACCTACATGTAACATGTACTGGTCCATGTACTGGGTTCAAATCTCAGGAGCCAGAAGACTATACTACTCGCCCCTTTGAGTTTCACAAGCTCCACTTCAGTCAATAATCATAAAATGTGGCAAGCTCTATATCTTTATTTATTATCACACTGCAGGCTGGACCCTTCATTTCTTCCTGGGTCCCTCGCTGTGCGCCCGGCCGGTTCGCATCTTCGTGAACCATCCGCCGGCGGACCGCCCGTTCCGGCGGGATGAGTATTACGAGCTGAAGTGGCAGTACTACTCCCAGAGCCGCTGTGATGACTCCGACAGATACGCTGAGCTGCAGCTCAAACTGGCCGGGTCTTTCCAGTACTTCTTTTCCTATGACAACAGGTATGTGCAATGTACTTGTATAAACTAAATGCAGTCCACATCCGTGAATACTGTCACTTTCATCAGGTTTCTTTGGTAATATTAAAGTTACTTAGTAAAGAGACTCCTTTTACACAACCACAGACAACGTTTTGGTGACCATCTATCACCTTTCTCAGGGCAATTCTGACTGGTTCACATTGTACTGCAGCATAGGTGTTGCTGCATAAATGCAGTACAACCTGTACTAGTGACCATCTCTTCATAAGAATTACTTGGTCATTGATATACGGTCAAACCTGTACTAGTAAATACCAGGTACAGTACCTCATAAAACAACACACCATCATTCAATTTGACCACTTTTTATTCCTTAGGAGATTTTTCCTAATGGCACTTAGTAAGTATTAAGAATATCACATATAATATACATATCATAATAATATATACATCACACATAACGCTTTCAGCCATAAGTTTTCCACACACAGAAACTTGTTCGCAATTTGTATGTATTAACAGCATGGGTTACAGGAAGGTCAGTAGTGTTGGATATGTGCGTCTCTTCTCAACAGCAACGGGCCATTAACAGGCACTACTTAAACCGGCAGCAATCACTCTTCCTGCCAGCCGCTCCCTCGTGAAAGTCAATGTCAAATCTCCAGGGGTAGAGGCCCTAAGTGATGGCTTAAGTGCCTTCCAGGTCTTAAGTGTTTTACGGTGTTTAGAAGCAGTGAGACATTTGTGAGCTGATGGCTTGTCAGTAGTGCACTTTGGAGCCATCCACAACCTTGTGTCTATACAGTAGAGACCTCAATGCTGTGGTTTATGACTCCAAATTCAGTTTTGAGAGTAGGTACTAAACTGCTGGTGCACCTAACCTGAAAATTTACTTACCTAAAGATTTACCTACCTAAAAATTTTGCCTTCCTTCACCTACCTAAAAATTTCCTTAAACCTAAAAATATATCTACCTAAAAATTTATCTTAGAATCTAAATATTTACCTACCTAAAAATGTACTTATCCAAGTATTTACCTAGTACCTAAAAGTTTACCTTTTTTTTTGGTGCACAGAAAAAAGTTGGGGCGCATGAAAATCAGTAGAAAAACTGAAGTGCCAGAAAAATGATAAAATCTTTCCCGCAGTACTTTTTAAAAGATTTTTAGAATTAGAATTTAGGGTTTAGGGTTAGAATTTAGAGTAATCTGAATTTTTGAAAGTTCCAAAACTGTGTGTGTGCTGCTGTGCCTAGATAGAAGGAAAGGGGGCACCTATGTGCACGAGCCTGAAAATGCTAACATTCTACTTCATTTCAATTATGGTGCACGCAACAATTTTTTTGTGCACCCAATTTTTCAGGTTGGGTGCTAGTATTTCCAAACATGAATTTCGAGCCCTGCAGATTTTTGGGCCCAGAGACGTGTGGAGAGCACTGTAAGGCTTTGGCTCAACCATTAAAGAAGCAGGATCAATAGATGTATAAATCCTATGGAGGGATGCTACAGTGGGGAGGGGGGCGGTAATTGATTTGGAACCGCTGGAGTTAATGGGAAAGTCAGCAGAAAATCCTTCCGGAAAACAACTCATCGCGCTGACTAGACGCCGCCGCCGCCGCAATCAGTACGATCAGTCAGACAGGTTTATGATACTGTTAACTTATTTAGAGTGCTTCATTTGCTTTCAATATCATTGATTCAGAAATAAAATGATGTTCATGTATCTAGTAAATGTGTTTCAATTTTCACTGATGACTTGAAATAGGCAGGCATCATTGTAGTTAGTTACTAGTAGGCCACACCAATGCAATCAGTTGGTTTTCTCCAATTTTTTCTGACTTGCAAAAAAAAAAAGGTTAGGTTCTACAAAATGCACATATTTTGTCCCCAACTGTTGAAAAAGATCCTTGTCATCCTATTATTAAGTTGTCCGAGTTTTTTCATATAACTTTTGTTTTCTTGGTCAGACTAAACCTGAATTTTGTTACTTGTTGCAAACCCTATGTGTACAATTTGCGTATACGTGATGAGGTTTATGAGTTATTGTTAATCTATAAAATGCTTCAGGTCATTACATCAGGCTAAAAATCAGTCAGCAATGTCAGCTTTTCTGCAAAACACTCTTTGTACAGAATATTTTGTCTATCATCATAAAGATGACATTTTTTTCCATCATGAGTCCATCAAATGACAGAAAGACAGAAGCTGGCTAGAACACTGCTTGCACGTTTGTGTTTCAGAGGGAACAATGGATGAAAAGTTGATTGCGAGTTAGTAATTGAGTGGCCTTTATCTATCAGTGTTCGCTAGTGAGACTTTACCAAAGTTCCCTACAGATCTCACCCTTTGAGCCACAATGTTACGACCTTTATTCTTCCCCAATCACCGGTGATCCACTGCCTATTCTCAACTAAGCTTAGAACCTTAATGTGAAACAAGAAGTCTGTTGCCAATAATTGCTGTTGTCCACATCTTGCATGCAAATCGATAATGCTAGGCTTACTTGAATTGGGGTGTTAAGATATTGATTGCAAGGTCTTCACCCTAGGCAAGAGGAAGCAATGAACCAGTAAGCTGGCAATTCTGCATGAGGTTTTTCTGAAGGGCAAATTTGTTGATGTTCTTGATTCCTAATCACAGCAAAGTGTTATATTATCAGCTAGCGCCTTTTCTTTTTCAAAACACGGAGTTATGCTGGAATGTTGCCCTATTCATAAAGAACATTTGTAGTCTGGTAAAGGCCTAGAAAAAATGAGTTCCCGGTTTCCTGACCAGCCTTAGCAAAATACTGACAGTTCTTAGGCTAGCTTTTTTTTATTGACTGCTGGTAAGGCTGTCGTCTGAATTTCAAACCCTCTGAAACATCATTTAACGCATTTCCAGGAGCAATTTTTTCGTCAGTAAATTGGATATTATATTGTTCCACAAGCAAACAGCTGGACGGGTCCTTGAGACAGGCCCAATGCATTGTTTGTTGAATCATTTAAGCCAAAATTAAAGAAAAAAAAACCCAGATGAAATAAGAAAAAAATCCCTACCTACTGACCCTATGTTAACTTTCAGGATTGAAACTAGAATCTCAACATTAATTTTCCTAGGCCTAAGGTCCTGTTATAGCTGTGGAGGCTTGGGATTTTCTTTTCTTGGCATCTGCATAACAAAGTGTGAATTACTGTCAAAATACTGAGAGTAATACTCTAAATTTTATATCTCTGACCACTATTTCCTTAACATTTTGTTGTGACTAGGTACTAATTGTGCATGTAGTGCAAAAAAAGAGTTATAGAATGAGGTTAACATCGTCCATATGCCTGTTCGACCAATAGATGCACAGAAAAGGGAGCCCTAGAAGACCTGTGACCTTCCTCCACTTAACCTGATGACCTTGAGATCAATAATCATCAATAGCGGTGCTTTAGATTGAGATACAACTACTGGCAACTTTCAGACCTCATTCCTCTTACATACAAACACAACTGCACACTATTGGACAATTTGAAAATAAATTGCTATACAGTATGATACATTGTGTAATGTGAACAAGGAGTTAAATTATAATATACAACTGAAGTAAGATTTTGTCTGAGTAACATGGAAAGATTTTATGCTGAAAAATGTGGAAAATGTTTTATAATTAATAGAATAACTTTCTTGCTTAGGAATTTTGAGGAGGCTATCTATGAACCATACACATTTGATAGCTATAAATTTGGATATGGTAATGGTCAGTGACTTAAAGACTTAATAATATCCCATTTTGACATGTTCAAATTAAAGTGTTGAATTGTTCTCTGACTCTTGTGTTTTAATTTAAGAGAGAAGGTAAGACATTTAGGTATGAATGGTAAGACATGAGCAAGTTTGAGAAAATAATCTTTACCTATCCGTTCTCTTACATGTGTTTCAGTGGAAACAAGAAGCATGGTTCAGGGTACTTTGTTGTGGACCCCCTCCTCCCCCTCCCTGGTGGAGACATCCTGCCGTTGGACAGCATCTGTATCCAGACGGTCCTCTCCAAGTGTATCGGACCCTTCAGCAACTGGGAGAAAACCATCCGCGTCTCCAAGGAGACTGGCTACAACATGGTTCACCTCACACCTATACAGGTACCAGAGAAGTTTTTCCTGTTCAAGGGCTCAACATCTGTATCCAAAATCATTTCATCAGGTTCTGTATCTGTATCCAGTATAGCATGTATAACCCCAAACTGATGCGAGCATGAGAATATAAAAAAATTCTTTTCCTTTAGAATTGCTTTTGGCATTCTACAACATCATCAGTATCATTTTCCAATATTTTTTTTGCAATTTGTGGCATATTTTTGCTCATTTTGTAGCTACTTTGCAAGATTAACAGTGTCATCGAAAATATTTTTTTTTAAACGGACGAAAATTCATGTTCACATGGATGCCATCCATACAATCAAAATAATAATCAACATGGCCCTATTGTGGATCTGAATAAACTGAATCTCATAATCGAACAGGTCCTGGGCACGTCCAATTCCTCGTACTGCCTCAGCGACCAACTTCGCATCAACCCTGCATTCGAAGAAGATGGGAGGGCGCTGACGTATGACGACGTCGCGGACTTCGTAAGCCGTATACACAAGGAGTGGGGAATACTGACCGTCACGGACCTGGTACTGAACCACACCAGCTCAGACAGCCCCTGGTTGGACGAACACCCGGAGTGCGGCTACAACCTCCTGAACTCCCCCCACCTCCGGCCCGCGTACCTGTTGGACAGGGCGCTGTCGCACTTTGGCAGGCAGGTGGAGGAGGGGCAGTGGGAGGGACAGGGTGTTCCAGCCAACATCACCAACGATGGGCACATCAGGGTGAGGAACAAGCACTTCTCTAGATCTGAACAGGAACTATTTGTAGTGTCTCCATGTTGTAGTTTTTTTTCATTGATTGGTGGTATGCATGGGTAACCCATGAAAAACAAAATACAAAGGAAGTAATGGAACATAAAAATGTAGAAAGATGAGACTTAAAACAGATGCAGAAACATCCATCAACAATCTACACAAGCTGTTCTGTCATATCAGACAGCTGAATTTCATAGGTCCAGATATACCAGAAGTTCTTTTCATCCTAACACTCAAGTACTTCAGCACTAAGGACAGTACCCAGATTGTTGTGCTTTTTACTTTGTCCTTGCTAGCTAACATCCTAACACTCATTTACTTCAGCACTAAGGAAAACACCTGCATAGTTGTGCTTTTTAGTTTGTCCCTGCTAGCTAACATCCTAACACCCATTTACTTCAGCACTAAGGACAGCACCCAGATTGTTTTACTTTTAACTTTGTCCCTGCTAGCTAACATCCTAAGACTCATAATCAGCACTAAGGAAAATACCTGAATAGTTGTACTTTTAACTTTATCCCTGCTAGCTGACATCCTAACACTTGTATTTCAGCACTAAGGACAGTATACAGATTGTTGTGCTTTTAACTTAGTCCCTGCTGCCTAACCCATAACCACTAGAGAATTGGCAGCCAAATGGCTACTTCAGTGTGCCAAAGGTTAAAATGTTTCAAGATACAATGTGACAGGGCCTTAACTGACAGTGTTAATTCTTACCTTACAGGCTATGGAGCGAATCTTACTGGAGCAAGTACTGCCTGAACTCAAACTGTGGGAGTTCTACTGTGCAGATGTGGAGGATCTGGTACAACAGTTCAAGGAGGCTTGTGAAGGTAAAGATAATATGTGAATTGTGTATTATTGTTTATTTGTACATAAAAACAAATCATTTGTTGAAAATGGTGAAGCAAATGATCCCACCATGCAGATCAAAAAGAGCAGGGGTCCTTCTATTTTGTACTGTTCAATACATTAGTAAATGCTAATTAGTACATATTTTTTACACAATTAACACAATGAAATGAAATACACAATGAAATTCTAATGTCCTAAAAAACCAAAGTTGTTTACAGGAAATATACATTTGTAGCATGCAGTAAAAAGTTGGTATGCGGAGTTTCTGCATTCTATACTGGCCTGTGTTCGAAAGACGAATGTTTTGGCCATTCCAATTCCCCTGCCCAAAGACATTTCTGACAGTTAAATCTGTATGCTGTGACTTCCCATCCTATGAATAGCTGAGTGGACAAAGGTGAAGCTTGGTCACATCCAGCGCACACTGATACTGGGTCGAATCAATCACACACATTAGACATGTGCATGACTAGGAGATATAGGAAATGCACTTTTTGCTGCACCTATATAACTACATCATTCATGGCTGTGCAGTTTTTATGACTGTGACAGAAAGTTTTAATAAAATTAGGCCACACCAATTGAATTTGTTGGTTCTCGAATTTTTAAAACTGAATATTATGGTTAATTGGAAAAACCTAATGAAAACAAAGCCTGTAATGTTGGAGTTGATGTCTTGGTGGACTCAGTTTTATGTCTTAAAATTGATTAAGCTTTTATCTCATGAGGTAAGCCAAATCACATCAAAGACATTCTTTATTGCAAAATATGATGCTATTTGTGGATATTTACCATGCTGTGCATATACTAGTATTACCAAGTAGTATCAAAGTGGATAAAACCGTTGGCAGCTGTCAACTATTGATCAGGCCTCTGATTTGGTGTACTTCCTAATGGTAGGTCTTTGTAGCCCGTTTTAGTTACATTCTTTGTCTAGCCTTCACTGGCCATTGCTTACCTTTAGATAGTATGTTTTAGAAAGGAAAGGGTGTGTTAATCACTGTTGAATGTAGGGGAAGAAAGCTTTGTGTGCATTGATTTGATAAGGAAGCTGCCTCTTTGCTGTAGGGAGATAAATGCCATGTCCTGTCCATCATGTCTTTGCTTTATTTCTTCTCTCCTGAGTTTTCCTTTTTTTCACACGAGTGCTTCTTGATTTCCTTTTCTGAACTGTCACTGTTTTGTCTCCTTCTGTGCCCTTGATCTTCCCGGCGGCGGGAGCAGCCCGTTCTCTCGCCACGACTCCTACGCATGGCGCCAAGCATGGCCAAGGTCGACCCAAGGTCGCCTCCATGGACACCGAAAACGGTGAAGCAACTCTTCAGGCCAAACCAGTTTGACTTCTTGGTTCTCTGATTCACAAAATAACCTAAGTACATTGTGTATCACCATGGAAACAGACTTTCAGGGGGGATGTCTGTGCCTTGATCTAGCCAGGCTGAAATTTTTGTCTGTCATCTCAATTTTATTTGATGCAACATCACGTCACGCATGTGATGATGCATGCCCCTGGAAAAATGTTGAAATCCTGACCCTCTGAAATGCCATTTCTTGCATTTTGAGGGGCAAATCAATCTTGCTGGTAGACTAAGCGTAGTTAAATGACATTTCTTTCCATCACTTTATTCGCCAATTATTTTTGTCCATGAAAGGGCTGATTGCCATGGGCAAATTATTGTCCATCATAAGCAGCAAAATTCCAGAAAGACGGAGAATAGTTAGAACACTAACCTTGATACACAATACAAAAAGTCATCAATAGATCGATGCAAGCCTTCTGTTTTCATCCACACCTCTTTCTAAACTGTTGTATCTAAATGTCTGAGAACCAAGGGAATGAATTGGTATGGACTTCAGGCCATGTTGTTAACTTCATAGCCTTGCTGCGTTTGTTCTCTTGTAGTATACGTGATCCCAAAGCACTGCTGCTTGGATAATGCTTGTGGTCCGTTGATCACTGTGGGTGTGTTCGGTTTTCACGCATGTCAGTGAACCACATCTGCAATCTCCTGTTTATTTCCCAGTTGCCATGTTCTGCTATCCCACAGCTACATGTTGTACATGTACCAAAGCTGTAGCTTCAGCTTCAATGTCACCACTACTTTGGCACTGCCAGTTCAGGCTGTTATATTTAGAATTTCAAGGGGTTGGTCAGCAATGCTTCCCATTCACTTTTGCCCTTCCTTTGTTTTCTTTTTCCTTCCTTGTATGAACAATTTGTCTCAAGAAAAAATCTTTACCTGACTATACACCCTGAATTCAATTTTATGGAATAGCCTGGTTCTAGTAGAATGTGTAACTTTTTACTAATACATATTGCACTATTATTCACCGAAAGAACTAAAATTATGTATTCTACCTATTAGTAAATATAGTAACAGTTCTTACACGTTAAAACCGTCATGTATATTTTGTTGTTCAACTTCTTGTTCTTCTTGGTTGTCCTTAGTAGTTGATAAATAACAGCACACATAGTTTTTTTTTGTTTCTGCAGATTTTAAATGTTATATTTCTTAAGCAATTTTTCAAGAATCATGTAAACTTGATGGCATTCAATTCAACTCCAATAAGCCAGAGTGAAACTATATAATTAGTTTACAATGTAGCTAGAAATACAATGTATCAACGAAATATTTTTTCTACCAATTTTCTAGAGAAAAATGATGCGAGTCTCTTTGACTGAGCGTAAGAGCTAAAATGTATCTCCAAAGGTCCCCAGCCATTTCCCATTAGTTTGACTAGTACACAGACTAATTCCCATTTTGCTGATGGGCCTGTGAAAATTTATTTTTATTTCCAAGGTGTTGAAAGCTCACAAGGGAGAAATCAGCATACAAAGTACACCTGCTATGCTTTGCCGATTAATTCTTAAAGAGCCACACAAATATGTCTTAAATGAAACCACGGGGACTAATGATTTATTTTTATCCATCTTTATTCATCACCCAAAAGGAGGATGAAATACTGGAAGGTTTTGTAACACTGTATAGAAGGAACTATGTCTTATGAAGTGTTATTTTGGAAGATGGATGTTTTGTCACATGTGCTGTTTCTTGCTATCCATCCATGATTGTTTCAGCTACATAATGTGCACAACTGTGACAGTAACACACAAAACACACACTGTCAGTTCATTTAGTTCTCGTTAACTAGAGCAGTGATTACTAATTGTTCCATAATGATGATTGTACAATTATCAGCATGTTAACCTTCAGTTCTCCCTGCTGGAGCATTCTTTTGGCACCAAATTTGCTCTGGTTACACGGTTAAGCTCAGTGTTGATTGCAAACATTCACTCTAAAATAGCTGTACGGCTATCAAATTCTATTTTCACCTGTGAAAAATTTTGCCATTTTCTTCTTGTGTCAGTTTTCTTCCTTGTTTTTTTGGTAAAGACCTTGCCATATACATGTAACCCCCATTAACATTTACCTGCCATGTTACATATAATGTTACATGTATCTACATTGTATCACTTTAAAAAACAGACTGAGTGTGTTTAAAAGATCTCTAATGCAGCACCCCCCAGGTATAGATATCCATTGTAGTAGAGTGCATTATATTGGGGATGTTGCATGATTGGAGATCACTTTGGATGCATTGTGTTATTAGTAGATGCTACATTTTTTTAAAGCTATATCAGTGCTTGCTAATGGTAAAAATTCTCCAACTTGCTCTTTTCAGAAGTTGGAAATGCCCTACCAGAGGCAGGGTCGAAGAAGTACCAGCTGACAGTAGTTCAGGACCCAGCATACCGCCGGCTCATGAGCTCTGTGGACCTGGGCAGGGCACTCACCATCTTCAATGTGGAGAGGTTAGTCTTTGTTTCCATACAACTTCCATGTATACACGCATGACAAGCAACTGGAGTAGTGGATGTTTTTTTGAATTGAAATGTCTGCAGGGTATCCAGATGCCTGAGTAACAGTTTCTTTTGTATCTCATTACCAGAATGTTTTCCATACTAACTAACTTATTTCATCAAGCAGGAAAACTAGTTCTAGGCCTGGGTTGGTAAATGAAGCATCTACAAAGACAGTTGAGCATTTGTTGATGTAGCACTATGTATGAAGGGTGTGCCTGTCCTTGGTGCTAATGCAGCCATCACTTTCCTAATATACATTTTGAAGTACATAACAAAATGTGTTGGTAAAAGCAGTATGGTAAGTAAACTTGTAGATGGACTGTAAGTGACAGAAAAATTATCACAAAAGGTGGATGCCTGAATAATCTTACAAATGGCATAATGCCCGTTGTCCAAATGCTAGGTGTAACAAGTTGCTCAGTGTAGTATAGCAGCATCTGGTTTGTTTCACCAAGGGGTGGTTATACAGCGTATACGTACAGATAGAAATTGTATGATTGCTAAACAGACACATTATCAGGTGCCTGCACCTTTGACATTCTTCTAGGTATGTTTGATTATTTTCTTCCAGTGCAGGACTGTAAGTTGGTAGGTTTTGGACAGAGAGTGATGAATTCAATCAGGTTAAGGTAACAGGTTTGCCTCTAACTGCCAGGAGCCATTGCCCCCACTTTGACAGAGGTTGCCGCAATTATAGGTCTTGCAGATCTGAAGTTTTTGTAGACATACTTTTCAAGACCTCCTTGGATAAATTATTGGGGACTTCAAACGTCACCCTGTCCTTGGTACTGAACTGCACTTAGCTACCAATGATGTTATAACTCCCGTTTAAGCTTAGAATTGTCAGCAAGCTTTAGCAGTTTGATGCTGAAGTTTGATGCTACAGAGTTTTGAAATCTCTGATTTCTTTTTTTTTTAAACTTCACCCTGTCCTTGGTACTGAACTGAACTTAGCTACCAATGATGGTATAACTCCTGTTTAAGCTTAGAATTGTCAAAAAGCTTTAGCAGTTTGATGCTAAAGTTTGATGCTACAGAGTTTTGAAGTCTCTGATTTCTTGTTGTTTTTTTTAAACTTCACCCTGTCCTTGGTACTGAACTGCACTTAGCTACAAATGATGGCATAATAACTTCTGAATCAGTTCAAGCTGAAAATTGTCAGCAAGCTTTAGCAGTTTGATGCTACATACAGAGGTTTGAAATCTCTGAATTCCCTTTTTTTCAAAATCTCTTCCTGTCCTTGGTACTGAACTGCACCTAGCTACCAATGATGGTATAATGACTTATGTTTAAGCTGAGAATTGTCAGCAAGCTTTAGCAGTTTGATGCTACATACAGCAGTTTGAAATCTCTGATTTCTTTTTCTTAAATTTGATCCAAACCTGTCCTTGGTACTGAACTGTACTTAGCTACCAACAATGGTATAATAACTTCACTTCAAGTTGACAATTGTCAGCAAGCTTTAGCAGTTTGATAGCTCAGTTGTGGGCAATACCATGCGGCATGTGTTGATGAAATTCCGTAGCAACTTTCATCATCCCCAGCGCAGGAATTTGTTATTAGGCGTACGTTCCTGACAAGCACTTTCATCTGCGTCTGTTCTCTCAGATGAAGGAAAGTGAAGGGCCTTGCATTATACATCAGTGTCCAATTTAGCTCCTTCAAATTCCCAGTCACGCTTCTGTCTTAGACTGAAGAGTTTGAGTGTTTGTACTTAGTAGTCCAGAGGTGTATAAAACTGGGCTTTTTTAAAAGTTTTGCATCCGCATGGTTGAAGTTTTACTAGTTGTATAAAATTGAAATTAATTTTTTTAGCCCTAAGCTAAGTTAATAGCATATAGAATCGTCTAGATTTACTAGACGTTTCAAGAACAGGCAAATAAGGAAAATATGAATAAGAAATTTTCCAAACCAAATATTTGATTACAACGTCCACATTTCTTGTTTACTATAATTTATAATCATTAAAGGACGTTATTTTGTTAACACTTAATACTTTGTTCTACAGATTTTTGTCCTTTCTTGTTGCAGTCATGACCAGTTTTGAAATTTGCATCAGATTTGGTATGTCCAGAGCATGTCATCAGTGTCTTTGTGAAAAACACCACTAGCATCTGTTTATCTTTGAAATCATTTCCCGCATCTGTTTTGCCTCACTTTTATCGTACCGTGTGTGCCTGCCCTACATGTATGCAAATGCACATTGGACAGACATAGATGTGAATCACTAATGCACATACATTGTAGCAGATGGCTTTTAGCATCTGCCTCCCTGGATAGAGCTTAGAGGAGATTTATTTTGAGCTGCTGAAGACGAATTTGTCTCGGGGTACAGATGAACAATTTTGAATGGCGGTAGGTGATTACAATGACTAGCAATGACCCCTAGATTTGCTTACAATGAGCATATTAGCCTTCACTCTTCTGGAGTAGCCTTTTGGCACCAAGTTTGCAGTGGGGCTAACCTTAGGAATAGGAATGGAAAACAAACACATAAGGTTAATGACCTAGACCAGACATCTGTCACCATGGTTACCAGTGATGTAGCAACAACCTATGGTGTTGGGTTACATTATGTTGCAAGTTGCATGGCATACAACATGTGTTTGTTGGAATTATGTCAAATAACGGAAAGGCAGATCACTTGGTTGACATCAGACATACCTGAACCGCTCCAATTTTACCCATACTAACCCTCATTATGCAGCTGATATTTCAAGCCCTGTCCTCTGATCTCTGCCTTTTTTGGTTCATAAATCTCCTACTACAGCTAGACCTGACATTGGCCTGAGATCAGACCTCCTGAATTATGCAGTATCCTGTCATTAAAGGATATTAATAACACAGACCATCATCTCTGGGGCAGGGCATCTAAAGGATGGGAGGTGGTCGCAATTAAAATGTTCTGTCAGCCGGATAATGCCGACAACTCTCCTGTGTTTCACAGTCACTTAGAACCCTTTTAACCTCTTCCCTGCTGCCTAACCTCATAGCCGATACAAATTTGGTGCCAAATGGCTATCTTGGCAGGCTAAAAGTTAAAACAATGCAAGTGTTAAAACAATGCAAGCTAAGAAAATCAGAAGAAATTGCAGAACTGAAAGTCAATTTGCAAGCATTAAGTCCTTTGGTTGTCGTTACAGAAATGATTACATTTTAAATAAATGCAGGACAAGGTAGTTAGTAGAAAAAATTTATTTTGCAATTGATGATTTAAGATACTTTGTATTTGGTACAACGTCGCATGAACATACATGTACATGTAGGTTAGTATGTTAAGGGATGTCACGATTATGGGCTATAACCTGGACAATTCTGGATAGTTTCCAAAAACTAAAGAGGTTATAAATCCAAACAAACCTGGTGTATTGATTTTTGCCCACATGTAGTCGGCTAGGAAAAAGAAATATGAAGTGCTTTAAAACTGTTTGCCTTCTGGGATTTTCCAGCCCAGTGATACCAGAATTTTGATCAGACCTGTCCTTGGTGCTGAACACGTCATTCACACTGTTGTGCTCTAACTCTCAGTCTCCTGCAGGATCATTAGAACATGTTGACTTGATTGTATGAATGACATCCCTGGTTACCCCAAATCTGATGCCAGCATGCGAATAAAAAACCATTGGCAAAAAAAGTTGCCTTCCTTATGAAATCTACAATGGTCATGGAGGTTGAACAAATGACTAAATAGTAAATGCACAGAGTATGGTATGCTGAATAATAGACTCTCCCTTTTTTATTTCTTGACATTTTCTTCTCTTCCTTTGGCATTCTACTATTTTGTATTGTTTCCCAATATTTACAGCCTATGTTTGCTCATTATGCAGCTGCTTTGTATGATTTTTACAGTTTGGTCAAAAACTTTTTTTTTTGGAAATAAACGAAAATTCATGCATGCACGGATGTCATCCATATAATGAAATCAACATGGCCTAACTCACACACAAGTTATGAACATCCTATCCACTAGTGCCACTACTCATTCATGACTAACGTCTGCTACCCTGTCCAACAGAATGACCTGGTCGTTTCAAAGTAGGTTTATGATCTTCAGTAATGCTTCATTCATGATGAAGAAATTGCTTTTTTGGTTGTTAACCGTCCGTGGGGAGGGTTTATTCACGATCAATAGAAATCCTCAGCCATCCATTTACCAGGGCCCAATATCCATATAAATTGTGACATCAGGTCGCGGGTTCAGAAGTAGAGGTTTCCGCCACAGGTGACTTGTTTTCTTTCCTGAAATTCAATTTTGTCAGAAGAGCTGAGCTAAGACCATAGAGCATGTCGGCAGAATGTACTTTGCCTTAGCAAAACCCAGATTTTTCACGGTTCTCATTGGATGTTTGATCAACGTTGCATTAGAATTTTGCCTGTTGCAGATGATATCTTAAAATTCTGACATAACATTTTTTTGTTGCTGTGAATTGTATCATTTAGTCAGTATGAAACTGCTTTTTCACAAAACCTACTTTGCAGTTTTTCTGATTACCCAACAACCTACATATACATTATACAAGCATCAACCCTTCAACCTATTCTTACTTTACCACCTTAGGAGGTAAAAAAGAGTTTTTTGATCACTGGAAAACTAGTTTCTACTGAATTTGAATTTTACTGAATAAGACTTACTAACTTAAAGGCTCTTCAAGTTGTTATGAACAGTGCATTTTTTTTGGAAACCTTGTCACGTAGTAAAATCCATTGGCACTTGTGCCCTGCTTGTAGGCATTTGAATTATCTTTCAGTATTTCCCCTAACATATCCCTTGAGTGGCATTAGACACCAAATTTACTGTATAGTTTATTCTGGTAATGTGTACGGTACATTAGCCATGCCTGGTTAGGCATTCAAGGGTGTATGTGATGTTTGTTCTCCATTAGTTTGCAAATCAGCTTATTATGTAAGACAATATATGATAACAGCTATGATAGAGGAGGTAGTTGCCATTTATTAGTGTTATAGTTAACAGATATGAATTGTGACATTCAAACATGCATGCCTGACGAATCATTAAAGAGCATAATTTCTTGTATTATGATGGCAATATAATGTTATTTATAATTGTTACAGCTTCAATTGTATATTTAGAGGGGGAATGGTCCATATCATGTACATGTGTTGTAGTGCCAACAATACAATGTTTTAATCAATCAATTGGTACACAGTATAAGGTACATCTTGTATATGACATATTGTTTGAGATGTGTAAGATATGGATTAATGATATTTTGATCAATGTGTTATAAAGACATGTAGCACTTAGTCTAGATGACAGAATTATTTCAGATACACATTTTGTGCTTGTAGGTGAAGGCACTTTCAATTTGTATGATATTAGTTACTGTATCAAAAGTAGGAAAATTTCCTCAGAATTTCTTGCAACCATTGTTATCACAGTGACCCTTTTGGTACTACACAATTTCACCAGTCACAGAGATTTAAGTGAGGAAAGTTGTGTAAAGTGTCTTTTCCAAGGGCACAATGTTGGGGCATGTAGGTGGAATCGAACCCAGAACCCCAACCCCTGGGTTCCAGGCCGAATGCCCTACAATTATTACACCACATGACGCCACTGTTTTTGCCCCCACCAGGACAGATGCAGAGACAGAGAAGGAGAGGATACAGAAATGTAGCGACGCTTTCCGGAAGCACCTGGAGAAGTTGAACGCGGAAGTTACGAGAGACCTTCAGCATCACCTGAAGGCAGCAGTGGAGAATTGTGGGAAGGGTGTTGCCTACGAGCGACTCGATGCCCAGGGACCAAAGTTGGGGCCTGTGACAAGGAAATACCCGCTTGTTACAGAGTAAGTTGTTTGTTCTTATCTCTGCATTTCAGAAGAAAGAATGCAATTTTCAATTATGATATTATGAGGAAGGAGAGGTGGTAGGTATGTTTTCATTACTTAGTTTCTCCTTCTTCTTTCCCAAACATGTAAGGTCAATGACCTGAACCAGGTGTCTGTCACCATGGTAGCTGGTGCTGTAGCAGAAAATCTGTCGTGTTGGATTACATTATGAATCAAGTAGCAGGACAAAGTTTAAGAGGCTGGTCACCATATACATATTGTACATGAATGTGTTTGAATACTAATAATATACAGATACAGTGGTCGAAATACTTTTTTTCAGTGCTCTGCAATATTGCAGAAGAGTCAAAATTTTGTTCTGCAATTTGGAAATACTTTCTGCCAATACACAAGCCTCCATACTACAATCTTGCAGATTTATAAGCATGAACTATTGATTGATATGCAAATTAGTGAAGACAAATTTTTGGAAGTCCAAAAAGAAACAAAAGATAGACAAGTCAAGACAAGGATGATGCAAATTAATGAAGAAGCTCCTGTTGTTTCAGAACAGGAGCTTAAGTGTTGTCTGTCCTTGGGGCCAAGAGCACCAAATCCCAAGTGCCAATTTTTCCTGCTGCAAAATTGCAGATTGTATAAATTTTTCTTCTGCAATCTTGAAAATCTATCTGCAGATTGCAGACTGCAGACAGGTATTTCGAACACTGAGATAGCAACAGTTTGACTGTTTCTTGTGTTAGACCATGTGAATGACTTTCAACAGTATGCATTTTCTTTGCAAATGTTACCTGTCTAGTTTGTATCTTGTTTCTTACAGCTTCATAAGCAAGCATGTTACCCAAAAGTACAAAATTCTGATATCCCGAAAATGCTTATCCCGATGATGCTTATCCCATGATCTGTACTGTGTGTTTCCCGTTGCAGGTATTTCCGACAGCCGAACGGCGAAAGCTCGTCCTGGCATGCAGATGAGAAGCTCATGAGCAAGAAGGAGGCGCGCCTCATCCTGGCGCACAACGGCTGGGTCATGGGGGACGACCCGCTGCGGAACTTTGCCGAGGCCGGCTCGCACGTGTACCTGCGCCGGGAGCTGATCGCCTGGGGCGACAATGTGAAGCTGAGGTACGGCAAGCGCCCCGAGGACTGCCCGTTCCTATGGAAACACATGCTGGAGTACACCATGGCGACGGCGCGAACCTTCCACGGCATTCGCATCGACAACTGTCACAGTACGCCCATACATGTGGCAGAGGTAAGACAATAAGCCATTATGTTTAAAGTTTAAGAAGAAAAGTAGTACTTACATCGACTATCATATATATTATATAGTTACAAACTGCAACTGTTCACTAATTCAGTCTTGGTGGATGCCATTCATCAATCAATCAATCAATCAATAAATCAAGCCAGCAATCAGTACTTTGTGTTTTAACTGAAACCAAAGCTGTTGTATTCAAGTATTGTTTTCCACGTTTTATATACCACGCTCGAGAAGTTGTCAATCGGAAGTCTTTTTTAAATTACAAAATTTATATAGTTAGATTGTACCTGCCAATCGACAGACCCTTTTAATTGTCTTATGAATGAGAAAATAATCAAATAGTCTATTGAAGGTGTTAGGACTAGGAGTCATAGCCACAAAGCTGGCAGGAGACCTGTCCTTGGCAACGTAACATTCAAATTGCAGCTTGCAACCAGGAATCTGATTGGGCTTGTCCTTGGTGCTGAATGCAGCATTCACACTGTTGAGTTCTTACTCACAGTCGCCTGCTTAACTTGACTAAAGATGGCAATGTATCAATCAAAGTGGTTTTCCCGAGTCTATTCACATAATTGACATGTGGTGTCATTTACGAGCAAACCACAGATAATAGATTAAGATGGAGGAAGACACCCCATATAAAATTCAAAGGTCATGCATAAGTAACAGTTTGGGAATATTGCCATGCATACTTACATGTACATGTAGTCAGCATTGTTGTTTCCTTTCTAAACTCTGAGGCAAAGTTGGTAGGGGTTAAAAATACTGACATTTCATATAATGTTGTAAACTTTATTACACAACAGTTTTACAAATAAATCAATCAAATTTCATCAGTTGTTATATAACAAGAATGCTATGAGACAAAAATCTGTCTTGCAAAGACTAGTATGAGATGAGAATTTGCTTTTTCAGTCGATGGTCCAACTTCTAGCATTTACAGTAGAATAGATTTACAGTAGTGTTGCAACTGTCCTTGGTGCTGAAAAATGCACTTCCATCATATCATAACTCTGTCTTGTTGCCTGTCTAGTTTATGCTGGACGCAGCGCGACAGGTGAACCCTGACCTGTACGTCGTGGCTGAGCTCTTCACGGGGAAAGAGGACCTTGACAACGTGTTTGTGAACCGACTCGGAATAACATCACTTGTACGAGGTACCGTACGACTCCTTTATATGATGTAACCGGGGCTTAAATATTGTATAATAGATAAACACACTGTGACAGGACTAATGGACTAATTCATTACAACTAAGTGCCATTCAGGAAGTGGAGGTGCCAAAATATGACAGGTGTTACAAGTGTGTGTAAAAGCCAGTAACACAACTGTCAGTCACGTTTGCTTACCACAAACTGAGTGCGCCCCGTATTGTCCATTTTAGTGCCAGCCATTAATGTCAGTAATGTGAGACAACTGCACAATAAGGTTTCAAAATGGAAGTTAATTACAATTACATGAAGATTTTTTCAATTGAAATTTTGCAAAAATGTTTATAGTGTGCCTTTAAGGTTTGTTCCCTGCCAACACTATCAGAAAATTGATAAACTGCAAAGACCTTTAGCTAACTAAGTGGTGATAGTAAGTGATTTGTCTTACTTCATTAGAAGAGAAATACAGTCATAAAAGCAGCAGGTTGCTCCCCAAAATGGGTTCACGAGATGATCATACTCCATGTGACAAGGCCATACTAGTATCAACTTCATCTTTCTCCGTTATATTCCCCCTGCAGGGCTTAAGATACTGAGTGCATAAACTGTTATCTTTTGTGCACCAAAAAGTTGGTGCACCTACATTTTTGTGTAGATTTACATGTGTTCAAGGTATGCTTGACATACAAGTACCAGAAATCTAATGAAACCTCAAAGTTTATTGTGGTAGGAATATATTGAATCTGTGCACCTACATTTTTAGATAAGATGCATCAGTGAACCAACATTGTATTGCCCCAAAAGGAATTTTGAGCCCTGGCCTGTCAGTAGGGTAGCACGAGTCTATTACCGCTAGTATTGATTTGCCTTCAATCTTTGAACTGTGTCGATTTGATCTCCATTAAATAGATATCGTTTGGCAGACACCACTTCAGTGTCTATTATGAGTAACTAAGGAAGCCAGCATGGGGCAAGGCCACACCAATTTATGTTGTTGTTTCTCTGCTTTGAAAATAATTCTAAAGTGAAATATCAACTGTCATAATACATAGCCGAATATGGCCTCCCAAACACTGCTGAACTCCCCCCAACCATGGTTAGGGGTAGGTTGGGAGCAAGGTCAGCTGCGGTTGGCTGGTGTTCAGCCAGGTCAGCTACTGTTTTGCTGCACCAGCAGAATGTTTCAAAATGTTTACAACGTTCAGGTGTGGACGGGAGGTTTGGCCAGTTGTTGGCTGGTGTTCTGGAGTGGGCCAGGGCATTGTCAGTTGTCAAATTTAATTCAAATTCGATTTGATTCCCATAGAAAGGTAGGCATGGCCTAATTCTGGTCAGACAGCTCTCAAACAACCTTGGTCGGCTGGTGTTCAAGGGAAGGTTCTGTATGTGTTAAAGGGGGGATTTAGATTACCTTCAAGTTGACACATGTAGTTACAGCAGAGGAATATAGTCATGCAAGTTTGTTTCCCTGAGCCTTATTTTTTCATCCTGACTACTTAGTAAATTTTCACATGCTAAAATGTCAGAAAATGAATCGTTTTAGAGATTTTTAGCGCTTTTGTTTGACATATCATTTCAAAATCTGGTTACAAAGCCAGCATGCTTTGGGCTATGAGTGTGTTACTAGTATATAGTACACTATCCTAAGTTGTGTGAAAGTTGTTGCGTCGAGTGAAGCAAAAAGGACAACTTCAGGAAGGAGCTTCATTTCCTGATTATAGGAGGGAAGATTGGGAGTCTTGGCATGAAATTGGATGAATCGGAAGGTAAAAATCAATGGATCTGGTGGAGATATTCACGGGGCCGGCAAACGTGACAAAACGCAAAGATAACAGGGCTGGAGATTCAGTCGGTTTAATTGAGGTTCAAGGGTAGACCATGTACACGTCTGGCACGTGTTCCTGCATTCAGGATGGACGGCAGCTGCAGTACAATCAATAGAACTGCTCCACTTGGCTGATCATATGCTGTAGGATAAGGAGATTCTTGTATAAGTTATTTCTAACATTAAATGGTGGTGTTTGAAGCATAGACTTATAGATGAGATTTGTCTGTCAAAAATAGTTAATGACACACTTAGTTATTGTATAGTAGGTATTTTCATTCTGAATGTATCTGATTGATGACTTCTTATGATTTTTATTTGGTTTGTAACATTCATGTGAAAGGGTGCAGCTGTGTTCATCAAGTACTGTTCAGTATCTGAAGTATTGAAATTTATCTTAACCTCATATATGTTATCGCAAACTCAGTTATAACAATCCTAATTGAAGAAATAGAACAGAAGTAAGCCTAGTTTCCTTTTTTTATTGTACATTAATTGGAGTTTACCACTCGGGTCTGTGCATGAACAAAGATACAAATAAATTATCCAAATAACTTTTGAAAAAAAACCCATTCCTCTCAGAGTTACAATGTGTACAATTTGAGAGGAAAGAGTGATACATTGTAAAGCTACAGGTAGGAACTGTCTGACATGGTTGAATGTTTGAACATTATTGAGACTCAGCTATGACATACATTATAAGCTTGATACTGAGCCCTGCTAACAATAGTAGTATAAAGTAGAGGGGATTCATTCCTCAAGCTAACCGACACCTTGCACACGCAGTCGTCCCTCAGTAAGACACCTGGAGCTGCATAGTTCCCGTTTAGAACTCTTATTCAGCCTGTCACACTGCTAATGATAGTACTTTTGCTCTTCCCCACAGAGGCTATGAGTGCGTTTGACTCCCATGAGGAGGGCCGGCTGGTGTACCGGTACGGCGGCGAGCCAGTCGGCGCCTTCTGGAAACCCAACACGCGACCTCTGACCCCAGCGATTGCCCATGCCATGTTCCTTGACCTGACCCACGACAATCCATGTGCAATACAGGTACTGTGCATGTGTCAGGGTTTCACATTTCATCTGGCAATTATGTGTACGGTTTATGATTAAAAGGAGAAATTTGTCTAAAATGTACTTAAAGTCTTACATTTAGAGTTGGTGTCCTCAAGCTTGATCCTGATGTGGAATTCTGCTGCAATGTACAAAAATGTACACAAATGTACATGTATGTAATAGACAAACTACTATAGCCATTCACATGAAAAAGTGAAAAAAAGATTTGTAAACTCTAAGTCTTAATAACTATATTCATTTTATCATTTCTATAGGCATTAGACCAAGTACTGTACATATATACTGTACATATATGATGTACATTATATGTTTCCTCCATTGAACTTAAAGTACATCAACTGTTATTTTAACTCTGAGTCAATGAATGTTTTTTTAAATCTAACAAAGCCTTGTATGTTTGTCATGACAGAAACGTTCTGTGTACGACCCGTTGCCGAGCGCTGCTCTGGTTGCCATGGCCAGCTGTGCTATAGGCAGTACCCGTGGTTACGATGAGCTGGTACCTCACCACGTAAGTTTCTTAAGTTATTCAAGTTTAAATTTTTGTCTTTCTTTCACAAATGATATTTTTTTAAAAATCATGTCAGGGTCCAAAATAGCAACAATTAGATACTGCACATGGCCCAATCTCTGTCTAAAACGACTGTGTCATTTCCAAGCATTGATTTTTGATGATAACTAATGAGAAGTGGTAAAATCAGCTAGACAAGTTTGAGTCTGGTTTCGGGGTTACCAGGGATCAAAGATGGCACCCACTGGGTCATTTGTTATGTCATTGGGACAGTCTACTGTAGGACATAAACTTTGAAATCTGTATCTCTCTCTTATCTTATCGATGTGCTTTGTATTATAAGAAGACCACTTACATTTGTATCTATAAGAAGACCAGATTCTATAGGTCCTCTGGGTAGTCGTCTTATAGAAGTTTGACTTTACTAGTATTTTGTCATTTTTGCCCTCCTCTAGGTTTGATGTTTGTCTTATATATTATGTAGATCCATGTAGTGGAGGAGGGACGATGTTACCCCGTCTGGGACGACAACTCCAAGAAGGAGGATGTTTGTTCCGTGAACAATCGTTCCGGTATCATCGCAGCGAAACGGGCACTCAACCTGCTCCACCAGCAGTTGGGCATGGCCGGATTCAACCAGGTTAGAAGTAAAAAATTAGTTAGAAAATTCTTCAGCACCAAGGACAGAGCCGACCATTTCTTCTTTTTTCTGTTCTTCTATTCGATCACTATAACTTGTTGTGCAGAACAGACATTTTGAAATGCTTCAATTGCAATCAGAAACTGGATCATACTAAGTTAGGACATTTTGATGGACAGTTGGGACATGAAAGAGAACTTACTTTGGCATTTAAAGACCAAAAAAAGGCACCCCTTTATGTTCTATCCCTTACCTATATTGTCTCAACAGTAAGTCTGTCTCCTGTGTTATATTATGAAGTGATGAAATTTTGGAACATAAATTCATTTGAATTGTCGCTGGTTTACACTTATGAGAAGTGATTATTATATTACCAGTATGATTGACAATCCAATGGACTGACAGCTGTTTTTATTTGTTGAACAGGTTTATGTTGACCAAGTGGATGAAAACATTGTAGCGGTGACTAGACACTGCCCCAACTCTCACCACTCTGTCATCCTGGTGGCCAGAACAGCCTTCAAACACCCACATAACCCTCAAGCAACAGGCTACATCCCTCCGCTATGTATACCTGGTATGTGACACAAAACCCCCTTCCTTACAGTGAGAGTGGCACGAATTATGTTTTCTTATTTTCGGCTGAAAGTTTACTTGTGTTGATATGGTTTTTATTTTGTAAAATATTCCTAGAAGAATTAGTTTATGTCAACGAAGTTGATAATTATTCAGCAAAAAAAACGTACCCCAAATGTGAGCAAAAAGAGCCCCTCCCCTGCATATTGGTACAGTCAAATATTCTAATAAATGACCACTTACTAGATGGTTTGTTACACCTTGATATGAAATGGGGACTTCTTAGTAGTCAACACCATTTGGCTATATGATGATTTGACTTTCCACAATGCCACTCCTAGGTAGCATTTGGGTCAGATAGCTGAGGAAGACTGAGTGATTCAGTCGAAAATTTCTGGTGAGTCAAATTTTGAGTTGGAGAAAAGTTTAAGTTTTTCATAATGTAATTTACCAACTCAGATGAACTTTTATGCTGCTACAGGTGTTGTTGAGGAGATCATCCTGGAAGCCCGCTTGGTTCAGAAGTCTCCCGACGACTTTAACCAGGATGGAACCTTCATCAACGGACTCAACAACTACCAGCTGGAGATGCAGGAACACATCCAGGTCAGAGGTCAACCTGTTGCATATTTACTGTATATAAATACAGAAATAAAGATTCTTATGTCTCAGTTGATTTTGGATTTAATGTTTTATTAATAGTAACATAGTATGCACACAGCATAGGCTACATTTAGGCCACAACAATTTGATTTAGGTTGTCAGATTTTTCAGAAAACATACTAAGAAACAGGGGAAAAACAGGCCTTAGGCATTCTATGATAGCCCTAAAGTCTACTATAAGAGTTGATGGTGTGAATGATGTCAACAAGGGTGGTTTATATGTGAGTAAATCAATGAACTCTTAAACCACTGCAAAGAAAGGTGGAAAAACATTAACAGCTATGAAGCGGTGACAACGATGATGATGATGATGATGATGAAAGAGCTAAGTTGTAATTTGACCCTTGTGTGTGTTGTGCCCATCGCAGCTGTACGGCAGTGCTATGGTGGAGTTATCCGGAGGGGGGGAGGGCAGGAACTCTCCAGTACAGGAGGTTGACTTCATCAACTTTCCTCCAGGCAGCATCATTGCGTTTAGGTGAGATGTCTGTACTTATTCTCTTTGCTAAGGGCATCCAAATTGCAATTTCAGGGCAGCAAAACAAAAAATACCCTGGATGAGTAAAATTGGCTGATGTTAACATTTACTGCCTTTTCATCATTTCACATTTGAAGTGTTTAAAAATAGCCAAAAAGGAAGCCATCTGAGGCATCTCTTTATTTTTGGGTACTGTCAATGAATAGTAATTGTTATACCCAGCCTATGATACAAAAAAAGCTGTTTATGTCAGCAACATCACATTTTTGCCTCACAGATATAACTTTTGTTTATTGATGCATCAAAAAAAATCTCAAGTACATGGAAGCTCTGCCAAAATTAAAATTACAGAACACACAACGCAATCACAGTTACAGCTTTGGGGTAGGATTGATTTAACCTATTGAAAATGCCCCCAAAAAAATGCAGACTGTAGGTAACTAGTTATTTCTAACACTAAAATACAGTCGTGAATAGTTTCGTCAGGTTGGTAAGACACTGAAAGTCTTTTATTCAGCCGACATTTCGGTGACTGTCTGTCACCTTCCTCAGGGCAATTCTGACTATTTCACATTGCACTGCAGCACAGGTGATGCATTCCCAAATGTACAATATTTACACATCTACATATATATACGTGGTTACAGGGAAATGTATCAGATTCAATGAGGTCCCAAACGTTGGCTGAATGAAAGTCTAACTTGGTTGTGTAAAACAAGTCTCTTTACTCACTAAAATACAATGTATGTCCCCCCAGGGTGTCCCTCCCACAGCACACACGGCAGGCCATCTCCTCACTCAGGAGCTGTCTGAGAGAGTTTGGATTCCACGTACGGCCAGGGAGCCCCAAGGGGGAGCAGAGGTGGGACTTCCTCAGGTAAGGACCAACAAATACATGTACATGTACCACCTGCTTCATTTGGGGTCGTGTGGTGTAGTGGTAGCATCTTCGGCCCGGAACCAAGAGGTCCTGGGTTAGAACCCCACCTTGTCACCGATCTTGTGCCCTTGGGAAAGGCACTTTGCATGACTTTCCTCACTTCACTCAGGTGTAAATGAGTACCTAGGTTGGTTAGGGACGTCCCTCGGCTAGGACGTTAAATGGAGGTCCCACGTTTGGGAGAGCCACACCCCAAGCACGTTAAAAAACCCACCTCACTTATTGAAAAGAGAAGGAAATCCTTCATACAGGTGTGAGTGGTTCAAACCTTACAGTTCTATGGCAGCACCTGGGGTCGTATTGAGGTCACCTGAGTTAGCGTCAAATGGCAGCTAGCTGCTCCAGACCCTTGCGATTATGCCCCAATAATTGTAAGCTCCTCACAATTCAGCCCTTGTCTGCAAAGAGAGAGTAGCCGGCCCACCCAATGATAATAATCGGCTATTCCGAGATCAGGGTGCGCCAAAGGGTTGCACTTGGGCCAATTTTTCAAGTTTTATATTTTTCTACTTTCAGTGCAGAAAATCGCACTAGAGGTGTTGCCATACATTGCACTTTTAAATTTTTGGATAGAGACGTTCAGTTCAAAAGTTGTGCTCTTCCAAACTTTAGCCCACTCATTTCAAATGTGGCCGGCAACGGACACTACAGCTAAGTTGTAGTGTCCGTTGCCGGCCACATCTGGCCGCTCAAGTACATGACAAGAACACCAAATCTTGCAAGACCTGTCATTTAGGGGTTGACAAAATGCTACAGAAATAACATAAATGACAAAATTACTTCAAAATTGCAACAAAATGTAATTAATGTACCTATATGGTATACTTGGCAACGGACACTACATGGCAACGGACACTACACCCTTGAGGTTTTTTGACATTATTTCATATAATTACAGCAATAGACTGAAATAGCTACTGTGTTTTAAGTCAGCATCTTCAGCTGTTTCAAAACCTGAAATCATATGCACCCACAGCTTTTCTATTTTAAGTTATTACCGAGCAACGGACACTACACATTTTCTCGGACAAAAAAGACAGGTAACTGTAAGCCATCAGCCATATTAACCCAAAAGACAAGCAACATAAAAACACATGTTTTGTGTCATATATGGATGTACCTTGCATAACATGCAAAATGGCCAGTTCTATCACCATCCTTTTTAGTACAGGGAGATACAATGTAAGTTAGTTGCAATGTGTTGATTTATGAATTTTACATAACGTGTACAACATATTGATAAATGCGCTCTAGAAAAGAGAAATTTCCAATCATCATCAGGTTTTTTGCAAAACATATCAGACTGAGCATGTCTGAACATATTGCAAATCTTTTCATTCCATTTTTTTGTTCCCAAATTACTTAAAAGCATATTTCAAAAACTGGCATTTTTCAAGTGCAACAGCATAACGTAGATTTTATGCCAATTTCTGGTCTTAAATTGGCCATAGCATAAGTTTTAAACATCTTAACACCAAATCTCTTCCTGATTGTCTGGAAAATAACTGTACTAGTATAACAAGTTTGATAAATGTCAACAGAATGCGATAAATACAGAGTAAGAATGACATAACGATGCACGATGCCATTGGCGCACCCTGATCTCGGAATAGCCGAATACAAACATTATACAGCTTAATACAGGGAAAATTGCAGCTGTGCAGGTATTTCTGATGTCTACCTGAACCAACCCTGCACCAAGGGTTGGTACTGGGTACATACCAGAAGTACATACAAACTTTCATGATGCTAGCCTATGGTGTGCCTATGGCTGCGAGGCGCAAAATACCCAACACTCACTACTGTTTTTTCTTGTAGTACTTGACTGAGAAATAAAAAAACTGTCCATAATAATGTACTTCTTTAAATTTGTAAATAAATACTAAGGTATGTAACGTATTAAAGTATTAAAAAATGTAACACATTAATTTTCAACTGTTTCCAGAAAAAAATCATTTTCTTCTGCAATATTAAGAATGTCTCCGCAAAATTCAGTCTGCAAGTGGGTATTTCTGATCCTGGGACTCCAAACCCATAATGCATGTGGCTCAGACTGAAGTATTTAATATGGGCTATTTTCAACCAGACCTAAAAAAATGTATCATGTATGTGTACATTATATCCAATACATAAACATCAAAGGCTTAGTACGCGTTGCAGCGAACAAGCGAACAGATTTCTGTAACCACGATGGCACGAAACGAGGCACTGCTGTACCTCTTACTCCTGGTTTCCAATCAGCTACTGCTCGTGTCGGCACAAGCTTTACGGTGCCCTGACAGCTGTCGCTCCTACACCACAAATCTGTCGGGAAGGAAGCGAGTCACCTGTCACTGCCCAGATGAACACTGGGTGGGGTCCCCCTGCAGCTGGATTGGGTACGGAGGAACGTACAGCTTCCCTGCATGTCTCGACGGCATACCAACCGGCTTTGTCAAAGCCACAATGTCGATCTTCATTGAGCATCTCCGTTCCTCTACCATTTTGGAGCGGTCTTTCCCCAACAGCACAGAAGTACGGTTCCTTATGATCCAGGAGTCCAACGTGTCCACGGTGCAGCCAGGGGCTTTCCAAGGTCTGCCGTTGGTGGAAGACCTTTCCCTCAGCGACAACCGTATCTCCAGTCTTGGTACGTTGACAAAAATGTGTATTTTGGGCTCCTGATATTTAATTTGTTGCTTTGAAACTAATATAACAACTATACAAGTACAATAATCAAGTAATAACTAATTAATCTTGATAATTAAAAGTACAAATAAAAAAACCCTGAAAACCTAAAATAACTTACAATACTCTGTTTCATTGTTTATCCTCAGAACCCGATATCTTCCTTGGGCTTGAGAGGGTAACAAACCTTTACCTTGAAAAGAACACCATATCCGTCATATCCCAGCATGCATTCCGCGGCCTACCTCTCCTTGCGATGTTGAGGTTGAACAAGAACCGTCTGCGTTCTGTGCCCGTCGACGCACTCCTACCGCTTACGGCACTGCAGGTTGCAGGCCTGGAAACAAACCACATCACCACAATCGACAGCCAAGTCCTGCGTCTGAGCCACAACCAGGCCCTGCGGCTTTTGTTAGCAAAAAACCAGCTGAAATGTGACGCCAATCTCACCTGGTTCACCTGTCATCTGCCAGAGTTGGATCACATCTTTGGCCGTGACTACCTGAAGTGTGCATCGCCGCCCAACCTGAGCGGAATTCTGCTTGCCACTGTGAGGAAGGACATGGTCAGTCAGACCAACATGGGCTGGTCACCACAGGACATCAGGTCAGGGAGATGTGACGAAACGTCCACCACAACAGGTTCGCATACTCACCACACCAGCCATCTGTACAACGACACCATTCTCACAGAGATGACATACACAAACGCCACACCAGTCTCAGAGTACCAGGCTACAAGACAGGCTACAACTGGGACTGACATTGTCACTCTTCCAAGCTTTGGCCCAATCCTAACCGGAGGAAGATGACAGTTACCACGTCAATGCCATCATCATGGCTGTTGCTGTGCCCCTCCTCATGGTGTTGGTATGGGTGGTTGTCATCTACTTGTACGAACGCTGTAACGGCACAGGTCTGGCCCCTCACAACGCTCCCGCTGAAACAGATGGAAACTCCACCCCTTCGGACAGAGAGTCAGTCACAGGCGGAGAACCGAGTCCTGTTGAGGACCAGACATCAGAGGGCAACGATGACATTGAGCCATACGCTGTGTCATACGTGGATGTGTCAGGGAAGGGGAAAAACGGCAAGCTTGCACCGTACGCAACAACTTCCTTTGCTAACATCCAGCCAACAGAACCAGACAACGATGACATTGAGCCAATTGAAGAGAAAGATGACATTGAGCCATACGCTGTGTCATACATGGATGTGTCTGGGAAAGGAAAAAACGGCAAGCTTGCACCGTATGCAACGACCTTTATTAATGAAGACCCAGGGCCACAGCTTCAGCCATATGCAGTGACCCAAGATGAAGACCAAGGGCCACAGCTTCAGCCATACTCCGTGACCCAGGATGAAGATCCAGGGCCACAGCTTCAGCCGTACGCAGTGACCCAGGATGAAGACCCAGGGCCACAGCTTCAGCCATACGCAGTGACCCAGGATGAAGACCCAGGGCCACAGCTTCAGCCATACGCAGTGACCCAGGATGAAGACCCAGGACCACAGCTTCAGCCACATTCTGTGACCAGGGGTCAGTCAATGCCTATTGGGGCTGGTTACACGTCACTGACAAAGTGTCACCAAAAAACAGGCAACAAACGTCACAAATAAAGTCACCCAACCAAGGGGTCAGTCACTGCCAAGAGGCCATATACTAGCAGGTTACACGTCACTGACAAATGTCACTAACCAACGGACAACAAACGGCACCCAACCAAGGGGCCAGTCACTGCCAAGAGGCCATATACTAGCAGGTTACACGTCACGGACAAATACCACTAACCAACGGACAACAAACGTCACACAACCAGGGGGCCAGTCACTGCCAAGCAATACAGCGGAAGGTTACACATCATTGACAAATGTCACTAACCAACAGACAACAAACGTCACTCAGCCAGCCACTCAACCAAGGGGTCAGTCACTGCCAAAAGAAGCCAACGTCAAACCAAACTATGAGAGAGGCTGTCCGTCAACAAGAGACAGCAAGGGTCCTTATGGTATGGACGAGGGGAAGGAGGTCCCAAGTGTCAGTGGGGCACTGTACAGGAGTGGCTCACAGCACACTGGTGCAGAGGACAGCACATCTCACATGTACAACACATCTCGTGGACAGAATAGGAGTGAGGACAGCATATCTCGCAAGCTGTACAACACAGCTCACGGACAGAATGAGAGTGAGAACGGCACATCTCACAGGCTGTACAACACAGCTCACGGACAGAATGAGAGTGAGAACAGTACATCTCACAGGCTGTACAACACAGCTCAAGGACAGAATGAGAGTGAGAACAGCACATCTCTGTATAGCGGATCATCCTTAGACCCTTAGCTGCCTACAGATGTATTGTCATTGTATTTATTTTTATTATATTTCATTGGTATTTTAGAAATCTAGTATTGTAAGTGATGTGGCATCATTTTATTAACAATTTGTGTGTGCCTATGGTGTGCCTATGGCTGCGTGGTGCAACATACAATGTACCCTATAGCCCAACACTCAGTACTGTTTTTTTCTCTAGTCTTGTACTTGTGTGGCATAAGTTTGAATGGAGCCCACAAGCATGTAACCACTTTCAAACTGCACCGCTTTGATCCAAGCTCTCAGCCCTTGATGAAAAAATGCCAAAGGAATCCTTTCTCCATCTTGCCTTAATGAGTCTCATAAAGGCAAGAAGGAGAAATAATCCCTTTGGCATTTTTCATCAGTACATGTATGCCATGTATTCCCCTCACAGACTGAGAGCTTGGATCAAAGAGATGCCGTTTGAAAGCGGTATGATTAATTACTGGATGTTTCTCTGGAAGTGTTAAATATGAAAAGCTTACTTAGTCTGGTAGATTCTACCAAGAAGTTTTGAGGATATCAATTTTGTTGAATTTTTTCCTATATAATTTTTTTTTAATTTTATGGTTTACAATAAAAAAAGTATAAGGCCACACCAATTTAATTTGTTGGTTCTCGGATTTTTTCAGAAAAAAATATGAAGCGACAGGGCGAAAAAAAAAAATAAAAAATAAAAAACAGGTCTAGGCATCCTATTATAGGCTTAAATGCTATGAAATGAGCCATGAAGTCAAACACAAAAAGGCTGGGTTAAAATTTAAACATTGAATTTTGAACTTTTAATCATACCACTGCAATGATAGATGGGAAAACTGTAACAACTACGAAGAAAAGGACTTTCCTCAACTGTTCGGGGCAAAACATATTAAGCATTTTTCAGTTGATTCAGGACCAGAATCAAATTTTTTTTTTTTTGCAAATCAGAAAAAAACGAAGGGGCGAATCCGAGAACCAACAAATTAAATTGGTGTGGCCTAATAATAATGTTATTAGCCGTATGCAGAAGGGATATTATGCCACACTATTCATCTTGATGTAGTTGGGTAGTCTTGGCTCTGTGTGTATTGGACTTAGAAGAGTGACTGTCACAATAATATTGATGAGTATTGAAAAGTGATACTTTTTTGCTAATGTCTAATATATATATATTTTTTCTAAGTAAAATCTACAAGAGTATTGAGCAACTGGGGTGTATAAGATTCTATAATTTCATGTTTCATTCAATAACTAACAACTTATTTCATTGTACAAACATGTAGCTGATTATAATCATTATTATGGCACTATCAGGCTAGGGCTCGAAATACTTATTCTGCATACCAGTAACTCTACTAGTGCAGTGTGTACATAGTAGCAAAGGAGTCCCACTCAAGTGCTATGCCTTTAATATTGTGAATATTGGTTAATGAATAAAGAGTCTGAGGGTTTGCCGAATACACGTCTTTCATACTGTATTTCATATTAATAGGGAAGTAGGTCATGTGCAAGTCTATGTCGATTTCTGTTGTACCATTTACTAGTAGAAATGTTGGACTTGGACTTGATGGAGTTCTCTTCTCATTGAGCAGTCCCTGATGTACAATGTAGATGTTCTCTATCTGACCCTGGATTGTTAATGATCGGTCCCTAATGTTGATGTCTTCTCGACCCCCCCCCGTATCATTAATGAGCCGTCAATGATGTACGTGACTTGTTCTAAGACTCTCTTTCCCCCAGTATTGTTAGTGAGCTGTCCTTGATGATGTAGATGTCTTCTCTATCTCCTCCAGTACCCAGTATCATAGTGAGCTGTCCCTGATGTACATGACTAGTTCTCAGTTAATTTCCCCAGTATCGTTATTGATCTGTCCCTAATGTAGATGTCTTCTCTATCTCTCCCAGTAGCATTAGTGAGATGTCCATGATGTATACATCTATTGTTCTGAGACTCTCTTTCTCCCCCAGTATCATCATTGAGTTGTCCCTGATGCACATGTTCTCTGTTTCTCCCCCAGTATCGTTAATGATCTGTCCCTGTCAGACATGAACCGTGTGCTGTACCGATGTGACCCAGAGGAGAGGGATGAGGGGTGGGGAGGAGGGGTCTACCACATCCCTGGGTGGCAGAGCCTCATGTACTGTGGACTACAAGGTATCTTATTTCATTCACAAAACTTAACAATTAACACAGTAACTGTTCTGCAAACCTTAAAAAGTTCAAGTTGACACACACTGAGCACGTCGGCAGAACGTATTGCACCTGCGCAAAACCCGTAATGTATTGTACATAGTACTTCGGTAGAATGTCTCATATAAGGTTGTATCCGCTCATATAAGGATAGCATTTTGACAGTAGTTTCCAAAAGTTGTGTCGAAAAGAATATCCCATGCAACAGGCAAAATTCTGATGCAACGTTGACCAAAAACCCAACGAAAAACGTGAAAATACGGGGTTCTGCTCAGGCGCAGTACGTTCTGCCGACGTGGTCACACACTGTTATAGCAGCAGGTGCATGTTTTAGTCAGATACACATTTTTCTCAGTCTCGTGTTTTTAAGATGGGCTCTTGTTGGATTTTTGTTAAAAAGATTGATTTGGCATAGCCTAAGGGTTGAACAGTTCAATTCTTTCCAAAAACTTATTAATTCTAATTTAAAAGTAATGTTTGTCTAGTAGTAGATATTTTCCTGTACATTTATCTTTGTTATTTTGCTATCAGGTTTCATATCTGTGATGGCAGACATCAGAAACACCAATGACCTTGGCCATCCTTTCTGTGAAAACCTTCGTCAGGGAGACTGGATGCCAGACTATATCGCAAACAGGCTTGTCAGGCATAGGTCAACCAAAAAGGTGTGTCACAGATCTAATTCTCACTCAATTTTACTGTCATTTCTTAAAGCAGCTGCTCAGTTTTATGCTAAAAAAGCAAAATGACACACTAGTGATACTGGTTAAGACTGAGGGATGTCACTTAAAATGTCCAGATATGAAGTAATCTTCATATTTTTTCTAGATGTCGAGTTTGAAGTTTTTGGTAGCATTTGTATGACCTTATGTACACGTATGTATGTATGTATGTATGTAATATGGTTATATGTGTGTATGTGCTGTATATGGTTTAGCACGATAACTCAAGAAGCTTTGCTTGGATTGTTATGAAATTTCCTTGTTGTTATAACAGCTTGGCAAGTGGTTTGAGGGTGTATTTGAGTCCCTGAAGGAGATCCCGAGGTATCTGATCCCGTGCTACTTTGACGCCATCTTGGCGGGAGCATACGCCACCATCACAGAGATGACCTGGGGACAGATGTCTGAGTAAGTCTGTTTAACTTTTTTTACACTTTTGGAAAGTAAACGGTGTTTATTAATCGTTTTACTCACAGTTGCAAAACTTTGGAAGCTTGTCAAAAGCACATTTTACAAGTGGTCAAATTTTTTTTAGGAAATTTTGTATTTTGGTGTCACATGCGCTTTTTGTGCAGTTTGGTCTTGCCTTAAATGAGTATTTTGATTCCTAGATTTGTGACCCAGGGCTCGACACTGGTGCGTGCTCTAGCCTTGGGATCTGTACAGTTCTGTGGAGACGTGGCGTCTTCCCCCCTCCCACACCTCTCCAATAAGATCCTGAAGGACATCCCAACAGTGGTGAATGAAGAAACAGGTACGCAATCTTAATCAAGATTTCTTTTCTGTTGCTTCCATCTTCGTGTATGTAAAAAATTCCATACTGCCAAAGAGTGTTGCAACAGTATCCTACAATTCTGTACAGCACTGTTAAGCTGTTGGATCACTTTAACCAAAATCTTGAAAAAAAAAGACAATATCTAGTAACCTACATGTATACTGGCCCTATCTATTTCAGGGTTGAAATTGGGAACACAACATCTATTTTCCTAGGTCTAGTGGTTAACTGAAACAAAAACTATGTTCACTTGACTGATATAAGTCTAATAATTCTTTATCTTCAGGTCGAAGGGAACAGAGATGTAGCACCCTCGCTGCTGGACTACCCCACTTTTCCTCGGGGGTGATGAGGTGTTGGGGGAGGGACACATTCATTGCGCTTAGAGGACTTCTGTTGGTGACTGGTAGATACAGTGATGCAAGGTAATGAACTGGACCAGACGTCTGTCACCATGGGGTGTTGGGTTACATCATGTAGCAGAACATCATGTAGCAGAGTTGGAGAGCCTGCTCAACATGCATATCGATGTATTTGACTTTAAGAAAGACTAAATAGAGTTGTAGTTTGTTAGGCTAGATCAGGGGAAGGTACACATAATGTATTTGCTTGGCAAAACATGTTGCTTTTCTAGTTATTCTATGAAGCTTGACTTATGGATTTGACTTTCTCTTGTTCAGGAACCTGATCTTGGCGTTTGCCGGGTGCCTGCGTCACGGTCTGATCCCGAACCTGCTGGGAGCGGGGGCGCACGCCCGCTTCAACTGCCGTGACGCGGTGTGGTGGTGGCTGCAGTGTGTGCAGGACTACTGTACCATGGTCGACGACGGGCAGGACATCCTCACTCTCCCAGTGTGCCGTCTGTTCCCAACCGATGACAGCCCTCCCAGGGATTCAGGGTACCAGGTAAGTGTGTGTGTAGCTATATGGTAAGTGTGTGTATGTGTGCAAGCCAGGGCTCTAGCCAGTACCCGTTTTTCCATCAAGTGCAGGAACTTTGTGGCATTTGATGGAAAAATTTTTTAAGAAAATACGTCGACTTTCATGGAAAAAATTGACAAAAATCTTGCGGTAAAAATATAAAAACAGCCAACAACCACTCTTAACCCCCGTATTTGCCTCTCACGATTGCATATTTAAAAGCTTAAAAATACAAAATTTGTCCCTGGACCCCCATAGATTGTGAACACTCCCCCAGGTCCAATCATTAACCTGGGCTGACGGAAAAAGATTTCAAGCTAGCTAGAGCATGAAGCATCTTGTTTAGATCACAGTATGGTAGTGCCACTTGACAGTTTTGTGTTGAACTGCAGGAAGAACCACTCTACAAGATAATCCAGGAAGCTCTCCAGCGCCACGCCCAGGGGATCTCATTCCGCGAGCGACACGCCGGGCCGAGTCTGGACATCAACATGTCATCTGAAGGTACATTTCAATAACTATGATTTACTCAGAAATCAAATGTGTACAGACCAGAAGGGTTTCATTAGGCCCTGAATTCTGACATCTGTAATAAGAAATATCATTAGAAATTTTAGAATTTTCTCTTTGCTGAACTTCAAAAAGTCTCTCTCTATATATATATGACTTTATAGATCCCTTAACTTGTTTTGATTAAGAGGTATGAAGGTTCTTTAGAGTAATACATTTAAGTGTAGTATCTACAACAAGAGCAGTACATAGGACATTGGAGTGCTTTTTTTTTACAAATTTTAAACCAGTAATGTCTCACACCTGCTTACATTTTGATGTCTATCAGACATCTTCTTCAGAGCTTCTGACTGTAGTGCTGCTTCTTGTTCTTCAATGATCCAGTCAGAATCCCAGAGGAAAGTGTCTCATAGACATCAATACAAAATGTAAGCAGGAAAGAAAGCCCAAATTCCAGTATACTATTTTCTATACCAACTTGATGAAATTACTTTCAGAAGAGCTGAAGATGTTTTTTCTTGTTTCCCAGGGTTTAACGTGAATGCAGGTGTGGACTGGGAGACAGGATTTGTGTTTGGAGGCAACGAGCACAACTGTGGGACGTGGATGGACAAGATGGGGGAGTCAGAGATGGCAGGCAGCAAGGGCAAACCTGCTACACCCAGGTACGGAGAAGGGGCGAGATTTCCTCATCTTGGTGACACTGTGAGCACCATACATGCCTGTCCTTGGTGCTGAAAATTGTACATACATGCACATGCCTTTTTTACACAGCATATACCTGTCCTTGGTGCTGAACACTGTACACATTCAGAAAAAACATACATGTCCTTGGTGCTGAATACCATCCACACACAGGCAAACATACCTGTCCTTGGTGCTGAACACTATATGTTGAGATCTGAAACAAACCCTACTATTAACTGGAAATAAATAGAATCCAACCTGAATTTTAAATAAGAACATGGATATGCTGTGACCTATTTCTGACACATACGTGACCATAATCTTGTGTAACGTTATATTCTCAGGGATGGATCAGCAGTTGAAATCGTGGCCCTTTGCAAGTCCACACTAAGATGGTTGGTGGCCTTACACCAGAGCGGTGCCTACCCCTACGACGGCGTCTCGTTCCAAAAGGACGGGAAGGAAACCACGGTGACCTTCGCCGAGTGGGACGCGAAACTCCAGGAGAACTTTGAGAAGAAGTTCTGGGTTGCGTCGGAGCCGTATGAGGAAGAGGAGAGTCCTGGTCTGATCCACAGGAGAGGAATCTACAAGGACAGCGTAGGGGCGTCGTTTCCGTGGACAGACTACCAGCTCCGCCCTAACTTCTGTATTGCCATGGCAGTGGTGAGTAGTATAGGATGAGCCGTTAGAGGTAAATTTTGTGGAGGGACTACCAGCTCTGTCCTAACTTCTGTATTGCCATGGCAGTGGTGAGTAGTATAGGATGAGCTGTGAAAGGCACAAAATGATGGTGGATGACAATAAAGAGGTGCTGTAATGTTTCAAGAAAGTGTCTACAAGAAATGGCTCTCTCCCCCTCTCCTTCTCTCTCTTTCTATTTGGATAAATGTACATGTGCCAGTGTCATACAGTAGTCAATGTTTTGTTTGTTTGTCTGTGAAATTTCATGTACTCAAACTGACTTGTCCTTTATTTTAGGCACCAGAGCTGTTTACACCAGAGAGAGCCTGGAAAGCCCTTGAGATTGTGGAAACTGTCTTGCTTGGACCGCTTGGAGTGAAGACTCTGGACCCTAAGTAAGATGCTCTTTCTTACCTTTTATTGCAGATATTTCTAGTCACTCCTCTGCCTTTAAGCTAAGATCAAATGTAGGGTGTATATGTAACACTTCCCTCAAAACTTTTCTGCCCTTAAATGTTGTTTTTAGATGTGATGGATAAGGATTTGACACAAGTGGTAGCAAAAATAACGATTGTCATATTTTATGAAGCCTTTTGTGCCTTTTTTTCAACATTCAGTAATGCTTTCAGATTGTTCTTGTTGTTTCTTATCCACCAAATTGTGCAAACTATGTTGAAACGTTGGAAATGTTGATTTACGTTGCAGAGACTGGAAATATCGGGGAAACTACATCAACTCTGTGGACAGCCATGACATGGAGACTGCCAGGGGCTTCAACTATCACCAGGGACCGGTTAGTTCTCTCTTCCTCTTGGGCTTCAGCATGGTTTCTCAGACCACTGCTGCAAAAGACTCATTTTGTTTGTGGAATACTGTAACAGGTTACATTTTTCATACTTGAAACATCAATCTTTAGCATCATGATAGTTTTGTGGGTAATTACATGTAATTACTTCTGGTTACAGAAAGCATTGTTTTAGGTGCGTGGCTGAGTGTGTATTTTCTGTTTGCTTGAAGATTACAAACAAAATGAAGGTTGACAGCATCTGTGGTGACAGACGGTATTATTTTGTGTTGTTGCCCCCTACAGAAGTGGTTGTGGTTTGTTTGTTTGTTGATATTGAAGTTTGTTGTGTTGACAGGAGTGGCTGTGGCCGGTAGGTTACTTCCTGAGAGCCAAGCTGCATTTCTCCTCCCTGGTGGGCGGGGCCGACACCTTCTACAAGTGCATCGACAAGGTCAAGGTCACACTGTCCAACCATCACCAGGCCCTGCTCAAGTAAGCCATGTGTAGCTTCTGTTGCTTGATGCTTCATTGTTATCTGTCGTCATCGTTCACCATTCTAAAACTTGTAATTTCTGATCATCAATGATTGTGAGCCTTTCTTCTTACCTACTGCCCCTTCAGATTTTTTTAAAGATTGGATCATGAGAACCAAGGGATTAAATGGCTGTGTTCTTGACTGAAGATCTTCCTTCTAGACTGTTGACTGTACATTATTGTAGAATTCTCAGTGTCTTATGCTACTATGCTGTTCCTAGTCAGCTTTGTTGGCCACATTACACTGCGACAGTCACATTTGTCCTATCTAAACTATGATGAGAAGTCCCAAAAGAAGGCCTTAGAAACATACATTTCCACTTACCCTTTATTTCAATCTTGAAAATTCTTCTTGACCAGAAAGTCACAAGGGTTTGATACCCATGTAAGGAATGGCATTCCCATTTTCGAGCCTGTGTTTTTGAACTGCAACTATGATGGCAGGCCATGTAGTATTGCATACAGCATTCTTGGTTCATTTCCAGTATATTGACAGTTGTTTATGCTTGATTTTCCTCAGGTCACCGTGGAAGGGTCTGCCTGAGCTGACCAACGCGGAGGGCGCCTTCTGCAAAGATGGCTGCCCGACGCAGGCCTGGTCGGCGAGCACGATACTGGATGTCCTGTACGACATGGACAAGTTGGTCCGAGGAAACAACCAGACGAGCACGGTTTAACGCCGCAGACACGAGCAAATGTTTGATATTAGTGTTTCCAGTAAGGAAAGAAAATAAGGGAAAAAAAATTAAAGCGTTGCAGATGCTGTCAGCTAGTTTGCTGCCACTAGACATCCAGATACAGGGAGGCAGTCTTGTAAATTGGTGGGAGTTTTGATCTAGAATGCCTTTGGTCCAGAATACATATTAAACAGCGAATGTTTATCAGTGTTTCCAGTAAGGAAAGAAAATAAGACAAAGAAAATTAATCAAAAGCGTTGCAGACGCTGTCAGCTAGGTTGCTACCACTAGACATCCAGACAAAGGGAGGCAGTCTGACTTGTAAATTGGTGGGAGCTTTGATCTAGAATGCCTTTGGTCCAGAATACATATTAAACAGCGAATGTTTATCAGTGTTTCCAGTAAGGAAAGAAAATAAGAGAAAGAAAATTAATCAAAAGTGTTGCAGATGCTGTCAGCTAGTTTGCTGCCACTAGACATCCAGACAAAGGGAGGCAGTCTGACTTGAAATTGGTGGGAGCTAGAGTAGAATGCCTTTGGTCCAGAATACGTAAACAGTTGTAGTTAATTTGCAGAAACTACGTAGCAAAAGGAACAGAATTTTGGACTCTAATCTGTTGTCTTCCTATGAGTCAGTCATTTCGAGTAGTTTCATTTGTCTTGTCTGTTCAGGGTTTCAATGAAGATGCACCTCAGCTGCTGTAGATAGGAATGGTCATTATTGTTTCAACACTGTGTTATCCAAGGATTGAAATTGCATTGTAGAGAATTGGCACAAGACAATGTAAAGCCCCTGTCACACATTGCTGAATCCGGCTTCCAGAACACTGGCCAAACTCCCCCCAACCATGGCTAGGCTTAGGTCAGGCTAGGAGTAAGGTCGGCTGTAGTTGGCTGGTGTTCGGTGAGGTCGACTACTGTTTGGCAGCTGAATGCTTCAAACTGATTAAAACTTTTGGGTGTGGCCGGGACCGGGAGGTTCAGTCATGGTTGACTGGTGTCTGGGAGTAGGCCAGTAGTGTTCGCGTGTAGTTGGGGATCAAATTTGATTCAAATTTAACTCAAATTTGATTTGTGTAGAAAGGTAGGCATGGCCTAAATCTGGTCAGACTGCTCCCGAACTTAAGTCAGCCTTGCTTCGTTGGTGGTGGGGGGAATTTTCTGAATGTGTGACAGGGGCTTTAAAAATCTGGCTGAGATCTAAGGTAAGAGCTGCGTTTATTGCTCACTGAAGAATACGCAGTCATGAGATTATTGCAGTAAGACAGTTATATAGACTTGCAGTAAGGAATTGTTCTTTTCCTTCCACAAGTTTGTTGAATGTTATCTTCAAGTTGACTTCAGTCAAAAGAAGCGGTGTTGCTTCCAAGGACAAATTTCCTTCCTGCATACCTACATGTACCCATTGTAAAATTTAATGCCAGCAAAACTGAAGAGGCCGAGAGGTTTATAAGGAGTGCAATGTCTTTGTTAAGAAAGAAGAAAGCGCCATTGCTTATAGAAATTGAATTGAAAAAGGCTAGTTTAAGGCAATGAGTTTGTGACCAAGGATCTTTACTTGTGAAATAAGTTGTTGAGTAAGGCTAAACTGCTTGATATTGTTGTTGAACTTCTTCCTACTGGAAAACTAACAGACATCGGCATATGTTAACTTTGCATCTACAAGGCTTATACAAGTGACTTGTAATGCTGGACACAACAGGAGCTGACAAGTGTTTGACATTCACAACAAAAAATAATGCATTTTAAGAAGTGAATCACAAGAAATCATTCTGTAGTTGAAAGAGTATCTTATTTTATCCCATGTGGAACAAAAGTTAAATACAAAGACAGAAATTTAGACAATCCAATGCAGTTTTAATTTTTTTGTTGCTTTTGTTTTCCATGTACTAGTATTTTACCTCCGCATCGAAAATACGAAAAAAATTGAACTACTATTAATAATCAAAATTCAGATCAATGAACATCTGGCTATTTTAGATATGCAGTTGAGTAAACAAAACTAGTAAACTTTTGTCAAAAATTCTTAGAACGGAGACTTGATCAAGAAAATAGACATTCAAGAATTTGTGCCCGTTTTTGTACCTTCCCAAATCCGAGTGGCTTCCCCTTTTGTTCTGCTGAGTGAAACAAAAATTTAAATCCAAGATTTATCTGTCCTTAAATGAAAAGATGAAAAAGAAACTACTCAAAGTCTGTAATGTTAATCCAAGGTGCTTTAGAGCGTGCTTTTTCTGGGGAAAAAAAGGCGCAAACAAAATATGCTGCAGTAAATATTAGAGTTCAGCGATAGAAATTTGTATTAAAAAACATGAAAATTGAGAACTAACATTTAGAAGTAAATCATTTAGTTCCATGGAGGAGGAAAAACATAAAAATTTGTGCCCAATGTTACTGAACCAGCCCCTTCCTAAGGAAAGTTCATTCCCCATGCAAATTAAAGATGTTACTGAATGAGCCCTTTGTGCAAAAGTCTCCAAGTATGATTATGTAAATGTGAGAGTTGAATTTATGGAAAGTAGAAGCAAGAGAGATATCAGACAATATAAAAAAGAAGCTATTGTTAGATATACCTTTATATAGTATATGTACAGGTGAATTAATGTCTAGGAAAAGGAAAGTTTTGCAAGTTACAAAGTTTTGTTAATTGAGGTAATGCATTGAGCTGGTTTGTTGTTTAAGCTGGCCATTTTATTAGATCTAATGTGTACCCTATAAATTGTAGTGAAATGAGGAATGGGATGTGCCAAGTTGGGGAAAATTACATACAAATGCTGAATCTTTGCTTGGTATTGAATCTATATTTTACTTAGTGATACTGACTTTAGGTAACTGTGACACTCTTTGTCAAATTCATCTGAAAGCGACTCTTTTCCCAAAAAGAGTCGATTTAGAAAGCAGGTGACACTCATGTTCACAAATATTATAACAATATTGAACAATCAGTTTTTCTTTGGGAACAAAATTAAAATGTACTTTTCAAAAGTGGAAAAAAGTTCTCTGGATTTTTTTTTAATAAACAGTGGGTGATTTTATAAATTGATTGGCAAATAAGTAGTGCAGGACTTTGTTTGGTATAATTACCATACATGTATTTTCGTAAAGAATTTTGTCTAATTTTGTCTTTTAGCATGATAAACCCCCCATTTGGCACACTCCCATACTCCAACTTTCTTCAAGCAGATGTTGGGTAGAAAGGTTTTTTTTTTACTTCCATGACTTCTGTAACAGCCACAACCCCAACAGCAGTAGACAATATTGTGATTTTCCACCCAACATCTGCTTGGAGATTTTTCTCTCCCACTCCTACTCATCCACTGGTGTCACAGTTGTACGGGTTTTCTGCACTGTCAGTAACTTCAAGCTGCTACGTTGTGATTGTTTTATACCATAGTTTTGTAGCTACATGATATTGGATGTGGCTTTGGGACATAGAATTAAACTATGGAACATGTTACACTCTATAGTCTTTGCCTCGTTATTACTGCTGAGATGGAAGTATTGTTTTGGGTGGTGTTGGTTTGGTGGAAATTTGTATTGTATGTTGCATGAAACAGCAGAGTAAGTACTAGTATGTCATTCAATCGTATGACTATGAAAAGTAATCCCTTCTATGATGTAATTCAATCAGGTATTTTTAGCTATGCCTATGGAAATAAATTTGCATGGATGGTAAGAGGTGTTATATATAATACTATCCTGTCCACAGGCCTAATACATTTATCTCAGAGAACCCAAAACAATTTCCAATTATTTATCACACTATCTTAATCCTCCACACAGAAAGAAATCCTGTTTTTTTTAAATTTTATATTATGTGTCTGACATATTTCCTCGTTTAAATTCTTCCCTCCGAAACCCGGTCATTTTATTGCCATTAATACGTCAGCCACAGGTAAATGTGACCCTGCAGTTTGGAGACAAATCGCTAGAGGCCACTGCTACACGGTACATCTGTCGGATAGTGTCAATACGTTTCACCGGCGTCAGGACGCTTTGCAGTGAATGGAACGCATATTTCCAACTCTAACCCTAATCATAACTTCAATTCTAACCATAGCGATTACCAAAACAACGGCTAAAAACATGGGACGGCTAAACATAACAGGAAATGTTGCTGTGAGTGACTTTATTTAGTATTTTGTACAAAAGTTCATCACAAAGGGGAGTGTGAAACTGCACTACTACACTTACGTCATAGTTCCGTCAGCCTGCAGTTTGTAGACAAATCGCCAGAGGCCACTGCTACACGGTCCATTGGCCAGGTTTCGTCCTGACGTTTCGCCGACGTCAGGACGTTTTGCAGTCAAGGGAAGGACTATTTCTTACTCTAACACTAATTAATTCTAACAATAGCGATAATCATGGCAACAAAATTTCAGCTAAAAAATGGGACGGCAAACCATAATAGGAAACCGCAATTTCGGCGGCGTTTTCGGGAATGTTGCTACGAAGTGTATGGCTGAGTCAGCTGATACAAGCCATCACTTCATTTTAGATGATCTCACGGCAAAGCAGCCTGTACAAGGCTTGGCCGCAAGGCCACGGTCAGTTAACATTCGATCCTTCTGAATCGCCCCAAAGTCAGGCTGTTCCAGACTACCAGATCCTTCTGAAAATCCGTACGGTCAAGCCTGTTCCTGGTGCTGACCTTGGTGCTGATCAAGAGGCCTGGAGAGTACGGCTTGAAAGGAGTTTGATGGGGGTGCTTATGCTTGCAATTGTCTGCTCTGTTTACTCGGTGTAGGGAGGGTCGGTGGTCTTCAAATCCCGCTAAATTACAGCACATTATATATATATACATATATAAAAAATACTCCAAAACGTGACCAATTCTACCGTGTCGCGCACCAAGCACAACCGGGCCGCCATGTTTGTTTACATGTTCGGCGATGTTGAATAGTAAAAGTAGCGTCTCTTTCGTAGCAATATTCCCGAAAACGCCGCCGAAATTGCGGTTTCCTGTTATGGTTTGCCGTCCCATGTTTTAGCTGAAATTTTGTTGTTATGATTATCGCTATTGTTAGAATTAATGTGTTAGAGTGTGAAATAGTCGTTCCCTTGACTGCAAAACTATGGTTGTATAGCCCAGTCAAAAGCTAATTACACTGTAATTTGACAAAATACACTGTATTTTTGACCGAAAACAGTGTATTACAAAGAAAACAGTGTATTGCAGGCAGATTACACTGTAATAGACAAATACGGCGTTTGTAAGACAGAATACAGTGTATCTGAGGAATTCACTGTATCGCAGCCAGTACACTGTAACGTCCCTCCAATACACTGTAACGCCTCTCCAATACAGCGTAAAAGTCAATACACTGTGACGCCCCTCCAATACAGTGTAACAGTCACGACAGTACACTGTGATGGCTCTAATACAGTGTTACACTGTAATGGGATACGCTGTAATGATCCCTACAGTGTAATAGACTCAATACACTGTTATGATCTCATTACACTGTAATAATGCTCAATACACTGTAACAAGAAATACGGATGGAACCTTGCAGTACCGCTTCATTCCGCCAGTCAGAATGCAAGCACAGGGGGACTTGGGGATCACCAGGCGTGCTTGTGCTTACGTACGTACACGCGTTTACAGTTTACAGTACCCGCGTTTACAGTTTACAGTACCCGCGTTTACAGTACACGTGTTTACAGTACCCGCGTTAACAGTAAACGCGTTTATAGTACCCACGTTTACAGTAAACGCGTTTACAGTTTACAGTTCAGGCAGTTACCGTACACGCGTTTACAGTACCCGCGTTTACAGTTTACAGTACCAGCGTTTACAGTTCACGCGTTTACAGTACCAGCGTTTACAGTACACGCGTTTACAGTACACGCGTTTACAGTTTACAGTACCAGCGTTTACAGTTCACGCGTTTACAGTACCCGCGTTTACAGTACACGCGTTTACAGTACACGCGTTTACAGTACCCGTGTTTACAGTACACGCGTTTACACTACACGCGTTTACACCAACGCGTTTACACCACACGCGTTTACAGTACACGCGTTTACAGTACACGCGTTTACAGTACACGCGTTTACAGTACACGCGTTTACACCACACGCGTTTACACCACACGCGTTTACAGTACACGCGTTTACAGTACACGCGTTTACAGTACCCGTGTTTACAGTACACGCGTTTACACCACACGCGTTTACACCACACGCGTTAACAGCACACGCGTTTACAGTACACGCGTTTACAGTACACGCGTTTACAGTACACGCGTTTACCGTACACGCGTTTACAGTACACGCGTTTACAGTTTACAGTACATGCGTAACAGTAAACGCATTTACAGCGCACGCGTTTACAGTACACGCGTTTACAGTACACGCGTTTACAGTAACGCGTTTACAGTACACGCGTTTACAGTACACGCGTTTACAGTACACGCGTTTACAGTACACGCGTTTACAGTACACGCGTTTACAGTACACGCGTTTACAGTACACGCGTTTACAGTACACGCGTTTACAATACACGCGTTTACAGTACCCGCGTTTACAGTACACGCGTTTACAGCACACGCGTTTACAGCACACGCGTTTACAGTACACGCGTTTACACCACACGCGTTTACACCACACGCGTTTACACCACACGCGTTTACAGTACACGCGTTTACAGCACACGCGTTTACAGTAAACGCGTTTACAGTACACGCTTTTACAGTACACGCGTTTACACCACACGCGTTTACACCACACGCGTTTACACCACACGCGTTTACAGTACACGCGTTTACAGTACACGCGTTTACAGTACACGCGTTTACAGTACACGATACAGTGGATTCCTCAGATACACTGTATTCTGTCTTACAAACGCCGTATTTGTCTATTACAGTGTAATCTGCCTGCAATACACTGTTTTCTTTGTAATACACTGTTTTCGGTCAAAAATACAGTGTATTTTGTCAAATTACAGTGTAATTAACTTTTGACTGGGCTATACAACCATAAAAACCTGGCCCATGGACCGTGTAGCAGTGGCCTCTAGCGATTTGTCTCCAAACTGCAGGGTCACATTTACCTGTGGCTGACGTAACTATGACGTAACTGTAGTAGTGCAGTTGCACACTCCCCTTTGTGATGAACCTTTGTACAAAATACTAAATAAAGTCACTCACAGCAACATTTCCTGTTATGTTTAGCCGTCCCATTTTTAGCCGTTGTTATGGTTATCGCTATGGTCAGAATTGAAGTTAATGATTAGGAAATATGCGCCCCATTCACTGCAAAGCGCCCTGACGTCGGTGAAACGTATTGACACCATTTAAACGTATTAACCATCCAGCAGATGTACCGTGTAGCAGTGGCCTCTAGCGATTTGTCTCCAAACTGCAGGGTCACATTTCCCTGCCGACAGTTTGTACCTAAACCGCTAGGTCGCGCTAATGTACTGTCAGTCAGGGTGCGTCAAGGTGGTCAAAGGTCACGAAGGAACCTTGCCCCCTTCCAGGTGAGTTGACGAGGTGAAATCCTCCTTAGTAGTCCTCTGTGCCGCTGCTGAGAGGCGGGGAGCTTCTAGGGAGAGAGATTTAAGGTAAACGCTGCCATAGAAGTACGCATTAGTCCACGGATAACGTTAATTTGCTGTCGGATTTCAAATTCGTGGGTGGGAGGGGGGCGTGGATGTTTCGGTGTAAACTAAAATCTCATAATCTCATTTTCTGCCAATCTGGTAAAATTCTAAAATATGAGCGGGGAATAGTCGTTGATTAGGCTACTAAAACTTGTTGTAAAGCTATCATCATGAAAGCCGATGAGTTGAGAGGTCGAAATTTGCGTTTTTCACGATCTAGTCAATTCTACGAAGATCTGAAAATATTATTGGACCCAATTATGCATGTTTAAAAATCTGGTTACGTTGTAAAGTGTCATCAGTCACTGATTTTGTCACCATTCCAGGGAGATCTGTCCAGCATAATGGTTGCCATGGAGACAGTGTCAAAGGTCATCAAATCCTGGCTTGTGGAGTACAAGGTTAGGAGCAAAAATATTTTGCTGATATTGACATTTACTGCCATTTCTTAGCACATTTTTCTCATCATTTGAAAGCCCAAATATTTCATAGCCCAAATATCAGCTGCCCTTAATTTCTGGTGCCACCAATAAATAGCTACTTGTAAATCCATCCTGTGATACAAAACAAGCAACCGTTTTCCGTCAGATTTTTGCCTCACAGATATCAGTGTTCTATGGGAAAGGGTTGGTTCAACTTACTATATTCTAAAAATAACCAGAAAATTGACTTTGCAAATATACTGAGTAGTTTACTGCCCATTACATCTACACTAGGTGCCTTTAAATGAAACTGTCCTTTAAAGCACTGTCAATGACAGTGTTCTCACAGGGCCAGAGACAGGAGGGAGTGGCTGATACCGGATGCTGCCATATATTCCCTGATCCTCAGACATGAGGATGGGACTAGATAAACAGGGGTTTTTCTAGAAAAATTTAGCATGAGGGAGCAGATCGCAAGCATGGCAAGGAACGAAGCGACCGAGGGGGGATTTTTTAATAAGAGTAACACAGTTTGTAATGCTAGAATGCATTGTTGTATTGTTTTTACATCTTTACTGGAAAAAGATCATTTTGAGAAAGACTGGTGTGTAAGTAGCCACATAGTGTTCAATTTGAAAATTGGTATGAGGGAGCTGGCTGGTTACATGAGGGAGCAGCTCCCCTATTCCCCTGTTTAGTAAAACCCCTGAATTTTTTTTAAAGGTAAAGCCTAAAGGTAAAGCACTGTCAATTAAAAACAAGTTGTATTTGATCCTGGCATTCTACAGTCAGTGGTGAGCCTACAGGATGGAGAGTATGTCTCCAAACTACACAACAACAAGGAGCTGACGGCAGCGCTGTATAAAGTCTTACACCAGGAGAGTGAGCTGCTGAACGAAGTCTGCCCTCAGCTGTTTGACTACTTCCGCAGCGGACACAAAGGACTGTACCAGTTCACACTACAGTTTACACCTGCTCTCATTGGACATTATCTACTTAGCATGGCTAACAAGGAAAGAACGGTCAGTATGACATAATTATGCAGGGTTTGAAATCCTAAATATTTATTCATACCCACCTGGTTCAGGTACTAGTAACTTTGAAAATTGCCTGCGCCAGACAAACGTTATACCTACACTACCCAGACTTTGAGATATATGGATCATACTAAAAAACTGGTTTGAAGTTTAATCCTTAATTGTGTACCATTGTGTTGGAATATTTAGTTTAGAATCATAATATAATACAATAGACACAGATGAAAAAAAACAAACATCCATGAGTCATATTCATATTGTCCATACAGATGAGTGGAAGAGTGGAGGCCTTGCTTTTGGGAATGTACAACTTGGTGAGTACTAGTAACTAGAAAATTTCACTGGAAAGCTTAGTGTCTTTTTGTGTGTGTGTATATGGAGGTTATCAGATCATTATCCTCCAGAGCAACACAAAACAAAACATAACTGACAGCTATGCTTTCCAGAAAGTTTATTTTCCAAAGCTTAAGGTGATATCATTCTAAGCTCACGAGCTGTTATACCTATGGCTTCTCTGCGGATGACTGGGAATGAGTGTATGACATATGTATACTGACCTCAATGATGTAACTGTTCTTGTAGGAGGCTGTTGACTCTGGAGGCCAGCCCACCAGTAAAGTCTTCACTGTCCCGACCATGGCCAAACCTTCACTGTACCACGAGGTGAGTCTCAACACTCATCAATTTCTGTAGTGCAGATCTTCCATCACCAGCTTTTGCCAGCACGGAACGTCAAGTTATCTTGCATTCATGTTTGTGCCTCTCTGGCAATGCAAGCCATATGGCAGTACAGCTTTTTAAAAATCCCGAGTTTGGCTTTATCGATGAATGAAAGAAAAAACAAAGCAATATATAGGACAACTGCACACTTTCGTTTTAGGTAAATATAACTAATGCATTGGAAATAATGTAAAATTTGGTCAGGGATTCTAAATCGTGTAATTTTGCATGTAAAAGGCATGTTTTGTTGTATTTGTCCCATTTCTAGCCTGTGAACCTGGCGTCCATGGCTCTCACTGAGACAGCGCTCTCCAGACATGAACAGCAAGAGGTCCACGCCACGCTGTCTGCACCCCACCCCTACCTGGAGGCTGTTACAGCACATAACAGGTACAGCTACCTGTAGCTTGGTACAGGACATAACAGGCACAGCTAGCCTCGTGCAGCATGTAACATGTACAGCTAGCATTAAATGTAGTCTGGTATAGCACATAAAAGGTATAGCTAGCTTGGTACAGCACATACAAGGTACAGCTACACGTGTAGCCTAGTACAGGACATACAAGGTATAGCTAGCCTGGTACAGCACATAACAGGTATAGCTAGCCTGGTACAGCATATAACAGGTATAGCTAGCTTGGTACGGCACATACATGTAACATGCAGTTATTTTTGTTTTCCCCAGACTGAGTATGCTGACTTACGTACTGAGCAGGTACAATGCAGATATCGTGAACATGCCGTCTGACTCCAAACTTTCACTCTGCCAAGTGGCATCAAGGTAAGGCTTATTTGGAGAACCAACAAATCAAATTGGTCATTAGTTATGATTGATGATATACAGGTTCATTTACAATTTGTACATGTAACTCTAATCTTTCAGACTGTGTACTAACAACCTACGAGGCAGCCACAGTTCCAGTAGTGAAGACGGACCTGAACCCAGAGTGCCGCTGTCGTCTGCATTTCTGGTGGAAATCCTCGCAGGCCTGTATCAGACACTGTGAGTCAGCTTACTTTCAATTTGTGTTACTGTACAGTAGTTCCAATGCACCCTTCTTAAGCTAACAATTAGTATATTGACCTGAGTTTTCCTTTGTTTTCTATAAACAGGAAAACTTTCTTGAAGTGTTTTTTTTTATGATGTTCCTTTTTTTTCTTGTTAGTGTAACTTGAACTCGGAAAAAAGGAAAAAAGAAGGAAAAAAGGGAGCAAATTTCTGGAAAGCGTCTTATTAAAGACATTTTGTTTCAGATTCTTTCATGAACCACAGACACCAACATACTTCTGATGGGAAGTTTTCCATAGTATGATACATATGAAATTTAATACCATACGAAGAAACCATGCCCTGAATATCATTTGGCATTCAATATATACAACAAATCTCCTTTAATTTTCTTGTTTTAAAAAGCAGTTGTTATAAACTGTCCATCAGGTATACAGGACATTCAGAGGCGGCACGGCAGGCAGTTGAGGATGTCTCTCAGAGGGCCAGATATGAACTCTTCCCAGAGGCTACTATGGTAGGTACAGCTGGACAACGCAAATTTCACATATCTGCCTCCCTGAAAAAATCCATCTAAATAAATCTGCAGTGCAGTGTCCTCCAGTATACTGTAAGTCACTTTACATTTGCGGTACTTTAATACCGGTAATCATGTTTTTTTGTCACTTCTGTGCCGCAAATTTATCATTACTGCAAACAAATAATTTGCCAGCTTTCTTTCTTCTGCACCTGCCGCCATGACATATAGTTCTGCAAACATGTCCATTTTTACCTGCAAAGTTGCAGATTGTTTAATTTTTCTCCTGCAATATTGAAAATGTCTCTGCAAAATGCAGACTGCAGGTGGGTATTTCTAACACTACTTTACTTTATTGAAATTGCAACAATGCAATATACGCGGAACAGAGGCAGCTGTTGCTGGTGTTGTGTCCCGCACATAGAAACGAATACTAGACAGACAATACTCATTTTCACTTGAGTCTAGTGGGGAAAGTCGTGTAAAGTGCCTTTCCCAAGGGCACAAGATCGGTGGCATGTCAGGACTCGAACCCGGGACCTCTTGATTCCGAGACGCGCATGCTGCCGTTGCGCCACACGACCCCATTTCTAACACTGATAACTGTACCGTTCCGTAGATGAGTAACGCCATCATGGCGTCCATGAAGCGAGAGACGCCGTGTCCGGACACCCCGCTGGTTACGACCATCTACAGCCCGCCTTCCTCCCCGCAGCTCCCGCGTACAAGCTCGCCCGCACGAGTCACCTCGGGAAACCTCCGCAAGTACAGCATCCGACGCAAACCTATAGAAGGTACGCTTCGGTTGTTTCTGAATTTGCTACCCTATCTTAACCCTATTTTTGTAATTTCATTATAGATTTTCACGAAAATTTATTTGAAAGTAGCATGTACTGTACTGGTGTGAACTGCTGAAGATTTCTCAAATTTTGGTACTGAATTTAAAAGTAAAACTTTCCCACACTCAGAAAATAATTTCTGTTGTAGCAGCATGAATGCCACGAAAATTCTGGATATTTGAATGAGTGAGTGAGTGAGTGAGTGAGTGAGTGAGTGAGTGAGTGAGTGAATGAGTGAGTGAGTGAGTGAGTAAATGAATGGTTAACTGTACTAACAAAAGCGTTTTGCACATCATTCCAATCAACATAATAGGTTTGAAGGCTCACTGGTAATACAGTTACTGAGTTAGTACAACTACTTATAAGTAAAAAAATGTCTTTTTTTTTTCAGACGTTCTTGACGACAAACTCCAGACTAATGTAGCAGTTGATGGACATGTCAGCAGCAATACAGCAAGTCCTGGTAAAAAGGGGAAAACTTCTGGCACTGACAAGGGGCTGGAGAGAAAAGGCAGTGACAAAACTAGCGAGAAGAAATCAGACGACTCCGCAAAAGGATCCAAAAAGGACAAAGACGGGAAAGACAGCGAGTCGTCATCACAGAGAGTTGTTTTTAAAGACATTCTTAAGAGAGCGGAAAGTAAAGTACAAGCAATGACGTCTTCTAAGGAAGAGAAGAAAGTGGAAGAGGTCAAGGGAGAGGCAGAAGGAACAGAGAGTGATGGAGGGAATGATAAGGTTGGGGAGGAGACAGGAGCCATGGAAATGGAGATAATGAGTAGTGCTTCTGTACAGGGGCAAGATGCAACATCAGTTTCTGCTGAACAACAGGTAAATGTTAAGAGTTTTTTTATTCGAATGAAAGCTCATCTGTGTTTGGCAGAATGCATAGTTGAAAAGTTCAAACTTTGTTCAAATGACTCGAGGCCAGGGACACCAGGACTTGCATGGCATAAGTCAAGTCCAATACAAAAAGGAGAACTCTGACAAAGGTTGACAAGTTTGATTGAAAATTCATGTGAGTTCTTCTTTTTGTGTTGGAGAAAGTTTAAACTTTTCAACAAGAAAACACTCACATGAATTTTCAAGATTTCAAAATTTTTTAAATTCTTGATGGAAAAATTTCATGGTGGCTAGGACACTGAAGTATTGGGTTGTGTTACCGACTTTGCAAAGATGAAGTTCAAAACTAACCCTATAATAACTTTTTTTACCTCTGCAGAAGGCTAACCAGGGAAAACCAGCCATCAAACCAGCCAGCCATTCCAGGCAGCTGGTCTCCTCCCCCAGCAAGGGTCCGCCTCTCTCCCCACATCTCTTCTCACAGATTAATGAGTACATTGACTCTGAAGACGTCAGTAATTAATGTAGAACGTATATATACATGTGTAAGGCCTGGGGAAAAATGTTGCAACAACAGTGGCCATGTGGTCCTTATGCAGAGGTGGTCACTAGAACAGGTTTGAATGTGAGGGCAAAATGTTAATGTTATGTCATTGCAACCAAAAAGCAGACTGATACAGAATATTATATTGTAAATATGGGATGTATCATATTGATCATGGTAGTCATAATGATTGTGTTGCATGGAATTGCATGTGCTGTGTAATTGTATGAACTGTAGTAAGGCCACACCAATTTAATTTGTTGGTTCTCGGATTTTTTCAGAAAAAATATGAAGCGACAGGGCGAAAAAAAATAAAATAAAAACAGGTCTAGGCATCCTATTATAGGCTTAAATGCTACAAAATGAGCCATGAAGTCAACACAAAAGGCTGGGTTAAAATTTAAACATTGAATTTTGAACTTTTAATCAAACCACTGCAATGATAGATGGGAAAACTGTAACAACTAGGAAGAAAAGGACTTTCCTCAACTGTTGGGGGGCAAAACATGAGCATTTTTCAGTTGATTCAGGACCAGAATCAATTTTTTTTTTGCAAATCAGAAAAAAACGAAGAGGCGAATCCGAGAACCAACAAATTAAATTGGTGTGGCCTAAGAAGCACTCACCATTCCATGTTCACCATTTGTAGATGCAATGTTACTGTTTCCCCCATATTATATGAATCAATAGACGTGTCAATTGTAACCAGCACTTGGAATGCTGTAATATTTATTTATTGAAACTGTATGCAACAGTGCTACCCAACTGACACTAGGCACCCAAGCACATGTACAAATTACATTGAAGATGACATAGAACATAATGATCATATTTGATATTAGATGTCTTGGGTATTATATGAATTTGAACAGCCACCTCGCTGATTGGTTGAGCCAAGCCTTCTTATTAAAGAGTTATGGTCAGCTATTGCTACTGTCTCATCTTAAATGTGTGTGATAATGTTAAATTTATTACCAGTTGTTTGGAATAAGCCACAAACACATGTTTCAATCAATTCTAACTTTATTCTCATGATATGATGATGACCTTCAAAGAGAGAAATTTCATTCTAACCTCTAGAAATTGAATTTAAAAGTCTGGTTTGAAAGTAGATATGTAAAGAAGAGAGAGAGAATGAATAAATGGTCTGTTTTACAAACAAACAAACAAACAAACATTTCACAGCTTCTTGACTGAATTGCACGCCCCTTTAAGAATTCTTCATTACTCTCAAATTACTTTTTATTAACGTTACAATAAAAAAATTCAAGAACAAAAAAGATTAACATTACAAAGTGCAGTGTTTGTTAAATTATTTAGGTCGGTCTCATAAGTCATATCTTATGGAACATTCTGGTTGGTTTCAGGTCAAGTCCTTCAAAAATACACCTGTGCTACAGGTACTTAAAATTTAGTCTACCAAGTGACATATGCATGGTTGACAGCACTTTTGGCATGGCATCCCAAGGCCGAAACCGGCCCTGCATACCAGGAATTTTCTCGCAAAATACCTTTCTTATTGGCAAAGCAGTTTGAGCGACTTTTATTTATACTTTCCGGCCAAAAAATCCGCTGTATCAAAGGGGGATGACCAAGGTTTTCCGGTCTATACACAAACTGACCTGGATAGCCAGTCTGCCGTTTTCTGGCTTTTGTGACAAAAATTTGACAAAAATCCTGATACATACGAAAATTTTGAACATAATTTCGCATTTCTTTGAAGATTTGTAGACCGTTTTTGGCACGGAGAGCGTTTAAAGGCATTTCTTGAGCCACCTGTTTAGGCTTTGACGCATTAGGAGTTTGACCCCCTATTATGGAGTGGTTTAGTCTACCAGAACTTCCGGTTTAGCGTGTTGGTCATCTAGGTTGTATCAATGCGCCGAAGTGAACAGTCGTGCCTTTTAAAATTGAGTTAAAAATCAAGCTATGGTCAAGTTCATGCAATAACTCCGTATATAGATGAATACAAACATGATAGGGTGTTTATTCTATGCTGTATTTTGTATGTAAGTATTTGTTTATTTCCTAGTACCAGTAGGACTAACTTCTGCGGAAGTTTCCTGGTAGCGTAGTGAGACAGTCAAAGCGGAAGTGCGAGGCGGCCGGGTTAATTTTTTTTGCGGAAGAAGTATCACTTTGGGACAAAAAGACGGACATTTTAGCCGCGTTTTCGCCCTCAATGATGGCTCCCTGGCCTGGAGCCACGATTCTGATCGTCCTCTGCTTCTTCTTGACCGGTAAGTACTCACGTTTCTCCTCGATCTTCCAAGGAATGACCGATTTCGTCTACGAAAGTGAAAGGCGTGGCAAAGAAATGTTTTGGTTTCTTGACAGCCAGTCTGCGTTTTGTCAAATGTTTACATCGCAGATAAAAACCGTCTTCTTGCTGATGTCTTCCGTCTTTTGTAGTATGAACCGTAACCTTCGTATTTCTACAAAGATATCCCTTATATTTTAGCTGAGGAAATATTTCAGAGGCTTTGTGTAATTAAGAATGACTCTTTCGTTTCGCCCCCCTCCCCACTAGTATTCCTTTCAGGAAGTAAATGACTCAACAGTTATAATGACAGATGATATCTGAACTATGACGATCGCTTATTTTATAAGATAGATAGTCTTACACCAGAAATGGATGAAAATTTAATGGAGCCTTCTTGGTGACGACCCGGCATGGACAATGGACGACGATTTATGGACAACCCTTAAAGTCAGTATTACATGATTGCACAGACTCCTGCGCAAAACGCGCTCTCTCCCAAGAAGCCAAAATATTCGTCGTAACGAATGTGGGCTTACACCGGAAGAAGAAGAAGAAGAAGAAGAAGGAGCTCATTAACTTATCTTTTGCATTATTAATATAGTAAAGATGTTGTGGGGATTATCAAATTTACTCCAAAGTTCATTGAGTAAGTTCGCTCAATTATTTAGCCATGAGGACTGGGAAGCATGTACAAAGTACCCAAATATTTTCCTGATTTTATTATCAAACCCAAGTTTTTGTCTGGGAATGGAACATGTCTGATCCTAATAACATTTTAGTGTGTCTAGTGAAGTGAGGTGGAAACGATAATTTGGTTAAACCAGGCATATTATTTTCAAACAGTCATAATGTGGTACTCTGAAATACAATAATGCCTAGAGTGCCGCATCTCAATTTGTAGCAATCCTGCTTTTGAGGTACAAGATTGGGATTCTATCGCAACCTAATAAATACTAGTAACATGCTACTGGTAGGTAATGCAGTATGTTGTATGGGATACTAAGTCGGAGGCTCACTGCTTTGAGGAAAAGTACTAAGTACATGTACATCACAAGCACCTCAAACAGTGAAAGGGGGCCACCACACGACATATCCATAACTTATAGAGTAGGGATCCATACATTTTCATTACCAATGTGACTGTGAGTACTTGGAGCAATGTACTAACTACACATATACTATAGTATACAAATTTGTACAAAATTTGTACTGTGTTAAATAAACATCAGCTATGCAATAGAAACACAATCATCATAGTTAATTTTTCAGTGCTACGGTTTGTTTCCTGTTTTCAATCTCATTAAACTGAAGCTTTTCATAGTTTTCTCAATATGCAGAGAACTATAAAATCCCTTTGGTGCTGCCGCGTCCCCCACTGCTGTTCCAGGAGATAAGCTTTGATACACAGTGGAAACACAATAGTGTTGACAGGGCAGGAAGTTACATGTACACCAGGAAGACCAGGAGGAAATGTGATATATCTTATGTACAGGATAAGCTGGGATTGTATGTCAAAGGGGAGGTCAAAGTGGCAGTGGCATGTTATATACAGTCAAACTGGCCCAAGAAGACCACCCAGGGGACAGTCTGACTGATGAAATCTGGTCTATGTGGACAGGTGGTCACTGTAGACAGGATTGTTAATGCTTGTGTCAATAGTTATCTAAGGGACCACCAATACGTGGTCACATTGGCCAGGTGGTACCTCATGTACTACTAGTAGAGGTGGTCACTTGTATATAGGTTTGACAGGTACAGGTAGCATATTATGTACTTTTATTTATTGAGATTTTGTGTGTTTTTTCAATGAAGAAAGCCATGATATTGTGAAAGATTTCATCCCTGTTTAAAACTTGTATGGTTATAGTATGTTTAATTTGTTAGAATTTAAAACAGTTTTGGACAGCTTTTTTTGTATGTCTGTACAAATACATGTGGTATCTTAGCACTTCTCTTACATGTAGATACAAGGTTTACAAGTAGTACATTTCTTATTTATTTCAATTGGCCTTTTAAACCAAATTCTTCACTTCCCCAATTCACAGTAAGTCCAATTTCCACTACTAATATTTTGATGTTCTTTCTTATTTTCCTGCAGGAGAACAGGTGTTAGCCCAGGACTGTTCTGATCTCTATGATAGTGGCCAAAGAGATGATGGTGTCTTCCCTGTAGGCAACCCTGCATTCAGTGCTCTATGTGATATGACCTATGATGGCGGTGGCTGGACTGTCATACAGAAAAGAGAAACCGGTACCCCTTCTTTCGACAAACAATGGAGTCAATACACAGATGGTTTTGGCTCTATACATACCGAAGACTTTTGGTTGGGTTTGGACAGAATCCACCAACTCACTTCACAGAAAGCGTACAAACTCGCAGTGAAACTGGAAGACTGGAACGGCACAGTTGCAGAGGTGCAGTACTCTCAGTTCTCAGTAGGGGGCTACGACAGTAGCTACACCTTACAGATAGGAGGCTACACTGGAACTACACCTGGGGACAGTCTAACCATCTCTAACGGAGCAAAATTTTCAACAATGGATCAGGATAATGATGGAAATGTGACTTATAACTGTGCACAATACAATGGAAGAGGTGGCTGGTGGTATCCTATGTCTTGTGGCCAGGGCACGTTGAATGGCTACTATCTGACCGACTGCAAAGGGCAGTCCAGCACACCAGCATGTATGAAACAAGGACTAGTCTGGGCTACATGGAGGGGACCAAGCTACTCACTCAAGAAGAGCACTATGATGATCAAACCAGTCCTGCTTGCAGGTAAATGCTTGCATTATTAGTATAAGATGTGGAATTCTATTCCATGATTTGTATGAAATTTGTACAAGAGCACCAACATTATAGATGTTCTTTTACTTACCTATAGTAGCTTTTTTGGCTTTGGGTTCTCTTAAGGTTTCCTCTAATTTGTATCATTTTTGTTGTTATAAAATTTCTCTTTTCTTTTTCTGTTGCACTTGTTAAACTATAGAGGCATGTGGTGATGGTTTCTATGGTGATGACTGCAGACCTTGTGGATTGTGTGCTAACGGTGCTTTCTGTGACAAGTCTTCTGGGTACTGTCCCTACAACAGCCCTCGATGTGGCCCAGGGTATACGGGTATACTATGTCAGACAGGTAACTCTAAGACTATAGAGAGTATAGTATAATTTATCTACAAAAGTGACCTACCTATTTTTACCTGAAAAGTAGTAGTAGGGTATAGATACTGGATGGGTGTTTTTTTAGGTTAATTACAAATGTACATGTGTAGTTCAACTAGTTGCATTATTTCTACAAATACTAGTATCAGGGTTTCTCTTTTCTCTTTTATCTCATTCATTCATTCCTTCATTCATTCATTTTCTTCAATATCTTTTCCTTTCCTTCTTCCCCTTATCTTCTTCCTCTCAGGAGTACTACCGTACTACAACATTGCACTACTGAGAGATGTTTCAGGAATAAAGAGGATATGGGTACTGTGAAACAAAAAACTCAATTCTTCTTTTACTTTTAATTCAGGAGCAAACCTTTATCCTAATGCCCTCCTCTTAATAACAGTAATATCTTGTAATGCTTGATTTCTAATAATATTTTACCCTAATACCTATTTCTGTTCTCTTTATTTCTGTTGTGCTTTTGTAACTATAGTGTGTGGTGATGGTTTTTATGGTGAGGACTGCAGACAGCACTGTGGATACTGCTCCAATGGTGGAGCCTGTTCCAAGACTCTTGGTATCTGTCCTTCCACTTCTGGGCCACAGTGTGCCCCAGGGTACCAGGGTCCACAGTGTCAGACAGGTATATGGTTGTAAATACGAGACGTACAATGTCAGACAGGTAACTCCTTCTAGCTATAGTGGTATCTACAAGAGTAGCCTACCGGTACTAGTATCTATTTTTACCCAAAAGTACTAGTAGTGTGCTGGATGACTGTGTTTTTTTAGGTCAATTACAATGTACATTTGTACATGCATAGTTAAATTATTTCTGCAAATATCAGGTACATTGTACTCTCTTTTCCTGTTTATCTCATTCATTTCTTCCTTCCTTCATTCATTCATTTCATTCAGGATCAAACCCTTATCTTAATGCCCTCCTCTTAATTACAGTAATAACTTGCTTGATTTCTGATAATATTTTACCGTAATACCCATTTCTGTTTCCTTTCTGTTCTGCTTTTTTTTGTAACCTGTAACTAGAATGTGGTGATGGTTTTTATGGTGAGGACTGCAGACAGCACTGTGGACACTGCTCCAATGGTGGAGCCTGTTCCCAGACTTTTGGTTTCTGTCCTTCCACTACTGGGCCTCACTGTGCCCCAGGGTACCAGGGTGGACAATGTCAGACAGGTATATGGTTGTTAGAAATGCAAATTTAGTTTGGAGCATGATGCATGATCTACAAAATGACTAATAAACTGGTGGACGTACCAACTACTAAGGACCTACATGTAATACCAGTTCAGAAAAGAACAAGAAGAAGCCATGCCTTCAAGTACTAGTATTAGAGTTATCAACCAAGGATTGAGGTGTTAAAAAACTCATCCTTTCCTAGAACTATCGTAGAGTGGAACTCTCCGTCACCATGTACAGTTGGGGCATCATCATGAGATAGCTTTAATTGTAAACGTTTAATTGTAAATGTTTAGAATAAGATGTTCAAAAGTTAGGCGTAACAAGTCGTTCGGTGTAATGTAGCCAGCTGCTGCCGTGCTGCGTGCCTGCGAAGCTAGTGTGTTACGCTGAAAGGCAAAATATGCTCTAACTTATAATTTTAGAAACCACCACTATTATACTAGAAACAACCATCAATTTTTAACCAAAGGAATAGTGTATTACTAAAATAGACATGGAAAATGAAGATATTTTGGGCTTGTTTTTGTCTCACCATTTTTATTGTTTCCTCTTTTTGTTGTGTTTTTAGCTTGTTCTGAGGGGAAGTTTGGTGCAGACTGTACCCAAACCTGCCACTGTAAATTCCCAGATGAATGTAGCATTGAGGATGGGAGGTGTTTGTATGGAGGGTGTGAGGAGGGGTGGACAGGGCAGTCTTGTCAGGATGGTACGTTTAACAAGAGCAGAATATGTAAAGTCATCAACGTGTTTGAATTAAGATTGGATGTATCTCAAACAAGCCAGAATAATCTTGTCAAAAAAATAAGTTGGAAAATACAACTGATGCACTTCTATATCTAGTACCGATATATACTTTTTGTCTTGCTTTCTGATATTTTATAGTTCAATTTCCACATATTTCATAGCATTTTTTTAATACATGTTATTGTTAAGTTCTGGATCAGGGGAAATTCTATTGCTACTACTGGTAAGTACTGTACCCAATACCCTGGTGCATCAACGGCGTAGCATGCTTTATCTTTATGCTCATCTCACGTAGAATGGCTAAAAATGCTTATTTCCCTTTACTGCAGTAAAAGTAACTTAAACTCTTCCAAAAATATCTGTTGTCATCCTTAAAAAAGTATTTTTTGTCCGCTGTCTGCTCTAGATGTAGATGAGTGTGTGAGCCAGCCGTGTAAGAACGGTGCCACCTGCGTAAACATGCCACCTGCAGGCAGCGCCACCTACAGCTGTGACTGTGCACCTGGATGGACTGGAACTAACTGCGATGAAGGTCAGTATCAAGTTTCGTCAAGAATGTGGTCCCAAACGTCACTACATTTTATTTTTCCAAGCATATTGAACCCTTCATATAACATTCATGTAGCATCTGTCCTTCTAACAGTAGATTCTTGTGTCTCATGTCATTATGTCTCTTGAAATATTTCAGTTTTTGGTGTACATTGTTACACAGTGCCCCTTTAAAACATGTTTTCCTCTCTCTACAGAAGTAGATGAGTGCCAGTCTAACCCCTGTACAGGAGGGACCTGTGTGGACAGATTTAATGGCTACATGTGTACCTGCAGCAGTGGGAACATCGGTGTTAATTGTGACATAGGTAAGGTCTCGTGCAAGGAAAACCAGCTGTCAAGGAGGTCTTGTAACAAAAACACCTGTAAAACAGTGAGCTGTACCAGATGTAAAAGTAGAACAGACTGAACTCAACTAAATATACATTTACAATCTAACCAAAGGGCCACGCATGCAAAACCTGAAACACAGACACACACACACACTGGCACAGACATACATGTACCAAGAACAATACCTACATTTTTCATGGAGGTAAATAGAGTGTTTCTGACATCGTCTTATTCCTCTCAGATCCAGCCGTGCTTGTACCTGGTGACCTCCAGGCTGTCTCTGCCAGCAGTTACTGTGGGGATGGACAGATTCACCTGTCATGGACGCCACCTACAGACCACCGCGCCGATGTCACCGGTTACGACATCAGCTACCACCCTGCCGGTACGGCTGGGTCACCTCAGGTCATCAGTAATGCAACAGCGGGGACCAGGTATTTTCTGCAAAACCTCCAGTCCTACACGCGGTATGAGTTCTCTGTGCGAGCTTTGGTCACCAACGGTGTGGGTGCCTGGCCTCGATGGAAAACTGCACAGACAAACCCTGGCAGTGAGTTTGTTGTCCTTTTTGTTGTCCATTTTGAACGCAAAATGTTTTTTCTTTATTGTTCTTGTTTATTGATCCATGATGTGATGTATGCATATTATTAAGGAGTTCATTATGTAAAAATGCTGTGATTGAACCGAAGTAAAAATAATGTAACATTATTATAGTTAGGAATAGACTTGACAGAATCACAGGTGACAGTTGGCTGATTTGCCTACCAAATTGCATACGTCTTCAAATAATTTGCGTGTATATGATTATAAAATTAATATACAAAAACAGCAATCGCTTGACTATATTGCTGGTTGATTGCCTCAATAACATTCATCATAGTAATGCATCTATTACAGATCCGACACCAGTTAGGTCTCTACAGCTCCGTAACATTTCTTCTACTGTCCTCCTGGCTACCTGGGAGGAACCAGAAGCCCTGAATGGGCAACTGTTGTACTATCAAGTGGAACTATTCAGAGGCTTCATAAAGGTTGCTGATAACACAGTGAATCCAGGAGACGCTCTGCGAGTTAACTATGAGGGATTGGTCCCAGCAACAGAATACACAGTCAGAGTAAGTATATCAACTTAAACTGGTTAATTATGATTTTGGTCTCATATCCATGGAAATCATGAATTAGAACGCAAACATATAATATTTAATGATAAGCTTCTACACAACACATAATTTTGTTTGCTTTAACACATAATTTTGTTTGCCTTGTACATTTGTAGGTTGTTCCCTTCAATCTTGGTCCTTGTAGAGGGACTGAAAGTAGAACCAACATGACAACCAGTGATGGACGTAAGTATGGAATTTGTTGTTTTTCTGTTTGTAAGTGATAGCAACATTTTAGTAATATTTGATGATGTTATGATAACAAAGCCAAGCCAACAACTTTAACCTAATACTTTATTACATTGTTGTGCTCAATTCTAGATCTATTAAAATCCTTCCATTAAATAGCTCTTTCATGGCAAGCACTGAAGTACATGTAGCTTTCAGAACATGTTATAAATGAAATACATGTACCGGTAATAAAATGCATCTCATCATCTGACCATGTTTCACTGTTTATCCTCAGTACCCAGTGCTCCAAGAGGAGTATATCTGTCCAGAAGTCAGACTGCCTGTGTTGTACAGTGGGATGTACCAAAGACTCCAAATGGCACCATCATCAAATACACGGTCAGTACACACCCTCCATATGTACTTCTCTTAATTCTGCAAAATGTGTGCTTTTTTTAATTCGCACGCTCGCATCAGTTTTGGGGTTCTCAGAGGATGTTATCCATATAATCAATTCAACATGGCCTATACATGTAATATGACAACAGAATGGTTCAAACCAACAAACAAACTAGAAAAGTGACATTTGCAACCTTTATCAGTTTATGGTCTAGCCTAACAAACTGTAGCTCTGTTTATTCTTACTCATTCAAACACATCCATGTATATGGTGACCAGCCCCTCTAACTCTAGATCTGTCCTGCCACTTGCTATATAATGTAACCCAACACCACAGGGTGTCTACTACAGCACCGGTTACCATAATGATAGCTGTCATTTACCTTACTTGTTTGGAGAAGATGAAGAAGAAGAAGCAAAAACAAGATGTTTCCCTTCTGCAAAGGTAAACATAACAAACAAAAATGTTGATACCCCAGATCTATCTGACTGCCATGTGGATAGATGCTCCCCCTGGTGCCCAGGCTGTGGAGTACAGCCAGGATAACTTCAACCCTTACACCAGAATGGGAACCTTCCCTCTGCGCTTCCTGAAACCAAACTCCAGGTACAGGTTCAACATGACGGCATCCACGTACGCAGGGCCGGGGGAGTTCAGCAGCTACACGGACAGTACCAGTATGTGTGAGGTCCCACCTGGGAGTAAGTATGGATTCAAACCTGTCTGTTTTGTTTGTTATTCTTTAAAGGCATCCATTTCAATTTCAGGGTGGCAAAACAAAAAATATTCTGGATGAGAAAATCTGTCTGATACTGACATGTACTGCCATTTCTTAGCAAATTTTCATCATTATTTCATACTTTGTCCCAAATAGCCTCAAAACCAAGAAATATGTTCTGGAGTGTCAGAAACCTCATTGGGTATTTTTGGACCCTCCTTATTTGCTGTGTTTTAAGATACACAGTTGATTAAGATTTGCAGTCATTACCAGTAGCAGTAAGGTCAAACTGTCAATTGTTCAGAAATTAGCCAAAATATAGTCTGTCATGTCTTGTGGTGCTTAACAATTTTTTTTATGAAGCAAACAAACAAATTTTGTCTCCTTGTTGTCTGACAGAACCCATAACCCCCACTCCCCCATCGATGCCACAGACGGCTGATGTCATCAAGCACGACGGCTATCCCATAACGCTCTCACAGGTGTCGGAGAGGACAGGACCTGTGGAGTAAGTACCAAATGTCCCATAGTCTAGCTGGAACAGTTCAAAATGAACTTACCATGTTTGCTGTCACAATAATGATAATGCTGTGTCAATGTGACTTGCTGTAAATCTAATCTACTTGAGGATTAATTTTGCCATATGTGTATGTTTGTTTTTAATGTGTATTTATTAAACCGTGGTGTCCAATATCAGCCATTGCGTCCTGGGTAGCACACTATATTGTAATCTTGCAATTTGAGTGATAAAAAAACTAGAATGTGACTTGCCTGGTCAAAGTAAGAAGGTTACTATAGTATAGAAAGAAAAGGAAAGAATTATTATAGAAAGTTAAGCTTTTCAGAGCTTGTTAGAAATTATGATTTGCTTGCCGTTCATTTTTATGTTCATTCATTCATTCTTTGATTAATTCATTCATTAATTCCTGTATTGATTGATTGATTGGTTGATTGGATTGATTGATTGATTGATTGAATATCCCTTTTCTACAGATGTTACCATGTGCTTGTTGTGGAGATGACAGATGAGATGTCCCTGAGGACCCTGCCGAATGTGGACCAGCTGAACGTGGTGTCTCAACAAGAGGCCGCTTCATCAGGCAACAATGTTACTGCCTATGTGGCCATGGCCTTCAATAGGTAAGAAAATGATGTCAGCAAAACGTACTACACCTGCGCGAGATTTTTCACGGTTTACATGTATGTTGGGTGCTTGGCTAACGTTTATCAGAATTTTGCCTGCTGCAGATGATATCTTTTCTGACACAACATTTAGAAACTAAAACTGTAGTCGTGATGTAATGCTTAGATACATGAACTTAAAACGAGATGTCCTGTAAAAATTCTAGGCACAACATGTTACAGGCACAATACGTTAATTTTGCACAGGTGCAGTACATTCTGCTGATGTGCTGGTAAAATAGGGCAAGTTTTGAAAATTACACAGTGACTATGACTGCTAGAATGAGCATTGTCTATTGTCTATGCTGTTAAAGTTGTCAGTTTTGGTAGATTTCAAGTTGGCAACCCTTATATCTTCAGAAAATGTACAATTTCCTCAAAAAGTCTTTGTCTGTACAAGTCTGTAAAAGTCTGTACATCTGTTTTGGTTATGGGTTCCTAATGTATTAAATTTTTGCTTGTTTCACAGGGATGACTTTGTGGAAGACGTTTTCCTGGGTGATGGTAGGAAGACATCTTGTGCCGGCACTGGCAGAAGGAGGCGTGAACAGTCAGTACAGGACATCTATGAGGAAGTGTACACCAACTCTCCCCTCAAACCTGGTACAAGATACACTGTAGTACACAGGGCTTATGGCAGCAAGCCTCAGGATGGCTCTCAGGTAAGGCAAACAAGATTTTCTTGAAGCCTTTGGTAAGGAATGAAAGGTAGCTAAATTTGTACAAAAGATGCACCCATCTTCGCAGAAGGGAAACATAGTGTCTTTGCTTCGCTTCTCCATGGTTTCTTCTTTAAACAAATAAGGTCAATGACAGCTATCTGCTGGTTCTGTAGCAGGCGTCCTGTGGTGTTGGGCTACATTATGTAGCAAGTTGCAGGATAGAGTTGGAGGGACCGGTCTCCATATTAATTAATATATTTGCATAAGAATAACCAAAGCAGCAGTTTGTTAGGTTAGACCATAAATATTATGCATTGCTTTGCAAATATTACCTTTCTTGTTTTTACATATTAAGCTAATGCTTCTTCCAAGCAAGTATCAAAGGTCTTTTTGCCTCCCCAGAATTCAAACCAAGACATTATTAATGGTTCTCCCCTTCCTCCCCAGCCCCTCTACAGCAGCAGTGGTTACTCCCTGCCCATCATGACTGCGCCGTCCCCGGGTACCAACTGGATGCTGATCCTCATCATCCTCTGTTCAGCTGTGATCGTCCTCATCATTCTTACTGTGTTGATCCTTCTCATCAGGTAAGCTTGGTGTAGACTTTAGATACACAGTACGGGTCTTAAATAACCTTCCATCTGTACGTGTACAAATCGTGTACAAAAGTTGTGCAAAATGTGATTGAAAGCCATGCGTTAATCGATTATAGTGCTTGCAAAAGCTATGCAAAATCCTTATCAGTGGTGTTTAAATGCCATAAACACATATAGATAGACCAATCAGTGTCAACTGATGAATGGTAGATGACTGCCGGTGACCCCAAATGGAACACGCTTTCTGTGACTATGATACCAGATCAAACATGGTGTAACATAATTCAGGTTATAGAACAGACTAAAAACATCAGAAATGACAAGGCCTCATGACACCATATACACCTCAGGGTGGGTCATTAACCCTTAAACATACACCTCGAGGCAGGTCAGTAACCCTCAGTGAATGATATTTTTTCTTTACTTGTAGGAGGAGGTTGAACAACAAGGCAGCGGCTAATAACGGCATGCCTCACATGAGGAGGTCCAAGAAGAGGAGTGGACTGAGAAACTCCTTCAGGAAGAGCGGTGGTCGAGACGATGAGATGCCTCTCCATAGGGGTGCTGGTAAGGAATAAACAATAGAAACTATTTGACTCATTTGCATGAACATTGTCTTGACTTTGCCTAACTTTGGCTTGTAGAAAATTCATCTTCACTTTATTTGCGTATCAATCAAAAGTTTGTGTTTATAAACCTGCTGAATTTGAGACCTCACCATTGTCGCTGACAAAAGGTGAAGGATGCTACCTGAAACATCTGACCATTTCCAAAATCATATCCAGTTGCTTGAGTAACTGTATCGTGTACTGTATCATGTATCAAAAGCAAAAGAATGCTTTGTAGGACAAAAATCCATGTATTTTTTCTGGTAGCAAGCTGTAAAATGGCTATTCTCCCCATATTGTAATACTGTTATGATCTACCTGATGTATATTTGCTGTATGTTGAAAGTTGCCCCTACATTGCCCCCCCCCCCCAGCGTACTACCCGCCCATCCCCATGGAGAGACTGGAGAAGGAGTTCAACCGTCGCCATGCCAACGATGACCAGCTGTTCCGTGAGGAGTACGACGCGCTGCCCCAGGAGCCGTCCGCGTCGTACGAGGCCTTCCTCATGCCCGAGAACAGCAAGAAGAACAGATTCGTCAACATCTACATGTGTAAGGAACAGCAGAAATCACTTTTCAATGCACAACAAAAAGATATCTGCCACCCAAGAGTCATGAACCTAAAAAATTATGTGTCAAATGTAATTTCAGTCCAGAAAAACAAAAGATATTCTGGATGAAGAAATTTGTTTGATATTGACAAATATAATTACTGCCATTTCCATCATCAATACTTCAAGCATTTGAAATAGACCGGACACAAGCTATGCAAGGAGTCCCCCTTATTTTGGGATTAGATAGCTAGAACCAGCCTACGATACAAACCAAGCAACTGTTTTCTCTCAGGAACATTGAATTTTTGTCTCACGGATATCAGTATGCTATGGAATGGGATTGATTCAACTTACTTTGACTTTGAAAATCTTATATGAACATTTGTTTTTGCATTTTAGACGACCACTCTCGTGTGCACCTGACCCCCATCCCTGGAGTGGCATGTTCTGACTACATCAATGCTAACTACGTGGATGGCTACAAGCACCCCAAGAAGTTCATCGCAGCTCAAGGTGGGCAGAATATTCTGGGAAATGATTTCAGTTGGAAAGCCATATGTCCTGACACCCGTATGTCCAAACACACGTGCACATTTATGCCATACCTGGGCCTCGATAACGTTCGATACGAGTTTTCTGGCCCGTGTGATAACTTGCGGTACAGCCCGGGGTTCTATTTGGTTATCACACAGGCTTCCAAATGTTTATACAATGATCTGACCTGTGGTTGGACTGGTACCTTAGGTGATACGGAATACACCATGTTGTATTCTATAAAAGTATAATATACTGTACAATCTTATGTTGGAAAGAATACAAAGACACAAAGAGGATTTGTCAGAAGAGTATTTAGACAATACCTTAAGGAAAGTGTGTGTTCCACCAGGGCCCAAGGAGGAAACCCTGCAGGACTTCTGGAGGATGGTTTGGGAACAGAACACGGCAACTATCGTCATGGTAACCAATGTCAAAGAGAAGAACAAGGTGAGTATTATTGCTCCCATTAAAATAGAATATTCTGATTGTAGTGGTGATTGATACTGATGAATTTTTCTCTAAATAAAACATTCAAATCTGATTCTTAAGTTAAAGTCCTTCCCACATCAGAGGGTGCATAGGGCAGTGCCCATCTCCATTTCTTCAGCCCTTGGACCATGCAACTTTGTGTCATTTTCAGGGGCTAGTTTGCTAGTAGTAGTGTGTTCAACGCTCATAATCATATTCTTTCCCAAATGCTGAGTGCTAAGAGAAAGCATTGCGTACGATTGTCTACATGTAAGTCTTTAGTTTCACTACCAAACGCAACTTCAAGGTAAGCACTTGGCCCAGTTTCTAGTTTGATACTGATGCAGCATCTCCTCCTATCTGTTTTCAGGTGAAGTGCAGCCAGTACTGGCCAGATGCAGGGTCCAAGCAGTACGGAGACATCACAGTGACGAGTGAGGAGACCTCCACTCTAGTGGATTACATCATCAGGACTCTCACTCTTGAGAGGGTAGGTTCTCTTGTCTGGTTTCTGTGACAACTAAAATCTAGAAAAAAGAAAAAAAAAGCCAATTCAATATTCTCATGTGTGTAGGCCATTTATCACCAATTTATTTTGTTGGTTCTCAGATTTAAAAAAAAAAAGTGAATCACCAAGAGGCACAACAATCCTAGGTCTGGAGAAATTTTGGAAACTTGATTCTCTGAAATGCAATTTTCTGCATTTTGAGGGGCAAATTTTGCTGGCAGACTAAGCTGAGTTTAATGGCATCTCTTTCTATATCTCTACACACTGATTTATTCTTGGCGATTTCAACACCCCTGGCATCAAATGGGATACTACTGTAGCTGACAACAGTCAGGGCTACACAGGCCAAGCAGAGAAACTACTAAACCTAATGGATAACCACGGGTTATTTCAAACAGTCCAGGAACCAACTAGAAATGGTAATCTCTTGGACCTGGTCTTAGTTAATAACCCCAACATAATTGAGAAGACCACAGTAGTCCCGGGGATAAGTGACCACGACATGGTTCTAGTGGACGTTAACCTGGCACTGAAACAAAACAGGAAACCTAAGAGAAAAGTGTACATCCGCACAAAAGCCGACGAACCAGCCATTAAGAAAGACCTAACGGATTATGCAACTAACTTTCACAAAAGAACCCAGGATATGTCAGTTACACAGAAGTGGTCAGACTTCAAAGACAAAATGAAAGACACGATGAACAAGCACATCCCAAGTAAGATAACATCAAGCAGATACAACTTGCCTTGGTTCAACAGAAACCTAAGGAGGCACTGTCGTAAGAAGCAGCGGCTATATAACAAAGCTAAGAAAACAGGCCAAGAGGAAGACTGGAACAAATATAAGAGAGTTAAGAAGGGAGTTCAGAAAAGCATAAGACAAGCACACTCTAAATACGTGGCAGACATACTGGGAGAAGCTATAGTTGACAAACCCAAAACATTCTGGTCGTACATAAAAGGACTGAGGAAAGACCTTGTCGGGGTAGCACCCCTAAAGGTGGGAAATACCATCATCAGTGACAGCGGGAAAAAAGCAGAAGTACTCAGTTCACAGTTCAAAAGTGTTTTCACAGAGGAAGACACCACAGATATGCCATCTCTAGGTCAGCCCTGTACTCCTCCAATGGAACATATAGTAATTTCTACTGATGGTGTCGAAAAAATGCTTCAAGGTCTCAATCCCTCTAAAGCATCCCGGACCAGACCAAATACCACCGTGGTTCCTCAAGTTGACAGCTAGTGAAATCGCGCCTGTTCTAACCAATATTTTCCAACACTCGCTAAACACTGCAGAAATCCCTAAAGATTGGAGGGATGCAAATATATGCGCCATCTTTAAAAAAGGAGATAGAGCGGTCCCCAGCAACTACAGACCTGTTTCACTGACCTGCATATCCTGCAAACTACTTGAACATATCATCCATAGCCAAATCATGAAGCACCTAGAAAGTTACAGTATATTAACGGATTACCAGCATGGATTCAGAGCCAAACGATCCACAGAAACACAGCTTATACTAACAGTCCATGACATAGCTGGCGCACTAAACAGTAAACGGCAGGTAGATTTAGCAATACTTGATTTCACTAAAGCCTTTGATAAAGTCCCCCATGGCAGGCTCATCTCAAAACTGGAGTATTATGGAATCCAAGGCCCTACGCTGAATTGGTTAAAGGCTTTCCTGACCAACAGGGAGCAAACAGTAGTGGTTGAAGGGAAGGCGTCGGCTCCAGTTAAAGTAGCGTCTGGGGTCCCTCAAGGAACCGTCCTGGGGCCATTGCTCTTTCTCTTGTATATAAATGACCTACCAGATCAGCTTGACTCAAATGTGAGGTTATTTGCCGATGACTGTCTATTGTATGTAGAGCTTTCTACACAGACCGACTCACAACTTCTCCAAAAAGACCTGAACACCCTGGAAGAATGGCAAAGCAAATGGCTCATGCAGTTTAATCCCGAAAAATGCTACATTATGCACATAACAAACAAACGAACACCGCATGCAACTAGCTACCAGTTTTGTGGTCAGGCTTTAGCAACCATAAAAATCCATCTGTATCTGGGCGTCACGCTGACAAGCGGACTGAAGTGGGGTGCACATGTTAATAATATCACAACTAAGGCGAAACAGACATTGGGAGTGATTAAACGTAATCTGTGGGCATGTCCAACGAGAGTAAAATCACTTGCATACACGTCACTTGTAAGACCGAACCTAGAATACGCTGCGACAGTATGGGATCCATATACAAAGAAGGACAAAGACAAATTGGAAAGGGTACAGAATCAAGCTGCAAGATTCTGTATGAACAACTATGTAAGAGGTGCTAGTGTCACGGAAATGAAAAGAAACCTACAGTGGACCTCACTTGAAGACAGAAGAAAGATGTCTAGACTATGCATGATGTACAAAATGACTAATAAACTGGTGGATGTCCCAACTACTAAGTACCTAATACCAGCCCAGAAGAGAACAAGAAATAGCCACGCATTCAAGTACCAGAGTTATCAACCAAGGATTGAGGTGTTCAAGAATTCATTCTTTCCTAGAACTATCGCAGAGTGGAACTCACTGTCACCAAGTACAGTAGGGGCACTGTCAATAGATAGCTTTAAACAATGTCTAGAGCTTGAAGTTCAAGGGTTAGGTGGAACAAGTCGATCGGTGTAATATAGCCAGCTGCCGCCGCGCCGCGTGCCTGCGAAGCTGGTGTGTTACGCCGAAAGGCGGTTATACCGGCTATACAGATACAGATACAGATGTCCATTAAACTTTTTCAAAGATGACAGATTGGGCAAAATTTTTGTCTGTCACGAGAGGCAAAATTCCGTCAATTGACAAAAAGACGGGCCCTGGCTAAAACACTGGATTGGTCTGACCACTGTTTTGTACTGACTGCAGGGTGAGGAGTCCCGTACTCTACTCCACTTCCACTTCACCACCTGGCCGGACTTCGGTGTGCCCAAGAGTCCGCTGGGCATGATGAAGTTTGTGAGGAGAGTGAAGGCTGCCAACCCCGCCAACTCTGGGCCGATAGTGGTGCACTGCAGGTGGGTGGGACTGTGTGTGTGTGTGAGTGTGTGTGTTTGTGACTGTGCGTGCGTTTGTGTGTGCGTGTTGTGTGTGTGTGTCTGCGCGTGTGTGTGCATGCTTGTGTGTGCGTGCCTGCATGTGTGTGTGTGCGTGTTGTGTGTGTGGGTGCGCATGCGTGTGTGCGTGTGCGTGTGTGTGTGTGTGTGTGTGTGCGTGTGTCTATGTGTGCATGTGTGTTTAATTTAAACTGACCGCATGTATATATCACTTTAGCGCGGGAGTTGGTCGGACAGGCACGTTTATCGTGATTGACGCCATGTTTGAAATGATCGCGGCGGAACAGAGGGTGGACGTGTTCGGGTTCGTTGGACAGATCCGACAGAGCAGATGCATGATGGTCCAGACAGAGGTAAATTTTCAACATCACTTATATTTACAATTTTGTAAATGCGCTCTGGAACGTCAAACACTTACATGTAGAACTTCCCTCTAAAATATGTATTAGAATGGTACAAGCCACTAGCAAATTAACAGTAACAAAAGTACGGTTGTAAATGTGTTAGCACTTTTATAAATGATTTTAACAAGTTTTAAGACAGACTTGTTTTAAGACAAAATCCTCGATATAGGATATAGGATTTTGTTATGTGAACTACAATTATGTAAATAATACTCAAAAAGTCTTTATGAAGGATATAGAAGGATTGGGAAGATCTTGATATGACTGTTTTCGTGTGACACAGTTTTGCTGTTGTTCCAGGGCCAGTATGTGTTTATCTATCAGGCCCTGCTGGAACACTTTCTGTACGGAGATACTGAGATCGAGGTGACCAACCTGCGCAGACACCTGCAGCAGCTGGCGGCCAAGCTACCGGACTCTCAGGACACTGGCATGGAGGCTGAGTTCAAGGTCAGGCAAACAAGAAATAGACCATCTTGAGGGAAATTTTACTGCAAACCTTTCCAAAAGGTTCCATATGTTGTTTGATGTATGTGAAAATAAAACTGTCAAAAAGAAAATGCAGAGAGAATTCAATTTGGTATTGATATGGTACTAGAAATGTGATATTTACATTGAATATTCCTTGAATTTGTTCATCACAAACAGGTATATTTTTTGCATTCACATAAATCTCTGTATGTTTCAGAAACTGACCCAAATCCCCATTGAGAAACACAACATGCGGTCTGGAAACCTTCCAGACAACATCAAGAAAAACAGGGTGCTGCAAATCTTGCCATGTAAGTGGTCAGTCATTTTTAGGATACAAGAAAAATATCACAATGTCTTTGATGCCTTACAAGATACAAACTTCTTTGCCAGTCACAGTGTTGCATACTGAATTCAAAGCAATTTACAATTAAAAGGAATTGAATTAAAAAGGTGGTAACTTGGCAAAGTAATATTTGGTGCTACATGTATCATAATAATGACTCGACCTTCTTCCTTTTCAGGCATTGTGCATGTTTCTGTATGTTTTCGTTTTTCTTTGAAGCGAATCGAAGTTAAAATTGATTTTCCCCTTTAGATGACACATCTAGAGTGTACATCACCCCAACTGTGGGCATGAAGAACTCAGACTACATCAATGCAGCCTTTGTTGATGTAAGTACATTTTGTACCCATAGCTTTGAACTGAAGTACATGATTGTACATGTAAGCACACATATTGTCATATGTTGATGAGAGCTTAAAGAAAGTTCACATAATGTGGTGAAAATATACATTGTATTCTAATTCTGGTTGCTGTTTTTAACCATGCCAAAAGTGACAATAGAAGAAATCTCAGTTTAAAGAAAGGAAGATGGTGACTTTTTTCTGCCATTTCTCATCCTGGGTTAATGTACATCATGGTCTTTTAAGACCAACGAATGCCTAGAACTACAATGTACATGCAGTTACATAAAAACAAATTTGACATTATCTGTAATCTTGGGTTGGCTCTTCCGACTTTGGCAGGGCTACAGGGAAAAGGATGCCTACATTGCCACCCAAGGCCCCCTACCCCACACTGTGAATGATTTCTGGAAGATGGTTTGGGAATGGAAGTCCTGCTCGATCATCATGCTGACAGAGTTGCAGGAGAGGGGCCATGTAAGTGTTCATCTTCTTTTCGTCACTCTTGATCTATGCTCGATTGCTGTAAGTGCAAAAATTACTGCCTTTTCTTTCTTCTTTCCCTGAAAGTATTGTTTTACAGCCAATTCTATGACTTACCACTAGAAGGAAATGAGGAAATAAATTCATAAACTGAGTTGAGATAAAGTTTGGGCAGTTTTGACTGTACTCATGTTCTACATGTATTTGACCCCCCCCCCCTCAATGTTGTTACAGGAAAAGTGCCATAAGTACTGGCCAGGTGAAGTAGAGATGTATGGAGATATTTGTGTGGAGGCCAAGGGAGACAAAACCTTCCAGGACTACACAGTCCGCACCTTCCACATCACCAACACAAAGGTACGAGCCTGGTCTCAATTCTATTCTAACTACACTACCGTACTGTACATGTAAATCCCTTTTGCAGTACTTGTCCCACCTCATTTTCTAGAAAGTAGAATGTACTGTCATTCATAAATTTTGTTGTTGCTTTCAGACCCACAAGTTCCAGAAACATCCTGAAGAGACAGAGGGGCTGCTGGAAATGGTATGTAAAAAATTATGTTTTTGTCTAGAGTTTCATATTTAACCATTTTTAGTAGTAGAAAGAAAAAAAGGTAAAACATGACAACAAGAACCAATAGAAGTACCAAAGTTGCCAAATTTGAAGGAAATAAATCTTTTCCTGAAACAACAGGTGCTACTTGACTAATTTGCCCTAATCAGCCTTGTCTTGACTTGCCTAACTTTTGTTTCGTTTTGGACTATCAAAAATTTTTCTTCACTTATTTGCATATCAATCAACAGTTAATGCTTATAAACCTGCTTTTCTAAGAATTCTTCAATGTCACTGACAAAAGGTAGTGGATGCTACCTGAAACGAAATCATTATCCAGTTTGTGCGTATCTTATTACCTGAACATCTAACCTTGACTGACGTATCCTTTCCTTTATTTCCCCACCAGACGGCGTCCTGTCGCACAGTGCAGCAGTTCCACTTCCACGGCTGGCCTGAGATCGGCATCCCAGCCAACGCTGCCGGCATGCTGGACTTGATTGGTCAGGTGGAGAGGCAGCAGCAACAGTCTGGCAACGGACCAATCACTGTTCACTGCAGGTAGGTGTATCCATCTCATCAGCCAATCACAGTCCACTGCAGGTACAGGTGCATCCATCTCACCAACCAATCAAGGCAATGTTTTATAGACCAATCACAATGCAGGTAAGTCCAGTTCAACAGACCATGTCTTTGTATGAATCATGATGACAGGCAACTCTAAGCCCATTTCAATATGTAGTTATGAATTTTGGCTCTACTATTAGGGAATCATGGCATGTATTTTACCATAGAAAGACAACATAGTCGTTGTTTCTGTTAACTCTATTGGAAAGTGCATGACAAGCATATTGATGACAGAGTGCTTTATATTCTCTGCAGTTCCGGTGCAGGCCGCACGGGGGCCTTCATCACCCTGAGCACAGTGATAGAGCGGGTGAAGGCAGAGGGCATCTGTGATGTTTTCCAAACTGTCAAATCCATGAGATACCAGAGACCTCACATGGTGCAAACAGTGGTAAAGTACCCATTGTTTCTAGTCTGGTTCTTTGAATAGTTTCTCAGCACATTTAAACAGACAAGAATATGCAGTGAGATACATTTGTACTAGTAGACTGGAATCCAGAATTAGATATTGTGACAATGTTCTTATCATGTACAATGTATATGCCATTTTGGAACTGTTTTGAAGACTAGGTATCACTAAAGTGGGAAGGTTGCCATCTAAAAAATTGTCTATTAGTAAGCATGTAGAATGTATAAAAGGCATCAAAGCAATCTCAGGGCAGCAAGACAAGAAATATCATTTCATACATCATTCATATCATTAAATATAAATCATGTTGTTTTCCCCCAATAGGAACAGTACCAGTTCATCTATCAAGCCGTACTGGAGTACCTGGACAGTTTCACCCTCTATGCAAACTTCAAGGACCTGCAATAGCCTTGTCTGTGGCACACAGGCTCTTCACTGTTCAGGAGATCTGTACTGTTTCTTTTCTTTTCTGAGTAGACTTGCCATACTCTGCAGAGTGGCTGTAAACACACACACACACACACACACACACACACACACACACACACACACACACACACACACACACACACAAATCACACTCACACAGAGTTCAGGGCCCTTAGATATAGACCTCTGACTCAAGGGAACAGTCAAAAAAAGAAACCCTCCTCCCCAAAAAGATATAACAATCATGAGAAGTCACAGTTTTGATTTGAGCCACAACTGCAGAGCTCACGGCAACCATAAAGTCAAACTTTGGATTAATCAAATTTTAGTTGATAATGTGACCAATATTAGTAAGGTGACCAATTCCCCCAGCATACATGTAGTTGCCAGCATCAAGCATCTACTTGTAGAGGACAGATCAAATTAGAGGGCCACTTGGAGTGCAATTTCATCAAGCTAGCGATAGCCATGCAGACTGGAACCAGCAGTTGTGTTGCATCTTCTGTCAAGTAGCATCCCACTGTTTCCTAATATGGGCATTACATACTGTTAATGCCACAAGCATACCTATGCTCATTAGCATAATGTATGCAGAACAGCAGCCATTTTGTCGTTTTGTGGAAGTATTGTGAGCAGAAATTCACATTCAATTTTTTCTTTTTAAATTCTGCAAAGAATCTTTTTGGGAAGTTGAAATTTCTTCAATGTTTCAAACGGTGGAAAGTCTAATAGATATACAGTGGAATCATTCCATGTCAGTGTTTTGGGGGGACCAAACTGTGGTCTTTAAAAATGTATGTTGATCTGGCTAGTTTCTGGAGCTTTTCTGACAAAGGAGCTGTCAGTATATTTGTTGTCTGGTTTAGTACGAATATTAGGAGCTGAAATATGTTCTTGGTTGCTCTTTTAAAAAAAAAGAGAATGATTTTGCTTTGTGTTCTAGCTTTTTGGTCATAAAATGAAATTCATTTAAGTTTTCTATGGTATATTTAGCATGTACAAAGTACAAAGTATAGTTGGAAGAAAGATGCAAGCCACTGACATTTAGAACCAAAAATGCTAGAACTGAAATTTGAAGATCAAAATGAGTCTTTTTGCCTGGGACCTCTGACTGGGTACCTGTTTCAATAATAATGTGTGTTTTGCTCTAATATTGAAGTGAATGTGAGAGTAAAGTAAAATGGGAGGAAAGAAATGGAAGTAGAATTCTGGAAGAAAGAAAATTGCAGCATAGTAATGTTTGGTAATAGCAAAAGGGAGGTTTGATTTTTCAGCTTGTTCACACAAGTGACAATAAATGTTAGTTACATGAACCTGGGACAAGTGCAAGGATAAACTGTGCCTGCGACAAAGTGGAAAGTTCTATTTTTTCAAATTTGTGTAAAATCTACAATCAAATGTTGGTTAATGATGATATAAGTGAGGTGGAAGTAAAGCTTAACTGTAACAGTAATTTTTTTATTGCCAGGACCAAATAATGTTTCTTTTATGTCAGTCTAACTTTTACCAAAGTTGTAGACAGAACAGAAAACCTTTTTGAATACGAGCTTTTATTACTTTTGTACAACAAGTATTATTCCTGAGATAAGGACATGTAGTAGTGATAATGATTTCAACATGTTATTTTGATGCCATTCCAAACACACACCCCTCTCAGGAGGAGAAAGGAATTAGTAGAAAAACAGAGATAATACAGAGGATTATATTGATATAAGTATATACTTTATGTATCTTAAATATTTCTAATTTTAATGAATAGGTAATGGACCAAGGAAAAGACTTGTGTGACCCAAAGAAACACAAAGTTGCAAAACCGCATGCACAACTGTGCTTTGTAAATACTCTGGACTTGTACCAGTACTGGACTTACGCTTCAGATGATCATGATATTGTTGGGGTCTTTGAATTGTCATTCGTGTCATTGTAAGATATCTATGTGCCTTAGAATAGACACATGTAAATGTCTGTGGTAGGACCTCAGTAAGAAATCAGATTGTGAAGAAAGATCTGATCTGTGGACGAAAAACAGTTTGAATTTGCAACTTAGGTGTCCTTAGCCAATCAGAATGTCCATGTGAAACATGGAGCAGGCTCATTGGTCAGACATACTGAAGAAAATTTTCATTTGTCAGAATGCCAAACCAATCAGAAGGCCAGTTTGAGAAATATAGCATGCTCATTGGCTGGACACAAAGGAAAGTGTAGTGGCTTGTTTTTCAGTGTCTGACAACAATCAGTCAGGTTGACTGTCGTAATGTCCAAAGTTCAACTGTGTCTTAATGTCTAAAATTCAAGTTGTACATGTACATAATATAAGCTTTTTGTATTTTAGAATCCTATATCTGGAAAATTATATTACTAAGCGGTCAAAATTGACCAATTGGGGTCTTATAGTTGGTAACACATTGTTAGGTTTCGAGACCATTTTTGGTGTGTCTTAGTCATTTGCATACATGCATACACCCAATTATGATACTAGTAGTTAGTAACAACACATTTACAGGTATAAAGGTACATTTAAAAGGATATAGTCACCAAAAATGGTTTCATTTGTATGTATATTTACCGACAATCACATTTTATGCAAATATTTTTATTGCACTTACTGTAATATATGAATTTAAATTTTTGTTATGTTTACTGCAATATGGCTGAATATTTGTATTTTCCACCTGCAATTGTGTAAGGTTTTGGACCAAAATAAATGGGCATTATTTTAGCCGAAGTTTTTTAACCAAAGCACTAGATGCTCTTGGCTTTGTAAAATTTGGGTCATATGTTATAATATATGACTATGTTGTTGGTGTATTTTACCATTTTTGTATCTACACAGTCGGTACAAGACTTGGAGCTTGGTTTGAACTTGTTTGTTGCATCGTCTAACGGAACGCAGATGTGATACTTTACACCAGTCTATAAGGTTTTACACTTTTGTTATGAAATGTATGAAATAAATGAATAATCGGACAGACTTAAAAAGTGATCATTGGTTATGGCTTTTATTTTGATATTGCATTTCTAGTGAACTGAAAATAAGTTTGTTGAAAATACATTAGGTCAGATGAGTTATAATGTACATTGATGTTGGCCGCCAATAAACTAAGAAGAAGAAATAGAAATATATAGATGAAAACAAATATTTTAGTGACAGTGAGTCACTTCAGACGTAAGATTTTTCTAGAACAAGAATCTTTCCAACCTTTTTTTTTTACAAAATAGTATTATGCCGGTAGTACATAAACCCTCAGGCCCAAAGACTTTGTCTTCATTTTAAGTTACTGTGTAGTGTTAAGTCATCCCCTTTGTACCAGTTGATGCCTTCATCATTTGAAGATGCTCATGGAGCTTTTGAATCTCAAATGTTTTCTTCAAAAATATTAGTACTATAGTATATATCTGTATATATAAAAGTCTAATGCAGTCCCAAAGACTTGTCTTCATCTTAGGTCATCTGTGTGAATCCCGTTTCCAGCAGTACCAGTTGATGCCGTCAGCATTCGAAGATGCTCACAGAGCGTTTGTCTCTTCAAATGTTTTCTTCAAACACAATTTAGTACTATGTTTATATAGCATAAACTCTTAGTCCCTTAGACGTGATAGTGTCCAGAATCTTCCGATCTTGTGTCATCTGTGTCGTCTCTGACAAGTTGGTGACGCAGATTGTCTCTTCAAAATCATATCCAGTTGCTTGAGTAACTGCTTTTTGGTGTATCTTCAAACGTTTCCCCAATGGTAAATGCTTGGTAGTTCCTAAGGCTTGATACTGTCTTCCTGGTCATATCTTCAAGATGTGACCCGACCTTCAAGATCTTGCTGATGCCACAAGCAAGGAGATTCTTCCAGATGAGTTTCGGTCTCAAATATTTCTCTAGACAAGTTAGTAGCAGACTCTTAGTCCAACTCGATAGTGTCTAATCTTATGACATCTTGTTTCATCTACCTCGTTTCCACCAGCTGATGATGCCATCGGCAAGAAAATGCTCCCAGATGAGTTACACGTCTCAAATGTTTCTCTAACCAAATTAGTAGCACAGTGTTAGCGTACTCTTAGTCTCAAAGACCGGGCATTGTCTAGTGTCTTCACAACTTGTGTCATCTGTCGCGTCTCCACCAGTTGATGATACCGTCCTCGTGAAGCCGCTCCCAGACGCGCCTCTCGTTGGTGCTGTTGTGGACCGTGCCCTTGTCCGTGTGCTCGTGGAAGCTCGTGTCGTAGTAGTGAGCGGAGAACCTGGGATCGTACCCGAACCCGTAAATGTCCACCTGGGCAACGGATGGATAGAGAGGGTGACATACGTTATAGCTACTTCCGTAAACGTAACAGCTGGCACGAATGACCCAATATCTGCTATGAAAAATGTGATACATGTATTAAAGCTGCTACGATATATACAAAATGTGCATTATCGAGCGCATCCTAGTAGACGACATGCCAAATTACATAACCAATGTAGCAAACGGATCGTGGCTTATAGCTGCGTATACGTAGCACCTTCGGGGTTAACGTGTGAATGAATAGACGAAACCGACCTTGTCACACATGTGCACGGCGGTGAAGACGAGCATGGCGCCCGTGGTGGGCCGGCCCGCGGTGTGGTTCAGGTACGACACGTGGATATACCGCAGGAAGTCAGGGTGGAACAGCTTCAACTGGCGCCCGTGGATCTTCGGATTGCGAACCGACCTGGATTGGACATTACAAGTTAGATAGACCTTAATAGAAACGAGACTATTAAGAGTATGTAGATACTGCTTTCTGTCACAATTTTCGGTCATTTCGTTCCATGAATGTCGATATGCATTGGGATATTGCACAAGAACAATTTGACAGAAAAAATCTGGTTTTCAAGCCCTAAAAACTGCATTGGGCACCTTTAAGAGCTTAGATATAAAGTCAGTTGGACGAAACTCTCCCACTCACCAGTACTTATTGTTTGCCTTGATTTTGGGCATGGGTTCCCCTTCCACCACCGCAATGACGTAGTCGACATCGTACTGCTTAAACGGTGCGAAAAGGTACACAACATTCTGTGGGAATAAAACAAGAACAGCGTAAACACGTAAGAGATTAGATGATATCTTACAACTCTTACGTCCTGAACATACAGCACAGGTACATGTTTACTTTCTGAAAGGGGTGAAAGACGCTATCAGGGTTCATCACCCACCACCGCGACGGGGGCCGACACCGTTTACCAGCTATATACCTTTGACCCAGTGTTGACGTCATACTTCGGATAACCTTCGTGACATGGCTCACTGTGTCAGTCTATTGAAGAAGACCGGAGTGACTGGTTGAAAACTCTGGGTGAGAATTATCTCTTGTGTAGGAATAAAAGTTTTAACTTTAAACATCTCTTTACCTCTTTGTTGTTCAGAAGATGGACGTGGTTGGACTCCGGGTAGAAAGTGTAGAAGGTAGTTTTGTTTCCGATGTCAGGCCAGTAAAGGGAGCCGGTCATTGCTTTGTTTAACCTGGGAAATAATAGATAACATAAAGTGAATCCTGATATTAAAACGAAATACAGCCCTAAAAACATTCATTCATATATGGTGAGCGGCCTCTCATGATCACTTCTGTCCTGCTACATTATGTAACCCAACACCACGGACCGTCTGCTACAGCAACAGTTACCATGGTGACAGACGTCTGGTACAGGCCATTGACTTAACTTGTTTGAAGAAGAAGATGAAGATACTGAGCAAAAACAATATGTTTTCCTTCTGTGAAGGTAAACATAATGAACACCTAGTCACCTGAACACATAGTCATGTTTGTCGATCTCTCTGCCCATTCCTGCTCCTTTCAGGTCTCCGCTACTCCCCACCACTGCGCATGACAGGCACGTTTTGCGGTAATCGCCATGGATGTCGTCATTAGTGAAGTTATCGTTGTGCACTAGTCGCGCCATCACTAAGCATGCAAAGGAAACAGAAAATTTGTAGCAGATACATATATTAAAATGAAGTATCAATTTTACTATTTCTAAAAAAATTTAATCATCCTTTGATATGATCACGAAGTTCACAATTGCCCCACCCAATCCCTCATTATGCTGGTCTTTTTTTTATTAAAAGTATCATTCACAATAAAGTTAAACATTGTACGAAAAGTATACAGTAGATAGATAATAAGAAATACATCATGCTACATAGAAGGAAATGCGTATGACTTTTTTGAGTTCAAGGGACTACAGAGATAATTATCATTTAGAAAATTGCCATTGTGTTACTCTATTTTATATAGCCTTGTTTAGTCTGTTTCTAAAATGCGTGAAGTTTTTCTGCTGTGCATACCGTCCCGTTTCTGCGCTCCGAATCCGAACGGCAGCCCGTAGTGACGGAGTTTGTGGTAGATGTAGGGGTTGTCGATGTCCTCCGCGTCCAGGAACAGTTTCAGGTCGTCCATGTACCTCTCCGAGAACCAGGCAGACTCAGGCAGGTTGCGCGCCACAGAGTTGTCCATGTCGTCACAGTCCTGCATAAACAAGAAGTCAGAGATCTCAGACCTCCATGATCTTGCATTGAGGTTAAAAATAAAAATAGAATTAACCTCCTTCGATCTTGTGTGATGGTCTCCTCATTCACCATGGTGTCTACAAGACTTTCATTACCATTCAAGTGAAACAACACCAGCTGTCAAGGAGGTCATGTAACAAAAAACACCTGTGAAAACAGGGTTGGCAGGGCAGACTTCAATACGTCACCCGTTTGGCTGTGAAATAAGAAAGATACCAGTACACAAAAAAAAAAAAACAAAGCCCGATAACATTTCGTCCAAAACAAACCAAATCCTAACTGCTTGGAGAGTACTAGTAATAAAGTTGCGTATCGTACCGAAAAGCTGTACTTGTCGTCTCTCTCGTACCCCATCTTCCACAGCTTCGCCCTCCGCTCGAACGGAAGTTTCTCGTCCGCCTTGCGTAGGTTCGCCACCGCCTTCGCGATCTGGTCCATTCGCTCTTTACTCAGCTTGGGTTTCGGCGGAGGTTTTTCGGCTGGATCCTAAGGAACAAAATACAGAATTTTCAATAGAAGTTCTGTTTAGATATTGAACTGTATCTCCAGAAATTTAGTCTCAGTAAATGTCGTCACAATTCATGGTGTTTCAACCAGAAGTATTTCACATCAAGTCAAGTTTTTTTTGCTCAAATTGCTATTAATGTACCTACATATATGATAAAATTTTACCACTTCATATGGTGCATGAGATATCTGGGTATATCTTTATGGAAACTCTAGTTTTCATCCATCTATCCATCCATCCATCTATCCATCCATCCACTCCTATAATGTTTGATTAGGATGTCCCTTGTATAGTATTACACTATGATTCACCTCTCCTTTGTGGCCTTTTTCTTCTTTCTTTTCCTCTTTCTGTTGCTTCTCCAGACGTTTCTGTTCCTCCTCTCTCTTTTTGTCCTGTTCCTTTGTCCTCTTCTCTTCCTCAGCCCTCTCCCTGATCTGCCTGTGAAGCTGTTCCGCGCTCTGTTCCGACAGGAGGATGATGTCAATCTTGTGGAGAAAGGAGGCCGCTAGCTGGAATAACGCGAGGGGAAACAAAAACTTGTAGTAAAGCAAAGGACAATAACAGGGTTTGGCATCTTATAACTTTGATATCATATTATAACTTTTATGACATTGAAATTAGGGGTCTGTGTCGCAAAATTCTCTATCGTCAGGACATATTTAGCTGCACTACTGCCTTGCCTTTTGCAACCACCACACAGGAGCCAGGTATCTAAAAGGTAGTGCACCTACAATTTGTGCATAAAACTTTGCCAGCCTACTCAACAACCTATACTAAGTACTAGTAATTTATTTGCTTGAAAACATTATTTTGTTCTTTGTGTGATGCAAAACCAGTTTTACATGAAACATAAACCTAGAACAAGTGACGTAGCCCACCTTGTCCCCTGCGCCTGCGCGGTGGAACTCCTCCACGACCTTCCTGATCTCGCTGACCTTCTCCGCCGCCCTGTCCACACTCATCTCAGGGTACCCAGCAACCCTTGCGATCTGCAGGAGTTTGCGCACTGGGTCCTCCTGGTGGCCATTTTCCCAGTCATCACCTGAAATTATCCAGTTTATTGAGTAACAATTTCCTTGTGGATTGTTCCATATCATAACTTTCGCAGAAGGAAAAATATTGTTTTTGCTATGTTTCTTCTGCTTCAAAAAAATAAGTCAATGACCTGGGCCAGACGTCTGTCACCACCATGGTAACTGTTGCTGTAGCAGACACCCTGTGGTGTTGCGTTACATTTTGTATCAGTACAGAGTTGTAGGGGCTGTTTACCTACATAGTAGTAATTTGCTAGGCTTACATGTAGTAGACCATGTGAAGGTTAACATTAGGCATTTGATTTGCAAATGTTACCTTTATAGTGTATCATTTTTTTGTGACAGAAAGTAAAAAATCACACAAACCTCCATTATTACTAGGGAGAAACAAGTCCCAAATGCTGACATCTCTCAGCCCTGGTTTTTCGTCCACGTTCCTGTCGACCTTGTTCTCCAAGTAGATCAGATGAAGCAAATAGAGCGTGCAGCAGCTAGAAGCAGCCAGAGCCACCAACAACCGGGTATTGGGACGTATCACTAACATGTTGGATTGTCTAGATCACAGCATCAGATCTAAAATGGACAAACCTTCGAGTTAGAGTTATGAATCTCCGTAAATAATGACAATGAACTTATTGCATCTTCATGCCTTAGATATCTGAGATATAGGGGTAATATGTGATGTCACTGACGGAAAACGGTTTCTTGTGTTGTATAATAGGCTGGTTCTAGCTATTTATGAGTGGTACGTACCCAAAAAATAAAGAGACGCATCATGTAACTTGTTCCTGGGCTATTTCAAACGCTTCAAGTATAAAATCGTAACAAAAGTGTGCTAAGAAATTAAATGACAGTAAATGTCAATACGAGACATATTTTATAATCCAGAGTATTTTGCCATCCGAAATTGTATTGGATACCTTAAAGGGCTTTTTCTTTGGAATAAACATTTGCCGCTGAATATTTCAGGCCGATGATATCTCATTGATTCATCAACAGTCATGACCACAAATACTGTCGTTCTACACATCTTCTCTTTTGTTGGCTACAGAAGCCTTTACGTATCGACGCCGAGTTGTGTGATGACAAGAAAGGTCACATGTGACGTCACACGGTTGCGTGCAGGACTATACTAGTACTCTCACGAGAATCCTTCTCTAAAGCGCCTAATAGTGTCAGGTCATGACATCCAACAATAAAAAAATGGCGGACTTTAGCTCACCAGATTCAAGAATCGGATATCGATATATAATATATGATATCGATATACATAATGCATTGTGTAACTTGAAGCACAGGTTTCCATTGATATAGTTCTATGCATACACATATACAATAAAAAAACCCTAGCAAAGAAAAAATGCAAGAGGGATGAAATTCAGCTTTAAACAAGTACTAGGGAGCACATCTTAGCTAAAATAAGGCATTGTTACATTGTGTACATATGTTAACGTTGTGATGTAATGTGCAATGGTTTTGTTCATTTCTATTATGGTTACTAATCTAGAAATGTAAAGTTTTAACGTATTTAAAAAAAACAACGTAGCAGTAATAGGTCATTGCACATATCGCGTGAGCAGACCACTTTTAGGCAACTGCAATCTGACCAATCATTCACAAACAATTAGATAAAACAACCTACAGGGAAATATAACTTAGGGCAGATAGCACTGAATACATTCTTCTACCTGAGCAATATGTGTTCGTTTTCTTTCAGAGATTCAACGGAATTCAGTTGACACCGTTTTGCTATTTTGTTAGGCAGGGAGCATGACAGCAAATAACAGTTATTGTCAAAAGGCCCCGACACACTTTCAGAAGTCGGAAGCAGCCTGAACAGATTTAGGTCACGCCTAACTTTCTATACGAATTATTCGAATTTGAGTTACATTTGAATCAAATTTGACCCCCGATCACGCCCGACACACTGCCGACTTACTCCCGAACACCAGACAAATACCAGCCAACTATGGCCGAAACTCCCGACCACACCCAAATGTTTGACAACATTTTTAAAACATTCGGCTGGCGCAGCCGAACAGCAGCCGACCTAACTTGCCGAACACCAGCCAACCACAGCCGAACTTGCTCCCTTCCTACTCCAAACAACGGAGTTCAGGGGGCCATATTCGGCTATGTGTACGTGTGACAATGGCTTTATTAAGACAACGTTATATTCATCTGATGTCTTTCGCAGTGCTCTTACAAATACCATTATTACAGATCATTTGCATACGGGGTGTCTAACTTGTCTGCCAGCATAACACAGACTGAATCTTACCATCTAAAGTCATTAATATATATTTTATTGAACCTCATACTTACATTACCAAAAAATCATTTTACTTGTGAATGGATGGTATTGGATCGACGTTTGTGAGTCTTGCTACAGTGCCTGTTGTTTATCCGAAGTCCAGGATGACATTTTGTTACTGTTATACTTGTACGATCTTTGACAGCTAGGCTATGACAGAACTGACCCTCGACAAGGATCACGACAAGCTTTCCCCGTCACAAGACAAATGAATTTTGTGCGACATGTCCACAACTGTCCCAAGACTATCCTCTAATTTGCCGACCTATCACAAACGTGGCCATAATTTTGGAACAATATTTTTTTATGTAACTCAATGTCGAGACGAAGCAGAATTCTAGAAACCAATAACAAACACATGGGAACGAGAACCACATACCTGTACACGTAGCCGTTACCATGGCAACTGCAGCTGAGTCAAATGACAGACGACAGTTCCCATCAAAGTCTATTTTGACGTGGCGGCTACCGAGAACACACTCAGCAAAACACTGTACGGTAAATATTGTCCACGCTGGCCGCTGCCATATTTGTCAAGCCCTTTTCGTCTATAAAGGACTTGTCAAACAGGTTTTGTATTTGGACATTTGTGGGAATGTTCCATTATGATTTGCGGGGTATAACCAGAAGTGACATTTGTTGTTCAAATGTCACCCAAAACATTAGTTTGCTTTCTAACATTACTTAGCTTATTTTCCGTTGGAATTTTTTGTCTACTAGATATTGGTATTACGTTCACATTTTTTTGTATTTTCATTTTTGTTATGATGCACCTTATTGGTTACATCGTAACGAATGGGTCATCAGCCTGGCCGCATAGCCACGGAGAAGTGAAGTCGATATTCGTCAGCAACCGATTCGTGGCAAAAATATCCCTCTTGGTGACCCCGCCCCCCCCCCCCTGGAGAAAAATGGTTTCTTCCTGAAGATGTCACACAGTTACAATTGGATGAGTAACTGTGTCATTACACCAGCTGTCCCAGTCTTTTGTTTGGACAAAGCGTCTCTTTTGTGATATGCAAAAGTCGTTCCAAAATACTTGATTTTATCTGGGTCACCATAATCTTTCTATTATCTAACATAAACATGCCATACTTGTCAAAAAATTGACAGAATATTGCACTATTGTGTGTTGAACAATGTTTCTTCAACTGCCTTTTCTTATGTAGCCGGTAGACCCATACGTTTAAGCTCAAAACACTGTGAGCTCAAAATAAACGCTTTGTCTGACGAAACATGTTACTAAGAAGGCCCCAAGCTTCATAATAAGGAACTATCAGTTGGAATGCGGGTATTTTCTATATAACTATTTCAAAATATCCATACATAGGAAGGAATTCATAAAAGAAATACTAGATAGTAGATACTAGTAGACGTTTTGGCTATGTCACTATAGAAAAACTGCGAGGTATTAAGTATCCCCCTCAATGCGGCCCAAAGCCTGCAATTAAATAGACAAGCCCTGATAACAGACAGCTAGGTCATACCTGGAAAGACCGGTTTATAGTTAACACGTCAAAAGAACACATCCACCATTTAGGTCGGAATTTACGTTCGGTCGGCACAGCGAATTCTTCTGTTTTTGCACCAATTTGACTTTTTTCCTGTCAAAGAAGGTTAGTGTGTGTCCAGACTATTTTCAATTGTTTCTGAGACTTCAGAACTGATATTGAGAAAAGAACATCGCAAGTTAGACTACTAGTATCTGTAGTACAATGCGCGATGCAACTTGCTGGGTCGCAGTCCTAACATATAGATTTGGTTCTACAAATCACTCAGGTAGCAGTAATACTAATAATTATGTGGACAATAACAATTCTTCTGGCCTTGAACGATTTCTTGGCCAGACGTTGAACTGCTTACATTGGCCAAAAGGGGGCGCTTCAATCATTAGCCTGGTAGTGACAATATATGGCTTCTTTTTCTGACCAATCAAACGTCCTGGCGTTTCAGTACTGTGAGAACATTTAGATGGAATATTATTTGCAAGTTCGGTCCCGAATGCAAATTGCAAATATGTGGAATATAAATGTGTTGTTAAAAAAATCCGAAAAAGGCCAGGATGGCATTTTCTTACTACATGTATTTGTACAGGATTGATTTAACACATTTAGTACATTAAAAGAATAACCAGAAAATATTAATCTTTCAAAATCCAGTTTTCCTTCCCTGAAATCTCATTGGATGCCTTTAACACCCTCGTCTTTGCCAAACTGACCGGAGTGAAGAACAAACACATCCCGTATTTAGCAGGTAAATCCCGGCCTACGGGCGCCGTGGTAACGCCCTGAAACTAACCTACTGAACTCAAACAGCGGATTTTTGAAGGACATGCCCTGTTTCCTCCTCACATTCTTTCTTAAACCACCCATCGATTCTAGGTCTGTAGGTAGAAGTTTTAGCACATGCGGGCATGACTTAAGCCTTGGCAATGCTGTAAGAAACAGGAGCGAGTAGAAACAGATAAAAACCCCTGGTCCCGGGCCGGGTTTCTAACCCACGGCCCCAGGGCACGCTCTAACCACTTGGCTGAAAAGGTCTAGACCCATCGACCGGGTTAGTTGGTAGCGCCTATAAGTCCACACTGTTACACTGTGACTGTCCACCCTCTCCCCCATTGAACAGTGACTCTAAACGAACATTCAATTTGACCACTCGTAGAGACAGGGCCGGATTTCCCTTTACAAGAGTTATGAAATCACAACTTTGCAGGTGGTTTGACTTACGGCTTGCCTTCTAAAATAAACAGCCGGTGTTCCCAGCAACCTTAAAGAATTTTGGTTTAGAAAAGAAGCTGAGAAAGGGTATTTTTTTACGCCTACTAGTATATATTTAGTAAATCTTGTGTATTTCGTTGCGAAACCGGAACAGACTGCTACCTGCACGGATACATCCCACTTCTCTGCCGTGTATCAGACGGGGTGACACGCCCTGCACCCGGATGGTCGGATTTGTGTTGTTGTTTTGTTTGCGTCCTTGTTGTTTACACTAGATGGGACTCGGATATCTACGTGTGGCCTGGTCAGAATTGATCAGCCGAGACGAGGATTTGTCACAATTCGAACCATAAAGTGTTAGTATATTTTTAGTCTTTCATGATCGAACGAAGATATTAGTAGTCAATACTCCCTTCAAAATTTGACGTGCTATATCAATTAATAATGATTTCATCAGGTTGGTGAATGATTGAATAGCACTTTTACTTGGTAGAAGGATAAATTTTCAGGAGTTTTGAAAATCTGAGTAAACAAACGAATATTCACATAATCACACCTGTTTGGCTATGTATAGTGCAAAAAAAATAATATGAATCATGATGTAATGCTTACGACTCAAAACCTTGTTGAGGACTCTATAATAAGTCTATATTATCACTGTATTCATAGTTTAGGGGTGATTTCGTCTGAGACATCCATGTGATGCCCTCCCCTCCCCCCCACCCACACGCACACACATACAAACGGTCTGTAAATAATACATGAGACAATTAAGCATGGCACGACACCGATCATAGTTGGTATTATGTCATCTTAGACTGACCAACTTAATTGTTCGTACGATTGTCGACAACTGATAGGATTCTTAAGAAAGTCGTGTGTATGTGTAGTATAGTCTTGTTACGAAAGGACTGCCTTAGGTCCTTGTCGGCTGTTGGTTCTATCACAGCCAGCTCGCAAAATTTGCCACATCAAAATCGTACAACGGTCTACGATGAATGTTACTGCGACAGTACCGTAGGAAATATTGTCTGATGAATGGTATAATGTAGAGCTTTTCTAAGTTAAAAAAAGAAGGTAAAGGTTAAGGCAGCCCCAGCTTTTTTAGGCCGTAGGGGCAGTGGGTTGTTAATCCACTGTGGCACGGTATTGTAAGGCAGAGCCAATCCCTCTCCTGACACTGCCTTTTACCTACTGAAGTCAGATACCCGTTTACACCTGTGTCTTGTGATGAAAGTTGTGAAATGTTGTGAAAAGGACACAACATTTGGGAGACAACCTTTCCAAAAGTTACCCTTTTCTCGACCCGACCGACCCAAGCAATCAGGTGCAACATCTGTACATTTCCCAACAATACACCTTAATTCATCGACGGAAAAACAACAGCTTGCGACCAGGAAACACACGGAGTGGGTGTAGGAGATATCCAAACTTGTACATGTGCGATTGTTCCGACTTTGATAATCGAATTTAATACAAAATACATAAACATTCTGTGAGAGGTAGAGCCTAATATGTAGAACCTAACAATATTTGAACCGAAAATCTGAAATCCGTTTTCAGAAAGTGGTTCTTCTGCAGTGGTTTTATCAGTGATTGTGTATCTCTGTTCAGGACAGACGCCACCAATCGATAAAAATTGACCCCTATTATCAGCTATTCGCTCCTATTCACATGCATGTGACCCCATTCATAACACACCTGCATGGGGTACCGTAAACCATCTTATTTCTATCAAAGTTAAAATCTATTCTAGTTCAAATAATCCTGCATTTTAGAAACTTCCATCTTTCCAGCGCGCTGCCATTATTGAGATCTAGAATAAAGGGTATGGGGTAGTTAGAAAGAGACACAAAGTTTGTATTTGCGAATATTATCTAATTTTTAGACGGCAATGCATTATAAGCTTTACAGTATGGCAGCCATAGTTTACACAGACACAGACCACAGACATCGGTAAGGATTTAAGTACACAGAGTGCTGCCAGGGAGTCTTCTCCAGGTATATGTGACTTTCTTATACATATGGCACAAGTTAGAGTGTTTGACCCATGTGTAACGTTAACTCTAGTACGAACATGTCTACAAACGCAAAGCCCCTGTAACAATTGAGGTATATGCGATACGGGCTTTGGGCGGATATTAGGAGTTGTGGTGATACGTGTATCTGGGGGAATTTGTTTTAGTACGAGACAGTGGCATTTTGAAGAATTTTGTAAGAAAATCTGAGGTAGGGAGCCATTGATATAACGTACGCATGTGAGTGCAATCTGTTTGAGATCATTTTGAATGGAAGTGCTGGCCTGAAAGCTACATTGTACTTCTAAGTCTGGAGTTGAAAATATTTACAACTCCCTTTTGCCTGTTCATGCATCTCACAGTCATAATACCAGATCTTCCGCACATAACTTTAGATTACCAATACCTAAGTCCAACAGCAGAAAACGCTCATTCCTGTATCGTGCAGTCGTGCTCTGGAACGATCTACCATCTGACGTTAAGACACTGTGCGATGTTATCAGTTTTAAGAAGGCCGTTTCAAACAGTAGTAGTGTCACCTGATCCTTGACCCTTGCTCGCCACTTTTAAATTGTTTATATCTATGTGTATTTATTGTTAATGTGGTGTACATGTATGTATGTATGTATTTTTAAATGTTTCCACTATGTTGTAATTGCTATAATGTTTGAGCCTTGGAAGATTAGCCCTTCGGGGCTAAAAGGTTTCGAAATAAATGAAATAAATGAAAACATTGACGTTAGTTACAGTTTCTGTGCATGAAATGATTTCACCTGCAGTACCCACTATTCTCAACATAATCACAATGGCCACCGAAGTCTGGTGGTTTGATTTAGTTTCCTATGATTATTTTGTCAAGAAAAAAATGGGGGCGGGCTGGCTTGATATTTCCTTTAACTTCTATTTATCATATGTCTATCTAACATGAATAGTTACGAATGATTATAGACACAAACGATTTTATCTATAGCAAGTATCTCATCGTTTCCAACACCGATGAATGAAATTGTGGTAGCCTAACTTTACACAGAATGCGCGATACATTTGTAACTTAGGGCATATCATAACCTTTATCATGTAGCTCTCTTTATCGGTAAAAATCAATTTGACTCAATAGACCCAAATAGGCAATTGTGAGTTTTTGACATTTTGCTTTTTCTCTAGGTTTTCGAGTTTCACTTCTTGTTGAAGATGTTCCCAGAAGACAACGAAGAGTCACCTGCACAACTGGGGGATGATACAGAGATCGGGACTGATCATGAAGGTGGTGACAACTTGAGACGCTGGAAGGTCTGTACTAAACCCATGTACACATGTACTAGTATCTCATCTGACTGAACACTATAAGTCACACAACTGTTACAGCATGTGTGCATTCATGTGCACTCAACCATAGCGCTCGCTGCTGGAAAAATCAAAACAAGATAATACAGCACTAAAAGAAATTGCAAAATGTATTAGAATTATTGAATTATGAAGTAGTCACCAACATGTTCCCCAGCTTTCTACAACTTTCCTGCCTACAAAAATGCATTCGTAATAACCTCTAAATTCATATGATCTCGCAAATCGTCGGGCAGTTCATACGCCACTGCACAGAGAAAGGAAATCAGTCCCAACAACAACTATAATAGACGTGACATTAGTACCATTACTTTATGATCATTTTCACTGTTTACTGTTATTTTATCATTTATAATGTTCTTGCAATTAGCATTTGGGCGGGAATTTTCAATAAGATTATGATTTATAATATAGAATTTTCTACTAACATAACACAAAGTCTGCATCATCTTTTTGATTTTTTTATAGAAGCGACAACTAAACATCTTAGACTGTTTGAATACGATGATAATTTGAATAGAAAAGTGTTACAAAGTTTTAAAGTTTTAAGGGTGTATAGAATTGAATGAATGGATACGTGTAATTGTAACGTATTTAGCCTAAAACACCCTTAACCAACTTGACATCATTATTTTACTCAGCTACACTTGTTACCACAAGTCTGGGAATGCGTCTCTGTTTTGGTTAGTTCGTTTTCAGCCTATTGAATATTTTAGATGACAATCAGTCAGGAGTTGACAGTATTATACGGTATTGTCTCTGGATCGCGGAGGGATATTGTGTGTTTTTCCCACCGGACTTGTAGAAATAACTGACCTCTCACGAAATGTCACTTACACAAAAGATTTGGAACTGCCGATACAATTGGTCGTCATTTCGCAATTAAAAATGGATGAAATCCTCCCCAGAGGATACCGGAAAAAAATCAGGCACGATTGTTCGGAAGATTTAGTGTTGGGTAGATTGAACGCAGACCTTTTCGAGATTGTTGTAGAAAAACAAAACAAAACAAACAAAATAGCCGGAAATATGATAAAAAATACTATTGAGAAATATCTGTTCGACCATTCTAAAACGATAAAATTACATTGTTACATGAAGCAATGTGACTTATGTGCCTTAAACTGTCTTCGACATATAGATATCAGTTCAGTTTTATTTCAGATTGACTGGCATGACACACATACAACGTCACATGAAATTTCTCGGCTTTTTACAGTCAATATAAATCAAGGCCATCCTTTAACTTAAATACGACGGATAGCATTTTGGGGCCCAATCATTGTGACAAATTGGGACAACTCGTGATATACATTGATGAAAGCATCATTTAAGTGCATCATTTAAAGCATCATAAAAGCATCATTTAAAGCATCATAAAAGCATCATTGATTAGCATGTTCCATGTTTTCCCGCCACAGTGTCTTAAGTTACTCGCGCTGAACGCAGACGGTGTTCTGTTCAGTCCTGCAGCCCTGCAGGGTCCGGCCGGACAGCACCTCAGGACGTACCATTCAGGGGACGTGGTGGGGGTGCGCAGGCTCAGGAGGACAGGTGTCCAGGTGAGGCAAATGTATTGCAGTGTGTAGGTGAGATAACAGGGGTAAATGGGTTAGACAAACGATTACAGACACTAGTATACCTTTGCCATTTAAGATAATTCTGGTGAATCCTATTGCAACAGAGAGCTGTGTGTGTATGTGGGATGTTTGACTAACTAGTTAATATTGTCCTGTTATTACCTAGTTAAGTTACTTTTAAAGACTAACATTCCGTGGCGCCTTGTCTACTGTGTATTGCAATTTTTGTTTGGTTGTGTCTACAGGTGTTGCTGCTGTCAGAAGAAGATGACCCCGTGTTCAACACAGTAGCGGATCGGGAGAAATGCAGCCTGCGGCAGAACTGTAAGGTCAGTAAGAAAGAAGACTTAGTGTTTATGAACTGTCCCCACAACCCAAACGTTCCTGCCCTATCTAGATCTATAAAACTGAAGTCATTCCAACGCACGGTAAATATTCCCTGTCCTAATGCTTGTTTCCATTTTCTTCTCCACAGGACAAGTTGAGTGAACTGGATTCGTACAGACTACAGCTGGGCCTGAGCTGGGCGGAGGTTGGCTACGTAGGTATGTAGAATTTAACCTATCATCGGTAGTTTGATAAACAAGTCATTGAGGCATAATTTCAATACATTAATGTTAGTTTATTAATTGTTTCACCTTAATTGTATATTTATGCTATGTGGTGCATGAAGCACACAGAGAAATTACACTATACATACTAATGTGCACTACTACCTTATCAAATCCTGCTTCTGACAAGGCGTGATTTTGAGGAGGACCAGTTGATTGGAAGACCCTCCATTTCCAGTTTACTAGTATTCTCTATGTTATCTATTGCTACATCAATATAACCATTATAATAGCGCATGTTTGTTGGAACTTTGGAACGCTCTGACGTCATCTAATGAACAAAATTGTCCACATGTTACAGGGCATGACGCGTCGGATGTGGAATGTATGCGGAGAGTTGGCGTCAGCGCATGCGCAGACAACAGCCACAACCTGGTCCAAAGAATAGCCTGTTTCGTCTCCCACTACGCAGGCGCTAACGGGGCACTGAGAGAATTCACAGATCAGGTAAAACTTGTGTGCTTATTGGGTACACTGTACTGTAAGTGGTATAGTGTTAGATAATTTGATAATTATTTAATAAGGTGGAAAATAGATCTTAATTGGAAGTGCGATGAAGCCAGCTAGGTATTGCAAAACATACCTCTTATACAAACGTCTGACCGTTTCTAAAATCATATCCATGGCCAGTTGCTTGAGTAACTGCTTTTTTGGCATACCTCTTATGCTAGATGATCTCGGGTAGAGAAACCCGTATTTAGGACATTTCTCTTTCCTTTCTAGTCAGATAAATGCATGGGACACAATACTTTGCAATTAGAATCCACTTTCTAGCTATTAATCGTTGTAACGTGGTTTATTTTTTGTTATTCATTAAAGGTTGTGGAACTCAACAAAATGGACACGGAGGTAGAAGTCGTCATGAGATAGACGTCTGGCTAAGGACAACGTTGAACATCTCGCCGTTGTGTCAATGGGAAATATATGAGTGTGATAACATTTGCAGCAAATAAAATACATGTAATGAGCATCTGTCCAATGGAGTCTAGATATCATGATTTAAAATTAACGAACATTAACTTATAACAGACTCCAAGTTATGTCAAGTTTGTCTTAATAAAGCAGTCTTGTATTAAATTCATTCTTCACAGATTACGGAATTCAATGTGTAAATGTCACTGCTTCCATCAGACTTTACAAAAGCGTCTAATTGTTGTAACGACAGAAACATGATAACAAACATGTAACTCCATATTTTTCTTCATTTGTTTAATCTTCAAAGCATCTAGGTAGCCCTTACGACAATTTCCACAAGAAAATTGTTACAACAGTCACTGACGAAAAGTAGTAGATTTAGATGCTACTTGAAATTTCTGACAGTTTTCAAAATCAATCCAGTGGCTTAAGTAACAATTTTCTTGTGTAAGATATTCCGTTGTTGGGTGTAATCTTAGCGACATGCAAAGTTCTTCACTATAGTGACGCTGCAGTTTGCTCCATCAGTGATGACAAGACTACCCGTCTTTGAGACAGCCACGGCCACGGGAGCCCTCAGTCCGTCTTCTTTGGTCGCGACATGTTTGAGGAAGTTCCCGCGCGAGTCGAACAGCGATACCCGGCTATTACCGCGGTCTGCTACCACGATGTTACCGCTCGCATCGGTGCAAACTCCCGCCGGTAGGCTGAGTTGTCCCCCGTCGGACCCCGAACCGCCGAATTTGAACAGAAAAACGCCTTCAGCGTCAAACACCTTCACCGAATGGTTGAAGAAGTCTGATACAATGATTTCGCCCCTTGCGTTGACTTTTAGATATAGCGGCTGGTTAAACTGTCTATCGAGGGCACCTAGTGAACCAAAAGTGTGACGTAACCCACCCATGGGGTTCATGACGATTACACAGTGATTGCTGACGTCACTGACAAGAAGGTTCCACGTGCTAGGGTCGAACGCAATGCCTGCTGGGTGGGTCGCCATGTCTAGTCTCCTCATGTCCTGTAGCTCTCCGTGTTGGTTGACTATCACGACAGCTTTGTTGGTTTTGTCGGTGAGAAACAGGTTTCCATCTAACGCCATGGCTATGCCCTCCAGCCGGGTGCTATTGCTGTTGATCTCCGGGCACAGAACGGTAAAAGTCCTGAGAAACTTTCCATCTGAGTTAAAGACTTGAACCCGCGAATTGTCCGCATCTAACACAAATATGGTCCCCTCATCAGATATTGTAACACCGCTAGGATAACGAAACTCCCCCTCCCCACTACCCTCCCTTCCAAACCTTATTAGCGAACAGGCACTCTGTTGGTTGTCATTTTCCTCATCTACATCATTATCATCCACTATTCTACCTATACTAACACACTGGGAGTCTAACTCTTCTCTTACAAACGTGTATTTCGTTGCTCTCCTGTTGCTTCCAAGACCTTCGTACTGCGCAGCATCATCGAGCAAAGATCGCATCTTTGTTTGGACTCGCTCGACTTCTTCAAGCTGAGTAGGTCTTCTCAGTAGTACCTCTGCCTGTTTCCTCCACTGTTCCAGGTTCGTCAGGTAGTTACCAACGGTCTCCTTCTCTTCCACGATGTCCAACAGTGTTCCCTGATGCAAGGCCTGAAGCTGTTGGATCAGCTGGTAGACTTGCAGGTTGATCTTTTCGACAAGTTTCCTTCCAGCGCTTTCTATCTCTCGTGCCGCCGCCTTCCTCTGTTCGCACTCTCTCTTTTCTTCTTGTTCCAACATCGACAGCTGACTGCTAAGCTTGTCTATGGTGGCATTGAAAGACGCTAGCAGATCTGCGTCAAATTTGCCCCTGTTTTCGACCACGGTGATTTTGTATCTATGAGATAAGTGTTGCTCCCGTATGCAACATTCACATACCTCAACATCACACTCTAAACAGTAGTGACTGAGAACGGCGCTGGTGTGACGATTGCACTTAGCTAAAGAGTTATCATTTGTTGTATGGGGAAGATAGTCCATTCTATCGTCTGCACTGGAGACCCATTCGTACAGGCTCGTGATGTAATGGTTGTCCTGGAGACCGGATATTCCATTGCTGGGCATGGGGGTGTCCTGGCGGCACTCGGGACACGGAAAACGCGACCTTCCTGCAACAAAGAGCACCGGCATTCGATTAGAGTACAACAGCTGTTACAGGCTAAAAGGTCAATTTCAACCAACAATTAAAGCAGAAATTAACATTTCTGTCCAAAGTTAAGGCAGCAATTGTCAAAAATCATAAAATCATAACTTTATGCTGCTAGTTGTTTTCAACAAGCAACGGATATTATAAGAACAACCTACACTGTAAAGCAAAACTATGTCTGCTGACCATATAACAATATGTGTTTTGAAACTTATTATGGCACACTTATCTTGAAGGAAATACAACAAGCAATCGCCATGACGTCACGGCCAAGAAGTGGTAGGCCGATAATTTGCACACGACTTCAAATAATTTGCATGTACATGATCTAAACAAATCCAGCGATCGCTGGTATCCTTAGCTTGGTCAAAGAAAGAACACTCGGACGTACCGTCGGCATGTTTGACCAGACACGGCGCGCAGAAGCTGTGGGCACACGGCAGGATCTTGGGCGAGCCGAAGGTGTCCAGGCAGATGGAACACGTCAGGAAATGTCGCTTCAGGGCGCTCAGCGGAAGCTGGGTCATCGTCTGTGACGAGGTAGGTTATAGTCTACAAATAACAGAAGGGATATAGCAGTTACCATTTAGACCAAGCGTACGTGATATAGAATAAAGCAACTGGATATATTCTCTGAGTGGTAAGGCGTTTTAGGTACCATCAACTGTCTTTCATTGGTGATAGAGAATGAGTCTGAAGACAAGTATAAACTGCACATAACTGAGTACCTGGATTGGTATGTAAATGAGACACAGAAAGTAGACCTGTTGGACCACAGGAGCTACTGCTTTGTCTGTAGGGTGGTAGGATGGGAGGGTGGTGTCCCACGTACTAAAGAATCGGGATATAAAATGCACGGTTATAGTCAAAGCTGATGTGTAACGATAGAGGTCCTTTTTCTTTACAGTTAGCAAGAATAGTCGTTGTTAAACATAAGATTTAACAGAATAGAAAGTTACTAGTATTAAGAAGCTTGATTATAAGCACAATAAGATATCAGTTCACCTCAGTAGTCAAAGATAGAACGGTTGTATCTCATTACATTGTACAGGATAAACTACGTAAAAAAAGACCCGTTTAGATATATTTAGATGTATGCTTGCCACTAGCAGCTTTATATATGATATATGTTTCACAGAAGATACAAAAAGCTAACAAAAATCCTGTTGGCCCGACTAGCGATGTATGTCTCACGTACCGGCTTCATTCAAGAATACATGATCCAGAGGTAGGATTAAATCCTACGATACCAAATACCATCTCCAACAAAGACACATAGTTTACTTTTTAGACCACATCATGATTTTATTCCCTTGACAGTGTGAACGTATTAAGCCTTACCCGAATCCCATAACCGACACCCGCATCGCATTATGTACCACCATAACAACCAAATCACCCGGGAATACGGTACCAGGTGAGATAAAACACATACCTGTGACTGGTAGCCTCCAGGTCTACAGAAAACTTCCTTCCCTTCTTTGTTCAGGGCTAAGAAAATCCGAGTAGCAGCTGAGAAGTTAGTTTATATATTATGTGAAGACAAAACGTGGCCACCTGCAGTCTAGGTGATGACACCCGGCCGGACCCTGCTCCTCTGTATGTCCTACCGTCTGTTCCGCCTCTTTTGTGTTTTTCTGTGCCAATCGTTATGCGCCACTGAGCGTTAAGTAGCCCCACATTCGACAACGAGACAAACTGTGTCTATTGTATTGGTGGTCTTATCGGTATTTTATCTGGACAGTGTAGCAGCGCCACCAAACACGGTTTGTAGGTACTACACGCGTACTAGTATTTCTAGAAACATTGACAAAGTTGAATACTCACCGTTTCTTTGTATCGTTAACGTTACATTTCATTCAACATTTCTGAACACGATATGCAGCAATTCACCTAGTGAGTTTTGTGTCCTATCGTATAATCTACATGTAGCATATGATTAAAAAAGGGAAGTTTTTAAACTTCTCTTTTTTTAATCATATGCTACATTGCTCATGATGATGTACATCACTATACACTAGACCAAATGTACTCTTTTAAGAGTACATTTGGTCTAGTGTATAGTGGTGTACAACATCATGAGCAATCGTACGTGCGACACAGATAATTACGAACTCTTCAGTCGACTCCCAAACGCCCAAGGACAGCTGACTAATCAGCTAAAATCACCCGTTCTCAGGCTGTTGTCTCCCGTCCAACCAGTTTCTATTGTCCTTCACACAAAGATCAGACAGGCGGGAGTTTAACGTGCTCCGAGGAGGTTAAATGCTCAAAGCAAAGGTGGAGACAGTGTTTGACTCATGTCTCTCGCGTGCACTCTTTTACTTGTTGACATCCATGGTAAAAAATCTTCTACAAATGTTTCCAAAATGTTTTGATATGAGATATGCGTAAAATTTAGGAATTTAGCGTCTCGTTGTGTCGGTGACCTTGAGGTTTTAAAAGGAATCTTCGAAGATTTTTTTCGTTCGATGACCAGTTAAGACTTACTCGTTACTCCTTGCCATGCACAATGGGTGTTTATACATGTACATACATTGTACATGTATAAACAAACGTTTCTTAGCCAAGCTAATCAGCCTTCAGGACGCCACAGTACGATGTAAACAAAGCCTTGAGCCAGACAGGATATTTTCGCCTGACTTGTCGGGTCATGGGTCATCGGTATGATACAACAACCACGTAAATAATCGAGTAAATTTAGACTTCAGGGGTAAATTCATATCTCACATTTAAGATAGCAGTTTTGTCCAATCTTGTTGAGAAGAATAAAATGTCAGAAAACCTTCGATTATTCACTACATGTACGTACAAGAAGAGGTAGTGAAGACGGATTTTTATCAGATAAGGGTGCAAATAATAGGCTGATCCACGGCTACAAAAGCCGTCCAACAACACTGATTATTGACCTTTAGGTAATTATACGTCGTTTATGCCGTGCGTAGTGATACATTGTATGTTCGTACGTGAGGAAGTGATTTGGCTGTCTTGGACTTCACAAATATTAATTGCCTTTCGAGGAACAATAAATTATGACAAAAAGAACATGAAAATGCGTGGAAAGCCACAAGAGGGACAATACAAATAAATGCCGTGATTAAATAATCACAGAAATTTACTAGATGTTAGATAATCAAAGATAGGGAACTACTTTCGTCAGAGGAAGGATACAAGTTTTCAACTTTGACTGGGTGCAGAGGAGGAAACGATTATGAGAAAAGATGGCAGGGGACGTCTTCTTTCTGATTTTGTTCTGTGTCTCCTTCGCTTTTACCGGTGAGTGCGCGTGTCTACAGTCTGTAAATGGTGGATAGTTTTCTACAAGAAAAGATGAACAACGCAGTTAACATGTACAGTAGCATACTTAGTATTAGTATGCTAGATATATTTTTTTTAATTTTATTTAGATAATGCAGCTGAAACTGAAATCAGGTATAGGTGGGTACTGGTAGTGGGATTGGGATAGGATAGCTGGGTGGATGTAGTTGTTCTTGGAATTTCTCACCTGCAACGCGTTAACGCCAGTTGGTCGGTCTATAGTACAAGTGATCGAATTTTGTTCAATACATCATAATGTTTATACGTTAGACATCCATATTTTATACTTTCTTGAGCAAATAGATAAAGAGGAACAGAGGTTTTCTGGTTACGGAACTTGTTTGATTTTGAGTTTGATCAATAAAACATTCAGCTTATGATATTAAAGCCAACCGATGGCAACAACCACCTGTTGTTTTATAACAGTGTTGAGCTATTTGATCACTTGGTTATGTTTGTTTTACTGTCAAGTTCAGACTCAACAGGATTTAACTTTAAAAGTCACTTCCCAATTTTTTTAGGAAGGAAAGTGTCTTGATTATTGTTGATAATATTTTGCCAAAGAGGAAGCGCAACACATGCAACAAAGAGGAAGTATATAGCCTAATAGAAAACAAAATAACGTCTTTACGACGTATAATTTACCCATATGGTTGGTGTCATTACGATAATCATTGCTGTTAACTTCGTAAGTTTTATGCTGATGTTTAAACGAATAAAATGAAATTAAATGCAGAAAAGTGCAAATAGACCACATCATGAGACAAAGACATAGAACTATGGACATTGGCAACTAGTTGTAGTAATACATGTACCTGACAAGTAGATAGTAAATCACTTTATGTTCGCGGAAGCAAAAGTTTGCGGTCTGAGAAAAATGGACATGTTCGCGGACCTATATGATCGCGGTGGTGGCAGGTGCAGGAACAAGAAAGTTGGCGAATTATTTCTTCGCGGTAATGATAAATTCGCGGTGTAGACGTGACAACAAAAACTGCTATTATAAAATGATTTGTGTCGGAAGTAATATGTCCGACTTGCATATTACTACTTGTGTCCAATTGAAAACAGTTATATGGGCCGTAACAACAGGAGAGGCTATATCTAGCTGATAGTCTTTGCAAATTACATGTATGGGTTCCCATTCTGTGTTTTAGAAGCAAACACGTCGTTGGACTGGTTTGAGTTTCACGTTAAAAAAGCGTTCAGTACCTGTACTTTACTGCGTTCCCCACAGCTCCCTACAGTCCCTGTACTTTACTGCGTTCCCCACAGCTCCCTACAGTCCCTGTACTTTACTGTGTTCCCCACAGCTCCCTACAGTCCCTGTACTTTACTGTGTTCCCCACAGCTCCCTACAGTCCCTGTACTTTACTGTGTTCCCCACAGCTCCCCACAGTCCCTGTACTTTACTGTGTTCCCCACAGCTCCCCACAGTCCCTGTACTTTACTGTGTTCCCCACAGCTGCCGACAGTCCCTGTGATTTCGACTCAGACCTGTGTCAGTACACACAGGACACGACAGACGACTTTGACTGGACACGTGACTCTGGCGGTACTCCTACGGGCAAGACCGGTCCAACAGCCGACCACACCACCGGCACCAGCTCAGGTCTGTTCGGAGTTTTCTTTTGATGGAACCTTTGTGTGTTCTGTAGTATCGGTATTTAGGCTAGGTGTACGCATAGACGAGTGATCACCAACAAGGCATCTCGAATATGTAAAAAGCTACTAGTATGCTACTGCCAGTTCATATTCTAAGACCCTTATATATATAGTAACAAACCCGGTATATTACAATCAAATATCACCCAGAGCACAAATTTTGTTCGCCCCAACATTATCCTGCACAACGAGAGAATAGAATAACTCACAATGTTTCTCCACTTCAGGACATTACATGTACATTGAAACAACGTCACCACGACAACAGGGAGACACCGCCCGTCTGATATTCCCGTCCTACAGCAGTTATAATGGCGGGCAGTGTCTGCTGTTCTGGACACACATGTATGGAGATAAGGCTGGTGATCCAGACGGTGAGCTACAGCACTAAAATGAATTCGAACGCAATCGGTACTGTAGTTTGTATTGACTAGGCCCCTAAGGTCTTTATTCTGCCTTTCAATGGATTCAATCATGACCAGGTTAACGATGTGAACTTTTTTGTTTGAGGTTCTTTGAATCTTGGTTTATGTACAACAAAGACCTGTCCTAAACATAAATCGAGGCACCAGTGCAAGTACTATTACCAGTATTTGGGGTTTAGCTATGGATAAAGGTAAGGCATAATTTGATTTGATGGTTGTAACTGTTCTGCCACCTTCCTACAATCTTTGGTGAGCCTTTGTGAAAAAATACATGACTACTGTTTGTCCATTTGACTTGATACGTGCATTATGCGGATGAGTCACCATACCATTTTAACTTGTTCATATCAAACACAGAAGAACTGTTGTTTTGTTAGGCCAAGTAGGTACCCTGACGGTATCTGTGAAAGATGGAGGTACGACGACTCCCATCTGGACCAGATCTGGTAACCAAGGTGACCAGTGGTTCAGCGTCGCCGTCAGCATTCCTGCCACCGGAAGTTACCAGGTCATTTTTGTAGGGGTCAGAGGAAATAATGCCCATGGTGACATTGCAATAGATGACGTCAGCATCCTGCAAGGAGCCTGCCCAGGTATGGTGTGCTTTTGATATGGAGCAAAATTAGTATCACAAACACCTGGTGATGTTACATGTAGATGGTAATGTACGTGTTGTGTAGAGCTTGTTAAAGCATCTATTAGGTTACTACTAGTATGTTCTGTGTTTACTGCAGATGTAGATGAGTGTGTTCCAAGAGGAGGCAGGGGACCGTGTAGCCAGATCTGTACCAACACTGTCGGCAGTTTCTTTTGTTCCTGTAATGTTGGCTATACTCTTAACCAAGACGGCCGCTCATGTTTTGGTGAGTGTGACCGCGCATTATCAATGGTCTTGTATTTTTTTCTTAGCGATCTGGAACGTCTACTACGTCCCTGTACTTTACTGTGTTCCCCACAGCTCCCAACAGTCCCTGTAATTTACTATGTTCCCCACAGCTCCCTACAGTCCCTGTAATTTACTATGTTCCCCACAGCTCCCTACAGTCCCTGTACTTTACTGTGTTCCCCACAGCTCCCTACAGTCCCTGTACTTTACTGTGTTCCCCACAGTCCCTGTACTTTACTGTGTTCCCCACAGCTCCCTACAGCCCCTGTACTTTACTGTGTTCCCCACAGCTCCCAACAGTCCCTGTGCTTTACTGTGTTCCCCACAGCTCCCTAGAGTCCCTGTACTTTACTATGTTCCCCACAGCTCCCTAGAGTCCCTGTACTTTTCTGTGTTCCCCACAGCTCCCTACAGTCCCTGTGCTTTACTGTGTTCCCCAGAGCTCCCTACAGCCCCTGTACTTTCCTGTGTTCCCCACAGCTCCCTACAGTCCCTGTGCTTTACTGTGTTCCCCACAGATCCCTAGAGTCCCTGTACTTTTCTGTGTTCCCCACATCTCCCAACAGTCCCTGTGCTTAATTTACTGTGTTCCCCACAGCTCCCAACAGTCCCTGTGCTTTACTGTGTTCCCCACAGCTCCCAACAGTCCCTGTACTTTACTGTGTTCCCCACAGCTCCCTACAGTCCCTGTACTTTACCGTGTTCCCCACAGATTCCTACAGTCCCTGTACTTTACCGTGTTCCCCACAGATTCCTACAGTCCCTGTACTTTACTGTGTTCCCCACAGCTCCCTACAGTCCCTGTACTTTACCGTGTTCCCCACAGCTCCCTACAGTCCCTGTACTTTACTGTGTTCCCCACAGCTCCCTACAGTCCCTGTACTTTACCGTGTTCCCCACAGATTCCTACAGTCCCTGTACTTTACTGTGTTCCCCACAGCTCCCAACAGTCCCTGTGCTTTACTGTGTTCCCCACAGCTCCCTACAGTCCCCGTACTGTGTTCCCCACAGCTCCCTACAGTCCCTGTACTTTACTGTGTTCCCCACAGCTCCCTACAGTCCCTGTACTTTACTGTGTTCCCCACAGCTCCCAACAGTCCCTGTGCTTTACTGTGTTCCCCACAGCTCCCAACAGTCCCTGTGACTTCGATTCAGACTTCTGTGGGTACACGCAGGACACGGCAGACGACTTTGACTGGACACGTGACTCTGGTGGTACAGGTACGGGCTACACCGGTCCAACAGTCGACCACACCACTGGCACCAACTCAGGTTTGTACGGAGTTTTATTTCGAAGGAACATTTTTGTGTTCTGTAGTATCACTATTTAGGTTAGGTGTCAAAGGCGAGCGATCACCAACAAGGCAACTTCGATATGTGAAAAGCTATGCCACTGCTAGCACATATTCGAAGACTTTGATATAGTAAGAAACCCGGTCTATCACCCATAGCACAGTTCTTGTACGTAATAGACGTAATACAAACTAGTGGATGTGTGTTAGGTATGTTAGGCTATATCTAACTGATCTGTACTGCGACTTATATAGTATTGGTTCACAATTTCCACCTCAGGACATTACATGTACATTGAAACATCGGGCCCAGCCCAGGGACACACCGCTCGTCTGATATCCCCGTCCTACAGCAGGAATCCTGACGGTCAGTGTCTGCTGTTCTGGACACACATGTATGGAGATCACCCTGGTGAACCAGACGGTAAGCTACAGCACTAAAATGAATTCGAACGCAATCGGTACTGTAGTTTATATTGTGCTTTTCAATGGATTCATAACCAGGTTAACGACGTGAACTTTTCTTTGAGGTTCTTTGAATCTTGGTTTATGTACAGCAAAGACTTGTCCTAAATGTAAATTAAGGCACCAGCGCAGGTACTGTTACCAGTATTTGAAGTCTAGCTATCATTAACGGTCAGGCATAATTTGATTTGATGGTTGTACCTGTTCTGCCACCTTCCCTTGAATCTTTGGTCAGCCTTTGTGAAGTACATGACCGCTGTTTGTCCATTTGACTCGATACGTGCTATAAGCAGATGAGCCACCATATAATTTCAACTTAATTAACACAAGAACTGTTGTTTTGTTAGGCCAAGTAGGTACCCTGACGGTATCTGTAAAAGATGGAGATACGACGACTCCCATCTGGACCAGATCTGGTAACCAAGGTGACCAGTGGTTCAGCGTCGCCGTCAGCATTCCTGCCACCGGAAGTTACCAGGTCATCTTTGAAGGGGTCAGAGGAAATAATGCCCATGGTGATATTGCAATAGATGACGTCACAATCCTGCAAGGAGCCTGCTCAGGTGAGTTAATCCAGAACAAAATGTAAGACGTAAAACACTTGAAGAAGTAAAGTGAGACAGATGTGGACTAAAGTCATGCTATTTGCTGATAGGGTTACAATATGTGTTATCCGACAGATGGAAATGTGTGTGCTACGGTAGGAGGCAGGGGACCGTGTAGCCAGATCTGCTCCAACAATGTAGACAGTTTCTCCTGCTCCTGTAATGTTGGCTATACTCTTCATCAGGACGGCCTGACCTGTAATGGTGAGTAAATTGCACTTTATCAATAGTCTTGCAATCTGCAACATCTATTTTATAGTCAATTTAACATCAAAAGGGGTCGGTAACCATTCAATGACTTGTGTGATCTTCAAATATTACAGATGTAGATGAGTGTGTTCCAAATGAAGGCAAAGGACCGTGTGGCCATATCTGCACCAACACTGTCGGCAGTTTCTCCTGTACCTGTGAGGATGGCTATAGTCTTAATCCGGACGGCCTCTCATGTAATGGTGAGTGTAACAGTGCTTTATCAATATTGGTCTTGTATGTTTTCTTAGCAATCTGAAACGTCACACGTGGGGTCGTGTGGCACAGCGGCAGAGTGCGCGACTCGGAACTTAGAGTCCCGGGTTCGAGTCCTGATCTTGTGCCCTTGGGAAAGGCACTTTACACGACTTTCCTCACTTAGCTCAGGTGTAAATGAGTATTGTCCTGTCATGTATTTGTCCCCTGTGTTGGTGGTGGCATTAATATATATAAGTTGAAGAAACTTGAGTGTGTCGTCACCACGTCTGGTGATTACATGTTGGAATAAAAATTAAAAAAAACGTCTATTACAGTAGCCAAGGTAACATCAGAACAAGTCGGTCAGTATCTCATATCTCGTGTTATTTTTCATAGAGGACGAATGTGCTTCAAATGGAGGCCGGGGACCATGTGCTCACACCTGCACCAACACAGTTGGAAGTTACACCTGCTCGTGTAATGATGGATTCAACCTCAACCCTGACGGACATACGTGTGACCGTAAGACCATTATCTTAAATTAACTGATATCTAACATAGAACTCATGGTAGAGGTATGTGCCATCTTGTACATGAATTCTAGGTGTCAGGTAGAGCAAACAAGAGCTATATGTTTGGAGTTTAGTCCTAATATGAGGACTTTGGTTTGCCATCATGCAACTTCAGGCTATACATGCTACATGCTAGCGCACTTTGTTGTGATTCTGCAGGACCGGGGTTTGCCATCACATATACCCACAGTATTCATAAGCTAAAGCAGCTTGTCGTGGTTCTTTAAGATAAAGATACTTCTAAACGTGTTTCAATATCCAGTCAGTGAAGGGGAAGAAGAGACTGCAAAGTTTCAAAAGGGTTTGCAGCTTTTCAAGTTGAAATTTTTCAAATTTTAGGAGTTCAATGTCCGATAGTTCCAGCTCCAGTTGTGTAGAAATTACTCCTGATATGGAACTCAGGACGGCGATTTGCCATCATGTACCCACTGTATTCAACAAAAAGAAGAATCTGTTATTGACCTTATTCCCACGAGAAAGTATTCTTTTCTTACTATAGGAAAAAGAGAAACGCGTGTTTGTAAGATGTCTAGTTGAAATTTTCATTTGATTTCCAGGGGTACAATGTCCGCCAGTCCCAGCTCCAGAGCACGGTGCCGTGACTGACGGTAACTCCTATCAGGACGTGGTCCAGTTTACCTGTGATCCTGGATACCAGCTGATAGGACATTCCAGACGGAGGTGCCGGGCTGACGGGACTTGGAGCGGAGCAAACCCGACATGTACAAGTAAGGCAGTCATTGTCAACTTAACTTACATGACCTGGCAACAGAGTTAGGTAATAAACTATGCTTGGGAGAAACTGAAAACGCGTGTTCTACGATTTCTAGTTGAAATTTTCATTTGTATTTCAGCTGTACAATGTCCGATGCTCCGAGCTCCAGAGCACGGTACCGTGACTGGTGGTAACGCCTATCAGGACGTGGTAGTGTATGAATGTAACGTTGGATACCAGCTGATAGGACATTCCAGACGGACGTGCCAGGCTGACGGGACTTGGAGCGGAGCAAACCCGACATGTACAGGTAAGGCAGTCATTGTCAACTTAACCTACATGAGCTGGCAAGAGAGTTAGGTAATAAACTATGCTTGGGAGAAATTGAAAACGCGTGTTCTACGATTTCTAGTTGCAATTTTCATTTGTATTTCAGCTGTACAATGTCCGATGCTCCGAGCTCCAGAGCACGGTACCGTGACTGGTGGTAACGCCTATCAGGACGAGGTGATGTATAACTGCAACCCTGGATACCAGCTGATAGGAGTTTCCAGCCGGACGTGCCAGGCTGACGGGACATGGACTGTGGAGAACCCGACATGTATAGGTAAGTCAGATATCCTATGTTATCCTACATGACCTGAAGGAGAGTTGGGTGTGATTGGGGGTTGTTTCATCCTGTCATAATTGTGTTCTATAAATTTAGTTCTTTCATATGTGGAAGTGGTAAACATCCAGCACATAAAACAGCTAAGGAGGACATTTAACTTAGGACACCTGGGGAAAATGGCTTCCGCTGTGTAGATGTAGATCCGCTTTGTAGATACAGAGATGAGCAATAAGTACAGTTACTGAGGCCATCCAATCATTAACTGATACGGGGGACGTTTAAGTCATGTTTGCAGCCAAGTGTTTGTATTGATGTTCGTCTAAATACAAATGAAGTTGCCTTTCGGGCCCTCAGATATCACTCCAACATCTGTCAAGACGGAAGCCATATCATCCACAGAGATTGAGCTGACGTGGTCCCTCGATAACTATACAGACCAGGTAAAGCAATATTTCGTTTCTGTACAACAACGAGGAACCACCAACGTTACCACCTTCGCTGTTGGACGAAGTGACAGTCCATCCTTCACAGTACAGAACCTCCTCCCCTACACGTACTACGAGTTCTGGGTCGTCGCCGACATCGGGGACTTCCAGAGTAACAGAAGTGAGATTATCAGTCAGAGAACACAGCCAGGAGGTAAGCATTTTCGTCCTCTTGTCAAATTTTCGTCCTCTTGTCAATTTCAATGGAGCAACTTTTGTTTACCGTTCCTTTACGTTAATCGCGTATGTGTATAGAATTTGAAGCGAAATGGAAGCTCTATATTCCTATATACATTACGGCAGTTCAGTCCTTTTTTTATCTGAAAACTTGAAAAATAAGATTATTTCTATCGTACCGTTCCCCCGGGAAGTGAGTATGGCCCGAGTTTGTACAGTACATGTAAATGCAATAAGAGATAGGGGGCAATTGAAGATCATGGATGAGAGACAATTGAAGATTATACATAACACATTTGTACAGGGTATGAGACAAAATTCTCTGTTGATCTATTTTTTTGTCTTGGATTTTCAGAACCTCCAGCGCCTGAAAAGCCGGTGTTGCAGGATCAAACAGAAGTAAGCTCCACAACTTTCCCACTAGAGGTCAAACCGACATCTGAGAGAAATGGACCAATAGGGTGAGCCTTCACACACACACACTTACACTGACGATATTATAAATGATATATTATATTCATTCATTCATTCATTCATTCATTCATTCATAACCTACATGAATGCTAAAAAATTGGTGTATCAAAGTCCAACAAATTATGAAAATTGTCATCGAATGTAGCATCCTGTAGATTATTTAATCAGGAGGGCACCTGGATTGTTCAAAATGATATTTCTAAAACGTCTATTGACAGAATGATATTTTACTAACACACTGTTGTGTACTTTACAGATGTTACCACGTGGTTGTGGTGAAGAGCAGTAGTACAGATAACCTACCAGACCCGGAGATGCTACAGCCATACAAGACGCTAGAGGAAGCAAAGAACTCTTCGAATGACAATTTAGCGTACATTGCCATGGCTCTCACACCGTAAGTATTTCCATAAGTTCACACTACATTCACTTTAATGAACGACAATCATTATGTACCTACGGACCCATATGGGATTTATATCATTTGGCAAAAGAGTTTAATCTCAGCAAATGTCTTATGGCATTGTAATGATTATAAGGAAGATTGTCGCTGCCCTAACCTAACCGATCTTACCATGCTCTGTGCTCCACTGTTCCCCAGGGACACAGTAGGTGCCTCCACCACAGTGACGGTGGGAGATGGAACAGTGACCAGTTGTAACCCTGATCAGGCCGGCCGGAAGAGGCGTGCTCTGACATCTGTTGACGTGTATAACCAGGAGTACACCAACTCCCCGCTGGAGCCGGACTCATCCTACACCACGTCTGTCAGGGCGTTTGGACAGGACGATAGAGGACAGGTAGGGACAAATTATCTCTGTCTGAATACTTTCACGTCATATTTCTCTATTTCTATCATTCTGCTTATTCATAATTTAGGACAATGGACAAATACCAGGACAAATGCGAAATAGCAAACGACAAAGGTATGAGGTTTGTCATTTAGATTTTCGTCTAATCATGATGGTAATGATCCATAAGTTTTGAAATTTGAAGTCTGAAATGTACCAAATATGCAAAGAATTTGGATTTACTATAGTATATAAGATATACCATTTACGAAAGGTTCACTATTGTTTCAGCCGTACTTCTCTGCCAGTCAGTACATGGACCCAGTGTCAACCGGTAGGCTTGTTGATAAAATTGCCTTTGTTGTTGAGCAAAACAAACCTTCTTATAGCAGCAGCATCAATGGCCACCCTTAAGTACCCATCTGTCTTGTGATCAATTTTGGTTCATTGCATAAGAAAAGCTTGAATCATGCTAACGTACGTTGGCTTGTATTTCAGCACCGAAACCACCGGATCAAATGCTCATCATCATAATTGCTTCTGTCTGTGGTGGTGTGGTTCTGCTTGGAATCATCGCCGCCGCCCTGGTGTGCTACTGCCGGTGAGTTACATCCCCACATAGATATCCATATTTACACACACACGCACACACGCACACGCAGCGTCACGGCCGAGTGATCAAATGCTCATCATCATAATTGCGTCAGTCTGTGGTGGCGTGGTTCTGCTTGGAAGCATCGCCGCCGCCCTGGTGTGCTACTGCCGGTGAGTTACATCCATCTACATTTACACACACACACACACACACACACACACACACACACACACACACACACACACACACACACATACACACAGATACACACACACATACACACACTCACAGACACACATACGCACATCTACACACACAGACACACAGACAGACAGACACACACACACACTCACACACACACACACACACATACACACACACACACACACACACACACACACATACACACATACACACAGATACACACACACACACACACACACAGAAAGAGATAGAGAGGAAGGGAGAGAGAGAGAGAGAGAGAAGGAAAGAGAAACATAATGTACCATGCACATATAGCATTTACAATTGTATATGAGGTACTGATACTTGCTACAAATATCTCTTTTAGAAAGAAGAAGGCGACCAAGAAGGCTGACCTTTCCAAGCGAACAGGAACAGTCAACAAAGCGATAGAAATGGCACCAGTTGATTACGACAACATCAATGACGCCAACATCAATGACAACAACATTGAGGATGCTGACAACGATAATGTGGACAACGATAACGCAGTGTACGACAACGTACCGCCGGCGCCATGTATGTTAAAAATGAATTATTTATAATGTACTAGGGAAATAGAATTGTTACTTTAAATTGCGTGATGTAACATTTAAAAAAAATTGAAATATCTTAATTGAAAAAATCTTTTCACATTGGTCAGCAAGCTTCCTCCACTCCATTCGATCTTTTGCCAGAGTCTCAGCATCCGCCAGTAGCACCCCTCTATTTTCCAGGTCTTTTTACAAAGTGCGTTGCCATGTCACCACCATAATGCCATATACCAGAATGTAAGCAAACATGGATTACAGCATAATGCAGCTTAAAGAATCTTTCTTCTGCCACAATATCCACTGTCTCTTAACTAACGCGAAGAGATGCGAAATACTAATTTTTCTTCAACACCTTTGTCCAGTAACCGACTTCAGCACGCCCATCCCTGCGAGTCGACTGGAGGAGGTTTACGACCACAGACACATGAACGACAACCAAGTATTTAATGAGGAATATGAGGTATCGTACAACCTCATTTTTTGTGGGGTCGTGTGGCGCAACGGCATCGTGTTCGACTCTGAACAAAGAGGTCCCGGGTTCGAGTCCTGACATGCCACCGATCTTGTGCCCTTGGGAAAGGCGCTTTACACGACTTTCCCCACTAGACTCAAGTGAAAATGAGTATTGTCTGTCCAGTATAAGTTTCTATGTGTGGGACTGAACACCAGCAACAGCTGACTGTGTCCTACGTGCATTGCACTGTTTCAGTTTCAATAAATCAAAATCAAAACCTCATTTTGCCGTACAAATGTGTTGACCAAAAATATTTGCTAATTTGATGGCGTTTCAGAACCCCGTGACTTGAAAAATGTTCAGACATTTACCTGTAATATTTTCCTCTCTCCAAGTCCATCCCGGAGGAGGTGTCTAACTCCCATGACGCGCACATCCGGCCGGAGAACGGGAACAAAAACCGCTTCAAGAACATCTTCACCTGTGAGTATAATGTTGATTTCTTCCGGTAAACTATTGGCTATAAGTACACCACATATGCATTGCTGATTGTGATATTTGTCTATTTGTGTACCGGTATGATACATATGATTCATGCAACTGCCTTACTCCACAGATGACCATTCTAGGGTGGTTCTGACTACCTTGGAGGGCCAACCAGGCTCTGACTTTATTAATGCCAACTACATCGACGTAGGTCTTATTGGTTTCTTTCATTTTGTCGTTCATTTGTACATATCAGAAACAGTAGATTTGGTCTTGGTGACCACGAAGACATGAAAATCGCATGAGTTGAAAAATCTGTAATAAGCCACCTTAAATACTCTCTCTAGACAATGTTTTACGACTAACAGCTAAACTTATTTCACTTTAAAGGGCTACAACCACCCGAATATGTTCATTGCTGCACAAGGTAAATTTTCTGTAAATCTATATCTGAACTCTTTGTAAAATATTCTTTATAATACATGTATCTAATAAATGATACTAGTATCTATATTTGATACGTGGTGGTGTTGATATACGTGACAAAGACGTGGATATCCTTTAAGAATATGGACTTTATATATACATCCACTGATATATGAAGCTGTTGAATCTATCACAAAGGCCCTTTGCCCAGTACCATCAACGACTTCTGGAAGATGATTTGGGAGCAGGACACGGCAACTATCGTCATGGTCACCAACCTGAAGGAGAGGAACAAGGTAGGGACACACCGTCATTGTAATATATTAATGTACAGTCAAGTGATTATGAATATTGATAATGGTCGTGTTGCATGATAACATTTCGTGAACCTCAAGCTATGCTCTTCTCTTCGGATGCTGCACTTATGTTGCTGAGAAGTTTGTATGATGATATAGCATACTTTGTGATGCATTTTTATCATCAGAATTAAATTGGAAAGCTCTGGTGGTATAAGTTTAGTTCCAAGCGGATGTACAAGACAATGAACACCATGTGTTGTTGGAATACATTGTGTAACAATGGCAGGACAGAGTTTGAGGGGCTGGTCACCACGTATATAAATGTGTTAACATTATGAAAATGTTACCTTTCTGACTGAGTCTATTCTCCTGTAAACAGTCGAAGTGTGCCCAGTACTGGCCAACTAAGGACAGCATGGACTATGGCAACATCCGGGTCACTTTGGAGGAAACGACGACCCTGGTGGATTACGTCATCCGGACCTTCGACATACAGAAGGTGACAAGGATCTGAGTCGTCAAAGTCAATGTTAAGATAGCGACAATCAGTTTATAATTTTACAATATAATTTTGATCATGAAACTGTAATTAAATGTGCATGTTTTCATCACGTATTTTTAGACTACTGTTCTTTGTATTCAAGAATTCAACTACATGTAGTAAAAAGATTGCATTCCTTATCGGTGTCACAAATGACTGTATCATGCATAACCTTTTGCAGTGCAGGACCGTGCTAATATATCATTTTAGGCCGGCAATCTCTCTAAAACTGTAAAGATCCTCTCCAAAGCAGGGTATCAATGGTAACAGGGTGTAGGGCCACATAACTAATTAACCTAGTACATTCGGTCGCACACCTAGATGCTTATATTGTGGATTTGTCTAACGGTCAACCCTATGTTGCCTTCAGGACGAGGAGCCGGCCCGTACGGTGACTCAGTTCCACTTCATCAGCTGGCCGGACTTCGGCGTGCCGCAGAGCCCCCTGGGAATGATGAAGTTCATCCGGCGGGCCAAGACCAGCGACCCTCCCGGCCGGGGGCCGATCGTCGTGCACTGCAGGTGCGTTTTTTTTATCTCAAAGTTTGTACATATCGGGGCATGTTTGTGTCTGTATGTTTTTTCCTGTGTTCGTAGCTATTTGCATGCAGTAGAATGACAGCAAGAGGGAAGATTGACCCTAAGGTCAAGTTGGCAGTCAATATGGTCTACCTCAGGCTGGGAGGAAGTGAGTCCACCTACACAGTAACTGGGGTATACCCACTTAAGACTTGTCACAACAAGCTCTCAATATGCAAGTTTTCTGTCCGTCGAAAGTACTCAAACCACCTCTTTAATTGTGCCAATAAATTCACAAATTTAAAACTCTAAATCTCCGACTTCTTTCCTATGATGAAAGGGAGATTCACCACGAATCCTGATTATTTTGCTGAGTTTTGGTTGCTAGGAATATGTATCATATACTTTAAAAAATAGTGTTTTGATTGCATCCATTGTCTGACTTCAGTGCTGGAGTCGGGCGTTCGGGAACCTTCATCGCCATAGAGGCCATGCAGGAGATGATGGCGGCGGAGGGGAGGGTGGACGTGCACGGCTTCATCGGGCAGATGCGACACAACCGCCACTCCATGGTTCAGACTGTGGTACGGGGGCGATTTCGTACATTTCTGGCCAGGCATTCTTCATACATAGACACCTACCTACCTACTTACCTACCTACCTACCTACATATTACATACATACATACATACATACATACATACATTAATACATACATACATACATACATACGTACATAAATACACACACACAGACACAGAAACACACACGCACACACACACACACAAAGACATACAAACACGCACATTGCGAACGCACTTTACACACACGTACACGAACACAAATGGTCTGAAATCAAAGAATTAACTGGAAACAGAATTCTGCCTGTCTTTTATCCATATGAAAATACTCGAACTTCTAGTTCAACTTAGAACATGTAGAGGATGGTGTATTTCAGTTGCTGACACAGTGTTACGTTACGATATTTTCCACTATTTTCGCATATTTTAAGTATTTTTCTATCCCAATACAGGAGCAGTACGAGTTTATCTATCGCGCCCTGCTGGAGCAGCAGCTGTACGGAGACACGGAGGTGGAGGTGGCGAACATCCACAGGCACATGCACAAACTCAAGGCGCCTTCTGCCAACCCCAACCAGCTGGGATACGAGGCAGAGTTCAAGGTATGCATGTCCCTGTGACTCATTTTTAACGATATGACCACTTGTATGCACTGAGCTTAAGGTACTAGGTAGGTACAACAGTTTTGTTGATACGCCTGAAGATGGTGGTGGATGTTAGTTTAGAGAGCTTGTGGATGTTGTGCATCTTGTTACACATTGATGTTTTATCCCATGTCGTTATTTAGAAGCTAACCAGGATCGCGGTTGACCAAGACAACATGAAGTCTGCGAACAAGCAGGAGAACAAGACGAAGAACAGGCTGGTCTCCATCGTTCCCTGTGAGTGATTAAAGTATACACATATTATATAACGTCATATATGTGGTACAGATTATTCAGATTGGAACTAATTTAGCTATTTGGCTAATTATAGCTGCCTAAAGGCAATAACCAAACGTAACGTCTGAAATGCAGTCTTGTATATTGAGATACGGTGTAATTTTAACGGGGTGGGATCTTTAAGTGAAACCAAATAGTTGAATATTCGTAATGTCCTGCTTTTTTGTTATTCCATTCCAATGAAGACGACACCTCCCGTGTGTTCCTGCCCAAAATCACCGGGGTCAGCGGGTCCGACTATATCAACGCCTCCTTCATTGACGTAAGTAGCTACTAATTTTCTTTGGTAATGTATGTCTTAACTAACAGCTACCTAGATAACGATTTCATTTTCTTCAAATATTTGTATAAAAACAACCCCCTGTCTACACGAGTTAAATGTAACATATGCACTGATTTGCCTCAGGGTAAAGTTAACAAATGTTGCGTACATTTTGTCTACGAACAGGGTTATCGTCAGAGAGACGGGTTCATCGCTACCCAAGGTCCGCTCCCGAACACCGTGGAAACATTCTGGCGGATGATCTGGCACTGGGAGTCTTACTCTATCGTCATGCTGACAGAACTGGAGGAGAATGGAAGGGTAAGCCGCCACAGCAAGCAAATAAAAACTAGTCTGGAGTCATTCCTCAAGCTAACCGACATCTATCACACTTCAGTCGTCCCTCAGTAAGACATCTGGAGCCGCATAGTTCCGTTTAAGGTTTAAAACTTCTATTCAGAGTCACATTGAGGAATGGAAGGGTAAGGCCACTACAATTTAATTTCTGGATGGCATCGCCTGCAGCACAAATGTAATACTTTATCGGACCGCTAAAGGATAATATTTGTTATCTGTCTATTTGGCCAATTTCTACTCTTTTCAGCAGCTCTTGAAGCCTGGTAGAGGTGGCAATTCATTCTTCACAGTTCTCTGTTGTAGATAAAGAATAAGATAAAGAAACTGCAGACTTTCTGTATTGGCGATTTTACTAAACCGATCGCTGATCTGTGGCACACAGGAGAAAAGCGCCAAGTACTGGCCTGAGGACGGGCAGACGTACGGGAAGGTCCGGGTGGAACTGAAGAACACGGAGGAGAACGAGGGCTACACTCTCCGGACATTTCTCGTCTCTAACACAGACAAACAGGTAAGGTAACCAATCCTACATGTCCATTTTCTAGGTTCATATGTCACTTAAAATGCACTACAGGAAAAAGTCTGTCTAAGCCATTTTGTTACTTCTACTCTCACGATTACTCTTCGATGTATTCTGGTTTGTGAATAAGCACAGATCAGCATCTAACGTACTTCTTAATGTTTTTTCCTACATTTTTTATCAGTACGTATAGTTATGTACATGCGTTAAGTATTTTAGCTTACTTTTCAACTTATTTCAACTTACCTATTAGCAACAGAATAACTCACACCAAATGCACACGTTTTCGTATCTTCACTCATCTTCATCTAGGAGTCACCACGTCGAGAGATCCAGCAGTTCCACTTCCACGACTGGTCTGCCACCGGCGTGCCGCGTAACGCCAGCCGGGTGTTGGACCTGATCGGGCAGGTGCAGAAACAGCAGATGAAGTCGGGAAACGGACCGATCACCGTGCACTGCAGGTGAACACTGACAGCGATGTTACATATTGCAACCATATGTACCACCAAAGCCTGGGTGCCATCCTGGTTAATTTGCCGGGGCTTCTCTACTGTATCCATCACTTTTGTGGAGATGCAATGTAGGAAACAAATCAATAGGTGTGCATTATTTGAATGTGCGCTTTCTGCAAACTATCACAAATATTTAAAAAAAATGTCCTACCTCCTTGCAAATATTAATCCTGCCATGCCACCGATCTTGTGCCCTTGGGAAAGGCACCTTACACGACTTTCTTCACTTCGCTGAGGTAAAATTGAGTATTGTATTGTCCCCTGTGTTGGTGGCGGCATTAATATAAGTTGATAAAACTTGAGTGCGCCGTCACCACGTCTTGAGATTACATGTTGGAATATGAAAAAAAATCAATCCTCTCGTATTTTTGTGCAGTAACGGTGCAGGCCGCACGGGGGCGTTCATCGCCCTGAACACAGTCCTGGAGCGGGTGAAAGCTGAGGGGATTTGTGACCTGTTCCAGACCGTCAAGTCCATGCGGTACAGCCGGCCCCACATGGTGCAGACTGCCGTAAGTTGAAGCAATTTGTACCGTGGCCGACACGTACAACGTATTGTACCAATGAAGTAGAACATTCAGGGATTCTTACCATGTAAATTAGGGCCAGAAAGTAACTTCTACTAACTGTGTAGACAAATGTTGATTACTTAATGACCCTAATACACGTGGTACAAAACAAGGTAAGACTCCATGGATGTTATACTTCAACAGTGTTACAATATGTTGTACTTGTGTGCTACTGGAACTTTGAAATTTTGTATTCGTGTTTTAAAACCATGCATCATAATCGTACGTTGAAATATGCAATCATATGTGCAATGGCACACTGCCTGAATCTAATAAAAGTAATAATAATTGTTTCAAAATAGTGTGAGGTAAATATATCATTTCTAAACTTGCTGCACTAGGTTGCAACGTTTCTAACGTTTTTAACTATAACATACACCACAAATTGCTATCATGGAAGAAATTTATGAGTTTAAAGCCTAGACATTATCAGGCCATTGTGTTTCACCAGTTATTAAAGGAAATATTTTCTTCTATCTGAATTCCCTAGGAACAATACCTGTTCTGTTACAAGGCTGTGATGGAGTATCTGGATAGCTTTGACGACTACGCCAATTTCCAGTGATCTGCGCCAGCAACAAACTACAAAAACAGCCATACATGTACACAATACTAGTGACCTAAACATCAAGGCAACGTTTAGTTGAAGAAGCCTTTTATTATTATTTCGTGGGCAGAAATAGCTAGGATCGTTATTGGTCCCCACTGACACGCGCTGCTTATTCTGATAACTGATATGCAAATGCTGCAATATTATATACATGTATTTATAAGGCAATAATACATATATGATATGATATGATATGATATGATATGTAAGTGGTACAAGGGTTAAGAGTTACAAGTTTGTTGACTGAGGGAAGGGTGGAGTCTGATCCATAAGGCCGCACCAAGTAATTTTTATAGATGACGTCCTCTGGAGACCCTAAATCTAATGCAAGAGCGTGAAAACCTTGTTAAGCAATAAATTGTACCTGATATTGTGGTAGCCTGGCCTGGCAGGCACCCGGGCTTTTCCGTAAACCCCGTTACTTTTTCTTAATCCTCAGAAAATGTATGTGACTTGATGAAATAAAGATCTTGCTGATATACAGGCTTCAGTGTACTACATACTGTATATATGTACTAAAATACATCAATCCCTCGCTTTTCCATGGGTGTACTGTTGTGTCAAACAAAGCGTCTAGTACAGTAGCCACTGCTGCAATACTTAATACATGGAACTGATGGTGAGTTCAGCACCAAGGAGAGGTCCACACTGGTAATGTACATTAACAAATGGAGGGGGGCATCCACAAGATTGGGGATATGAACACTTGCTGTGGTAGAAGGTATCCTAATCATTGGGTTTGACACAGTAAACAAGTCTAAAATTCGGCGACGAGAATAATTAAATTTGATTTGTGGCGGAATGGTGATGGTTTATTATCAAGAGCAATAATGATTATTATCGTTCGCACCCCTATGTAATTATCAAACATGGTATGGTCCGTTCGAACAGCTGTGTGCCGCGCGTTGTCGTGTGGCGTGGTGTGCGTGAATTCTCTCCAACTTTTGCGGTAAATTTCGGCTTTTTGCCCGCAAATTATCCGTCTAAAGTGTACAATATATCGTCTGGGCGTTTCCATGTCGGATGTATACCGTTCTTTGGATGTTTGAGGGAGAAAACTGTCTCGTATTTCCTGGCGCTGGCGGGCGGAGTTTGGAGACTGGGGAAAATGGCGACTACCATGGCGGCGTGGCGTGGTGCTGAAAAAGACTCGAGCTCGTTCTTGCGAGGTAAGGCAACAAATTAACAAATTAGCTTGAATGTACATGTTTGTACTTCCAACAAACCTGTAGCAACAGACCACGTTATGATTCGTTATGTTATTACCGTTATACTTAGTAGAAATTTACGTTTTGTGGAATATGTGGGCCATTTTGTACTCGAGTATTTTTAATAGGGAGGTTGTTTTCATGACTATCGTGGTTTGGAGGAGTGGCATTGAAAAAAGCTAGGAGAAATTTTCGCTGCTAAAACTGTTACAAACACGTTGTTGGAAATTTCCACAGTTTGAGAACACCTTTTGGAAAGACTATCCTTAAAACTTTAAATGATTTACAGCTCCTATGACTCAGCCCTGCAGTTAACAGGGCTTAAGTCATTGAAGGACAGAAGAGAGGACCTATGTCTCAAATTTGCTACAAAACTGAACCCTGTTCTCCTACCTCCTAAGGTGGGTGAACTGTCAGGAAGACACACAAGGAACTCTGAGAAGCTAAAAACTACTAAATACAGGACCAACAGATACATGAACTCTCCATTACCATACCTTGTTCGCCTATTGAAGAATTCCTTCAAATAATGTCGTATTTCTTTAGCACAACGGCCCACTTTGTGATACCTAGTTATCTTTCACTACAGGTGACATTGATAATGATAGCACACGTGTTGTTTGTGAGTGCTGCGGAAATGTAACATTTATTCGAGTGATGAACTGTAATTTGCCCATACAACTTTTCATTGTTGTTGTTGTTGTTGTTCATGTTTAATGTCTATTCCTCTGCTAGACATAGTCTCAGGGTGCCATTCTCAACTAGGTGCTTTGTTTGGGTATGTTCCCTCTGGTGCTTGTACTCTGGTGCTTTTCATAACTATGTTATGTTATGGTGGTCAACTAGGATGTTTTCAACAGTCTTTCCTTCAGTCCTGTTATTATCATGTATAATACTGTAAATGTTAGTATTTCATATAAGCATGTAATAGATTGTTTTGATGTTGAACTTTAAACTGTTATTTTTATGTAATTAGCGTGTAATGATATGGATATGCCAAAAATGTTAAGAAATCAAATTGGCAAGACACAATTTAGCCAACAGCTACAAGTTCTTGTTTGTTTTCACAAATAAACCATTTGATTAATTGATTGATTGATTGATATTTCAGTCCTGAAATAATTTTTCAGGACTGAAACAGGAAACACAACATTTTTCCCTTGGCCTGAGTGGTTTGAGTGTCAGGATTTGAAGCTGGTGCTTGGGAAGTCATGGGTTGAAACCCTGTTTCTTACACCAATTTATATCTGTTATTGATATATAATTGTATGAGGCAGTCACTGTGGTTGCACTGATTTGATTTTGAGGATGAACTGTGCAATCTTGGTCCTTATTGTATCATTTTTAGTACTTTGTCTTTCTATCCGATCTATGTGTGCTTTACTGGTCCCAGACCAACATTCCACCACGAGGCAAAAGACATTGATTAGGTATGAAGCAAAAAGTTTCCCTTGAGTACAATCGGGATTTTGATGTTGGGACTAAAGTTGAATGTGGTTTATATAAAGTTGTATGTTGTCTGACATAAATTCTTGCTTGGTCAATTGCTGTCTTCTATACACTTACTTTTGTTTCTCCCGTTTTCAAGATGTGCACTTGAAGCCTGGTCTGAGCAGAAGGAAGAACCAAACTTTTATGGACAGAGCTGTGTGAAAGAAGATGGGGAGGTATGAGTATGGTTTCTTTATTAACACGAAACAACACTGCACATGCCTTCAGGTGCACCCACTTACACACATTTCTCTCATTTGCCCAGTTCAGTCTGCAAGCCTTTTTTCCGTGAAGAGCCCTTTAACTTTTTAACTTTAACTGGCAACTTTAATCCCACATTAGGCGTCACTGAAAACTTCTTTGTATCGTGTAGTTGAAAATGCCAAATTGCCCCAAAATTGTCTCTCTTCTACCTCCACGCTTAAACCTTTTTTACACACTTCTCTGGACATGTGGTTGATTGAAAGAGTCTGCCAAAAAATCTGTTGATCAATTTCCCCACCAAAAAACCTACCTAATTAGTAATTGGCACCCTCACCTGGTTAATTAATTGGATTAAAGTTTTCCCGCCAAAAAACTTAACCTTGAACTTGTGCCCCCCTCCCCACTCTTCCTGCCCCCCTCCCCACACTTAACTTTTTCCACAACTACACACAGTATGCTAGTTACACTGTTCCAACACTTAGGACATGTAATATAAGTTCTCTGAGCAAGTAATCATCACACTTTATTGATCTTTTGTATCAGAGACCATGTAGATTTTCTTTTCCTTACATTTTCATTATTATAATAATAGAAATGGTTTTTAAAAGGGTGGATCTGGATCATGATAAAGAGGTTATCAGGGAAAACAGTTTGATCACAAATGCTGTTGAAAATATATCCGATTTCTATACAGAACTAAACAACACATAATCATTACAAGTGCTCTCCTTATATAGGGAAATGTACTGTGTTTGTCATATTTGTAATAAAGATTAGTCACAACGTTTTAGTTAGGAATGTGAACTCTTTTGGAAATCACAGCAAATAGCAGGGAGGGCCTAGCTGAGTTTCAACATGGGTTACAACACTTTATGGTTTCAACAATGGTATTTAGAATGAAAAATTCAGAGGATCGCAAACATGCCCTTTGCCAACATCTTTCATTGTCATTCTAAAGAGTCTGCATGGGAGGTCCCGATCACACTTTGCACATTAAATCCTGCAATGAAGCAACTGCAATTTACAATTTTGTTCAGGCTGGTTTCACGTACATTACATTTGATATTAAATCAGAGTTGTTCGACTTTGAATTATGCAAAATTGAAATAGCAAGGTGCAGAATGCTGAAAAGCAATGACCACGTATTACGGTTCACTTGTACTGGCTGGACACCGTGTTTTATTACACAGATGATAGTTTAACGGTGAATAGATTCACCTGACTCTCCATGATACAAACCTAAAAAGGCTGATTATGCATTGCGGCATTTTGAGGTCTTATCAAGACCTACCCACAATTACCAAATATCAAAACAATCTACATAAACCTTCTCGAAGCCTAATGAAAATATAATATCCCACAATGTATGTATTTAGTTTTCAGCATCATCTACACGTGCCAGTGGGGACCCCTAGCGGTCTTAAGTTTTTCTGCCCCTGCTGGATGCGGTTTTTCATGCAATTGTAATTTCAACCGTTTGGTGGTGTCTTTTACAGACCGTATGTAGGATGCACTTTCTTGTCGCAGTATGTCAGTTATCAGGGCTTTAAATACATTGTCAGCCTACTTGTTGTACCATTTGTTTAACAGCAAGAGAGTTCAACATCAAAATATATAAAGATATTAATATAGAAAACATTGAACTGACTTCCTCAATGGTTCTACGGCATCTGAGGCTACTCAATGACCCACTACTTTCTAAGTGTCTCATATTCATTGTTTCCCATCTCCAGTGTGCGAGGGTCCAGGGTCTGGTAGGCGCCCTCCTCGCGGCTGACATCAGGCATGTCGTACTCTCTGTCTTGTCCGGTCCCGTCAGCTTCACCACGACGTTTGGTGCCGCGGCCGTCCATGATGTCACAGTAAGTCCCGTCCTGACTTGTCCGGTTTGTTCTGGTGTCTGTGTAGTACGTGTCGTCAAACGCGTCATTTTGAACGGTTGTGCCGTTAGACTCACGGTTTGATTTTGAGCTGGCATTTCTGCAAACGGTATGTATAGGTATAAAGACTTTGTAAAGAATCTATTGTGTTTGTATGTTTGTATATTATGTACATCTACTGAAATATCATTTTTGGGGTTGTGTGGTTCAAACCCAACAGGTCCCGAGTTCGAATCCTACCATGCCGCTGAAATTCAAAGCTATTAAAACGTTGATGTATGTTGTTGACTACCACTTCAAAGACATATAGTAGAGAAAGAAGCATTTAATCAAATGGAGTTTTAGAAAAAGGAATAATAATATTTTCAACTGACCTTCGTTTTAGCACAATAAGGCCAGCTACTGCAGTAACAAGTGCGATCAGGAGAAGGGCTGAAACTGCACCCAGGCCAATCATGCCTTACGGAAAAGGTGACATTTATTGTTTTGAAAGGTGTTTACTATTGTATACTTAGTTCCGTTAATGTAACTTAACATCTACACATAACCTAAAGTATTTGTTATGTAGGTTAAGGTAGAAAATTGTGGAATTTGCTGCACCTGCTGTATGTGGATGAATCGCGGACTCTTTTCCTTCTGGGGCTGAAACATGATAATATCATGAAGAAAAACATATTAATTTGTATAGAGAAGAGCGTTCAAACATTCTTGTATCATCAAATAAATACCCGAAAAACAGCATTATTGATATGCGTGCATTAGATATATTGTCCTTACCGGTTGACAATGGATCCATGTACTGACTTGCAGAAAAATATGGCTGAAATAGATTACAAGACGGCAAATTAGGAATGAAATTAAGTAAACTATTTCAACATCTTCATCTTTTTTCATTCAGAATACCATATGATACCAACAGCACTAGGATAATGTCAATATGAGTATTTTTAAAAATCTTTTAATTTAGTTCCCATTCTAGTTCTTGCATAAGGAATGCATCGGTTGATAGGCCATGTACGTTTATCACTAATATACAGAATACTAGAAAAAGAGACATACGGCTTGTTCTGACACAGATTATTTTCCCTACCTGTCCTCCATCATCCTGTCCATACGCCCTGACAGACGTGGTGTAGGATGAGTCCGGCTCCAGCGGGGAGTTGGTGTACTCCTGGTTATACACGTCATCAGATGTCAGAGCACGCCTCTTCCGGCCGGCCTGATCAGGGTTACAACTGGTCACTGCTCCATCTCCTACAGTCACTGTGGTGGAGTCACCTACTTTGTCCCTGAGCACAGAGCATGGTAAGATCGGTTAGGTTAGGGCAGCGACAATCTTCCTTATAATCATGACAATGCCATAAGGGATTTGCTGAGATTAAACTCTTTTGCCAAATGATGTAAATCTCATATGGGTCCATAGGTACATAATGTTTGTCGTTTGTTAAAGTGAATGTTGTGTGAAATTATAGAAATACTTACGGTGTCAGAGCCATGGCAATGTACGCAATGTTATCATTTCCAGTGTTCTTTGCTTCCTCTAGCGTCTTGTATGTCTGTAGCATCTCCGGGTCTGGTAGGTTATCTGTACTGCTGCTCTTCACCACAACCACGTGGTAACATCTGTGAAATACACGCCAGTGTGTAGGTAAAATATCATTCTGTCAATAGACGTTTTAGAAGTATAACTTTGAACAATCAAAGTGTCCTCCTGTATAAATAGTGTGTAAAATGTATTACATCAGAAGATGCTTCATTCGATGACAACTTTCATTTTCGTTCACATTGATACGCCAATTTTCTTTATCATTTATGTAGATAATTAATTAATTTATCATGTCTTAACATCGTCAGTGAAGGCTCACCCTATTGGTCCGTTTCTCTCAGATGTCGGTTTGACCTCTAGTGGGAAAGTTGTGGGGCTTACTTTCGTTTGATCCTGCAACACCGGCTTTTCAGGCGCTGGAGGTTCTGAAAATCCAAGAGAAAAAATAAAATTGATCAACAGAGAAATATTGTCTCATACCCTGTACAAATATGTCATGTATAATCTTCAATTGTCTCTCACCCATGATCTTCAATTGTCCCCTATCTCTTGTTGCATTTACATGTAGTGTACAAACTCGGACCATACTCACTTCCCGGGGGTACGGTACGATAATCTTATTTTTCAAGTTTTCAGATAAAAAAGGACTGAACTGTCGTAATTCATATAGGGATATAAAGAGGATGAAAATGCTTACCTCCTGGCTGTGTTCTCTGACTAACAATCTCACTTCTGTTACTCTGGAAGTCCCCGATGTCGGCGACGACCCAGAACTCGTAGTACGTGTAGGGGAGGAGGTTCTGTACTGTGATAGATGAACTGCGAACAGCGAAGGTGGTAACGTTGGTGGTTCCTCGTTGTTGTACGGAAACTAAATAATGCTGGACCTGGTCTGCATAGGTATCGACGGACCATGTCAGCTCAATCTGTGTGGATGATAGGGCTCGCGTCTGAAGGGACATTGGAGTAATATCTGAAGGCCCTGAAGGAAAAAAAGATCATTATACCTGATGATGATACCAGAAAAATGGCTATCGAAAATGTTATACAGCGTATTACATATACTACGCAGCAATTGGTTTCCCTCAGCGACTACCTAGCAGACTACCTTGATGTGATGAATATCGACTCACTAGAAGAATTGTAGTAAACAAAAAATAAGAAACCTTTGACAAGGCGAAAAAGTCATCGAAGCATTACACAGCTTTCCTGGCCTGCCAGCTCATGTAGGTTGAGTTGAGGATGACTGTCTTACCTATACATGTCGGGTTCGCTCCAGTCCATGTCCCGTCAGCCTGGCATGTCCGTCTGGAAGCTCCTATCAGCCGGTATCCATGGTTACAGGTAAACTGGACCACGTCCTGATAGGAGTTACCACCAGTCACGGTACCGTGCTCTGGAGCTCGGAGCGTCGGACAGCGTACTTCTGAAATGCAAAAGAAAATTTCAACTAGAAATCTTACACACGCGTTTCCAATTTCTCCCAAGCATACCCAACTCTCTTGCCAGCTCATGTAAGTTAAGTTGACAATGACTGTCTTACTTGTACATGTTGGGACTGCTCCAGTCCAAGTCCTGTCAGCCTGGCACGTCCGTCTGGAATCTCCTATCAGCAGGTATCCAGCATCACAGGTAAACTGGACCACGTCCTGATAAGAGTTACCACCAGACACGGTACCGTGCTCTGGAGCTGGGAGCGTCGGACATTGTACTCCTGAAATGCAAAAGAAACTGTTGACTAAGAATGGTACAGACGTTAACGCTGTCCAATATTTCTCATTTTCCTATAACAACATAGACGTACCTTTCTTGTAAGAATGAGGTCAATGACAGATTCTTATTACTTCCCATCTTTACAGAATACTTCGGGTACATTTTGGCGAACCACACACTCACATACATATGTTCCATATTAGGAATCAGTTCTACACAAATTGCTCATCTGTGTTACCTAGCCTGACAGCTGTATGCTAGAATCTGCGTGTAATGGCCACAATGCGTTCTAGCTATGTAAGAAGTCATCAATTCAGAAAGAATCAGTTAGGATTATTTTACTTACGGTCACACGTATGTCCGTCAGAGTTGAGGTTGAAACCATCATTACACGAGCAGGTGTAACTTCCGACTGTGTTGGTGCAGGTGTGAGCACATGGTCCCCGGCCTCCGTTTGAAGCACATTCGTCCTCTATGAAAAATAACACGAGATATGAGATACTGACCGACTTGTTCTGATGTTACCTTGGCTACTGTAATAGACGTTTCAGATCGCTAAGAAAACATGCAAGACCAATATTGATAAAGCACTGTTACACTCACCATTACATGAGAGGCCGTCCGGATTAAGACTATAGCCATCCTCACAGGAACAGGAGAAACCGCCGACAGTGTTGTTGCAGATCTGGCCACACGGTCCTTTGCCTTCATTTGGAACACACTCATCTACATCTGTAATATTTGAAGATCACACAAGTCATAAGGAATAGTGACCGACCCCTTTTGATGTTAAATTGACTATAAAATAGATGTTGCACATTGCTTTAAACAAAACAAGACTATTGATAAAGCATATAATTATACACTCACCATTACATGAGAGGCGGTCCTGATTAAGACTATACCCAACCTCACAGGAGCAGGAGAAACCGCCGACAGTGTTGGTGCAGATCTGGGCACACGGTCCCCTGCCTCCTACCGCAGCACACACATTTCCATCTGTGAGACAAAAGAGCCAAATGCAACATATTGGAACCCAATAAGTAAACAATATGACTATAGTCAACATTACTTCCGATCTTCAATTTGTTTGACGTCTTGCATTTTGTTCTAGATTACCTCACCTGGGCAGGCTCCTTGTAGGATGCTGACGTCATCTATTGCAATGTCACCATGGACATTATTTCCTCTGACCCCTTCAAAGATGACCTGGTAACTTCCGGTGGCAGGAATGCTGACGGCGACGCTGAACCACTGGTTACCTTGGTTACCAGATCTGGTCCAGATGGCAGTTGTCGCACCTCCGTCTATCACAGATACCGTCAGGGTACCTACTTGGCCTAACAAAACAACAGTTCTTCTGTGTTAATTGTGATCAAGTTAAATGATATAAGGCTCATCTGCATACTGCACGTAAATCGGTCATGTATTTTGGTCAGAGGCTGACCCAACCAAAGATTCAACGGAAGGTGTCAGAACAGTTACTACCATCAAATCAAATTATGCCTGACCTTAATTTAATCATAGCTACACTTCAAATTGTAATAGTTGATTATTAGTACTTACGCTGGTACCTTAATGTACTGTAGGACAAGTCTTTGTTGTACATAAACCAAGACTCAAAGGACCTCAAAGGAACTTTCAGACTAAAGGGCCATGAATCCATTCTGTATCTGTATCTGTATAGCCGGTATAATCGGCCTTCGGCGTAACACACCAGCTTCGCAGGCACGCGGCGCGGCGGCAGCTGGCTACATTACACCTTAGCCATTGAAAGGCACATTAAAGACCATAGGGGTCTAGTCAATGCAAACTACCGTACCAATTACATTCAAATTCATTTTAGTGCTGTAGCTTACCGTCTGGATCACCAGGCTTATCTCCATACATGTGTGTCCAGAACAGCAGACACTGACCGTCAGGATTCCTGCTGTAGGACGGGGATATCAGACGGGCGGTGTGTCCCTGGTCTGGGCCCGATGCTTCAATGTACATGTAATGTCCTGAAGTGGATAAACATTGTGAGTTATTCTATTCTCAAGTTGTGCACTATGATGTTGGGTCGAACTAAAACTGTGCTTTGGGTGACATCTGATTGTAATAGACCGGGTTTGTTACTATATAGATGTCTTGTAATATGAACTGGCAGTAGCATACTAGTAGCCTTTTACATATTCGAGATGACTTGTTGGTGATGACTCGTCTATGGGTACACCTAGCCTAAGTACTGATACTACAGAACACACAAATGACCCTTCAAAGTAAAACCCCGAACAAACCTGATCTGGTGCCAGTGGTGTGGTCGACTGTTGGACCGGTGAGGCCCGTACGAGTACCACCAGAGTCACGTGCCCAGTCAAAGTCGTCTGCCGTGTCCTGTGTGTACCCACACAGGTCTGAGTCGAAATCACAGGGACTGTTGGGAGCTGTGGGGAACACAGTTGTAAGCACGTACAACTCACTTACCACTTGCGCAACTTACGATGCACGCAACCGCTCACGGCCAGACGTGGCTTGCAGACCACACTCTTACACCTTGCGAAACCGTGCGAGTGACGTGCGAGAGACGTACGTCAATGGCACTCATTCCCCACGTTTTCAGAAAAAACGTAGCAGACGTACGTAGCCTCCCAAAAAACGTACGGACAAAAAGCACGTACGGCGGGTTGTGACCGTAGCTTTAAGTACATGGACTGTAGGGAGCTGTGGGCAATAAAACTATACTGATCATATTCATGTTATTCCTTATTGCTCACGACCCTTCATTTTTTCATGGCACACCTCGAAGTGTGGCCGTGTCGCTAACTGACCTGGCTGCCTGGCGCTGGTCTGCATATTGGCATGGCTCTGCAGTGTCGTACGTACCACCGTTATAACAACGGTCTGATTAATCCGGGAACTGACCCCGGCCTTACGGCCGGGCCAAAATATCTTTAGGATTCGTATATAATGCCTTGCACGTTAATGATAATGCGAATATAAGCGCGCTGTCTGAAAGAGAATTTAGACTAAGTACCTTTTCGGTGGTAGTAGTCAAATCGCGACGGTGCGTCACTATCAGCTAACGGAATGAGATACTTGAAACAAGCAGGTGCGAGCATAAACAGGAAAAAACTAGACTCCAGGGACGCCGGAAAGTCAAACCCGCACCGACTCGGGCAGCCAGCTTACGACACCAGTGCGCTAACGACTACTCTGAAAGATCCAAGCCCGTTGGAATGGATCTGTTAGCGGCACTTGCGCCCCACTGGTACATACTGACCGACTTGTTCTGGTGTTACCTTGGCTACTGTAGTAGACGTTTCAGATCGCTAAGAAAAAAATACAAGACCATTGATAAAGCGCGGTTACACTCACCAAAACATGAGAGGCCGTCTTGGTTAAGAGTATAGCCAACATTACAGGAACAGAAGAAACTGCCGACAGTGTTGGTACAGATCTGGCTACACGGTCCCCTGCCTCCTCTTGGAACACATTCATCTACATCTGCAGTAGAAGCAGAACATACTAGTAGTAACCTAATAGATGCTTTAACAAACTCTACACAACACGTGCATTACTCTACATATTACATCACCAGGTGTTTGTGATACTAATTTTGCTCCATATCAAAAGCACACCATACCTGGGCAGGCTCCTTGCGTGATGCTGACGTCATCTATTGCAATGTCACCATGGGCATTAATTCCTCTGACCCCTTCAAAGATGACCTGGTAACTTCCGGTGGCAGGAATGCTGACGGCGACGCTGAACCACTGGTTACCTTGGTTACCAGATCTGGTCCAGATGTCAGTCGTCATACCTCCATCTTTCACAGATACCTTTAGGGTACCTACTTGGCCTAACAAATTTAAAACAACAGTTCTTATGTGTTTGATATGAACAAGTTAAAATGGTATGGTGACTCATCCGCATAATGCACGTATCAAGTCAAATTGACAAACAGTAGTCATGTATTTTTTCACAAAGGCTCACCAAAGATTGTAGGAAGGTGGCAGAACAGTTACATCCATCAAATCAAATTATGCCTTACCTTTATCCATAGCTAAACCCCTAATACTGGTAATAGTACTTGCACTGGTGCCTCGATTTATGTTTAGGACAGGTCTTTGTTGTACATAAACTAAGATTCAAAGAACCTCAAAGAAAAAAGTTCACATCGTTCACCTGGTCATGAATCCATTGAAAGGCAAAATAAAGACCTTAGGGGCCTAGTCAATACAAACTACAGTACCGATTGCGTTCGAAGTCATTTTAGTGCTGTAGCTTACCGTCTGGATCACCAGGCTTATCTCCATACATGTGTGTCCAGAACAGCAGACACTGACCGTCAGGATACCTGCTGTAGGACGGGGATATCAGACGGGCGGTGTGTCCCTGTTGTCGTGGTGACGTTGCTTCAATGTACATGTAATGTCCTGAAGTGGATAAACATGGCGTGAATTATTCTATTCTCTCGGTGTGCACTATGATGTTGGGGCGTACTAAAACTGTGCTCTGGGTGATATCTGATTATACAAGACCGAGGCTGTTACTGTATCAAAGTCTTTACATTTAAACTGGCAGTAGCACAGTTTTTCACATATCCAAATTGCCTTGTTGGTGATCACTCGTCTATGGGTACGCCCAGCCTAAGTACTGATAACTACAAAACACACAAAAGTTCCATCAAAATAAAACTCCGTACAAACCTGAGCTGGTGCCAGTGGTGTGGTCGACTGTTGGACCGGTGAGGCCCGTAGGAGTACCGCCAGAGTCACGTGTCCAGTCAAAGTCGTCTGCCGTGCCCTGTGTGTACCCACACAGGTCTGAATCGAAGTCACAGGGACTGTCGGGAGCTGTGGGGAACACAGTAAAGTACAGGGACTGTAGGAATCTGTGGGGAACACAGTAAAGTACAGGGACTGTTGGGAGCTGTGAGGAACACAGTAAAGTACAGGGACTGTAGGAATCTGTGGGGAACACAGTAAAGTACAGGGACTGTTGGGAGCTGTGGGGAACACAGTAAAGTACAGGGACTGTTGGGAGTTGTACATGTGGGGAACACAGTAAAGTACAGGGACTGTAGGGAGCTGTGGGGAACACAGTAAAGTACAGGGACTGTAGGGAGCTGTGGGGAACACAGTAAAGTACAGGGACTGTAGGCAGCTGTGGGGAACACAGTTAAGTACAGGGACTGTAGGCAGCTGTGGGGAACACAGTTAAGTACAGGGACTGTAGGGAGTTGTGGGCCATGTGAAATGGTATTATCCTACTAGTGACACCGATAACTTAAGTGATTGCCGGAAGTTTTTATGACGGAAGCTCTCTTGAAATAGTCTTCTCTATCAGGACACAAACACACCTACTACATTATATATTGTACACACCTACGCGCGACTTGGTCCATTGAATCCGGTAGAGTAATTTGCAATGCAGAGAAGCCGAATGCATAAACATAAAGGGCTTTAAAAGAGACAAGAAGCTAAATAAACATATCACTAGAGAGGTAACATTTGCAAAGCAAATGCATATTGTTCACCTTCACATGATCTAGCTTAACAAACTACTGCTCTGTTTATTCTTACTCAAACATATTCATATACCAAAATAGTAAGGTAAATATTGCATTTTAAACCAGTCCACCCCAAATTGTAAGGTATACAGTCCCTGGGTATATACAGTATGTCATTCGTACTTCTACGTATACGATAAGCACACAAAATTTATATTGTATTAACTTACCAGCAAAACCGACAAACAGACAAAGCAAAAGCCAGTGAAGAACAGCCATCTTTTCTGAAGGCCACTTCCTCCTGATTACATTATCTACTGAACAGTATTCATCCGCGGAGTCTAGTACATGTAATACCACACTTAAGCTTCAGAGGAAACCATAATGACTGGTGGCACCAATTTTGCTCTTATTTTCTTACGTATGCCTTTCTTCCATACGTTTGCATTTGTTTAATAATTTTGCTGTGCTATATTTCTTTCTCCCCCGTTAAAGCACTTTTCGAGATTTTCAACATATGTCCTTTCTAGCTCGTCCCTTGAAAAATATTTTGCAGCGTTGATTTTTACAGAGTTACATATTGACTAGTGGCATTTTCCTGATTTAAAATTTTAATCTGCTGTGATATGACATAATACTGAAAGGTAACCGTATCTCCTTGGTAAAATATCACTACGCCAGACGTTCAAACTGGCTGGTATTTATAGTAACGTTTGCCCCAGGCTCATCCAAATGATAGAGACATGTTTTACTAACGTAGAGATCTGTTGGCATGTAGACTTCCATATTCACGTTTACGCTCTCATGGGTGACCAATATTCTAGTGTAGAAAATATCCACTTCTACCAACAAAAGATGCTCGTACATTATCAAACTTCTTGCAGTTATCGTCTTTCAAATCAATAATTACTGCCGCCATATTAACCCTTCGGCCAGAGTGCGTGGCCTTGCAGGCGTGTGCAGCACACTTAACAGTCGAACTGGTTGGACGAGAAACAACAACAATCACAACTTACACAGAGGGTTTGTTTTGGTCCGATATCCGTGGGGAGGGGGGCATGACATAAACAAATATCGCCTCGAACCTTGACACAGTATTTTTTTTCGTACATTTTGAGATAGGTTTTTGCCTCTCATCGGGAAGTAGTGCCAAACTTAGCCAATGTAGACACGTCGTTGTGTATTTATCCGTTAAATCTTCGATCCAGATCTTAAGCCACCATTTTCAGACGTCTTTGTTAATGTGGCTGAGATCTTCTCCCAAAACAGTGCCGGTTGCAATAAAGCCCTTCTAAGTTAAAACTTAACTCTATTTACAGAGTCCAAGTTTCATTTACTTAGTCTACTTCTTCGTATACTGTACGTTCCTGAACGTTCATAGCTCCCTTCACAGCTACTTTCATGCCTTCTAGCGGAATTATATTGAACTTCAAAAACTTTTGACTAAACTTCTTTGACTAAACAAACCATCTGGAAGTCGAAGCAGTATAGCCTCACGACCAAGATCAGACTCTACAACAGCAATGTGAAATCCGTCCTTCTGTATGGCTCGGAGAGTTGGAGAATGACGAAGACAGACATGAGGAAGATCAACTCATTTCACAACAGTTGTCTACGTAAGATCTGCAACGTCTTCTGGCCAAACAAGATCTCCAACGCCGAACTTTACAACAGAACTGGCTGTAGGAAACTCACCACTGAGATCACTGGCAGAAGACTCAAGTGGCTAGGGCATGTACTGAGGATGCCTGACAACAGGATCCCCAAAGTCGCCCTTAGCTGGAGGCCAGAAGGAAAGAGGAAAAGAGGCAGACCAAAGACCACATGGAGGAGAACGGTGTCGGACGACCTGGCGGCCATGGGTCTGAACTGGAGAAGTGTCAACAACATGGCGCAGGACAGACCCAGATGGAGGAAGAAAGTCATGGCCCTATGTCTCACAAGGGACGAAGAGGATAAGTAGTAAGTAAACTTCTTTTCAATGGGTGAGTATGAGTGCCACCGCTTTAATGTTACCCTAAAGTACAGTTACTGTTACTGCTACTGGTAAAAAAATGATCGCTGAAAAAGTCACAGAGGCTCATCAGTATAACATCCATCATTATATCGGGAACAACAAGTGGAATTTCAAACAGCTCTGACGAGGTCTTATACAGGTCTGCTAAATATCTGCACGTGCCGCCATGACAGCTGGTGAGGTTCTGTAAGGATGTCGTCGCCAGATCAGGACCTGACGTGTCAAGGTTGTCCCTGTATGGTTATGATATTATAACACAGAGATGATGGACATACCAGACCCTTCATCCATCTCACTGACAGCTGCTGCGATCATGGCTGGATCAATTAATAGAGACATTGGAAGTAGAGTTACTGGGGTTCCAATTGGTATACTCCAATTCATTATCGTTACAGTAGATACTCATCATCAAACTAAGATTTTTATAAGAAAGGCAACATTTGCAAAGCAAATGCATAATGATTACCTTCATATGGTTTATCCTATCAGACGACTGTTCTATTTATTCTTACTAATATATTGTGACCCTACTTACATATATTACCAATTTTCTCCTGCAACATGCTACATAATGTAGCCCAACACCACAGGTATCTGTTACAGCACCAGTTACTATGGTGACAGCCTTCTGGTCTAGGTCATTGGCCATTTTTGTTTAGAGAAGAAACAAAACAAAAACAACATATTTTATTGGTGCGAAGGTAAACAAAATGTTTACAATACACCCCACTAACAGGACACGAGCCCATAACAGCTGACATCATCATCAACGTTAAGGCAAATGTACACTAAACCTCGCGTCACTGGGCAGACGTTTTTGCTGCGATTTCACGTATTAACTTTTTTCTAATAAAACGCTACCAGAATTTCATAACAAGAAATTCTAACAGTGGACGGAAAGATTCCCTGGGCAGTCTAAAGGGTATGGTTCTAAGGATACCATTTGTAGTGGAACAGAATAAGGTTCTTTCATTGCCGTTGCAAATCCGTGTAACATATGGCGAGCAAAACGGGCTGAGGCAGCAGCATACTGAACATTCAGGCGGCTACAGCCATACTGGAACTTGATACGAGCCGATATACACATCCCGCCTCCCGCTTTGGAAATGCATGTGGCTGCGCGCTCGCCGGTCATCTAAGGCTGCCCAGCGCCAAATGTGCTGCCCATGTGGGCCTGTGGGCGTGTAGCCTCCTTTGCAGGCGTTTCGGGAGCCATCGGCTTGTTGGGGAGGGGGTGTTGTGAGGGGCGCTTATTTGCAACTTGCACGATTTTCTGATCAAACGTAGCTCGCACGTACTAGAAGCTTTGGTCACCATCCCTAGAAAATATTTGCAGGATGGCATTCTAGGGTTGGCGGCCAAAGCTTCCAATGCGTGCGATCTACCGTAAAAAAGCAGCCCGCTCTCGGAGCGCCTGCAAAGGAGGCTAGTGGGCCTGGGTAATCACAGTCTGCGCACTGGTGAGGTCACACCACACTGTTACATCCAGCTAGCAACTGTTGACCTCGCCTCACCTCGTAAAGTTCTACACGTGAAGGCACGGTCGTGGGGAGACGCGCCATTCCGTACATATTACCGGCGCTTTCATGTCGTCCTTCAGCTGGCCACATGTAACCCCACCGAGCTGTCATCTGCCCCTCACAAAACAACAGCAACAGAGCAGGAATATGGCGATCTGGCCTGAGCGCTTTGCTAACCACTTTATCGTTTGCCAGTCCCCAAAAGGAGATGTAATTTAAATTGCAAATCATTGTCAAAAGTGGCTGTGTGTAAATCAGAAAACACATGATCGCAAGCAATCACAATGTACGGATTCTCAAACACTGCATTCCGATTGACGTTTTCGGTATGTTATGATCGCTTCCCAATGACCCCTCATCTGGAAGGGGCGTTATTCACATGGCTCCGCAAGGCAGCACACGACCCGTCGCTTTTACAGTACAGCTAATGAATTGTCTCAGGTGCTATATTTAACGTTCCTCCTATATTAGGGGGGACGGGCTCGCACAGTCGCGGCGTGTGTCTGTGGAGAGAACGGTCTGCTCCGGAGACTGTCAGCTGTTGGACTCGCGGCAACGCCACGATGAAGCCCATCGAAGGGAACAACGTAGAGGATGGGGAGGTGACTGAGAGGACAGAAAGGTAGGGGAATTGACGATATTTTAATAAAATAATACTATCTTGACTAGAATTGAGGGATGGGAGGAACTAGGCATTTGGCACACAGTGGGACCATGGTGGCTTGACCGGATCACATCGCTGTCACGGCTGTTTTCCTTTGCTATATGCATCCCGAACGAAATGTCTGCTATGCCGACGTTGCAATTGTAAGCGGTTGGGCTCGAGTTACGCCAGTTGGTGAGGCCGCCAGAACAATGTCAGCACAAGTTAGCAAATTAATTGCCAGAAGCAAAACGCATGCTGCAATGAATAAGACTACGGCATCCTCTGGTCAGAATAGTCTATCCACTAAATATATATTAAGAAGGATTCATATAAAAGACTGTTTTGTCATTAGAAAAAAATACCGAAGCTCATGATTAGCCACACTGATTGTACATACTAGCACTTATTGTTTTAGTACCTATGATGTTAAGCTTCCCTTTATACCCTTTTTGTTTTACACTATGTTCAACAGTCGTTGCCATACATTGTACTTTATACAATATATTGTCGTGCAATAGAGTTCTTCTGTTTTATCAAAGGCCCCGTTACATAATTTATCACATAGCATAGTTTTACAGTCATTATAAACCAAAAAATTAATTCCCGTCATCCAGAAAAGCCTGGTTCCGGGAAAAGACGATCAGTATCAACAGGGTCAAGGTCGTCATCTTCGAGGCACCGTTTGATGGTGAGTAGAAGACATCGACAGTTCCTCTTCTTGTTAATGTAACTTGTTTCCAGCCACACCAGTCCTTTGTTTTCCAATGATTATAAGGATAATACAGGCTGAACATCGAGAGATTCCTGGGCTATTCGTGAGCCGTACCTCTCAATGTTTGTGTGTAAAGATTAGTTGATACGTCTTTATATTGCAAGCCGTAGCAGGTGTATCATTTGCCCTAAGTTTACATACCTCTCACTTCATGATCAACAGACAGGGGACCTCCTGTGGTGCACGTATTTGACACATATCAAATACACAAAGAGTAAGATAATCTCCAAGAAGATCTTTTGGTGGCTGCAAAGACAGAATCAATTTGGGCAGGCAGTATCCATTTGCCAGACATTTGTGGCGAAATGGTGAACTGTCTGGCAAATGGATACAGCCTGGACAATTTGATTCTGTCTCAGTAGTCACCAAATATTGTAAGTAAGATAATCTCATTGAATGATTGACAGAAGATTACCATTCTGGATTGCTGTAATTATCTTTTACGAACGATGTCGTCTCACACATGCTGTGTTGCCAGGCAACGGGATGATGCATTTTATGCAAATAATCACTTTCAGCCAAGAAGGAAGACGAGGTGGACAACACGGGAATGCGAGTATGGCCGGCCGCGCAGGTAAACCTTCTCTCTCTGCCCGAACCAACTAGTGCATGTTGGTTTGAGTAGTGGCAGCGGTAAAGCACATTATCCCTTTCAGAGACGCCACCTGCCGGAGAGCGGAGCAGCCTAGACTAGACCTGTGCTAGGATAAGCTACATATAATAAGATGGCAGTCCAACACAGCAACACTTGAAGTTGTGTTAATTGGTTACTAACCCTCATTTCCAGCAGCATTAATTTTTTTCTGATCAAAATAACATTACAAGCTCATTTTGCCATTTCACTTTTGTCATTTGATGTGTCCCCTTTTCTGTCACTGTATTCGTTGATACAAAATAGTTTATCATATTGTAAAAGGTTAATTCCTCTCACATAATATAGATATATGTATTCATTACGTTAAATGTAGGGGAACTGAGCCCAAGGGACTTCGGCCGACATATCTGTATATATATATATATATAACGTTGAAGGTATACATCCTTGCTTTGTTTTCCAGTAAATCAGTAGCTAGACCCTTTAGAAACAAAACCCGTACGGGGCAGGGCGACAGCAGGAAAAACACAGCTGGACCAACAATAATGGGAGGGGGGCGCTCCTGACTGTGACACATTTTTACACCCGTTTTTCCCCCAGGTGCTGGCCCTGTACGTCCTGAACCACCCGGAGACGACGCGGAAGTGTGAGGGGATCCTGGAGCTGGGTGCCGGGGCGGGCGTGACCGGCCTGCTGGTGGCCAAGTCCTGCGGGCGCCCGGCCGGTGTCGTCATCACTGACGGGGAACATCACGTCCTGGACCTCACCCGCAGGAACATAGAGGCAAACTTCAAAGAGGACGGTCAGTACGAACTAATAAAATTACTAACTGGAAAGGTAACATTTATGTAACCCTACACCAAGGGCGTCTGCTACAGCACCAGTTACCATGGTGACAGCCTTCTGACGAAGACGAAACAGAGCAAAAACAATATATTTCCTCGTGTATCACAGCTCCCATACCATAACATATTTCACTACATTGTTAAATGTGCACAGCGAAGTACCAACAGGCGTTCCTAGTAATATATCTATGAATGTTGATAAAAGTAGAACTAAAAGTTGTTAGTAGAATATTCTTCAATCAGTGATTTTTGAAAGGTAACCAAACCCGTAGCCTGGGTGCCATCCCCAGTAGTATATTCGCCAGCTCTATAACTGTTATAGGGCAGGCGAATATACTATTGGGGATGGCACCCAGGCTACCAAACCCGTACCTATACCTCCAAATGTTCGACGTCCACACTGGTATGTCTTTTGTTACCTTTCAAAAGTCACTGATTGAAGAATATTCTACTAACTGTTGATCTATACGTGACTGATCAACCTCTTTAAGAGGGCCTGCAAGCCCTTTTTCGTAAGGCGTAATCAGGGCGTTTTAGGCTTCGTAATTCGTAGGCATCCTCCGCAAAAATCAACGTAATTCGTAATTGGACATAGCCGCAAATCGTAAAGTTGTAATCAGCTCTGAGACTTTAACGTAATTCGTAATAGGCGGCGAAAATTTTGCGTAATTCTTAATCACTACCCCCCTTGCAGGTCCTCCTTTAACGACCTAACAGTTGTTCTGTGTCGTGTTGAAGGCCGCCCGACGTGTGAATACCTGAGATGGGGGGAGAACGTGGACGAGTTCAAGGACAGGTTCGGGACCTTTGACCTCATCATGGCGACGGACGTTCTGTACTGCCCCGAGGCGCTGGAACCTTTCTTCATGACCGCCAAGCAGCTGTTGTCTTCCAAGGTCGGCTCCTTCCGAATATTACATCTTAACTAGTCTAGAGTTCCACGATCTCATACCTTCGCCAATTGCCTTAACGTACTACTGGATTAGATCCTTTTTTTGCATAATTGTCATCTGATTATGTCAAGCGTCACTTATCTTCCTTGAAACATATTCAACAAATTGAACTTGGAAGTTCCAGACCAAGCTGCTAGGGGGCCGCCTAAACGCTTCGAAAACATATATAAACCCTCTTGGTCGAAATAAATAAACCATTCTCTGACACAGACCGTTGTTATTTTTACTTTCAGCCTTCGGCCCAGCTGTTAGTCTCTCACACGAACCGAAGCTACGTCCCCCACTACAAGGTGCGGAAGGCGGGGTCCACCTGCGGGTTCAAGGTGACGGACATCCCGCTGCAGTCCATCCCGGGCTGCGCTGAGATGAGCCGAGCCACCGCCGCGGACCCCAGACACCCCATGCTGCAGAGGATGCAAGTCTTCAGATTCACGCTGAAGGCGTCGGTCATTAAGGGCGACCCGTCTCCGTAAATAACGTTTCGCTAGCAGCTAGCCTAGCCTGGTTCCCAGTCCTGGCGTGGTTTGGGCGGACTCTCTTCGGGTCTGTAGACGATCACTGCTGCCCGGTCTTAGCCTCCACAGGCCTTTTTACGGGAATACAGATCGTAGAATTCGGCAAAAAAGAGGGTAAAATTGCCCAAGGGAGTCCGGCCGCGGGGAGGTAGTTTTTTGCACGGCCAGTCAAACCTACAAGGTGTCCAAACTCCCCTGGCAGACTTGATTCTCCTATATATAGCCATCGTAGTTAGTCTGGTAGAGACTAGCCCAGTTCAACATTGGCTCCCCGGTAGCAGTTTTACGCCTGGCCAGTAAGGGTTTTTGCACGGCAGGAGTTTGATTAGGTGGGCCTATTGAACACCCGTCGTTCAAAACCTACCGGGAGCCCTAGGGAGCCAGGTTCCACTGGGCGGCTGGGATCGTCTACAAGCCCGAAGAGAGCCCACCCAAACAACCATAAGACGGGACACAACTAGCAGAGGTAGCGGAAATAATACCGTCTACAACCTTTGTTAAAGGTTTTTGCTTAGCTCTAAATACGGAGTTGTAGTCCGTATGCTCGTTCAAAAGATCGTCTGTTAGAGCGAAAGTTGAAATCGCACAACGTCGACGTTATCTTGATAGATGATGAAGAGTCTAAGTAATATAAGCTACAAGTACATTGATGCGTATCATCAATATCAAGTATATTGCTTTCTATTGAAAGAGCTTAATGCCCAATGTTGAAGAGCCTTTTGATTGCTTTAGTGGAACGTAAAGTTCGGAAGTTAGATTTGGACAACTTTCCTTTTTTTTTAAAACATTCGGAATGTTTTTGAACTACAGTTTTGTGCACAACACCATCTACTAGTCTGTACTAGACTGCGGAGAGAAATGTTGATATCGTCTTCTTTGACACGTAAAGGAAGACTTATACAATCTGTAAAACAGATTTACGATTTCTGATCTTGTAAATACTACATTTTCCCCTGTGATCAGGTCACGTGAAACAATTTCACGTGAATAAAACACGTTTGTAAATACATGAGTGTTTGGAGTAGCGAAATTCCCCCACCCTAGACAATATTAAAGTAGAAAACTTGTTACGACCACGAAATCAACAAAACTTGACCAAAGTAGGAAAGTTTAGGCCCTACCAGTTCCTTCTAGCCCAAGCGTATCCAAAATAAACCAAAATTATCAAAAGAAAAATGATTTTTAAAACTAAGGTATTAGTAGGGACTATGATTCTTATTTCTTGCCCCTCACTGCGTAACGCAATTGTAACGTCTGTCCAGAATGTCTCTAGCCGTACACCATACATCCCCCTCGACACGCACAATCAGATGTAAGCTGGGTAAAATTTTCCCATGACCTCGAGCTCGGTGACCTGGTCAGGTCAGGAGATGCTGCCAATTTATAACTACCGGGCATGTCAGATTTTACTGACTGTGTCCCTCTCCACATTTGCACTTCCAAATGTAGTTGTTATCATAATTGATTGTACTTCGGTTTGTGTTACAAGTCCGAATGGGATAATGCCTCAACCTCTATGAAACACAGTGACTTTGACTCAGAACATAGTGAATTTGGCCTTGAACATAGTGGCATTCACTTCAAACATAATGATTTTGACCTTGCAAGTTGAATGATCTTCCAATTTTCAGCCAGAGATTCTTGTCGCGTATCGTGACTTCTTGCTACACACAGAGACATCACGCTATGACAGATAACTGTTCTAGCATTACCCGTAGTTTAACCTACCACGCATATCACAAAAGCCCCAACACTTATGAGATGTTCAACAAAGCTGAAAATTTGATTCCAGTGTATCGTGCATCTCCGCCAGTCTGTTTCTTCTCCCCATTTCTCACATGGCTGGATCGATCAATATCAATCCGCTTGTAACGCCTTTCTACCACAATATCAACAGGGGATCGGAACAGAGTGCCTTGCCATTATACACATTACAGTCTGGCACTGAGAGCACTCAACATTTATGGATTTCGTATTGTGTATGTGTGTGTATGTGTATGTGTATGTGTATGCGTGTTTTTATATGTATGTATGTATATGTTTGTTGTATGCATGCATGTACACGAATATTTATGTGTGTATTTGTCTGTGTACATATATGCGTGAGTGTGTTTCTATGTGTGTGTGTGTGTTTCTATGTATGTGTGTTTCTATGTGTGTGTGTTTCTATGTGTGTGTGTGTTTCTATGTGTTTGTGTTTGTATGTATGTGTGTATATATATATGTGTGAGTGTGTGTTTGTGTGTTTCTATATATGTGTGTGTGTGTGTGTGTGTGTGTGTGTTTCTGTGTGTGTGTTTCTCTCTCTCTCTCTGTGTGTGTGTGTGTGTGTGTGTGTGTGTGTGTGTTTCTGTGTGTGTGTTTCTCTCTCTCTCTCTCTCTCTCTCTCTCTGTGTGTGTGTGTGTGTTTCTGTGTGTGTGTGTGTGTGTGTTTCTCTCTCTCTCTCTCTCTCTCTGTGTGTGTGTGTGTGTGTGTGTGTGTGTGTGTGTGTGTGTGTGTTTCTCTCTCTCTCTCTCTCTGTGTGTGTGTGTGTGTGTGTGTGTGTGTGTGTGTGTGTGTGTGTGTGTGTTTCTCTCTCTCTCTCTCTCTGTGTGTGTGTGTGTGTGTGTATGACTTTGCGTGTGTGTACGCGTGTGTGAGTTTGTCACTCTGTGTGTGTGCATCAGCATCCTGAACTAACTTAATCTCCGGCGTATCCGTGTGTGTTTATATGTATGTATGTATGTATGTATGTATGTATGTATGTATGTATGTATGTATGCATAAACCTTTCTTTATTCGCACGCTCGCATCACTTTTGGGGTTCCCAGAGGATGTCATCAACATGGCCTAACGTGACTATTTTGTACAGTGTAAATAATACAGTATGTTATCCGTTGGCTCCAAGTCTCTTCCTGGAATTAGGCCCTACTTTTCCTGGAATTCCAGATCCATGGAGACCACCTGTGCGCACGAAAAAAAAAACAGTTGCACACCAGGGATTAAATTTTATTATCTATACAGAAATACTGCACCGACGTGGCTTAAGAGATCGGCTTCTTCGTGAATCCTGCTGTAAATGATTTGATGACCAAGTGTTAAAATTGCCGGAGGCGGTGAAATGTTGACGTCAGAGCCGGCAGGAGGGATTCCCACTGTTTCCTCTCTTATACAACATGCATGTGCTGTAGAACTGCTTTCTAGTAGACCCAGATCAGTACATTGAAAAGCTTACCATCCACTGGTCGTGACACGAAAGGCGGACGACAGTAGGTTATTTTACAGGTTCAAAGTGCCGCTTGATCTTTTCGAACATATGTACATAGAAAAGGGCAGACATAACCGCATTCCTCTGCAGCAAAGAATTGCCAATACTCTCATTTAGATAAAATCAAAGTTGACGATCAGTGCCATTTTATTGTTGACTGTGCATTATATAGGAATGAGAAATATCCTCTATAATTTATCTATTAATCTATATATTTTAAAATATTTTTTTTTCCTTGAACTGTACCTACCTTGTAAAAACATAATGGCCAGTGTACTAGTTACCCCGTCCTGCTACATTAGTCTATCTCAAAAACAACGTTATGAATCGTATGAAGTAAAACCTGCAGTACCATTTCCAGGTGCATGGCGTGTCACGACATGTGACAGTCCTAACACCCGCAAATCCGCCGTGAAGCCACCATGGATGAAACCTACCCGAAAGAACCCTGGCAACACGGAAAACAGACTTAGCGCAGAGTTTAGACTCTTCTGTATCGTAAGAACTGGCAAACACGTTGCCAGACGTGTGGCCTATCGCATAAGCTGGCAGAGAGCCGACGCAAGACTTGTGGAAATCTGGCGAAAGCCTTGCTCTGAGGCTAGGTTTATGTCGGATAACGGACGCTGTGGTGCACGTAGTGGAGCTTATTCTCACCTTACGGAGTTTATCAGAATGCCCTGTCTTAAAGGCATCCAATACAATTTCAGGGCGGTAAAACATAAAATATATTGTACATGAGGAAATCTGTCTGATATTGACATTTACTGCCATGTCTTAGCACATTTGCATCATTATTTCAAACTTGAAGCGTTTGAATAGCCCCAAGTCAAACTATGTGAGGAGTTCCTTTATTTCAGGGCAGTTCCGTAGTTACCAACGGCTTCTTTTCTTTCTTTCTTTCTTTCTAACGTCAGAGGAGTAATGACTCCGGCAACCACCTAGGTCCTCCTCCCTCGAGCATGTCCAATAATGTCTTCAGACCGTTCATTGTTATGACTCCCAACTTGAGCTATGTCATAAGTCTTCTGCTATCCCCACGAAGGTACACTCGTCCTCCCTCTCCTCTCTTGATTCCCTTCTCCTCAAGTCTCGTCATTGACCAAGTAGTTGGACCGTTGTGCCTTGACAGACAGTTCTTCTGGATTATATCCACAACATCGGGCACAGTCAACTTTATGTCACAAAAGGGTACCAATCTGAGCTTCTTACTGTCGCTCGCTACAATGGACAACAGAGGATGGCACCCAGCCCAGAGCCTCGGAGGATCGAGGTCGTTAGTTTTTCAGAACAGGCGAAAATCGATGCGCGGGCAGATGTCACCCATAAAATTAAATCAGCGTGGCCTAACTATGACAAGAATCACCTCAATTTATTGTCAGTGTGACATCACCCTTACTGACAGTGTCAGAAAACTTGGAGAGACAGTTATACCCCCTGGTTCCTGGCGTTTAGTGTTCATACATACAAATCATAAAAATCGTGTTAAAAAGTAGTGGATGGTGCATCGGTGGTCTGTAATTTGACTATTCATCATGCTCAAGACAGTAGCCATTCCGGTATTACATCATGTTGACTTACGATGTGTAGTGTCATAACTGACAGGTTAGATTACTTGGAATCTAACTGTCTGCAAAATTAAAGTACACCATCGAGCATCTAATACCCACCCTTCCCCTCATAGAGGCTGTGTACTAAACCATATCGGACAGGTCCGTAGTTGGCGATGTTCCGCTT